AGCGTTCATCACTGTCGACGTCCGTCGGTGGAGACAAATCCGGCAGGCGGCCGAACGTTCTAGCACACTCCAGGCAGCCTCGTCGCTGACGTCTCCTGGGCACCTCCCAGACTACATAGCCTGTTTGGGCTGATCCATATATCCGTGCACATCATTCTGTGTCGATGTATAACGAGCAAGATGAGAATTATGAGCGGGTCGAATGCGTCCTGACTTGACTCGGACGACTCGGAGGAAGGGAGGTGTTTGGCCTTGTTAGGATCCAAAGCCGCCGCCTGCCATTTGTGGCAGTGACATCATGCCAAGAACCGTCGATCGGACGACAGACCGGCCCGGGATAGCCCGGGATGTCCTGTACGGTCACTCACTGACCTGGCTTTTGAACGAAAGACTCCCGACAACTTGAGCTCTGGACTACCACGCACACACCACGCACACATCTCCTACTAGTGAGTAGTGGTCAATCGACCCGGAGTGCTAACTGCCAGTAGTACACCATATTTTCTACTGCCCACCACAGCGCGTTCGAAAATTCCGAACGTCACGCACCCAGGACAAGTTCCTTCAGAACACCAAAGTTGGGCGTGCCCCAACCAGTAACAGGATCCCATCCTATCGTTGTCTAGTCACAATTTTATGAGTAAACCCTTCACTGACATCACAAATAGTAAACCTCACGTTGAAGCCCTCTGTGCCACACCCCGGGTTGTTACCGACAGTGATATCGTTGAACCCGTTGTCGTCTGTGCGTTGAGCGAATAAATCAATGGGTTGAGGAAGCCAAGTGGGGACTTCCCGCTGGCGATGCGCGCGTCATTGAGCAGGGACACGAATGCTGTGAACGTGGGCGAGGAGCACGAAGTCCCGTCGACGAGGCCAGTTTCCGCATCCCATACATGGTGAAATTGACGCCCTCAGCAGAGACGTCGGGGTAGGCCTGTTTAGCCATCAGTGCAAATGTTCAGATGTTGTGGAGAGGACGACGCACTCGGCCAGACCTTCGGAGAGCGAGACATCAGTCTATGTGCGAGCTATCATCACCAGCACTACTCACGCGTTATACAGACCCGCATACGTCCCGGGAGCCAGCTCGCCGAGGTACTTCGTCACCGCAGTGTCCTGGTAGGATGGTCGAGGCGAACTGAACAGGCGATTCAGCGCGCCCCGAAGATCAGTGGCAGCAAAGGACCAACGCACATAGTTGCTAAATCCCCCACCAGAGAACCACGCCGCGATCTCCGGCACCTCCGAGTCGCTCCCACAGCGGTGACGCTGACAAGCATCTGTTAGTACACACTGTGGTCAGCATAATAATCTTCTCACTATGGGCAACTAGCTGGGAATTCGGGTATGAACATCGTCACGTTGCGACCATCGTTGCTGTAGCACTCCTGGGTAGCCGGGTCCGGGTCACCGTCGCCGACACCCCCGTCTCCGGAGCTGAACATGATAGAGACCCCTCGGGCACCTAAGATGTCTTAGGTCAGCGATCGTGTCCACACGGAGGTCAACGTCGCATACACACCAAGCTGCGCGAACTCCGCGCAGACGCGTGTCGCATAGCTGTAGGAACTGCAAAACCCTATGAAGTACAGTCACACCATCACTGGAAAAGCATCGTACCGGTCTGCTCGTCGTCTCCGTAGCTGGTGGAGATCGACTGTGGCAGGTCCTCTGCAGAGAGCACGTATCCGAGCCACTGCAACGCGTCAGGTCCCAAAGACTTTGCACGAGTACCTAGAACCAGCCACTCGCCTGCATGTATGGTTCATTGTATCCGTAGGCTCGAGATCGTCCGGTATGAAAGCGGGCTCCCACCAGTCGTGTAGAACGTTCCGGCGTCGGGTACGTAAGGCTGAACGCATATTGTGTATCTGGACCTTCCAGTTTAGTCGCAGATTTCAAAGCGTCAATACATTTCCTACCCAAGTCGCTTCAATCCCAGCATCAGCTGGTGTCTGGTTATTAGTCCACCTACGAACGCAGTGATGGCTCAGTTACAGCAAAAGATCGACCACGGACTGCTCTCACCATTGATATAGACCACCGAGAACGTGTTGTTAGCAGCTACGGCACCTCCTCTCCCAAAAACTGATAGTAATCCGCGTAGTTCGCGTACTGCTCTAGGTAGCCCGTCACAGCGATCTTGTTCTCCCCGGGCACCTGCGGCGTGTACCCCGTCGCGTTGTACAGCTCTAGCAAGCACTCCGGGGTGATGGTCCCGTTGCAACTTGCGGCGACTTGTCCCCCGGAAGCGCTGGGCACGGCGATCGTGGCGCCGTCTGACTGGGGGATAGCGGTGTTTGCGCGGAAGGAGCGGTAAGTGGTCCGCATCGGAGTGAAGCGGGAGAACATGGTGGTGGGCTGGACGACCTCGATGTGGTCATGCAGGTGCTCCGGAAGGCTGTACGACGTCGTGCGGACGAGCGAATCGCCGCTAGCGGCGTGCGTCCACACATGGTACGTCTAGGCGACATGTGAGCATTATCAGACATGCTTGAAGACGGAGCCATAGCTTACAGTGTCCAACATTATCTCCGCCAACGAGACAGGCACCCTGACGGTGACCCAGTCGCCAGCGGGCGACCGCGACAACGCATCACTCAAGAGACCGTGCGACGCAAGCCAATCCTCGACCAACTGCACACTCTCAGGATGAGGCGCAACGAGCGCTTCCACGTCCTCCTTCGACAAGTGCTCTCCGTACCTCTCACTCGACGGATCACTATATCACGCGATCAACATTCCGGTCAGCACCTTCGCTCGCGCATGCATGCCTAGCAGACACTCGAGACGCACCTCACAGCGTACAGGTGCTCCTCCAGCTCAGCGAACTTGGGCTGTGGCAGGCCGATGCGGAGCTCGATCGTGTGCGCGGGCGGCGCAGGGCGCAGGGCGTTCCAACCCCGGGGCGGGTGCACCGTCTCCTTCACCCTGTGCGTATATTCCGCAGGCGCCGCGGCAGCGAGCGCACCGAGTATGGCCCATAGCAAGGCGGACCGCAGCGACGGCATTTTGCTAGTCGAAACCGGAGAGCCTGAGACGAGGATGAGCTATCGAGGTCAGAGGGCTCGTCCGCGGATGGACCATCGACTCCGTTATGTAGGGGGACACCCGTATGGTGTCATCCTACAGACGGACACGGTAGGGTATTCATAGCGCTATGACACCCGAATACGCATGGAATCTGCCAGGAACAGAGGGCGCGCATGACCTGCGGCGTAAGCGGAGGGACCAATTGTCTATCTTTAATCAAGGGACATGTTGTGAGACGCACTGACTGAGGGATCGCCGGGATCGTTGCCTGCGGATGACACAGGTCAGCGTTCGTGAGAATGGACAGTGCGCTGCTCACCTCGGATGCGGTATCATTACCTCCAAGTGCTTTGTACCCTACAAGGGAATACCAGCCCGCCGAGAGACTGATGCAGGAAGATACTGAACGTCTATCGGAAGCAGCTCAGTAAACAATAGAGTATAGCAATTGCCCTAGCAACGTCTGCAGCATTCATGAACTTCTAACGCTCTCGACTGAGAAGAGAGCAAGGAACAATTACTTATGTCACGTAAGGTACATCACGAGATGCCACTGGCCGCAAATCAAGATAGCGAGCGAATGCAGCCTGAGCGCGGAAAAGTGCCGGCTAAGAAAAAAGTTGAATATTCGCGACCAAGCAGGAGTGGAGGTTGAACATAACAGATAGTAATCCTCACTGTCGCCGACTTCTCCTGAAACAAGCCCTCGTATCGCACTACATTTCCCGCTCAGTTTTCCAGATTCGAATGCGACGAGATACGATTTATAAAGTCATAGGCAACGATTCCTGTCCATCTACCCAATCGCCGTCAGTCGACCACCCAAGTCGGGACACAGACAAAATCACTCACGTACTCCCAACGTACTCCTTCAAGTCGCACTACCAGTAACGAACCTTGAACGAACCCATCGCACAGTGACAGAACGCAGGCGCCCCACCGGGCTGACCTGTTCCCACGCAGAGTGAACTTCACCAGGTCCCCATGGAATAAGATCGCGCTCAACTCCCACATGAGTGGCATCCCGGAGAAGCAGCACTAGTAGCCTCCGGGATACATACCTTGGATACGACTTGTTGAGGGGAGGGCAGTTGCACCGTAACCGTGTTTCGTACTAGCAATTCGGTGGACCGACCGTAGCTACACATGTATCAGGTCTGAGATCTGATGAGTTATCTGTCACAGCAAATAATGAATACGTTCATGCATCATGCACCCATGACAAGCTCCCTTCAGCACACCAAAGTTGGGCGTGCCAGACGACTGCTTGTGACCGACGGATTCCGATCCCGCATCGACCCGCGCTCCATACGGGCGGTGACGATGCATCGTTGCCGCCATAGGGACTCCTGGGGGTTGCTGAAGGGCTGAACAGGACACAAGTGTTAGACGGACACGTGTGTGTGCAAACTGGCTCACTCATGATGTCAATCATATTCAGCGCGCACCCAGGTGACGGTGACTACGCCACGGGCAGACCATGGCTGTAATATGCCACGGAAAATGCGTTTAAGCTTCTGACGGATGTCCACATTCACATCATGATGGACGTCTCGAAAGAATTCCACCTCGACATCCTTCAATGTGTCGAAGTATGGCCCACTCATGACCTCGTGCAGGTCCCGCAGATCGAGCTTCTCCAGGATGAGACTGGACTCCTTATGTGCGAGAAAGTTGTCATCGAAGAATAATCTAACACGGACCTTGATGTGCTCGAGCTGATGGCTTCGGATAGTGGAAAAGATGCCGTGCAACTCGTCCGTTACTTCGGTCCACACCGTGCTCGGCCCCGTGTCTTTGGCCATGTGCTCGATGGTTTGCAGTGTGAAGTCCCAGGATCGCAGGGTGTTGTTTTGCAACAGATTGCCGTGAACACCTACATTGTGCACGTGCATCACATCGGAAAATTTGGGTGCCGTTTCGTGAGCGGCCATAGGCGGTTATAAACGGCGCAACTGCGAAAATCTTGGCGGGGTAGTAAGAAGCGGTTATAAAAGCGGCACGGTTGCGATGAGCGATTACAATCACGCGCGGCGCGCGTCATAATCACCCGCGCAGCAGAAAACAATCACGATATAACCGCATACTTTCGCATCCAGCTGTACACAGTCGATTATGGTACAGTACCTCCTGCGTACTACAAAACGTTTCCCTCCCCCGCCTGTCCTCCCCCTCGCTCTTGCGTTATTTCACTACTGGTTACTCTGACTCTTGCCAGTCCCTACTCGACTGACTGAAACACTGAAAGGGCACTCGGACGCTTAGACTCAGGCCGGGATTCGAACGCGCGCGCACGAAGTATATTTGGAGCGCTAAAATACAAGTGCTACTGACATCTACACTAAAGAGTCTTCAAGAGGAGAGACATGTCACGCAATATATCATGTCAGTTTTGCTCACGCGTGCTCACCGCCTATCGCGCATACATCGACTCGCACTCGCGCTGAGCGCAACTCTGCGCGTACGTCGACTCCGACGGACTCGCAGCCTCTGATTCTGACACACTCTTGAGCCGTCTTGGGAGTCGGCAGCTTCCTGATCCAACCGGGACCTCTTGGGACTGAGACCTCTGTACTAGAATGACCAGCCGCACGCACAAGAAGCCGACCGAGGCGACGAAGCTACCCAAGGCAACAGCAGCGAAGACGAATGGCAAGGGGGGAAAAGAAACAAGATGCCGGCAAGTTTCAGCCCACTGGCAACTCACAAGAGCCTCGGGCTGCGCAAATGGCACCACTGCAAGCTCGTGCTTTTTCTCGCTGCGGCAACTCTTGTTCGTTCTCGCCTCGCAGGCCTGGTACTAGCTCTGGGCGACCGGTTCCGCGACGATCGCCGACGCTGCATTTCAATGATTCGCCTCCCAGGGCAGCGAGAGAGTGAAGCCCGAGGGCGGGCGGTGCAACGGCGGGAGAGTGAGGCTCGAGGGCGGGGTGCAACGACAGGACTCGGAGAGTGAAAACCAGTGACAAGCAGTAAGCCATAATATTATGATTGACCGATACTTACTCTCGTGGTAGGAACATCAGCAGCTCCGTGAGCTGCTGATGGCGCAGCAACAAGAGCTGCTCCGCGTCCGGCGCAAGAATGCCGAGTTTCAAGCACGGCTTGCAGCGCATCAAGCTCGGAAGCGTGTTCGAGAAGACTACGACGGCGCGAATGGTGATGATGAAGATGGTACCGTACAGGCAAAGGAGCTGAGACTCTCGCGCACGGAGCCCGACAACAACCGAGTCCCGTGTCCTGACCGCGCTGGTCCCAGGACCCAAGATGCGGAAAGCGATATGCGCAAGGAAGGTGGCCGCGCATATGAAGACCCGTGCAGGGGATGCTGAAGGTGCCCGGGACGAGGATGAGGACGAGGATGAGGATGAAGACGACGAAAGTAGCGAGGAGTGGTGTGGATGGAGAGGACGACATCGGAGACGAAGAGCGCGCACAACAGCAAGAAACACTTGGCGATCGAAAGGCCGACGCTCGCCAGATATGGCGCAACATCCCAGCAGAGCTACGCGCTCACATGCGCGAGCTGTAAACGTCAAACATTGGACACAATGCCGACGAGCAATCATGATGCTATGGTGTCTTCGAATGCGTGAACTGTAGGATGTGCTTAGATCTTCATCACGAATGTATTCCATGCACAAGTATGCTCGAGACACCCTCCCACACTGATACAGAAATCACAATGCTTGCTGGTATTGACAATCAGACCACGGCGAAAATATCATCGCAAGGCTGTCGTCTACAACGACGATAGCAAGGAGCATCGCCGCTACTAAACTAGGTCGAGGTGATTATGAGCGCTTGTAGCCCGTTCGCCGATGATTATCGACGATTGTGGCTCAAACATAACGGTACCACATTGATTAAACCGCGTAAGTACTACTCATAACCTCTGCCCTCTGTAGTTATAATCCGCGCAACTGCGGCGAACGATTATGATGTTCAACCAAATTTCCCGATGCAGGGGCGACTCGAGTCTCCAAGCAAGATGAAGGACTCTTACGGTTATAATTGTCAAGGTGTGTCTGCGGTAACGAGTCAACGATGCCCCTGCCGCTTCGAGGAGTTTGTTAAGGGGTATCACTGTCATGGAGGGATGGGAAGTGTGAAATTTCAGGCCCGCAAGTGACTTGCAGAGGCCTGAGCGCGCCATCCAGTTGAGGAAAATCACCATGACTTCTTCGTGGTGCAAGAGGTCTCCGATGTTAAGGTATCGAAGACGAATGTGAGATGGCGACTGGAATAGTGAGGCTCCCGCGTAACTGGCAGCATCTTGCGGAGATCGGATCTCAACATCTATAATCGTGAGGTCTGTAAGCTCGGGGAAGGCAGACACAATCCGCCGCAGCTGCGAGATGTTGTTCAGTTCGCAGAATCGAAGCGTCAACGATTTGACAGACTTGAAATCCGACAAGGCGAAGAAAAAACCCGTGTGGATGAAAGAAAGCCTTCCGAACCGGATGTCAAGGAGGCGTACGCGAGGCATCAGGCCAGCGAGCGCAGACGGTAGTGCTTGAAGGAAGCCCATGTAGCGAGTACTTCCGTAAGCCCGTAGCTGGCATGTGTTCGCGAGCCACTGCTTGACGCGTGGTGACGCGTAGCACTGCTTGTACAGCCTGTTGAAGCTGGTGCGGCTGCGAATCTCAACGGCGTAGTAGAGGTTGTGCATCGCACGCGGATACCACATTGCGCAGACCAGCGCCACAACGGGCAGTGTGGACTGATCCTCGATCGCGTCAATGACGAACTCGAAGATCTCGAGCGGGATGCGAGCGGAGAGGGCTAGGGGCAGGGTGCCCTCAAAACGGGCGTCCCGCCACTGCCACCAGAGTATGAATCTCTGTTTTCCGACGCCGAAGTCCTCGTCGCCCCATTCCTTGGGGCTGGATTCCTCATCGCTCTGTTCATCGGCACTCCATTGCGTGGTTTGTGCGTGTGAGACGTCAGGAGAAGGGGGAAAACGCTAAGTGAACGCATCAGTCGGGATCATGGACAGAATCAAGATGACCGACGCTAGGCTGGAGATCGGACATCTGGGCACTCGCACCCTATGAGTATGGCGACGTGAATATGAGGAGCCGTAAGTGTGAAGGTATTTTGAGTTGTTGATTACGGCTGTTGTACAAACGGTGGACCGCTCGCGCGCGGGGGTGTATGGAACGTTCAAGTTTGAGTCAAGCAGCGTATCAGGCCAGGATCTCAGCCACCCTATACTAGGCGGCCCGGCACCGGTCCGTGTGGTCGGTCTGTTTACATCCCGTCCAGCCACGACATAATTATTAGGGTCGAGCTGTCCATCAGTTCAATGTATGTACACTACCTGAAGCCAATACTGCGAATTCATGAGAACGGACAATGTGCTGCTCACATTGGATCTAGTGTCACCAAGCCTGAACGCGAATCCCATAAAGCAGGATTGGAGAGTCTCGCCGAGCGAGACGACGAGTGGGTATGGAGATCCAACTCCGAGTCAGTAACACGCGAAGTACGGTGCAGCAGCAGCGCTTGAAATGTAGCAACGACTCCAGCATCCCACTGTTCATAGTATGTAGAACATCTTCTGACGCTCTCAGCCGCCGAAGAAGCAACAAGTGACGATCATGTCGAGTAAGTAAGGCCACACGTTATGAGGTTAGTACAACACGGCCGCAGGGCACGACAGAGAGCAGATGCAGAATGTACGCAAAGCACGCTGGGTATCAGTGGCAACAGTCAAGTGACCGAGAACGACAACGTGCAAGCAGGAAGGAGTGGAGATCATTCATAGTAGATAGCGGTCCTCACCGTCGTCGACTCATCATGAAGCAGCCTTCATACCCCAGCACCTCCGCCGGGCTCAGGGTATCGCGCCATCGCCCGCTCAAGTTTCCGTGTTCGTTCCCGACAAGGTACGATCTGTAAAGCCATCGTCCACGATCCCCATCCACCTGAATCCCTGTTAGACCATCACCAACTCAACAGCGATAGTCCACTCACATAGTTCTTCGACAGACACAAAAACCCGTCGCACGGCCGCACGCGCCCCAGCAGACTGAACTGGCCCCACGCAGAGTGCCCTTCGCCGGTGATGATGACGTCGCATAGCCTCCGCTCGCCGCGCTGCTTTTCCGGGATCCGCGACCACGTCTCGTACACTACCGGTGCCCGTCCAGGCGTCCGCACCTCCAGCCCATTCGGGCCCTCGTGCACCTCCGCGCCTACCGGCAGATACGCAAGCAGCGGACTGCCCGGGACAAGCGGATCGCTTCCTCGCGTCCCCGCCGGACCGTCCTCGTCCTCGTAGTACAGATGGTGCTCGCGGAGCTTCCACAGCTGCGGGTGCTGCGCGACGAGGCTGCGCTCCAGCACAGCGGGGGACGCGCCCGAGAGCAGGGCCGCGTACGCGGTGAACTCCGTGTACGTGAACAGCCCTCCCAGAACCCGTCCAAGCTGCCCGGCACGAACACGCACTCCTGCGAGCCCGGCGCGGCGACACCCGCCAGCGCACGCGACCACTCCGCTTCCCACTCCGTGCTGGTCGCGCCCAGGACCGCTGGGAGCGTCGGGTCAGGCGGCTTCATGTAGCTGATGGTGTCCCATGCGACGCTGAGCTGGTTGACGAGGGTGAGGTAGGCGAGGATGGCGGGAGATGCGGGCGCGGGCGGGGCTAGGCGTAAGGGCATGCCGTAGTGCGTCAGTACAGAGCCGTCCTTCGGGTTGAGGCTCGGGTGGAAATTGACCCAGGATGGTGTGCAGAGGCTGTAGTGATGTGCACCGAGCGCGATGAGCTTCAAGACGCTATTTGCGCTGTGGAAGGCTGCTTCGTCCATCATGTACTCCTCTGCGTGACAATGCGTAAGACGTCTGATACTCGTTGCAACAGGGTAGCGGACGCACCGGGCCTGAGGAGCATCCAGAACAACCACAAGGCCAACGATATTCGCTCATCGTTCCCCACTGGCCATTCGTCGCGTTTGACGGTAGACCGCACGAGCGACGCGCCATTCTCGCCGAGCAGGTACGTCCGCAGCCAGCCGTCCATCCGGGCGTATTCTCTGAGCTGGCGCTCGTTCCTTCCGTCATTCTCGAGCATCATGAGGTAGGCCGTCCATAGCAGTTCACTAAGCTGCCTCGAGTGCCCCGAGCTAAGCTCCCAGATCGGAGCCAATGTATCTGTCTTAGCCCGTAATCGGCGCAGGACCATACATCGCTTCTTGAGTTCTTGTGCGATCGCAAGCGGGGTGGTGCGCTCGGGACCGTACGACGCACTGCTGCGGCTAGGTCGAACTTGTACGAGAAAATGCGTGCCCAGATGTGGGGATTTCTGTCGAGAGCGAGGGCGGCATAGATGCGGCGATTCGTGGAGAGAAGAGGAACGAGCGCGGAGGGCGGACCGAGGAAGTTGACGGTGGCGGTGTAATACGCGATATGCTCGAGGACTTCCTGCGGGATGCTGTCCAGACTATGGATGGTGGTCATCGTCGACGGCGGCGTGCAGAGGGGGTGAGAAGGTGCAGACGAGGGGGGAGGACATGGCGAACGCGTGCGACTATATAGCTCGATTGGTCAGTGCGTTTTCCGGGACGCAAGTGCCCCCGGAGTCCCCGAGCCTCCGGACGATCGGACCCCGCGTCACGATCTCTCTATCGCCGTTTGCACATATTCGTTGTGAAGCCCGTCGCACGACGGCCGTCGAGGGAGTCACCGTGAAAATAGACACAGATCTACTCACTGGAATACTTACCCATTCAGTAGGTGGGCTTCGTACCCACTCAAATCTCGCACTTCACTTCGCGGGACCGGGGCAGTGATCGAAATCGCCCAGATCTCGATCATTGACATATCCGGGCAAGCGTTTGTTCTCAGCCACTTCTCTTCCCAATCTCGTTGACTACAAACCACTTACCAGCGCTGCAACACGCGATGCGAAAGAACAGGCCGCCCAGTGACCGCTCTTGTATGGCATGAACCACAATCCTCCCTGGCAAGACCGACAGACGGTCTCACGTCGAGCCCAATCAGGTGAGCCAAGGGAGTTGAAGCTGTCGTATAGACGCAGCCGTGGATTTACGCGGGTTCCATAACCATGATTCAAATTCTGCTTTATCAAGCCGCAGCTGGGAGGTGTCTTTTATCGGCCACTGGCCCCAACCTGTCCCAACCGGTCTTAGTCAACCAAAGGTGCTTACTATGTAGTGCATAGCAAAGCTCACGTCGGACGCATGTGATATCTGGCCCTTTGTCATACAGGTCGCGCTACTTCTGGCAGTGGATAGCCTGAGTATGTGCTTGCTCAATTGATGAAGCATACCGACTGAAGACACACTTTCCGGCGGTGAGCTACACGATTCAGGTATACTGCACTACCTCGCATTCGTTGTGTATCGCTCTGCCGAGCTATACACATACATCACCTTGGCACTCCGAGTCCATGGCGGATCCCTCATCTACTGTTCCATTCGATTACATGCACTATCCCGGCAACGTTGCCTTGACTCTCCAATAACTCATTCCCTCCGGAGAACAAGGACTCAGTGGGACTATCAACGAGTATGAGCTCCATGTCCGAGGACCTTTGGCCTGCAACTAGCGCGTAACGACGCCCAGCCCCTCAGTAGCTCGTACGAAGGGTCTCCGCTCTGACCTAGCTCACTCCGGAACCATCCCACAGGCTTCGTGACACTCCGTAGAAGACCGGGCACCTATGCTACCCTTCTAACCGCCCGAACCAGAGGCTCGGTAGCCTGACTTCGCCCTGACAGCGCGGTTCGCTCACACAGCGAGCACGGCTATGATCTTCCGAACCACAAAGTCCACACGATCTCGCAACGACGTAGCTCGCAAGGAATCATCACGCCTGCACTAGCTGACAGGCCGAGTCTGGCCTCGTCGTCTCGACTCCCAGCATACCCGCGCACACCCGGAGGACAGCCCGCTACTGTACGCCGGAGCAGACGAAAATAGCTATGACGATTGGGGAAGAATGCTCGTGAGACGGGGCGCAACCTGTCTTACAATTGACGACGAAAGCAGATGGCCTCGACGTTGGGTCTCTAGGTTGAGTGGAGTCCGGTCATTGGTCCGGTGAGCAGCCACTGGTTCTTTGGTGATAATCAATACTACTACAGGGAGGATGACTGTCACTGGACGGCAATGTGACTCGTGAGTGGAGTCTCAGATCTCAGTCCTCGCATGTGCTAGCAATGACGATCTCAGCCGTTGGGGTTGCAACATTCAATGTAGACTTGTGGTAAGTACCAGAACGGACCGAACGACTCTAGTTCCCTGATCTGGACACACTCCACGACATAGCGTACTGAATGCCCTATACGAACCTGCTCTAGAACGCAAATGGCCTGTCGCTGAGTTCGCCTCCGAAGCTCCGAAGTGCATTCCAATGAGGTCCCACCAATACCGTCAACGCCTGCGGGCGTACTTCCTGCATCCGAGACTCCCGCAGCCTGTATCGCCCAAAGGACGGGTCCGTCAAAGGCACGGCCTGCGTTTTCTTGCACGACGGGTCGCGGATATTCACGGTGAACGCCAGCTTCTCGTTGTCCTGCGCCAGCTTGGCCATCGTGATGTCGAGTTGCACCCACGGGAACGGGAAGGATAAAGCCGGTGGCTCTACGTCGCGGTCCCTCCGCACGAACGGTCCAACACTAGTTCCCGGCATGGGCAGACTGAGCACGATCTCGCGGAGGTTGGCGCGCATCTCCCACCGCGAGATGTGTGTCAAGGCTGTCAACATCCACGTAGGGTATTCGTACGCGACGAACTTGGCCTCGAGCCCCGCGTCCTTCAGGTGTAGACGCCGGAGCTGCAGGAACGGCACGGGTGACTGCAGGATGACGTACAGCGGCCCGTGGAACGTCAGGCGCAGAACCAGCTCCTCGAGCACGGGCGCAGCCACCCGGAGGATGTCCGAGTCGTTGTTGCTGCAGGAGGGTGCCACGTCGTTAACTATCGGCTGTAGTCTGCGCAAAGACATGTGCAATGGGAAGTGGTACAGCAGACAAGAGGTGACGCTGCCCGATGCTGAGGGACGGTTAAGCCATGCAGAGTCGATTTCGTCGCGGGCGGTATACCAGACGTTGCATCGCACCGTCATCGGGAGGTGGCGTGATCTGTATCTGGTCTGATAGGTGTAGCTCAGACAGCGACCGGCATGCTGCAAGGAGGCGTAGGAAGTCGTTACACTGGAAGTTGTGTGTGCCGAGGAGGCGTAGGATCCGGATCCGAGAGAAATACGTCCTCACACCTTGTTGATGTCGAAGAAACCTCTCGTGAATAGGTCCACCGAACCGATGTTGAGCTCCTCCACACGGTCCATCATCAGGAGCAGGTCCGGCCACGCGCCGTCGAGCGACGCGGGGTCCGGTTTCGGCTTACTGAATGTGAGCACCCGTACGAGCTGTCCGAGTCTGGGATGTTCCTCGAGCATGTCCAGGACGCGACCATGCTCCACGTGGGTGAGGATGGTGATCGTCCGGAACAGGTTGCTCTGTGCACGTCTGGCCCACTGGTGACACGTCAACGCACAAGCCTTGAGCGCACCCGTCTCTCCAGAGAGCTGATCTACGATCTCGTCGTGGATTTCTGCGGGAAGCACCATGGTTCGAGACTCGAGTCGGTAGTGCGCCACTGCCTCTTCTAGGAGAGAGGGTAGCCCAGTTAGCGTGGAAGATGATGGCGTTTGGAAAGTGAGTGTCTTACAGTTTTGACTAGCCCGGGGACACGATATGACCGCGAGCTCGAATCGAAGGATGGTGGCCCAATGGTAGCCCAAATGAAAGCGGTGTTCGGACTGACGCTAGGATCTGACTGCGTCATTACTAAATGCAACAGCTGCATCAGCGGACCATCACTGGCGTGTAGCAACGCCGCCTTTACAGACAAGACCTAGCTAAGACAATACGGCCCAAGCGTAGTCAAGTGCTGGTTGTCATAGAGTATCCGAGTGTCGATAGTGCTGGAGGTCCGAGCTGGAGGTTCGGCGCTTCAAGCTTCAAGCTTCAGCGCTTGTGCTTGAAAACGGCGGCGGGCCGGCGGCCCAGCCTGGCGGTCAATATCAATCCTTGCTGCTTCCTCCTCTTGTCCTCCTCCTTCAGCTTCAGCTTCAGCCTTTATCGATTTATCAGCTGCTCCGAGTACTGTGTCCCCGGCAGAGTCTTGTGGTGCTCTCATTGTACATCGTCGCAGAGTTCGGTGACCTACTACAAGCCGTTCATGGTACTACAGCTGTCTGGCAGTTGATCACAGCGAGCCTCATGATCAGTCTAGGCGCACGAACTCTGTACTGACATCCAGCAGTCCAGCACAAATCTGGCTACGCAAGGACCTGAACTGTACTGATTTTGATCGCCACCCACGATTCATAACGCCAACGTGTAACGCCTCGCGCGCGCAAGTTTCCTTTGTTGGAGACGGTAACCTTCTCCAGCTCCTCCCTGTGGCACGGTACCATCCCTCATCAACAATCGACAAAAATTGCTGGTCTAGCTCGCATCTACCCAAAGAGACACCTATGGAAGTTGCTCTAGCCCATGTCGAGTACAACCACGACATTAGAGTGCAATTTCACATCGACAACCTCGAGGAATTCTTTGCTCAGAGAGGATACCCAGTAGCGCAGCCCTACGTCACAGCTACGTTTGGACCGGGCTGGCGTATCGAGTGCTGGCCTTCACAAAGCGATGGCCAGGACTGTACCATTTCTTGTCGCCTCGACGTAGGACCACGCGGATATCCGCGGCCCATTTCATGCTCCTTCATTGGCGAGTCAATGCCAGGTGGCCACCGATACTTTGAACATACCGCGACGTATATGTTCCACCCGCCGGATAAGTACTCTAGTAGGGTGTCTGGTGGTCGGCCTAAATCCCTCTTGAAGACGCAGCACTGGAACTACCGTTTCCGTCATCTGCGACAGGAGAACGGGCTCGTCATCACAGCCACTATCCGCGCGCGAGCCGGTCATGCCTTCTCCGATGGCTGCGAAGGCTTTGGGGTGTTGCACGACCTGATAACTGGAGGTCAGCCGGATAAAATCAAGTTCATTGTCTTTGCGGGCCGGAATGCCACTGGAGTCGGACGACTTGTGAGACCACGTACACTGTTATTCGACAAACACGCCTTACAGGTGAAGTGTCCTCGCCTTGAACAATGTAGGCCATTCATATTGTCGCTGTCGCATGATATATCGAATCTCACCCGTTACCTCTATAATTAGGGTTGGATGATGCCTCTGATGCCCCGGCGCTCTGTCAGTGGGAGGTGTTCAGTGGACACAAGGGCGTTCCCAGTGCATTTGTTAGCGGGGCATCGAGCTATCAACCTGCGGCTCATCCCGACCTCGATGGTGACAGTGACTTCGAAGATGTAGGCGAAGAAGGCGTGGCAGGTATTATTCCCGGACAACTGCAGACGCGACCTACCGCCATTATCAGCGATGTCGCCGCCTCTACGTAAGCATCAAAGCTTGACATCGACCGCACTCTGATTTCATTATAGATGGGAAGCGTTTCTGTTTTATCTATACACTGGCGTCGTGGTCTTCGCGCCTTTGGCAAGCAACGGTGAAGATGCACGAAAGCACTTCATAGCGAATTACCAGGTCGGCAACCCGCAACGCCCCGCACCATGCTCTTGCAGGTCGATGTACCGCCTCGCACACAGAGTATGTTCGGTTTAAGTGCCAAACTTCGGTTCGTTGACCCAGTCATCATCACTAGCTTGACATGGCGGATCTCAAGAATATGGCGTTCGAGGAACTGAAGTCCCAGCTATCGAAAGACAATGTTATCAAAGAGATCTTTTCCCAATTCACTTCGCAGTAAGTTCATCAAGCACTCACACCCGTTACAGTGCGCTCAACATTGCTGTTGTGGCCAATGCAGGCATGAGCAAGTGAAAGACATGGAATTGCAGTTGCTGAAACGATACTGGGACGAACTCAAGGGGTCAGATCAAGTGTCAGAGATGATGATGAAGGTCGTCAGTGGTAAACATCCTCATGCTGCGTCTATTATGATGGAGATCTGGCAGAGTGTCACTGTGATACCCACATGAGATGGGCGAATTGGGTCAATCTAGGAACGATTTGTTCTCTCGTGATCAAGTTATTGATACCTACCTTTCAGAGTTTCATGTTTGAAGGTCGTTTGTCTGTTCAAATCATAGATCATTATGTATTTTGTTAGCCATTGCAACCATGGTAGTCCCGTCCGGCGTCCTCGAACGATGTTGGTAGTGACGTGACTAGCACGTGCATTCAGAACACTCAATGTATTCTTTCAAATTCCTGTTCAATACTCGTACACACTGCTTTGTTCTGCGAGAGGATCATGGTGACAGTTTACACCTTGCCGTCTTTCTCGCGAACGATGTCCTCGACAGTCTTCCACTTCCAGATGCTTTCGCCAGGGTTAACCAGCTCGTCGTCATTCTGCGAGAAGTCCATCTTCCCCTCACCGATGAGGATCCTAGAGCAAGTCAGCAATCCGAAATCCCGTCACAGGGATGCTACCACTCACTTGATATGGTCGATAGGCCCGCTCTTCGGCTTCTCGAGCTGCTCCTTCCGCAGCTTCTCCCTGAACGCAGCCAAATCCGTGCCCTGGACCTTGATCTCCCCCTTCGGCTCCACGCCAAGCTCGTCGCGGATCTTCTGCACGACGTCGCGGACCTGCCGGTAGCTCACGTTGCTGCCCGCGATGTGCACGTCGTCCGGGACGCTCGCGGCCGTCTCGGGGTTCAGCGAGAGGAGCGTGAGCTCCGCAAGAGCGCGCCCGATGTCCGCCTTCGCGGTGGTGGCGGTCTTCGCGTCGGGCGAGCCGACGGAGGTGTAGGTCAGGTTGGCGGTGTCGAAGCCGACTATATCGAGATAGATGGTGAGCCAGTCATATAGCTGGGAAGGTAAACGCATAGGACGTACGCCACGGCCCGATGAGGATCTCCAGGAAAAGCCCATTGTACAGTGAAACAACTTTCGTCTTGCTGGCTCCGAGCTGGCGGTACTTGCGAGCGTGCTGTCCTTTGAACAACCAGTCAGGGTCATCCCATCCGGGGAAGTCGTTGATACGGTGGTCACTGGATGTGTACAGGATGCTCAATACCGCGCTCGTCACAACGGAGAGTAAGACAACTTACGAGCCATATTCCGTAGGGAAGTACACCTTCGCACCACTCTTGATCGCGGCCTCTCCGACAGCATCCCTGAATTCAGTCGGCGCCTTGCCAACAAGGCTAACAACGGCGTCGACGCCTTCGAACGCTCTGCCCAAAGACGCGACGGGGTCGACGGGGTTGATCTGGACGAGCTCAGACCCCTTCTCGGCCAGAGCTTTGGCGTCCGCGGTAGTGATGTCTCGCGCTGTGACGACGACGCGCGAGAAGAAGGGCTTGTAGGAGGTGAGGAAGACGTTGGCGACCTCCTTGCCTAGAGGAACGATATATCATTAGTTCGGCATGGCTCTGGCATGGATGAACTCTTTAGCAGACCCACCAAGGCCGCCGGTCGCGCCGACGAGGGCGACGGTGTATGAAGCGCGGCTCAGCTTGGTAGACATCGTATAGGACATACACAGGCTGGGGAGCGGCTGGTAGACGTAGGTGAGGTTGTACTGGAGTATTAGGATGAAGTCATGGCGTTATATACGTGCCGTCTTGCGACTGTGGTCTGGGTGTGAGTAGAAGCTTACCAAGCATTGTCACTGGATTGCGTGAGCTACATCATGTTATCCCATACTTAAAGCGTGCAGGAGTCAGGTCTCCTTCGTGGCTGACGTGAAGGCGTAATGTTAGCAATAGCTTTACTTCCACATGTACAGCGCTCGCCATAGCCTCCCAAAACAAATTAAAACCTGAATGTGCGGTGTGCCTCTAGCGACTGGGCCGCAAACCATCACACGAACAAAACACAGAGCTGTGGGGGAAGGCCACCCTGATAGACAAGCACAAGCTGTGAGCCACGCGGTCTCTGACCGAGTCGAAGGTGGGTAGCATCGTGCATGAACATCTCCACTGGGGGTGGGCCGGCGGATCAGAGATTTGGGAACGACGTTGCGCACGATCACGATCAAGCCTCGATCGACATCTGTAATCTGCACTGCTGCCCGCAGCGACGCCGAGCCTGGCTTGGTCAGCAGCTGACAGCACAACGAGGGAGCGACACAAAATGGCCGCTGACGAGCACAAGCTGCACAGGTCCCGTACCGTGGCGAGGAAGACGGCCGCTGCCTGGCGCTCATGTTGATGTCTCGAAGAGCGTGTCCCTCCTTTTTCAGTGCCGTCAAATTCCAAAGCGAGCCCTGGCGTTACATTACCGTACAACAAACACTTCGCACTGCTTCCGCTGGCACACAGTCCACACCCACTAGCCTCCCCAACCGTTCATGCGAGCGGCTTCGTCTTGTACAGCAGCACGTACGCCGACGAGTCTTCGCCTCCGCCGCCGAGCGTGTCGAGCTTCTCCTTCGGGAAGATCGACACCTTGTCGTCGTCGAACTTGTACCAGTCTTCGTCCTCCTGCGCCGGCACGCCCACTACCGCATTGGACGTAGAGCCGGACGCGTCGCTCGAGGAAATCTGGTTCTGGACGGCGCTCTTCTTGACGAAGCCCATGTAGTGTCCGGAGTCGGCCGCAGCGCCTTTGTGGGTCACAATCGCTGCGATACGGACGCATTACGACGGGGAGCAGGGCAGAGAGGACATAGAACCGACGTACCGACGAGCTCGTACTGGCCGGTCAAGCTGCAGCCGACATCTGCTTGGAGGTCTGGATTTACCAGCGCCTCAAGCTGCGTCTTCTCCCGCTCCCGGTACACTGACTCGTCTTCCAGGTCGATCTCCATCGCGGCGGGCTCACTCTCCGTGGGCTCGGAAGAAGAGGAAGCTACATGATTTGCGTTAGTCAATGCGGCAGGGTCGAAGCCATGTATTTACCTTCTGCGGGAGCGCTGCCTGACGCGAGTGCCTTCTGCTCCCTCGCCACACGGAGGGCGGTCTTCTTGCGGATGTTGCGCCGCTCAGAGCGCTCGCCCTCGATCTCACGGAACCTGGTCACGAGCGGCAGCATCTTCGCCTTCAGCTCGTCCGTGACCAGGTCGAGCACGTCAAAGTCCGTCGGGAACTTCACCCTACGCTGTCAAGGGGGATCAGGGGACCGTCAGTTGGGACGTCAGCGAGCGGCGTGGTGGCGCTCACCATGATCTTCGTCTTCTTCCCGATATCTGTCCGCCACGCGAAGCGCACCATATGGACAGTGAGATAGGACGGTAGGCGAGAGAGACGGGAGGTGGCGGTGTATTGGGCATCCCGTCCTAATGTTGGCGAGTTCTTCTCGATCTTCTGGTTTAGAGACTGCGGGTCCAGTATAAGCTAGCGATATGCAAATCGTTGCAAAATCACGTACGTCCTTGACACCCTGGAGCATGTAGTTCGTCGTGATTGAAATGTTGCACTCGATCTTGAGGGCTTTCTCGAAGGAGACGGATGGCGGCTCGTCCGGTGCCTCGTCGCATTTCAGTCTGCGTCGCACTTGTCAGAGACAGGTACATGGTCCGAAACAGCGGAACTCACTCTCGGCGCACTTCACCGGTCATGTACTGGTCAACGAACTTACGAGGGAGCGAAGACCCGTCTGACGACGGTCCGGGGACAGGTACGTCCCTCAGAGAGTTCGTTAACTGCACCCAGCACTCCTCAGCATCTGTCAAACGCAGCGCTCAGCTTCGAATGTTCGCTACGAGACCGATACTGCGGACCTACCCTGTTGTGCGTACATCGCGAATCCGCCAGTTCCCTTGCCGCTCCGGCTTTGCTCGGCGAATTGCGGGAACGCCTGTCGCAGCGCGGTCAGGAAGGTACTCGGGACAACACTGTCCGTGGTACGCGACATTTGTTGGTACAGGCCGCTCAGGGCAGAAGGGAGTCCGGGTGGCGGAGCGCTCTGTAATGCCGTCTGTAGTTCGGGGATGGCACGGAGTGCCTGGAGAGTCGAGTTCATGTAACATGTGTTCCCGAGATTCTTGAGACCGACGGGTAGTGCGAGCTAAGGTAGGAGGGCGGGTCATTCATGATGTTGATCATGCCGAATGAAGTGCGGCTTACAGCTTCTGCGAGAGCCGAGTCGTCCATGTCTAAGGCAAGATGATCTCGTCAGCATTTTCGATTGCAGAGGGGGAGGTTGGAGAGGGGTGATGGCATCTCCGAGCGCGTCGGCCTTGCGAAATGTAAATTGTAACACACCTTCCAGAAATACGATCGGCTTTTCTGGAGGCTTTGGTAGCTCCCCTGCTGCACCAATGACCATGAATGTCTGGCCCTACATGAAACGAATGCTAAGTTCAATATGACGAAGTCGACTAGCAATGCTCCATGAAAGGACCACTACTCACCTCTTTCGGACCGACTTTCCTCCAGTCTGTGTCATCCTACCACCAATTAAGCATCAGCTGAAGCATAGTCCAAAATCAAAGGCACACGAACCTTGAGCACGCCTCCCTTGATCATAACCTTCATACGGTCTGGCGGAACGCCGGTCACTTGGTAAACCGCATCCTTGAATATGGCTGGAGACTGGTCGGGATCGAGCTGCACATCGTGCACCTTCCCGGCATGCTTGATCTTTACGGCGAGCGGAGCCATAGCTGCAACGTCGAATACGTAGTGGATGGAAAGGAGGAGAGCTGGCGGACGCGTACGCTCACCTTTTGTCTTTGCGAGGTTTCTGCTTTTGCCGCGCGTCCCATTACGCACACGCGTCGCGGCACGTGCTTCTACGGAGATCGGCCGGTCCGGAGACAAGAAAGGGAAGTGGCCGGCCGGCGGACCGGCGCGCGCCCAGGGCGGACTGGGCAGGATGACGTCGCACTGCGGCGGAGACGTGGCCTGAGCGGTGCGGCACAGCTGCAGTTGTTCGCTTTAAACCGCCACGACCTCTTCACGACCACCAGTCTCTCATCCACCCACAGTTACCACTCAAAATGACGATCTAGTATGTCCTGAACCACAATACTGACAGAGTGAATTATTCTAACAGGCAGCGTACAGCTATTCGCTCACGTTCATGCTCCTCGCGGCGGAGATGGTGACCTTCTGTGTTCTGGTCGCACCGCTGCCCTACGGCATCAGGAAACGTTTCTTCCGTTTCCTCTCAGAAAGCCCAATCGTCGCCAAACTTGCATACGGAATAAAAATCTCATTCATGTACGTCCACTCATTCGTCAGACGACCTGTTTTGAAGACGAACGCGTACGCGGATCCAGATTCGTGGGTGTATTATTCCTGGACGCGTTCCAGCGCATGATCAGGGTATCCGCGGAGTCGGACATGGCGAAAACCAGCGGGTCGGGTGTACAGGACGTTCGCTCAGAGACGAATTTCGCTGCGCGTAAATTCTAGTAAGTCTCGTCCCTCAAGCCGCTATGATGGCAGTGCTGAATTCGGTGCCGTGTCCAGCGCGCAGCGCAACACATACTTGACTGGCTTCACGCTCTTCCTTTCACTCGTCCTCACTCGCACCTTCTACCTCCTCCTCGACCTCATCCACTCGCAAGAGGAGTACGCCAAGCTGAAGCAGGAGGTACGTCCCCTTGAATACTATGCTACTGGGTCTTTAACATAATGACCACGTCCCAGACTGCCAAGTCGTCCCGCGGCCAAATTGCCACCCAGGACCAAGCCAAGCAAGTTGAGGAGCTCAAGAAGAAGCTTGCCGCGAGTGAGGAGAAGGTCAAAGACTACAGTGAGTCCATCCAACTTACCACCCAGCAAATATGTTCTGACTAGCAATGCAGACATTGTGAAGAAGCAGGCCGAGCAGAACGCGCGGGAGTACGACAGACTCGCGACCGAGTTCAACAAGGTAAACGGGAACGTGTCGAGCAAGAAGGCTGACTGAGCCTGGGCGTGTGTAGCATTAGCATGTAGTGGGACCCTGAGCTTGATGGCCATTGTCTGGGGTGTAATGCTTATGAATGTTGCTTGGTGGTTGCTGTTCGTTTCTTGTTTTCGCTGTCATGCTGGTATCAGGCTGAAATGTTTCCGAAGTTGCGTCTGTCCCCTAGATAGTCTCCGTTGCCGACCATAAAAGAACGACAAGCGCTTTTATGGTCTGCACCGGTACGCGCCCCTGTGGTAGGACTAGAGCACTTCCAAAACTCCGAATGTCCGAGCCAATCGGATTGCTGCGGTGCTCCAGCTGCCGGTGGCTGGGTGGCTGAGTGGCCGAGTAGTTGAGAGAGATGCCTGCGTACGGCTGCTACAGACACGAGGCATATAGCATGCTCGATACATTGGCCGTCGATAGTAGATTAATATCATGATACAGAAGTCGACTCCGCACAGTACTGCAGAGCCGCAAACCACCATGGACTCAAGACCTCCGATGCAGCCTGACGACGATACTCACTGGCAGCAGCCTCCGAATCCAAACTATCCAGTGGCCTATTGGCCGCACCACGTTTTCACGTTTATCCCGAGCCATGCCATGCCGCTACCGGACCCTGGGATGTATCCCGCACTTCCGCTCCCTTCTCACATCGGTCCAATCAGCACTGCACAACTTGAACCTCTGCCCTCGGCGGGTTTAAATACCCACACAAATCCATCCCAGGGCACAGGCCGCGCAACGCAAACAAAGCGTTCTGAGGACGAGAAGCTTGAGCACATGCTCGCCGAACTCAAGGAGATCAATTGGACGCTCTCACGCTTCCTGAACCACCTTTTCCGGCTCAAGGACGATGACCAGAAGCCAGTGCACCGGAGTGTGTCACACGGCCTCACGATACGTCGCTTCCTCAGCGGGCAGTCGAAGTACAAGCCAATCGATATCATCGACTGCTGGCTTCATGACCCTGCAGGTCGGCCAGACCCGGAGGTAGAGGATGACAAGATGTACTCACTCGAGAAGCCATTCCTCGAGATACCATCTGCGCGGGCCGCATTGACGTCGATGGTCGTACAGTTGTGTTACCGGAAGCTTCTCAAGGAGATGCGGAGTGCGGTGAAGGGCTCGAGTGGGCTGCATGGCAGTCAAGTTGGAAAACGAGGGCATAAGGAATTGGCATGGGACGACCTAGGAGTGCAGACCATCAAGGCTGTCAGATCGATTGCAGAGAAGCACCAGCCACTCACCCTCCAGTTTCTAACCATGCTTGCTTCGCCTGAACCTCACAAACGAAATGGTGTAGTCGCTGTAAGGAAGACAAGGCCGCCAGATCTTGTGAGCATAGGAAAGCTAGCCTATTGATTCTGCGTTATTGATATCTCACCATCAGGTTGCCGTCGAAGTAACCAGTTTGCTGAACTTCTCCCACACGAAGTTCGCGCGTTTACACGCTTCTGCGCGTGCAATCATGTTCTTCGCGAACGGCGCCTCGCGAGGGATCTTCAACTACGGTAGCCGCATCGCGTTTTCGCAGAGCTACACTGCGACCTATGCGACGCTGGCGCGTATGTCAGCACAGCGCGCAGAATACCTAAAGAAGGTCGGGAGGGACAGACGTACCGGGTTGGCAATGCGCTTCGACAACGTGCAACAGCATACGAAGGAACGCGAGCGCCGCATGGGACGTGAGAACGTCATGAAGATAGGTGTTGCGGGAACAGTTGCGGAGATGTTCGACTACAATCCAGACGTCGCCGATGTCAAAACACGGATGCACCTACTCAATCAGAACAAACGCGCGACACTTGACGTTGATTCCCTGTTCGAAGTGATTGATACCGGTCATCTGCGGCAGGTCTTCGTCATGCAGTGGCTCCAAACCCTCGTCAATTACGTCCCCGAGCTCGCACATTACAAGCCAAAGGTTTCCGAGCTCTTCCGCACACAAGCATCAAAGTTCCGTGTCACTGATCAGAAGACAATCATCCATCCACTCGGCACTGCTGCAAAAAACGAGAACATCACCACTGAGCTCCGTGACACCATGATAGACTTCCTGGGGCAGATCGGACAATGCGAGGACGATTACGATCATGATCGCCTCATTTTTGTTGGCGGCGATGGACTCACTTTCGAGCGGCTCCTCAAGCTCAAGGAGTACATGCAGTTCCAGGACAGCGCATTCAAGCGCTTCGAGAATGTTGTTCCATTTCTTGAAACCTGGCATACGGAGTGGACCTATGTCAACTTGATGTTCGAGACGCACTGGGGTCATAGCCTCACCAACGATCCATCAAAGCTTGGTCATAGCGCAACCAAGATTGACCAGAAGGAGCCGCCGAACCTCAAGAAGGTCGACTACTATTCCTCAATCTACGTTGCCTATCTTGTACTTGATGTTCGCATGCTCGACTGCTTCCGGTATGTCAACCATGCATCATGGATGTTTGTTGTGCAAAGAAAGTGCTTACGATGGGGCCACAATCACTGTCATATGCAGGCTCCATTTCGAGACGCCAGACATCTTTGTATACTTCAAGGAACTGGCCAGCCGAGACGCATTGCCATCACTAGAATACCTATACAAGACTTCAGAAACTCTGTATGCGAGATATATGTCCCGCCGAGCATACGAGGTTGCACTCACCGGTGATAGAGTTACCGAGACACTGGGTATCCCATTGTCATCCGAGCCCTGGCGGGACCTTGGTGATGCTAGTACGAGTCATGCGTTCACATCAGGAAAATCCCTCCTTGGGAATTACAACGAACAGACAGAGATTCTCCATAATACGTAGAGTTTTGAAAATTCTGACGCTGTTCGCAATAACACTCCGTATTGTTGACCATTCGACACGTCGTTCGAGTGCAGTCGATAATAAGGCACCAATACGAGAAAGTATTAATGGAATCTTCCGTACAGAGGTCATGATGCTGGCACAGTGATTCATTCACGAAGGTGAAAACAACAGTAATATATTGATGTGTCTCCTAAATGATTCTATGTATAGTACACATGACCCAAATATCACTTTGATTTAGTCCTCCACCACGTATGCATAGTCAACTATGATAGCCACATCTCTGTCGTCCACGAACGGCCCGCGGGCAATTGGGTGCGTGGACGAATGAGCGATCGCGTGATTGAGTGGCAGGCGGCCGAGCAGACAAGAGCGCGGACAGGAGAGCGCATGCGAGAGGGACGCTGAGCGAGACAGTGCGAGCGTTTGGGTGTAGTGCGAGACGGTGTGGGTCCACGAGTGGGTACGCGGGTCAAGAAGTCGACAGCGAGCGGGTGTGAAAGCGAGCACGGGAGGACAGGCGCAGGCGGGCGGGCGGTCGATTGAGCTAGCAAGAAAGCGAGCGTGGGCAGACAAGAACACGTGGGCGGGCGGGCAAGAACGGGCGAGCGGACAAGTGGTGATGAGCCAAGGGCGAACCGGCGAGAAGCCAAGGGAGATTGGCGAGTGGGCAAACACGAGTGGGCGATGGCAAGTCAACGAGCGAGAAGGACTAGGCGAGCGAGGAAGATCGAGGGGTGCACCACCGGGGGGCAGAGAGGGTGTCTGCTCGCTGTTCGGTAGTCGCAGACACTTACATGGTGTAACTGTGTGGCGTGCCCGTAGAGAAGCGCGTCTAGCTTGCGAGAGGACGGGTGTGCGCGAGAGAATGGCTGCGAGCTTGCTGCTCGTCAACGCACTTGCCCGAGCATTGCGACTAGCAACAGATACACTACGAATGACTCACTTTGGATTTCTTGCCTTCGCTTTCCTTCCGAGCCCTTTCGTTCACCACTCCTGCCCGTCATCTATTCTGCTGTCCCTTCCTTCGACCGTGCTCGTTTGTTGTGCTCAGGCTTGCGGCTTTGCGTGCTCGGGCATGTCGCATTCGGAGTTTGGGATGGCTTGTCGCATGATGAGTGCTTCGCGCATGGTCACGGTAGTGTTTGTCCGAACGCAGACCGTCCGGTGCTTTCGCGAGCGGCGCCGACGGTCGCGCCACGGCGGGACTGTGCTTGGTGAGACGGGACAGGTTGAAGATGGGCGACGCCGCACGCGAGTGACGAGCGACAAGCGGGTGGCGGAGGAGGAGGCGAGTGGGTGACGACGCAAGTGGGAGCGCTGCTTGCCCTAACCAATATCTCGATCGAATCTGACACCGCCGCCACAGCGCCACGCAAGCGCCACGTCAGTCTCGCTCTGACTCCCCACTCTGAGCCTCTCGCTCTCGCCTGCCTGCCCGCGTCCGCTGTCTCAATTGCCCACCCTGTCTTGCTTGCTCGCCCGTGTGTCCTCTTCCCTGCCATTCGCTTCTTGCCCGTCGACTCACACGCCCACTCGCCTGTCCTTGTTCGTGCCCTCTCTTACTTGCAGCCGCTTACTCGTCTGTAGACTCACCACCGCCTGTCGCTCCGACTCGCTCATCAAGTGATTTGCTCACATGGCTTTTGCAGGACCTGTATGACTCGCGTGTACCCACACACGATACGTACCCATTTTAGCGGATGCAGACCCTTCATGGGTAAGGGCCGACTCCGATATAGTCAACGTCGACCTAGTGCCCCAAAATAGTCCAAGACGCTTAGCAGCCCACAGACTGTCCTCGGTGAGTCGCGTGCGATCACCCAGCCTGTGTCGTCTCTGACCTTGCAAGAACGCGCACGGATAGCGATATGGCTATAGGCATCAGCAACCGTGACTCCTTCGACGGCGGCGACCTCGACATCCTCGTCATGCAAGTCGTGCTCTTCGGCGGGCCTGAGAACGAGGCTTTGGGGCCGTCCGCCTCCGCCGTCCTCCACTGGCGCATGCTCCTCCGCCTCGAGGGCGGCGGCCCTGTCACACTCACCATGATCCTCCAGGGCCGGCCCTCCCTCGACAGCGTCCTTTTCGTCCGCAGCAACAAGTTCGACACCTCCAGATGTGATCGACGCGTGCGTCTACAATACCGCCCGACCGACCACTGCCGACGCCGTTCTCGCTTTCATCCAGCGCAACAAGCTCCGCCGGTACAGCCTGTACCGGTGGCCTTGCGTCCCTCCCCACGAGCGTCGAGTCCGCTGAGCTTAAGGCCAAGCACATCAGCATGTTCGCGTTCAGCAGTGATCTCGCGAGCAGCTTCTTCACGATTCGCATGAAGGGCGACACGAAGACGATCCGCGAGAAGTTGGACCTCATTAACAGATTGGAGAGCATGAAGGTCGTGCCATGCCAGACATACATCGATGCGCTCACTCTCCGGGAGAAGAACCACAACGCAGGGTCATACATCCCTGAGGGCTCGCTCGACAACCTCTGGCCGGGCGACTTCTACCTTGAGCATTGACGGCAAGTACAGGTGCAAGTACGCGCGCAAGCCTAAGGTATAATCGTGCCTGTCACTTGTCTCCATCTTGCTGTCTCGTGCGCCTGTTGTCTGCCCGCTGTCCTGCTCGTCGACTGTCTCGCTCGCTGACCGTCTCGCTTTCCCACTGACTGACTCGCCCACCATGCTTGGATCAGACTCTGTTATGTCCAAACTCACATCTCGCCCACGCGCTCTCTCGCCCACGCGCCCTCTCGCATGCGCTCTCTTGTACGTGCTCTCGTCTACTCGGCCAGCTTGCCACCGACTCACCCACGTGATTGCCCATGCAGCCGTTCATGTGTCCATTTGCCGCGGACCCGTGGTGGACCTACCTGGACCCGTGCAGAACCCGTACCCGCCGTCGCGGGTCAGTACTCGGGCCGGGTACGGGTCCAGGTCAAGCTCGGGGCACCTGCGGGTAGACCCCTGCTCTGCCTAGTACTACTACTACTACGGTACAGGTACGATGCGTGCGGCTCTGGCTGCAGGTGGTGTTGCTACTGCGTCACTGGGGGCGCCCACTGTCACTCTAGTACAGCTAGCTGGTATGCGATCCTTACATTATATTGTGGACATCATTACTGATGATTGTCGTGTTTTCTTCAGGTGATTGATGTATCATGGCAGTTAGACGTAGACAGTAGTTACTTCTGCATGTTCGCTTGACCCAGTGTTGTGTAGAATACATAGTATGCATTAATGTTTGCTCTTCAACAAAATGCGGCGAGATACCAACCGTAAAATGCCCACGAATAACTTCTATGTGCTGTGGAATACGTACAAAATACTCAATAATTCCGTAGTAATATTGAGCATCCAGACCCGGGACCCATGGACCTTAGCTAGCGTAGCGTATTACTGGAAGCGACCGAATGCATATGATTATTCTTAATTATGCGGAATCCAGAGTAATTACTGCTCATTCACAGGAGAGTTTTTTCCTGATGGCCACAGGCGACCGCTCTCTAGCTCAGTCTATGTTGTTCATGATTGATGCGGCCCTGTCCCGTGCAGTCGCCCAGGCAGTCGCGATGGGTGATGTTGGCAGTGTCTACGAAGGGATCAAGGTGAGGACACAGATACAACAATGAAGATCAGTTAGACTCACTGACTGGCATCACAGATGATGCTGTTCAACTTCGCAGGGTCGGGCCACACAAAATACGCGGGATATCTCCTGGAGATGATAACATCATTGGAGTTCGAGTCAGACGAAGCATTACGGACATTGTTCCTCCGAAATTGGCTTGTGAATCCATCTGGAGAAGCAGGGCGGCATCAGGAGGGCGACCTCATGCAAGAACATCTGAACCTTGCACTCGAAGAGGCTGTCCAACGGAGTGGAAGCGAGTGGGATGGAAAGTTGATTCGTGACGTAATCTCGAGGAATATCCACTATTTTGTCGACCTCAAGAATGGCTGGGGCGAGTCAGTGGGCTTGGCGAAACGCAAGGGATATCATCCCGAGCCACATAGCAAGCCCGAGGTAACAACGTTGCTGCGAGTCTACAAGGAGACACACCTTCATCAGTTCATGGCTGGTCGGTCGTACGCGTCTTCACCAGCAACAGCCAATACCCACAAAGCTGGTCTCATCAGCCTGCAAGCAGAGAAGCTACAAAAATGGATCATTGATTCCACGCGTGGACGAATGCTAAGGAATGACACACCCGGCGCCAGCACTCTGACCGAGCTGCAGAGACAAATGGACGAACTCGACGTGCAGGACACTGCGGAGGATGATATCCCCGGACCAGCCACCGTCGAAGCTGCTCCGCCGCATAGAGTGGGGCGTGTGCGATTAGTTGATGGCGAGCTCGTGATAGAGATGGAGGAAACTGATGTGCGGAAGTTGATAGGCAGTGGCGAGGGTGAGCTTGATGAGGAGCCTGGCCCGAGTCCCGGTGAGGACAATGACGAAGAAAAGGATACTAACGATGATTATATGGACGAGATTGATGATGTGTAGTTGAGATGTATCTACGTATTACCCATGGAATTGTTCTCCTTCGCCATCTCCTACACGCAACATGTCAGTTATAAAGGTTTTGTGTTCATATGTGGATCTATTACATACTGCGGTACGTAGTCTCGTTCGGGGACGGTTCTGTGGAATGCTAGCCGATGCCGTTCCTGCACGTTTGCGCCGCGGTGGCACTGGTACAGGACGCTTGGGTGTTTCCGATGCTGAAAGTTGTGTCTGCGAGGGGCTTGTCGGAGTGCTGAGATGCGATGCCGCGGATAAATGGGGATCCCATTGAAGTGTTGAGCTTGATTCCGGGCAAAGCATCATATCCCTAGGTAAAGCACATCAATATGCACACAAGACGTCGTGCATCAATACTGCAACTTACTGCTGAACTCCCATGTCCCACTCTACCACCACCATGCTCGTCGTACTCGAACTCTCCGCTCCAAGTTCAGCCGCTTGGGACTCGTCAACCGGCAACCCGCCTCCGCCACGCATCGATGCGAACGTGACCTGGAGCTCAATAATGATGCCCCATAGGTTCTCTACATGCGGGAGCAGGTAAACTCGCCTCGAGATCAGCTCACGCAGCTGGCCTATGCCCGTGACGAGCGCAAAGCGATCGAGAATCGCCTTCATCGTCAGTTCGGGAAAGAAGGCCTCGGGCGGAAATAGGTCAGCTGCTGCAGAGGCCTCGGCGGTGTATATGGTGTTGCGAAAGTCGATGAACCGCTCCATGCCGACTGCACGCATAGCCTTCGTGAGCCGCTTCGCCTTTGGAACCGGATTTGCATCTGCCTTGCGTTTGCGGGTGACATGACCAGCCACATTAGCGACAGCTTCGGGTCGGCAGCCGAGCTCACCAGGGCCACTGCAGTTGCACGCATGAGCGTCAGGCTCCGATGCAGATGGCGGGGGTTGACGAGCAGCGCGCGTCGTGCACGTCTCGCAGAGGCAGAGAGGATCGGATGGGGGTTGGCGTAGAGCGTGTTTTGCTCCGCAATCTTGCATGGCGCGAGGAGAATCCTGGCCATCGCCTTATCCATCTGTATTGATGGGCCGGTGCCCTTGTCAGATGGAGCTGCCTTCTTGGTCCGTGTCGAAGTTTGTGCAGTGCCTTCGATGATCCCACGCGCGTTCGACATGGCATTCTTCGTGATGTACGTAATACACTCGCCGTCGTCCGTGGAGTTAACATCCCGCTGTGCCCTGCCCAGCCACTGCAGCCATTCCTCCGTGCTCTCGGGCTCACCGAGCAGCACCACACGGAAGATATTCGGCACGTCGACGCCCATCATGAAGGTCGCAGTCGCGATGACCATCTTGCAGGAGTCGTCGCAGCGCAGAAGCTCGCGTGTTCGTGTGTTGTACGTTGCCCAATTGAGAGCATTGTATAGACGCACGAAGCGTCCGCGCTCCATGCCGTCGGGGATCTTGTTCCATAGATAGACGAGAACCCGGAATCCGAGCGCGATGGTGCGACAGAATATGACCGTCTTGCGTCCGTCGCGAATAAGCCAGTCGAGGTCTGGGAATAACCACCCACCAAGACCTGACTGCAGAACACGGAAAATGGGGCGAACGTTCCGCCGCACGTTCGATCGGCGAAGCTCGTAATATTCGCCCGCACGGTACCCGAGGAGCTTGCAAATGTTCTCCTTAGGCCCGTCAACGCGAATAGTCGCAGACGCCGCGATGACATGGACTCTATCCGGCATGCGTGCGCGGACAAAGCCAATCTGGCGGTAGCTTTTTCGGAAGCTGCTCCCCCAGGTGTCCAGGGCGTGGGCTTCGTCAAGTCCTACAGCGCAGACCCTGTCTCGGAAGCTCGAGTTCTGCAGCAAGGACTCGAACCCCTTCGACGTAAGTTGCTCGGGGGAGAGGAGTATCATGGTGACTCCAGCACGAGCACGTACCCAGAGGTTCGTACCCACGGCACGTGCAGCCTCAAGTGTTCGGGAGTTGATGACGAGGGATGTAAGTCCAATCTTCGTGAACTCTTCTGCCTGCAAATAGAAGCCATTGATCTGTCATGTAACAATGAAACTCGTAGTAGGCTCGTACTCACCATCTGCTCCTCCAATCCAATGGTGGGGAATATTCCGACCATCGCAGGATCCTTCGGGACAGCAACAGGAGGGGTACAGAGAGACAAATTATTCGAGAGTTCAATAAGCATTAGCATATACATAGAAAAGAAACCGGTCTTGCCGGAACCAGTAGCGAGCGCAGCTAAGAGATCAAGGCCGTCGAGGACTTGACAAATGCCTTCGAGTTGGTAATCGTGTGGATCATAGGGAAGGCTTTTGCGAAGGACTTGGCGCGTTAACGCGTGTCCCTCCGAGGTACTGAAGATATACCTGGAGGGCTCAGACGCCATAGTAGTGGTCGATAAACAACCCGGGCGACCAACAGGCGACCAACGGGCGACGCGTTATTTACTGCTGTTGACGCGTTGACACGGGCGTCAATGCGCACGTGAAGAGAAAACTCCGCAAGTCGTCTAGTCCGGGTCAAGTACGCTAATGAGTCCCAGACTATCCCCTAGAGTGGGCTACGAAGTTGCTCATATTGTATATCGCATCCTTATATTGATTCAATTCTCAGCGGTCATAATGCAAGGATCCTACGAGCAAAGGCAGTACTTGCAGTGCGGTGTGGTATGTAAGATTCGAATGCACACCGGACGCATTCCAACCTCAGAAGTCATGATACATAATAAACAAAGAGAGCTACTATACACGTCTATCCCAATAAGCAAGCAATAAGGTACCTGATAATGCAATGTCCGAGCCGTCCAGACATTAGTATCACAGTACAAAACCACAGTGACCATCGACCCAAAGTACGCTGTCAGCGAGACTCACGCCTCGACTTCAGACCACTCCGAGCTGTTGTCCACCTCAGGCTCGGCCTCAGCGAGTGTCACGACCTGCGGCTCCTCGCGGTCTAGGGACTCGAACGGCGATCTGCGGGGAGGGTCTTGGAGCGGGTGAGACGAGAGGAGAAAAGCGCCGCTCTCGGAGGAAGCGGAGCCAGCGGCGGAGGACGTCTCGGCCTTGTCTTCCTCGGTGTGCTACCTGCATGTGTGGAGTCTATTGCTGCAGGATGAGAAGCGGTTGAAGCCGCAATGGGTACCACGGATGTGTTAGAGTCCGAGGGCGTGTTGACGAGGGAGGAGTGCGCTTCGGTGCTGGCGGCGACATTCTCGGGCTGTGGCGAGGTCGGTTCAGTGACAGGAGTTGCGTCTTGCTCTTGAGACGCCTCAGAGGCAGCTTCGGGCACAGGCCTCTCGACAGAGGAAGCCGCGGGCGAGGACAGAACAGACGCGACCGGGAGATCTAGAGTGGACGCAGCATACGAGAGGTTGGCGACGGTACGAGGGGATGGATGGGATGCCGGAGCTTGAGAGAACGAAGACGGGTTGCTGAGGGTCTCAGGAGCAGGAAGGTTCTCAGGCACGTCGTCGGATGTGTGGGTCGTGTCATTAGCGGACTCCTGAGCATCGTTATGGGTGACAGGCGTGGGGTCGACAGCAGGTGATGGCACGTCCTCCGTCTGAGTGCTCGCCACAGCGACTGGCGCGGCCGCGGGGACATGTGTCCGGCGGCAAGAACAGCGTCGGCTTGCGAGGACGGGTCGACAGCGGGCACAGGCTCCGGCTCCTGAGCCGCAGGAGCCTCCGCCAAGGGGGTCCGCGCGCCCTCCCTCTCGCGACTCCGCTCCCTGCTCTCCTCCACCCTTCGCTCGACTTCCTTCAACGCGTTCTCCACCTCCCTCACGACGTCCTTCCTCCTTCCGCGCACCTCCAGGTCGCCTCGACTGTCCACCGCATCGAGGCGCTCGAGCAGCGCGTTCAGCGCGTGCTCGTACGAGTGCACCGCGCGGTTGTTCGACGTATACATCAGCCCGTTCTGCGCGCCGAGCTGCTTCTGGTTCTCAGAGTCAGCGGAGGGAGAGAAGTCAAGCTGTGTGGGGAAGGCGAAAGATGCCTGGAGCGTGTGCAGCGCGTCCTCGATCTCCTGGATGGCGCCGAGCGAGGTGCGCCGTGCTCGACGCGAGCGGTGAAGCGCGAGGATCTTGGCGGCGGCAGAGGGTGGGAGCGCCGAGTTGCGGTGGAGGTCGGCGCCGTCGTGGCTCGGTACTCCGGTAGCAGATGCCTGTGGCTACGTCAGTATCATGGTATGAACGAATGTATAGCGGGGTTCCTACCTCCGAAAAATTGGATTGTGTCCTTTCGTTGATTGCGCGATCCTCGAACTTCGCGCTGGTGGTCGCGCTAGGTGTGGCAGACTCAGTGGAAGGCTGAGGCGCCGCCTTGGGGGTTCCGTAGAGCTTCGTGAAGAGGCTGTTCAGCGACTCCTTGATCTCTAGGTCTTCCTCGTTCTGCACGCGCTGCTGGAGAGCCTCCTTCAGGGATCGGCCGGAAGTGGGCCGCGATGATGTCACAGCTGGAGCAGGGCTTGCGGAAGTAGACGAAGGGGGACCCCGTGTCGTGGAAGACGAGGCGACGGGAGCCTGGTAGGGAACTTCTTCACGGGCCTTGCCCTTGCCCTTACGATCCACGGGTGGGCTCTGGCTCTTCGCAAGGAACACGGACAGGAGAGCTTCGACGGCACCGCGAACATCGGGATCGGACTCACGCTCGAGGCGCTGCTGGAGACGCTCACGAGCGGACGAGACTGGCGAGGGTACGCGACTAGGTTGAGAGATCGATGGCTGCGGGGATGCGCGAGGTACCTGTGATTCAAGGCGGTCAGTGCTCTGAGAACGCGACCAGTAAACATAGTGAACGTACCTGAGATGTAGTCTTCTCTGGTTCGACTACCTCAGTAGCGAAGTCGACCATCGACCCGAAACCAGACACCGCAGACAGGAGCTGCTGCTCCCTCGCCCTACGGAGCCTGAGTTGCTCAGCACGCTCGTGTTCCCGAGCCTCGAGGAGGGCGCGGACGTACGCCTCCTCGCGTTGCCGGGCGAATGCAAGACGGCGCTGGCGCTCACGGAGAACCTGTTGCCGGTACACAGCTTCGAAAGCAGCCTGGCGATGGTGCTCTTCGATCTGCCTGCGCCTGAGTTCTTGCTGCCTGAGGCGGTGGACCGCTTCGGCGCGAGCTAGTGCGACGGCCTCAAGGTAGTCGTTCTGGATGGAGACGGGGCTGACTACCGGGTAGGGGTAATAGCCAGACGAGAACGCGGAGACAGGAGTCAGGACGAGCATGTCGAGTTGCGAGCGGATGTGTGTTAACTGAAGGCTGGAGACTGTTTCTGAAATTGGGATGGTCGGGACCTACAAAGTTGGCCGGTCTTTATACCTGTAAGGACTGCGCTTCGTCAGCAGCGCGCGGCGCGGCCCAGAGAGACGCGTCACCCGCTGAGGACGTGCGCGGGCATTCCTTACAGAGGCGTGAAGAGTCTGGCGCGATCGCGAACATTCTCCCGCCCACCGACGGTTACCATATCCGGGTGGGCGATGCGCGATGGAGCGCGAACATGCTAGAACGCGGTCACGTGATGACTACATGGCTTGCGCGGTCTCTTCGCTGTACGCATTTCTTCCCCATCTGAAGGCGGCTCAGCACTGTGTAATGAATGAAGATAGTAATCAGTTGATTGCTAATTGTTGAGATGTGTAAGACATGTACAAAAAAAGCCAGAAGATACATAGCAAACCGCCTACCTGAATTAGTGCCTATGCCACCCTTCGGGCTGGCATTAGTTGATCTTCCCCGCATTAGTAACTCTCTCGCCCGTGGACAGGTTTGGACGGGGAGCAGTTGTCGGGGAGAAGGAGGCAGGAAGGAGGACTCGATAGTGCAGTCAATCTGGAGACTCAGATGATGACGTGATGCCCCCGGCCCATCGTACATTCCTTTACGCCGAATATATACGACAAAATCACCAGCCCTGAGATGAACACATGAGCCGAACGACAAGACATGAAAGACAGGCCACGCACCAGTCCAGCAAAGAGACGGATATCTGCGTGGGTCTCGTACATGATGTCTCCCTGTGCACTGTTCACTTTCACGACGTCGAACCTACTTTCCTCTCCGTTCCAGTGGAATATCCGCTTGACCCCTGCCCATCTGCACCATTCCAGGCAGCGCCAACACGGACGCGCACCGCCCATCCCGTTCTTGGTGAACCGCGCGACATAGATGTCCGCCCCGTTCACCCGCGGGTCGCGTCGCCGGGCGTCCCATCCCTTGCCCGGCTCGCTGCAGCAACTGCTTGCACTTGAGCCCAAAGCCGGTCGCGAGCCTTCATATCCGCCGCCCTCGCTCCCGCTCTCCCCGCCGCTACGTGCAGAACCGCGCATCGGACTGAGACTCGAAGACATACGTCGGCGCTTGCTCTTGCTCTTCGCGGACGAGCGGTGATGATGAATCCCAGGCTGAAGGTGAGGGGGCTGCTGAGTGTCCATAGGGCCCTGAAAGCCACCACTCAGAGCCCGGGCACCGTTTTGTCTGTTGGCCTTTTGTTCGATGTTCTGGTGGTGCGCCTTGTGCTTGTGTGCCTTGTTTAACGCGCCACTCCATCCCTTGAACCTGCTTCTTGAACGAAGGGGACATGCCCGTGAGGTTGAAGATCGCGTGCATCTCCGCATGCATGGACACCGGCTGCCGCGAGATGATACATCAACTTCCGGGGAGTAAAGAGAATGACTGGATCGCACCTTACGATGCCCCTGAGTGTGCACTTCCGCGCCATCGTAGTGCGGCCGGTGGTGGTTGTAACCTGAAGAAATGATCTTACCGCCCTTGACCATTACTGCACCGAGAGTGAAGCACATTGGGCTCTTCGAGGCGGCCTCGGCACACTGCGATAGGTAAAACTGCGTCTTGTTCATGGTGGGTAGTACGTCGGATGATGCTGATCGCGAGCCGTTAGTGCGGTTTCGCATTCTGAATTTGCGGGTGCAGCTCTCAGCTTACTCTGGAAGTACGGATGTGTGCTTGATTGTGATGTATATACACGGAGCGATGGGGCTGGTATGCTGGCTAGCAAAGGTATCTGGACGGTGGACCTTCGACGTTCACGTTGCAGTGAAGTCCACCGTGCAAAAATATGACATCGAGATCCAATCGGGCACGGTCACACCAAAATGGTGTCACACTCTCGAATGGGCAGGTGAGTAGTTCAACCAAGTTGTACTCAACGTGCTGTCCATATCGACTTCGGATCCTAGCGCAAACCTTGTATATATTATTCTTCAGCGTGCCGCACATCCTCGTGCTGGCCTGCAGGAGGCCTCGAGCATAAAACGACTCCAACGTTGCGTCCTCGTTGCATCCAACGCTCACCAACTTCCAGACATCGTCCCCACTCATCCATAGGCTCCACGGTCTCCCTCTTTTTGCCTTATATTGCTGACCATGAAGCTTGATGTTTCAGAGCTAGAGACTCACTACGACATAAACCTGCGGTTATGCGTCGAAAATTTCGGGAATTCTTCGAGCGCGAAGACGATACCCCGGTGCTCCGCGTGACGAACACATTTGCCCCAGGGTGGTACATCAAATGCGAGGCGACGAACGTCGATGACGAGGACTGGCTGTCCTGCTACCTCGATGTGGGTTCAAGAGGATATCTGGGACAGATCTCTTTGTCCATCGATGGACAGTCGTCGCAAGGTCGCGTCCACTATTTCAAGTGCAGCACGACGCATACTTTCGCCCATGGACAGAGCACTGACTGGGGTTGGATGAAAGCCATGTCAAAAACCCGAGGTTGGGACCGATTCGAAACCCTTCGCAACGAGAATGCAATCTATATCAGGGTGGCCATTCGCGCCCAGGTACACACCGTCTGTCCAGACAAGTGCCTCGATATAGCGCACAATGTAATCACTGCGCAAAGACCGTGCGACGTCCAGTTCATAGCACATTCTTCCCGAACCAGCACCGGAACGCCCTCCAATCCGCAAGATTTGTTCGCCAATAAAGAAGTCATCAGGACAGCTTGCCCTCGGCTGGCGAATAGTGAGTTGGTCCGAGACTGGGATGTTTATATTCGTTGATGATAGCGTTTATCGATCAGGTTTACATAACCCCAGCTCGGTTCCAGAAGCTACGAAGGGCTTGTTTGGCGTGGACAAGGGTTGTCCTCGTCATTTTACCTCCAATGTGTCTACTCTCGACGCCGTCTTCGTCGATCCTGACTCGGATTTCGAAGACGAGGAAGAGCGAAACGACCAGAGATCTATTGCCGTGTCAAAGATGGGGGATTGTGTAACACCGGACGAGACTAGCACCCAGAACGGTGGCGTGGCCTAAGATGCTAATCATACCGAGGGCGAGGAAGGACACAAGAATGGTACGTGTGTATGTCCGCCCCACTTGAACGCGTTACAGCTGCGCTTTTTTGACAGGGGTCGTCTTTGACGGAGAGTCATGGGAAACCAACATGTCTCCGCTTGATGATAGCATGTCGGAATGGTCATTTGAAGATGCCACTGCACAGGCCAGGGCGAATACAGATCCTCGCGCTACTCCAGTTCAGACAGTGGAGCCTCCTCTGCCTAGTACCACTCTCACAGGCACTGCTGCCTCTACGTATGTCTTTGATGATGGTCACATAGTCAGCTGACTAAGCGTACCTCGTATCTAGCTGGGATCTTTCCTGTTCTACTTGTACACGGGCGTGGTCGTTTTCGCGCCGTTGAAGAGCCGAGGCGAAATCGCCCGCAAGAAATTCATAACTGAATACAAAGCCAAGAACCCGCATCGACCTAGACCGTGCTCTTGCAAGTCGATGTACGATCTTGCGCACCAGGTGCATTGACAACGAGCTGAATAGATGAGCTAATGTTGACCTTTCTTTGCATTCTAGCTTGACATGACTGACCTCAAAGCACTGGCGCTTAAGAACTGACGTCGCAACTTTCAAAGGACAACATTGTTGCTGAAATCTTCACGGAGTTCGCCTCCCGGTAGGCACCTCTTCATTATTCGTATGATTGAGTTTGATGACGTGAATTCGCGTCGTAGGTATGGAGAAGTGAAGGACATGGAACTTCGTACCCTTAAGGAACATTGGGGGGAGCTGAAGGGCACAGAGCAAATATCACAGATATTACGGAAGGTTGTTCGAGGCGAATTGCCCATGCTGCGGCCATCATGGAAGCCATCCTGTAATGCGCTCGAGGGTGGCACGGGGCAATTTGTGCCACACAGGTGAGTCTACCTTCGCCCTCACTAGCAAACAACAATAATCGGGATTTACAAACGAACATAGGTACCTCAGACATGCCCAGGCGACGAAGGAGGCTCTGAGCTGCTGCGAGGCGGAATCCGAGTCCGGCGTAATATATAACAGATTCAGTGGAACTCCTGTACTGCAAATGATTCGAAAGAACACCGTATGGTAGCAGCACGAACATCTGAACCATGAATTGTTCCCTGCTAGGTTAATGAGGTGGAAAGCCACGTCGCGGACCGCAGTTGTGTCACTTGCGTTGTCACATGGAATCCCCAGCTACAGTGGTGCCTCGAGTCAAAGCAAACCACCAAACACGGATGATAACTGGATTACATGCCCAAGGGAGTTGCGACGCAAGATACACTGTAGTACCATACAGTACGACAAACCGGAGAATACAGAGCTGAGATAGCGCTATAATATGCAAACACACACGAAGTGCTCAGGCTCCGCCTGGAGGCACTGTGAGTCCATCTTCATTCGAAGTCCACGCATACCTAGCCCACAACGTACTACCCGCTACCGTATCCCAAACTTCGTGAACACACTCTCCGGCCGCTCGAGCTTCGCTGCCGGGCCCCATACTTTCCACATTTTCATGGCCTCCTCGTCGGGACAGATCGTGAATACCATGGTCCCATCCGGGCTGATGCAGCTGTGCCCTACTGGCCTCGAGTGCGCCGGCACGCTCAGGATGTGCTTGAGCGATGGCCAGCTGTGGACTGTGATAGAGTCCGTATACTTCGTCTTGGTGCATGGATGCCCACGTGGCATAGTTGTACCAGAATTGTCCGCAAGTAGGTTCGGAGTCGAGTGGCTTGACAGCGGGTTCCAAGACGAGCCATGGGTGCTGAGGAGCTCTTTACAGTGGGGTGACCAAATGAGGGACGTGATGGACGTGTCCAGGCGGATCGTCGACTGGGGGAGCATTGCGTCCGACGCGTTGACGCTCCATAGGCGAATAGCACCTTCAGGGTAGGTGGAACCGCTCGCAAGGAGATCTGGCTTCCATGGGCACCAAGCCAGAGCCTTACAGCAGGAGATAGGTCAGTACAGGCCTCATGGATAGACGGACAGATAGCTCACCTTGACCGGGCCTGCACTCCTCTTCTTGCAGCCCAGTTTGCTCGCGTCCGACAGCGCCTTGCCCGCTCGGGCATCCCAAATCTGCATGATTCCCCTTTCATCGCTCGACGCCAGGTAATCTCCGTTCGGACTCCATCGCACCCCGAATACCCTATGACTATGACCGGTCAACCCGCCAACCGGCTCAGCCACCCTGCTGTCGAAGAACTCGACAGTGCCCTCGGTGCCGCCCACCGCGATGAGGTTTCCTCGCCAGTCCATACCGCCCACTCCGTCTGCATCCTTGCACTTCCACTGGCGCACGATCTCCTCTTCCTTCGAGTCCCACAAGTGTACGACGCCTGTACTTGTTCCGAGGCAAGTTTATCGGATCGTCTTTCGACCACTCGATAGAGTACAGTCGGCCTTCTCGTCGTTCGTTTAGTGTTCCGAGATGGGTGATGACGCGGTTATCAAGATTCTGGTAGTACAGCTGGCGACCGCAAGCCACTGCGATCGCGTTGCGGGAAGACCAACAAAGAGGATAGGCAAATGGGTCACTAGGGATACCTGGACCATCCAAAGCGAGGAGGAACTGTTTACGTGCAGCGAGGTGTGATGCGGCCGAAGCTGGCGACGTCTTGGGTGTCGTAGCAAACAGTCGTTGGACTTGTTGTCGGTGCTCATTGAGCTCGTGACCCAATGACTGGCGGGACGTGGGAGCTGCACATCGAAGAACGCGGTCCTCGATTAGCCCGAAGTTGCGGGCGATGCGTTTTGAGCGCGGCGTGATATTGAGAGGTGCAGGGTCTTCTTGTGGAGCGGTGATAAAGCGATCCGCCTCATCATGCCGTATCAGAAAGGGCGGCGTCCAAAGAAACAATGGCACCTACCGTTGAAGTCTTGTTCGCTCCCAGAATGCTCACTTCGGATTCCAACTCGCCGGACCAATCGATGGTTGCAGTAGAGATCCTACGACGTTTTGCGGAGTATGCATTTGTGATCGATCCTGGCGTCCAGGTGCGCTTCCGCCTTGGGGTTACGCATAGCTGTGATGGACCAGCATCGCTGGTCTCCGCTCCATCCATGTTGAGAACTAGACATGAGGAATTACATGTCAGAGAGGTAGCAAGAATACTGTGACTTTGTACCAACGTTGAACGATGCACTCAGAAAGGACAGTTGCGCGTGTAGGTTGGAGACTTGTCGTGCAGATCAAGCCTACCCTCAGGCTCATGTTCAGTCAATTCATTCATTCATTGGGGTGCCAGCTGCGCACCTCAGGCAGCTATTTGCTCCAGCACGTGTCCCGTGTTGAAGAGTGGAGTTGAGCCTCGAGCTACAGATACATAAGGTTGGGGAGATGCTCAACCAAAACGCGTGAATGAAAGGTCGTCGGTCGCCGGTCGGGAACAAGTCGAGTCGGGGCAGGCGTAATAATGTAAAACCATTAACGAAGCGCTCGTGAGTGAACCATGGCTGATCACGTGGGCATGGTACCGATATTCTCACGACGTCTGTAACTTGGTTGCTCGTGTCGCGGTCGGTGCAACGGTCAATCGACGTCAATCACTTGGTTCACCACAGTCACAACGCTTCAGTACTGAGTACCGCTACAATGGCACCAGCTCTTACACCAGGAGGTACGCAAGCGAGCTAGCCTTTTGTACAGCTAACTCATACTTTGTCAAGCTCAGAGCCTCGCAAAGCTCCAAAACCCGAGCCATTAGGGAGCATTCCTTTCATCTTCCTCTTCACAATGTGTGCACTGTGCATTGTCTTCATCCTCTGGAGGCGGGCTTCGACTTTGCGGAAGGTGGTGGCACATCGGTATGCTCGATCTATCTGCATATACCTCGAGTGGCGACTGAGCGGTCATGTACTTAGGCTGAACACCTGGACGCAGAAGCAGGGCACTATCCGTCTCTCTGAAGACGACGGCCCCCCGGCGATCGAATTCTATCCAATGATTTTGATGAGGATAATCAAAGGATTGAAGACGACGAGCCGCTTGCCGTGACGGCAGAACGCATGAAGGTCGCGAACCACGATACAAATGCAGCGGCACCCGCCGTATCAGAGGGTCTAGAAGGAGGCGAGCTCCTGGACGACTTGCCGCCTGTACCACTGCCGAAAACCTGATATAGCGCCTCTATGGTAAGTCCCATACTTCCTATAACATCTTCCGGGTCTTCCTGCCGCGGAGTCGGTTATGCGTTCAAGAAGTTGTTGGATGCACTTCTGCTGTCCGTGGATGGCACTGCAGCTCCGCATCGTCTGGGGGTAGATCGGCCGTCAGTATTCTCATGGAATTTTATCCATATCCTGTGTTCAGCGGACAGTCCAGTGGAATTGTAGACTTGATGTTCGACTGATTGGTGTCTGCTCCAGGTGCTGGTTTCTGTGTTGCCCTGTATACTATCCCCAATATTGCTTGATTATACGTTTCCGTCTGCAGACTTTGTGATACACAGGCCGGCTTCAGCTGCTGACAGCCCTTTACCAGGTAATACCTCGTCTTGTTTGCCCTGTTCTCAGGATTGCCGCATTCAATGTGATGCACAGATGTTCCGTTCCTGAATTCGACATTTTGAACCTTCTACCAGCGCGACAATTCACGCTCGGTCCTCGGTTCTTCAAGTGCGCGGCAAGGACGCAGCCAACGCGACCAGACGCGACCGCACCGATGTGACCTCTGCGCGTGACGTCACATCATCAGGTGATGCCGCCGGTCCGCTCGCAAGAGAACCACGGGCGCATCGGGAGAATGGCTGGTCAGGTCCTGGTCAGGTCCATCAGCTCACGCTATATGAGCCCGTCTTGCTCCCTGCTGTTCGTAGCGGCGGCCCACTCCCGAACCGTGTACAAGTCTATCCGACACCGAGGAAAGCCCGTATAATCTTCGAGCTTCTCAGAATCCCCGAGGTCACAAGGACCCGTGCCTAAATTACTCGCTGCGTCTTCGATGCCGAAGAACGTGGACGACTATAAAGCGCGTCAAGGAGTATGGCGAGCCCGTCTGCGCTCTTGCAGTTGCTAGGACCATGATTGGGCTCTGGGTGAGTCTCGCGGTCGGCCTACTGGCCTTCAGCGACAGCGTACGCGCAATCGGCCAGGCTACGTGCGTCTCGTTCTCGCCGTCCTCCTCGTCTTTCCCCCTTGCCAGCAATGGTGTTGCTACACCTATTCTGCTCTCCGAAGATGAATGGGGTGGTGTACAGCGCGCTGCCGGCGACTTCGCCATGGACATCCACAGGGTTTCTGGCGTGATGCCTCTGCTGTTCAATGCGACGATGCCTGCCACTCAGTCGAACCTGAGCCTTGCTGGGGCGCGTGCAATCATTGTCGGAACTCTCGGACAGTCCTCCCTGATTGACGAAGTGGTAAACAACACTGGCCTGGATGTTTCGAGTGTGGAAGGGCATTGGGAGGCGTTCATGACTCAGGAGGTCTCGAACCCACTGCCTGGGATTAGCAGCGCATATGTGATGATTGGTGCCGACAAACGGGGCACGATTTATGCTATGTATGACCACTCTGAACAGATCGGTAAGCCCGGCCCGTGTCTGTAGGCCTGCTTTACGAATTGACACAGTTTGTGCACAGGTGTCTCGCCGTGGTATTGGTGAGTATTCTGCTCGTGAGACACAGGCAAACTGTCTGACACTTGGCACTCCCTCGCTTAGGTGGGCCGACGTACCAATCAAGACCAATTCCGAGATCTACGCTGCGTCCTCAGGTTGCGCACATGGCTCACCGACCGTGCAGTACCGTGGTATCTTCCTGAACGATGAGGCACCAGCGTTGACAGAGTGGGCTATGGTTCGCTACACGAATGGAACTGGCGCTCCTTTGACGGGCTCGCCGTTCAACCATTACTTCTACACGAGCCTGTGGGTTTATTGTCCACGCTCATGTCTACGCAATTGCAACAACGTTGTAGTTTCGAGTTGTTGCTGCGCATGAAGGCGAATTACTTGTGGCCTGGTGAGTCTATCCATCCGAAATCGACCTAGCTGACAATGTGCTTTTAGCTATGTGGTCTAGGTGTGTAGCGCCAAAACAGACCGATACGGACTGACATTCAAACAGTGCATTCGGTGTCGACGACTCGTTGAACCAGCCGCTTGCCAATTGGTACGGTATCGTCATGGGCACTAGCCATGAAGAGCCCATTATGCGCTCGATCCCCGTTGAGTGGACGCTCTTCGGAAGGGGCCATGGGACTACAGCACGAACAAGGAGAATATCTACCCATTCTGGGTCGAGGGTGCCCAACGCGGGAAGGACTATGAGAACATTTCACTGTCGGACTGCGTGGTGACGGTCAGTGTCATTCATAAGTTGCTGTACCCAGGCTGACGTCGCATCTCTTTAGGTGATGGTGAGCGAGACATGACCCGCCTGGACTTTGAGTGATTTGAACGGACGCCTTGTCAGAGGCACTCGCGGGCGGTCAGGATATCCAGCTCCTTGAGCAAGTCATCAGCGATCAACGGACAATCCTGAGCGATACGTTCCCGGGCGTGAATGTGACTACCATCCCGCAGATGTGGTGTCTATGTACGTCGTTCCACGGCTCTGGCGTGTCGATTATTGGCGCTAACGATCCACACAGATAAGGAAGTGTTGGGATATTACGAAGACGGCATGACCGTTCCGGATGACATCGCCCTCCTCTGGACTGATGACAAGTGAGCTCATGGGACATGAATATTTGTGTCTTGGTGTTTGACCAAGATTCTCATCCAGCTATGGAAACATGGAACGGCTGCCAATCGTGTCTGAACGTGGGAGGAGCGGTGGCGCCGGGGTATACTACCACGTATGCATCTCACTATTGGACAAGAAGCGTTAGATACTAACTTGACCTATACACAGTATGACTATGTACGTGTGCAATACGCGGTCTATTGAAGTCACACTCAAGTTCTCTGTAGGTCGGTTCGCCCCGCAACTACAAATGGATGTCGTATGTAACATCAAACCTTTGATCCGCGTTAGTAACGCATTTTTCGCTTTCCAGAGCAGCCAATTAGCAAGGTCAGTACATTTGTGTGCGTACGCCCATACACGAACTAACTGAGAACGAAGACTTTCGAACAAATGTCGTTGACGACTGCTCGTAATGCTAATCGCATCTGGATCGTCAACGTTGGCGACTTGAAGCCTTACGAGATGGAGATAGAGTTCTTCATCACGTACGGATGGGACACATCCATCTGGAACTACGACAACCTCGACTCGTTCGTGTCCATGTGGGCACAACGTGAGTTTTCTCTTTCCTCCGCGGATGCTGTCACTGTCGCGGGCATTATCGCCAACGTAACTCGCTTCAATGCCAACTGCAAGCCCGAGCTCTTGAACGCGACGACCTTCAGTCTCACTAACTACCGAGAGTGAGTTAGGTATCTGTGCCAGAGCCGAACGCGTATGAACTCTTTGCATAGGGCCCAGAACATGCTAGCTATGTGGGAAGCGACGAACGCCTCTGCAACTGCCATCCAGGCGAAATTGCAAGACAGCATGCTGCCCGCTTACTTCCAGCTCGTCTATCACCCGGTTCAGGCCAGCTACACCTTGGCCCATATGTGGATCGCAGCGGGATTGAACAACCTGCGAGCCTCCAGGCATTCCTCAGCGCAAACAATTACGCCGATCTTGTGGAGTATCTTTTCGAAGAGGATTGGAACTTGGAGGTTGAGTATGACAGTCAGCTGGATGGTAAGTCTCACGACACTCTCGTGCAGGAATACCATTGCTGATATACGCGTAGGCAAATGGTAGGAGAGGACTACTTAATGCATGGCAGTCGCTCACTGAGCCTCTTTTCAGGGCCCACATGATGAGTCAAACACATACACTCTACGTGTACTGGCAAGAGCCATACTCGAACGCGTGAGTATTGCTCAGTAGTCCAAGAATTCGTGGCATTCTTAACATCGTTCAGTATGCCACCTGTGTCTAGGCAACAGCCATACAAGCAAGCCCTTGCTGGTGTGATGCGCCTAGCTATCGAAGGCTCGCAGGGAGGATGGTAAGTGAAAAAGGGCGTACCACTCTCCATCGTCTGATTCCTCGCAGGCCAGGAGATAACCAATACGATTGCGCACAAGGCTATGGTTGCCCGAACCCTACAGTGACGATCGATCCGTACGTTCCTGCAGGTAACAGGTACTTCGTTGTCGGAGCCGGCGGGCCAGTGCCCTTCAACTTCACGGCGACTACCAACGTGTCATGGTTGACCCTGTCGCCGTCATCTGGCTACGTCTCACTGAGTGCACAGAGCAATACGTCTACGCTTCGGTCGACTGGTCTCAATTGGAGGACACTACTTCGGCCAACGCGTTTGTCAACTTCAATGCCACTGCTGCGAACCAGCCCATGATGTCTCAGCAAGTGTACTTCACTGCGAACTACACGAGTGCCCCGAGTGACTTTACTGGTAGGTGTCCAGTCGTTGTAAGTCTGTACTATCTCCTGATGATTGATCTCGTGTAGGATTCGTTGAGGGCGATGGTACTGTGAGTATAGAGGCCGCACACGCTGCAAGAAACGCATCAGTAGATGGCATCACCTGGTTCGAATTGCCAGGATATGGCCGAACGCTTTCCGCCGTCACCCCTTGGCCTCGCGGTGGAGACGAGACGAATTTCACCGTCGGAACGGGCCCGAGCATGTGAGAAGCTTTCCCTTCTCATCGCTCACACTTTTCTCATACCATACCCCCCACAGTGAGTACGACTTCTACACGTTCAATAGCATCGGAGGCAACATCAGCGTGACTGCATACGTCGCTCCGTCGCTGAATGCGCTCGGGCCCGACAGGCCTCTGGCCATTGGCATGCAAATCGACTCGGACGAGCCCCAGGTCAGCTACTACATTCCGAACTCGACTCCGGGAACTCTTCCCGACGCTTGGAGCCAATGGGTCTCGGAGAATATCGTCTATGTACCGATGAACTTCACCGCTACTCCCGGTGCACACACGCTGACGGTAAGATTCGGAACGTAGACGTACGAAGCATACGCTAACGGCATTGCTAGGTGTGGATGATTGAGCCGACGGTCATACTGCAGAAGATCGTGATCGGTGCGTCTTCGCGTACACCTTGTGGGATGCGTTGTGTTGAATCCCGTCGATTTGATCCTTCCAGATACGGGGGGAGTACTGCCGAGCTACCTTGGCCCGCCGGAGAGTATTCGCGTATGATTGCAAGCTATCATGGAATCAGCTAGGGATGTTTGAGGATATCATAATGATACGTGCGCTACAGTAGTTGTCAAAAGGAAAGATGCAATCTCCCATTTCCCTGGGAGAGTTCTATGACGATTTTCAGTTATAATCATAGTATCAGGGCTGAGAGATGCGGACACAGATCGTTTCTTCGGAGCCCTTATTTTCAATCAAGGTGCTCACCCGATGTCCGTCCGTATGCTCAGCACCGCCCTTCTCCTCTCTCTGCGACAGAACATGAGATAACTGCGCATATTGATCGAGTAACCTCCGCAGTCTCGCCTTTGCCAGTGTGGACCACTGCCCTGTGGTCATGAGCAGGCAGGGAGTTGCTCCCAGTCCTGTCTCCCTCCCTATGAGTCATTATATGAACACCTCGTCCTAGCTCGTCCTTCACTCTGGTTGCACGCCGCCAGTTTTTTGCGCATATTACATACGTCGAACGTCGTCCGAAGCTCCAGGATGTCGATGACCGGTGACCTCCTCGAGCGCGTCCGCATGAGGCAACAGGAATGTCCGTCCAGTGATAACCTCCAGCAGCTCCGCTTCTGTGGTAATGCGCGCGAAGTTGTCGAGAATAGAGTGGAGAGTGGGTACCTAGGTTCTGGCAGCCAGACAATGGCGGGGAAGAAGTCCGAGGCCGCAGAGTTAGTCGGTGACAGATAATGGCGTCGTGAATTGATGCAGCCGTTCTCTACTATACCGACAGCGCTAGCTAGCGTCAAGGATATCCTGAGGCACGAAGGTTGAAGGAATTGTCTACGTCTGCCTGGGGAGACTACCGACAGCACGCATTGCTTCCGTTAGCCGTTCGTTCTCCGAAGATGGAGCTGGCGTCGTCACTGTTAGTATGTGGCGGTCAGATTCATCTGCACTTGCTGTTGTGAACGTTCAACGTTCAGCCTTGGATATATCTACGAAGGAATGTCTCTTGCAGGACATAGGAACCCGGTCATCTGCGGTTAAAGACATCACCCATGACAAATGGCATAGCAACTCCTCGACAGGTGTCATGTTTGTCGTCTTCGCGCAGCGGGTCCAAACCTATGGAAGACGGCAGCAGGAAGAACAAGAGCACACCACTGAAGCACAGGATTCGTGGACGACCAGGGGTATACTGCGCACCGTGCATATTGTTGAATTGGTGTGGAATTGACGGTTTTGACTCTTTCACACAATTCACTATAGTACGAGCGAAAGCATAGAGTTACATTGATCATCCCAGCCTATTTACAGTACGTACAGGCATCAGAGGCAAGGTCTGGGGTAATGTATACCAGAAAGCCACATTGTATCGAACATTCATCGTCCTTCAGGCAGCATCAGGACGGTGCTCCGTACCACGGCTCTGACGCCAAGTCTCGGGTCCCTGCGCACCGCACGCCCGCGTCAGCGAGGAACATCACTGTTAGCATCGAAATGAGCCCACTTTCTGGTTCTTGATACGCTGATTCTTGACCCGCCGCGCGAACCACTCCTTCGACGTCTGGCCGCTGCCGAAGATGCTCCTGTCAGGGGCACTCGCAATCGCGTCCGCGACCATGGGGCTCTCGGTGAGGGCGCGAAGGACGACGGAGTCGCCAGGACGCGTGAACATCACCAAGGACCAGCGCGGGAGCACCGCTTGCGCGCCTGGGGCGGGGCTGCACGTAATTGGCCAGTGAGATGCATGCTGATGGAGATGCGGGAGGGATCAGCTTACACGACGCGGTGGAGGTTCGACTTGAGGATGCCGCCGCTGAAGATGTACATCGCGTCTCCGACGTTGCACACGGCGTGCCCTGGGATCGGCTGGGAGGATCGTGAGCGTCACGCGGATCCGAAAGAAACAGAGGAAAAGTACCTTGATGTACTGCCACTTGTCCGAACCCGGGGGCATCACCTGCAATCCGCCGAGTCGGTTGTGCAGGAACGTCTGTGCGCAGAAACTTCCGCGTCAGACCGTCATTCTCTCGGCCAGCTAGGGATAACAACCCACCATCGAGCCAAAGTCGGTGTGCGCACCCAGCGCCGCCTTCTCTTCCGAGATCCCGTTAGGTCGGGGCGGGTTCCGGATGCACCGCGTCTCGCTCCCGCTCGTCTCGTCCAGCCTGTGCAGCTGCGCGAGCGTGCCCTCCTTGAGGCCGAGCCGCTTGCCGAGGATCTCCATCAGCGTGCGGTTCACCTCGGCGGAGTGCTGGATGAACGGCCAGATCGTCTGCTCCATGCGCGCGTTCACCGTCGAGGGGTACGTGCGGTGCACGGGCATGGGGAAGGCGAGGGCGTCGTCCTGGGATACGTTGATGAACTCGACGGTGTCGCGTGCGCCGGTCTCGTCGGTGGCGCTAGCCCCTGCGGCTTTGTAACTAGCGGAGAATGTCAGAGTGGGCTTGGGCGGAGCGACACGTAGAGTACCTACCCGAAGGACATGCCGTCATCACCTTGTTCGAACATCATCTTCTCCTCGAAGGGAAGGTCCATCGTCTCTTCACCCATGTCAAACATCTCGTTCACTAGGTCGTCAGCACCGTGGTTCTTCATGCTATGAGGCGCGTGGTTCAGTTCGTTATATAGAGAATAGAATGCTAAGGCGCTTACTACCAGAAGCCGAGAGTGGTGGCAGCCGTCCAGAACTTGTTGATCTCCTTCTCGTCGCCAGCCTTGAGCAGCTCGTAGTCCACAACGAGGAGCGGGTGAGTCAGGACGTTGTCGGGGAAGGGCGGGTAGTCGGTGAGTCCGGGCATGTTCAGGAGAGGAGGCTGAACTTCGAAGTTGTTGATACGTTGATTGTACTGGGGAGTGAGCTAGCGGTCTTGCTTCCACGGCCTGCAGTCCCATGTTTTATACTTCGTACGCACAGAGAACACAGACTCGGAGAAGACATGTTTACGCCATCCTCATATGCTCAATCCTCCGACATGGAGCTGCACTCGGTCGACGGCTCACCGCACAGCTCAATCCTCCGCCACGGGGCTGCACTTGGTCGACGGCTCCCCGGACCTCTCAAGATCGCTGTACGAAGCCACTGGACTCGCCGGCCAACGGTCGAGTCGGGTCCCCGCAACAAGTCACCCGCACGTTCTCGAAGTCGTCGTGTGCCACTGGATACGCCGTGAATGCGTGAGTCGCACTCCATATGGTGCCTCTGAAGCGAGCAGCTGGCGCATCGGCGCCTGGGTCTTTCTTCCCCTGCTCGGCCGTGATAGATTGACGTGCAAGCAGAGGAGGGCCCGGTGGACGCTTCGAATTCCGAAAGCCTATGGTGGGCTCTGCGTCAGTAGATCGTGGGTGAAGGAAGGGAGAGTACCTTATTATGGTGAGGAGAGCCATTCGCAGATCCTCTCGTCCCGTCCGGCTGGGTGGCGCCCGACGCGAGCTTCGTGTATCGCGAGGTAGTGACGAGTGAGACTTGTGTAATCTGTGTGAGTTGGCCGCGGACACGGGCCTCCGAGTCGGTGTGGATGCTACATGACTCGCAGCATAGCCGACGAACACCGATCCATGTACCGCAGTGCGCTGGCAACTGGCATTTGCGTAGGGCACAACCGTTGCCGCAGCACTGAACTCAATGCCAAATTTCCTAGCATCGGATGCTCAGCGCTCAGGAAGTGGACAATCGCCTGCCTACGGTGCTCGAGGCGCTCCTACACCTCCGGAATTAAGTTAGCACAGAATAGAGCCACAGTGAGTGCAACACTGACGTACCAGGACCGAGGGAGCACGATGTCAGTGGGGCGAGCAGTCATACGGTCGCACCACCCATGACCACCGCGTCTGCCGAAATCCATGTAGCCGTCTACCTCGACCCCCATACTCACTCCGATAACGCGCCCCGCGAGGCATTACGCTCGCCGCAGTGTCAATAGAGCGCGATGCGCTGCACGCTTCGCGATGTCGACCTGGGAGGGGAAACGTAACGCGTGCCCAGGTGCCCAGGTGCCGCGGTTCGGAATATCTCTGCGTAGTCACAGAACATGTCCGGGGTGCCACTGGTCCGGCTATTCAGCTAGCCGGGTTTGCGTCCGTGGCGGCGCACCCCTGCTTTGGCATTAAAAGATTGATGGTTGACCTGCGTCATTCCTGTCATGGCCGGAAGGGTGTCCAATTGGTGTCCAAGGACATGTGCATGTGTGCATTGGGCGCAGGCGCAAGTGTGAGTCAGGCGGAGAGTACGGGCGACGGCTTTGTGGCTGCAACTCACGCCGGGGGTTGAGATCTCCGCGATGTTGTTCAAGGCGCCGCCGGACATTTGGACGATAACGCAAGGTGAACTTGAACTAGATCCTCTGCGAGCCTCCGGGATGACGATGGTTCCTGAGGCCCCGGCGCACAGCAACCACGCTTAGTCTCGGTCTCCTCAAGGAAAGTTTGAGACTAAACAGCACTTGGTCCCTTGGGGAGACCAAGACCAAGACGAGTCAGTTGTGATAAATTGTCCGAGCGACCTGTAAATCATTAAATTCATGCCAATACCGAGTCAGAAGTGGTTCGCTTTGGTTGGCCGCCACTGGCAGTCAGGCGGAGAAACCCGTGTATATGACCAAACCCCAATGACTTCACCCTGGTACTGCATATGCGAGACGGTCAGGAAACCAGCGCCGACATTGACTCGGACAGGAAGAGGAAATGCACGTACATACAGACGGTTGAGAAACTTCATTGCTACAGCTGTTCTGCTCGCATGAAACCCGAATGAGGCACGTGCGGCGACGACTACCATTCGAGCTTAGCTCCTGCTCACCTTCACTTCAAGTGAGAACGTGGACAGTTGTGGATGATATCCTCGTTATACGAGGCACTGGGCGGCCCGGCACTTCTAGCATCGGTGTTGGTGGCGCGGAATCTCCCAGCTCCTGCTCCCCAATCTGCGCGAGGATCGCCTCCAGCTTGTCATAATCCCGCTGCAGCTTCTGCAGCTCTTCCTGCAGCCTCTCGTTCTCCTCTCGCAACTCCGGCTCCGACGCAGCTCGTCTCCTTAATTCCTCGTTTTCCAACGTCAGCCGGTCCCTCGCCATGAGCACCAGGGCCTTCCCCTTCCACTTCTCTGCCTCCGCCTCGAGCAACCGGATCCGCTCCTCGAGCGTCCCCTCGATCATCCGCAACCCGTCCTGCACCTGCGCCTCTGCGCGCTCGACACGCTCGAGAAGCTCGTTGTTCTCCTTCGTAACCTCGCCCACGTGCGAGGACGCCTTGCTGTACATCTCGCGGAAGAGGTCACGATCCTTCTCCGCCTCGAGCTTCTTGCGGCGCAATTCTTCATTGACGGCCTGGAGCTGCTCGATCGTCACGGAATCTGAGAGAGCCGCATTCATCGTGTCCGACATGGTGGCGACGAATCAACACAGCCGTATGTTATCTGCGACGAGAAAGGGGTGCGATGCTGATGGTCTCTGCGCCTCAGGTGAGACGTGCTTTTGTACCAGCTCTGCTCGACGTAAGGCGGAGTCGGTGATGCAGGAGTTTGACGACATACATGCCCACTCTGCGAGCTTCATTGGCTTGCGCCGTCTGTGCGCTCCAAGGAGAGCCAGAGCCCGACTGAATGTGCCGCACTCGTCATGTCTTCCAAAACCGGACAGCGCCACCTTGATGCCCTTTGGCGCCCGCCGTGTGATTATATGCAGTAGTACGCCTATCTTCCTCCGTCACATCCGTCCCTGGCAGGATAACCTCTGACGGCATCCTTGACGAGCCAGGACACCATCTTGCATTTTACATCAGTAGTATCGTCGCCTTGTGCACGCGGTCAAATACTGTCTGCGGACTCAAGGACTGAACTTATCATCAGTGCTTACGGTTTGCTCGCACAGGCTGATCCAGAAGCAACCCTGTCGGTACGAGCACGTGTTACAATCAATGGCCGATGAGACCCTGTAGATGGTTCCCCGCGACATTATGCGATGGTATCAGTCCATGCGAGAGGCGAGTATCGTTTGATACATAGTGTACAGTAAGTGGCTCTACTTACAAGCTCACGCGATATGGATCATGACAGAATGGCACCTTTCCAATATGTCGGGTCAGTTCTATCCCGGTATGACGTCCAATGACTCACGCATACGAAGCAATTCCTTCGTAAGCTCTGAAGCATTCGAATCATCGCAATACTATGCATATAGCGGAGCCGAACTCCTTGGTATATAACGGCAACAGGGAGGTAACCTACAGAGTGAACCCGCGCATCACATAACCAGTCGATAGATACACCTACTGACATTCCTTCGACGCCAGGAAGTCTCGAACACGTCGTCAATGAGAGGCATCCTCATGTTGCGTCCATTATGACGGAGATCTGGCAGAGCGTTACTGTGATACCCACATGAGGAGATCAGCGGATCGGGGTCAGCCTAGATGTCACGAAAGTCTTCTCTCGTCTTGATACCTACCTTCGGTCTACGCTGGGAGACAGTTGACAAGGTTGTCTACTCAAGTCAAGGATCATCATGCATTTTCATCAGTCATTACAAGTGTGATAGTCGTGTTCTCGCACAACAGGGCTCGATAACTCAAGCAAACCTAGAATTCATGAGGAAGACGTAAGAACAATTTGTTGATGCGCTTTGTCCAGCAAGGTGGCATCTCGGAGAAATATGACGCTGTTGAGCTCGTCAGTCCGACAGCAGCTCTTTCGAGAGCAGTACCCGGTTAGCCAAAGCGTTGATGTTCGCATCTGCCACGACGACCTCCGGCGTGAGCTCGACACCGAACGCTTGCTTGATTGCGGCCGAAATGCGTTTGGCCTGCCTTTCCGACCAGAAGCGGAAGTCGTCCGGGTCCCGAGTGTCATCGTCTTCGCTGGCCGTCTTCTCTTCCTCGGATTTGCACGACAGCGGAATCAGAGAAGGGTCGGAGTCAAGACAGAGCGGCACAATGTGCATGAGGCTCCTTCGGATGCTGTCGAAGTTCATGGCACTGGGTTTGTCCACTGTACAGAGGAGCGTTTAGGTATCGGGTGTCCTGGGATATGGAAACTGGGGAACACACCGTAGACCTCGAAGGGACCGTCTAAGCCCATGACATTGTACTTCCCGTCATGATGGTAGCGGATCTTTTGACAGGGATTAGTGATATCAGACGAGGATCAGAACTTATGGTCGCCATACCTCGTAGCGACCAGTCTGCCAGGGCAAGGTCCCGCGCTGGAAGACAACTTTTCCATCCTCTGAGTCGTTATCGGGACGGTTCGGCCGGTTGAGGCTCAAGGGAATGTCGCCATCCCATTCCTCATCATGCACCGGAACCCACATTCCGAGCGAGGAGTTTTCGTGACCAGGTTTGATTGGTTCGCTCCCACCTGCGGACGTGATAGGTCAGTCGGAGTTAGCCAGGACGAGGGTGGTATGGAGATGCACCCGATAAATGCCAATCCAATCGCGCGCGAATGGTGCAGCGGCGCCCGCCACTGCACTCTGATGGGCTCGCCGAGATGGAAGCGAAGGGAGCCATCTGCAGCGGGCACAATAGAGACCTTGTACTTGGCTGTGTCGTAGGAGGATATTCATTGGCTACCCGGCTATGCAGTCCTTCTAGTCAGAGGCGATGCCGCTTCGCCATTCAAAAGAAACGTACGAGATGACAAGCCGTTCCCTCGATTGCTGGAGCAGGATCTTCGTGTCCTGGACAACCTCCGAGATTTTAGGACGTGCTGCCAGAATCCTCGTGTGAGCCAAATGCGGGTTCCCTTCATGATCGGTGAGAAGCAGGGGACTGACACTTTGCCAAGAACTCCTCCACGACGTCGGCAGTTTCCTCGTAGACCTTGTCGAAGGTGCCCTTGACTTCGCGTGCAACCCTGCGGATCTCCGGGGCGTGCCGGCCAGCGCGGGATTCGAGAAGGCGTGCGTTCTTGTTCGCGACCTTCTTGATGACCTTGACAAAGCCCGCGTCATTCCGCAGCGAGTCTCCGTACAATTTCCGCATGTGAGGGCTGAGTATCACCGCCATCAGCACCTCATAAATGACATTCCGCATGGACTGAATACGTACTTTTCGACCTTGCTCAAGAACCACCACTGAGAAAGGTGCCGGATCACCGCCAACGCGGCCACGAGCTTGCTGCCGCTGATCAATGTCAGGCCAAAGAAGGCCGCACCGCTCATGATCTCCGGGTTGTTCAAGTAGCTGAGAATCAATATCGAAGGTCAGCAGAGGGGCCCGTGAGAAGCGTCGGGGGCTACGCGGTAAATCACGCACCGGTAAATGCCAGTGTAGTCAAGGTGCGAGGGGAAATCCTCCACGAAAAAGTCACCGAAGAACCAGCCTAAGGGAACGTTGTCAGGAAGTGGATAGAGACGGACAGCATTGAAGCGAGAGGCACGCACCAAAGGGACCGAGAACCTCGTAGGATTCCAAGGTCGACCAAACGTGCAGTCCGATGAGAATCTAGACAGCGGAGGAAGTAGTCAGCTCATGCTGTGCGCGGAACATGCGTGTCACCCGCGACTGACCGCTCCCATCGTGTGGCGCAGAAGCTCGACGCCCACCGTCCATTCTTGCGGGATGGTATACGTCTTCCACGCAAGGCAGATGAACGAGACTGATATTATTCAGCCGTGAGAACTCGGACTGGAAACGTGAGGCAAATCGCGCACCGTATGTCATGCACATGCTGAGATTATACATCGACTTCCAGTTCGTGAACGCCTCGATGACGGCACCGCGCCCGTGATCATGCGCGGGGTAGTGGTAGTGCTTCAAGAAGTGGCGCACGAGGAACTTGCGTTGTGACTGAGCGCGGAGCAGGAGCCCGAGACCGAACGAGTGCATGAGGCACCACGTGAGGGCATGCACGAAATGCAGCACGAGCACACCGCGGGGTGAAAGCGACGGGAGCACGGAGAGGGCGAGCGGGTAGAACATAATGAGGACGAGCTTGATGTCGGAGGCACTGTGCGGAGGCAGTCAGAAAGGGCAAGTAACGGAAGGAGAGTGAGCGATGTGAGGATACAGAAAGCTGACATACCGCAGAAGATCGAGGTTCTTCAGGAAAATAGTGTCCTGTCGGAAGTATCTATTCATGAGGTCATGCTGGGAGACGATCGGAGATCCAGCACGCCTCGTCCTGCTGCTCTCGCTCATCGAGCCAGCGGACGCGAGCGAGCTTGCCGAGCGGCGCTGGAGCTTGCGCTTCGGAGCCTTGGTCTTGCTCTCGTACTCCGTCTCCGTCTCTGTCTCCGTCACAGGTCCATCGGTCTCCGTTGCGGTCTCGCCTTCCGTCGCAGAGGGTGTCGGAAGGTCAACCGAGGAGATGGAGGATGACGATACCTGGCGGTCGTGAGAGACAGGGCTGTCCCTTGATTTCTTGCTCGAGGATGAGGACGAGGACACGGATGCGAGAGGGGAGCGCAGAGCGAGAAGCTTCTTCTGGCCGTAGGTGCGTTCAATATCTGAACGGTCCTTATGAGCGGAATTCTTCGTGACGCAGCAATGTCACCTACGAGGGTTCTCGAAATATACCAAGAAGCCAAACTGAGCTGCATGAGCTGCCAAGCTGACGAAGAGGACGAAATAGCTTCCAATAATGAGAGACAAACCATAGTACCCAGCATAACCTACATCCCTTCAGCATAATCTAGCGGCATGCAAAACATTGACGCACCAACGGAGTACATAGGATGAGGCGCGAGCTCGAATACACCATTGAAGGTCAGCCCTCCGCGTTGGAAGAAGACGTCACCCCAATACCAGCCGTAATCCTTCACGACATCGTGCGCCTCGGTCTTCACCCACAGGTTGAATGCGATCAGAGCAATACCTCCGATCCACCTACGGACATCATATGTCAAGCGGGATGGTCTTACTATAGCGTGTGTACTCACCTCATCATGTGGACGGAAATCGACAGTCCTGTCGGGATGCGGAAGCAGGTGAAGGCGAACATGCAATAAGCCAGGAAGTCACTACGGTCCGAAACTGATCAGTGATTCGTTCATGACAAGCATCGGAAAGAAGACATTCGTGTAGGTGATCCCTTCTGGTGTTCGCTCCTAGCAGAGATCGCTCACTGGGGCAGCGTAGCGTAAGCCACTGGTACGCACACGGCGCTCTACTGACCGACATTATTGACCAGCAGTAACCTCTTTCGAGCACAACTGTCGCCATGAACTTACGAACTGCTGCCGGCATTGTTCGACTTCTAGTACGCGTGATGCAATACATAGAGCTAGGTGCGCCTATCATTCAGCTATCGTACCCATTCGGTACCAGACTGAGGCGCTATATGCTTCTGACCCCCATGAAATTTAGCGCCTGGCGCTACGCAAACTTCTCGTCCGAGAGCGGCTGCACCAGAAACACGACCGCGTCTACACGAACGAAGGAAGAAAAGATGAACTCACTTGAGCAAGATGATGTCCACCAGCTGACGGAACAGAAGCCACGTATTGTATTCCAGCGGAAGCTCCTATGTGCAACGGTAAGAAGTCGTGTGACGGCATGCGTACATGAACGTACGTCGAAGGAATAGTCCTTGCCCATCTTCCCTGCCAGCTGCTGCCTGATCCAGTTGCGCATGGCGGGCATGCGCTTTTCGTCGAGCCAGCCGAGGCGCTGAACTTCGCGCACAATCCATTTTCGCCTGCTCTGCTTGGTGAGCACCCAGCCGAGGCCCAAGTCGTATGCCGCGCGCCAAAAGGCGAAGTAAACGAAGAAGAAGACTTTCGCGACGTTACGTGGCAGCACGAAGAAGAGCACGAGCTGCAGGCCGAGCAGGCCGAGGTTCAGTAAATCGAGGTGCGATTTGGGGAATGCAGGGTGGAAGAGCGCCGTCAGGACGTCGTGCGTTGTTGGCACACGGAAGACTATGAAGTTTAGGACGGATGTCAGTGAGATGAAAAGCGATCACTGCATAAGGGGTACGTGCCTTCGCCGCTTGGCGTCTTGCCCCAGACGACCTCCTCGGTCTTGCGCTGGCGTGTCTCGTCTTGAGAGACATGGGTTGCATCAGATTCGTTCGAGCCTTTGCGGCGGTGGCGGAGGGTATGAGGGGTATCGCCCGACGCCATGGCAGGGGACGGTGGTCGACGTAGCAGACTGAGACAACGCTGTACCTGAGCTGTACGTACGAGGGTTCCTGCCGCTTATGCGGCCACGTGGGCGCGTCGCGCTTTCAGGCGCCAAACGCGCACCGCCCGGCCCTAAACTCTGTAAATTTCCTCGCGACAAACGCGTCGGTCGCCATCCTCCTCTCCTTGTTCAACGTGCAACGTTCATTCATCAAGTTTACTTGCCATCTTGAAGGACGTCCGTCGTTGTCTGCTTGAATATGCTGAGTTTCGTCAAGTGGATCTAGCCTAAGTTCTTCTTGAGCGATATTCGCCATGGACCGCTTGTACTTGGAGCAATTGCGCCATCCTTCGTGAGTTCCTTGGCCAATCTCCACCCCTACTTGCACTTTCGACTTGATTGTTGCTTCATCGAGTCGAGAGTTGCTAATGAAGGGAAGATCGATAATAGGCATTAATTTCGGCCGCTCTTCGCTGTCCACGATAGACCGACCTTACGAGATATCTTACATACTCATGTTTCATTGCGTGTATTATATGTTTCGATGTTGCGCAAAGAATACTGCCGACGTGGCCTGTGTTGTCGTTTCTTGCCGCCTGCCAATAAACGACCGATGTGCTTTACTGTGTCCCCGTAGATCACAGTCGACTCCGTGAGATTGTTGTGAGATCGAGGCCGGAGGAGCACAATCTGGAGCGCTTCTTCGATCGTGCTCGTGCAGCGATCGTGTGCGAAAATCATCGTCACCCCCAAGATCGCATCTGAAAGCCATGTCCCAGTCGTCGATCTCTCCAGCGGAGGACGACCTCAAAGCTGCCCTCCATGCTCTACGTGTAGGACACCCCAGCCTCGGTGCTGCCAAATTACATGCTCAGCTGCTCGCTCACCACCCACACTGGACCGTCAGCGAGAAGCGAACGCGCAAAATCCTACAGCAGGAGGGCCTCATTCTCTCATGCGTGACCGCGCAAAATCACGGCGCTGGTCAACCTGGGCTCAACGGCGCGAGCGACCACCTCCCGAGCTCTCACTTGGTGGAGAACTTAGATGTACGGAAGTGGACGCCGAAGGTGGAGGTGAGGTATTTCGGGAGGAAGAAGGGCAAGGGATTGGTAGCGAGCGAAGATATTGCCGAGGGTGAAGCTATATGGAAGGAGGAGCCGTTCGTGCTCGCGCCCGAATGGTATGTATGAAACCTGACACGTTGATCCAACATTCACATCAGTTCCGTGCAGGGAGATCTACGACCTGCAGGTCGCTGGCGTCGCCTGCGCCTTCTGCAGCACGCCTCTCACCCAGAGCTCATCACTCGTCCTCCCCTGCTCGTCCTCTTCAGCTTCCACTCCCTCCACTCCATCATGCCCGGCGCGCTTCTGCAACCGTCTCTGTCTCTCGCGCTCAGCGCGCACGCACCCGCTGCTTTGCCCCGCGAATAACCCCGCGTCGCAAGGGCTGATCAAGTTCGCGCGGCAGAGCGAATGGATGGCGCTGCACGCGCTCGCGCAATGCACGGCGCGTGTGATTCTTGCGTACCAGCAGGATGAAACGCAGGCGGAGACGGACTGGCGGTTCGTGAAGGCGATGGCTCAGCTCGGGATGGAGCAGCGCGCGAAAGGCGGATGGTGAGTAAACTGGACATTCTTCGTGTTTATAGATTTCATACATCATGGCGCAGGCTTAACGGCGCAGAGCCAGACAGGGAAACGTGGAAGAAGGCGTTCGAGCACTACGTGCGCGCGTTCCGCGAGCCCGCCACGGATCGCGAGAAGAAGCGGCTCGCGCGGACACTCAAGAAGCCCGTCAAACCAGAAATCGCAGATGCGCTCTTCACATACGACGCGTTCCTGCTCGGCCTCGGGCGCATGAGCCTCAGTCAGTGCTTCCTCGCCCTCACCGTGACCGCCGCATAGTTCACGCTGACGGCTGAACAGACCTGGAAGCGCACGGCGGCCTGTACGTCCTGCACTCGCATTTGAACCACTCCTGCGAGCCGAGCCTCTCTGTGCGGCACCTCGACCAGCGCACCGCGCTCGCGCGGGTCACCGTCCTCGCGCGGCGCGCGATCCCCGCGGGCGAGGAGCTCACCATCACGTACGTCGACCCGAGCCTGCCGGTCGAGCAGCGGCGGAAGCGCCTACTGGAGTGGGGCTTCGGGAAGTGCGAGTGCGAGCGATGCGTGAGAGAGGCGAAGGCGGTGGAGGAGAGGAGGGCGACGGCGGGGGCGGAGGGAGGGGATGGTGTGGATGGAGCGGCGAATGGAGAGATGTCGGATTTGGAGGCGGAGCTGAAGGCGGGGCTGGGAGTGTTGTAGCGGTGTGTTGTCGGTTTCTCTGCGGATACAAGGTGCCCTGCTGCTGGGGAGGAGCAAAAGCACGCATACTGTGTCGTTAGTGAATTGTCTTGCAAATGTAGCGTTATTGTAGCTCTGGCGAATGCAACTGACCCGATTTCCTGTCGCCTCGGCATGCCGCCATTATCTTTGTGTAAGATAGCCCCTCAGATGAACGACTACCTCAACATTGTAGTTTTCCACTTCGGGGCCCACCATGCTCCACTGACATTAGATATACTTTGCCGTTCCCATGCTGCCTAACTACATAAAGTCATATAGCAGGCTTAAGCTCTTGCACAGGACAGCCTCTGGTAATGTGGTGTAACAGACAGCCTGTTCTCCCATACAGTGGTGATTGCGCCGTAGCTTACATGGCGGTGAAGAGGATCAGCGGCTACCGTTTCACGCCCGGCAGCCCACTGGCGACGCGCGCGACGTCCCTGCACGTCAGGCTGTACCTCGCCCCGCGCTCGAGCGTCCCCCCATTTGCCACGAGCTCCCGCGTCGTCGCGTTATTGAGCATCTCCACATTGGCGATGTATGCGGCGCCGCCCGACTTGAGGTCCGTGGGCAGGGGGAAGACGTCCGCGTGGACGCCGTCAATACCATGGAGGTGAGTTTGGTAGAGCGAAGAGCGGGTGATGACTAGACTCCGGGGCTCGAGGAAGACGGAGAAGACGGGATCGGGGTCAATTGCACGCCCTTGGTTGCCGGACGGGTCGGTCGGATCGGGGGATTCGGTGGTTGAGGACGGCTTGTAGCGGTAGTAGTGAAAGAGGGAGTGGGAGCCTAGCGAAAGAGTCGCCACGACTGGGTGGTATGCGGGCCCGTCTTCGTGTGGCTTTAGGAAAAGATGAGCGAGTGACGTGCAGCTTGCAAGTTATCGCGTGACGGACCATTATGCCTTGGCCTGGGAGATACTGCATTGGTTGGTAAGCAATCGCTGAAAGGGCAGGTGGGACGTCTACCTCGTTCATTATGACATGATTCGGTGCCCCATGCGGTGATAACTGGAATGCGCCGGTAGCCTTGATGCGTCCGATGATGTCTGGACTATGAGAGACAAATGAGCGTGTCCGATAGGCTCCCAAGAAACAATGTGCAAACATACTATTGCTTGACAAACGAAGGCATCTCCTCAGGTATGAGGACTCCCTTGGCGGTCATGCCGCCCCCTGGCTATGTGTGAATGTCCTGCAGGACTAAGAGTGAGATCGGCCCTGACCCCATATTTGCAGTCTATGCGCGGCGGCATGACGAGCGCGTAGTCAGCACTGGCGGCCATAACACTGCATCTCCTGCATAACTTCTGCTCACCGTCGGTTAGCCAGCTGCTTCCACTTTGGGAGAGGTGATTCGTGGATCTATCGAATAATACCCGTTGTTGCTGCGGTGCCAATAAGTACAGGCAGATGCCTACCTTCCGTATGAGAAGCTCTTCTTCCTCCGCTGAGACGAAGTCAGGAATATAGAATGCCTCATCTGTGCCAGGCATCAGATAGTGTGCTAGGTCCATCACTTCAGCCATTTCATAAGTGTTATAGCTTTGTTGAGGTTGGCATTCAGTCATTCGCATTCTGCCAAGCCAACGACTTACTGCACGTTTGTGATTCAGTCGCTTTGGACCACCGGAGCACTACAGTGAGAAGAACAGTTTCTTCGAGACAAACACGACTTCAAGGTACAGTAGTACCAGTACCGCTGGCAGGGACCCCAAGCTGGAGGAGAGGTCAGTGTTCTACTACGTCTAAACCGTAGTAAAAGTCACGGTTCAAACGTTCACCGGCAGGTCTTGGGCAGGTCACAAACAAGGCTAACTTGCTTGCCCTCATGAGATGTCATTTTCAAAGGCTTATCCGATAAACGCGCTCGTCGTCTAATGGTTATGATGTCAGATTCCTACGAATAGGAACGCTCTGCTATCTGAAGGTTCCGGGTTCGAGTCCCGGCGGGCGTAGAGTTTTCCTTTTTCACCCAACTTCAGGCCCTGCTATTGCGTGTGGCGTCAAACGTTCTCCAGCTGTTGTAGGAACGATAGTAGAGCAGCCTGCACTGGGGTGTGTGTGGAGCTGGGGTTTGGGCCGACGGTCGCCGTGAAGTTACAGCTAGTTGCAGAACATTAGGCGCAGACGAACGAGAACGTCCGTGAAATGGGAAGTCCGGGGAGAAAAACTGTCCGGGGACTGTCCGGGGAATCCGGGAGTAGTCCGGGGTGGCTGCACGCGATTTCAGAGTCCGCTGTTAGCCACGACTCTGGGGTGGCTGAGGATCTCAGATAGCGCCACCACCCGCTGACATAACCTGCCCGAACAGTCACAGGCGCCCCCGTGTTGTCGGCTCGGGGAGACAATAACTATGGGGAGGGCCCTCTAAGCTCTGTAACAAACACGGACATGTTAATAAACATATTTTGAGCACACTCCGTGTATCATTTGGTGGTCTGAGCAAGAATCAAATATATACAGTCATTGAAGGCTCCTTGAGACACCCAAATCGTGTTCGGCGTCCTACTACATCGAAACACCGCGTGCTCTTCAAGATCAAACGGTGTACGCGCAATCAGGCATGTCCACGGCATCCTATAACAAATTTATATACTTATCCATAGAGCGAGCATCGCACAACCAGGAGATCAGTCGCGACTTTTCTTATCAAGACCTTTCCCGGCCCCTGCCTCAAATGGGAACTGCTCCGAGTGTACTTACACGGCTCTTTCAGGCTCTTCCTTCATGTACAATGTACCAAAGCAGTGATATTCTCACTGACAGTACGAAGGAAACTTATCCCTTGTTTGATCCCCGCATTTGCACCGTTCCGCATGGTAGGGATTATGGGCCACTGTGCTTATGTAATGACATATGCTAAATCGGGTGATGAGCTTCATGGAACGCGGACCCAGTAGGTATAAAACAGTTGTAAGTGAATTATGATAATTTTTTCAGGCCAGCAGACTTCACTGAGCGCGAGCTGAAGCCCGCTGTCTCAAGGACCGTGCTCGAGATCCTCAGCCACACGGCAGATCGCACGCCGAGATCGCTCAGCCACTCCAAACGCGGCTCGGCACTTGCCGCCGTACAGTCCCCGGACTGTGCGGGCTGGCCGGCCGTCCCACAGAATGACGTCAGGCCTGGACGCGTCCACCGCGCGTGCCACGTCAATCTTGACAGAAGCTGTCAGTCCCGAATGAGGACTGGCACAATTCGGACAGAGGGCGCGATCCCTCCAAATCAGGTACCATTTCCCGCGCCCCCCCTCCATTTGCGGACACTCCTCATATGGAACATCCAGAGCCCATCGCACAGGCGAGCCTCGTGTACTTAGTTCAATTCGTAACTAAGATCGTCTCTGCTGTCAGCGGGCCTCGTGCAGTTCTGTTCGATTCTCGAATACGATCACCCCCAATGTTTGACAGCTCATGCAGTCGATTCTGGAATACGATCGTCCCCGCTGTCAGTGGGAGGCCTTGAGGTCGTAACAGAGTGTGACTGCAACATTTCGTTTTTTTGTGCTGCAGAGCATCGAGTTACTGTGACACTGTAGCAAGAGGTATACCTCATATATAAAGCGTTCGGAAGCACTTGTTCGACAGAGTCCCCCGCCAGCTCTATCCAAGTCCTCTGACGATCCCGCCTTTCGCACTAGCTATGATTCGCACGACTCACCCTAGGCTCCGTGGCTCGGCCATGACACCGTACCACTCTCGCTCTTCCTCTGCTCCAATAACCCGACTCGCCCCTTGTATTCGGACTCTGTCGCCTGCAGAGCGAGTCTTGAAGGCCGAACTGAAGACTGCTGGCCAACTACTCAGCTTCAACTGCGACACTCAGTCTTTGGACGTTGTTGGATAGTAAGTAATACATAATATTTGTGCGAGTCTCTCATTATGACTAATACACTCTTTGATCTCTAGCCCTTGCTACGATGATGGAGAAGTCGTCCCACCTGATGCACTTGAACGGTTTTCGAGGGAGCGGTGCTGGCCTGACGGTATGCGATGTTTCTGTGACCTTGTCCATGGCATGCACCACTCTCGTCCACCACGAGTGTTCGTTCCGAGGACTGGTGTTCATGCTGGCTCGCCTTGTCTCGGCTGCCGATCTTATGGCCGGGATGGAGGGCACTGCTCGTATTTCGGTGAGTGATCCTGTATGTATCTCGATGTTCATAAAGGTAACCTTTCCTTTCTGCAAACAGTCAACATCAATGATGTCCTACAGTCGGCTGATATCTGGACCGAGAGTCTTGTCCTTGAAGTATTCCCGAGAAGGCAACACAACGGTCTCATCGAGGGTATGTACTACAGTTTTGAATACTTGTCTGAGTTGTCTTATTTATCACTTCGGGCATGTAGGACTGCCAATGACACCGACCAGGACTGGTAAGTGCCAAGCCATGTGTCACTGAATATGCATGTACTTCACTGATTCTCCTGCAGGGCGCGGTGCTCCTGGCAGTGCTGCTCTCGTTGGAGTGGGGCTACCATCGACCGGATCACTGTCACCCCTGACACCTTTGTCATCCGCATGGTCGTCGCCGAGCAGCATTCATTTTGCAGTGGCGACAGGCGCTCCCGCAGAAGCCGGTGAGTTATACGAAGACCTGCAGTTAGTCATCAATGATTAATGCAAAGATACACAGGTCCGAGCAACGAGTCGGCAGCTGCGTTATGGCACAGTACTACGAGTCGGCGCGAACTGTTGCCTTCTGAGGATGACGTGACGAGCACGATACTCGGGCTCCTGGACGAGTCTGCACTGGGAGTTAGCCCTGCGGATCTTACCCGGGTCATGGGCAAATGCCGCCTTTGCAACAGGTGCATGGGCCGCAACGTCTTGCTGAAGCACGATTGCACTGGCCGGGTCGAATCCTCGGATGACATAGAGCTAGGATACCTTCTCGCGACTTCCTACGAGGGCAGATCTCTTTCCCCCATTGCGGGTGGCTCTAACAACAGACTCGCGTCGCCGAGCCAACTTGAAGGTTTGTAAGCGTTATTCTGGGCTCGGGGCCTCCGATGTATTGATTACAGCATCTCAGAAGGTTCTATCGACTTGTTCTTCAATGACCAGCACACTGAAGCTTCGTCGAAGGCTGGTAAAGGCAAGGGTAAGTATGCTCACTGAATCATGCTGCCCTCTTCAAGTTGTACTAACATCAGCAACAGCTGCCACCAAGCCCACGGTCGCAGACGACGATGTCATCAGTATCGCATCGACTGACGCAGGCGACGCAAAGGCTACCATTGACCTGACGTTTTCTGACGATCCTCTCTTCTACATGGTGCTGCCCGACGGTACAATCGACCTCACCGGAACGGACTGATCAATATACTTCGTCACTGATTGTAATAGCTATAGTACCTGTGTCACCTGTGCTACTTCTCGTCAAAATCCCCGTTCTTGTGCCATCAGGCAACCCGAATGTCATGTATGTAGCTTGTCATCCCGTCTGAATTGACTTTGCTGTACAATACCCTTGTTATTGCCATTCGTGTTCTCATTATTTCCACCAGCCTTCTTCGCCTTCACATACCACTCGCAAGCAATCTGCCTCCAGCATGCCTTCTCCAGCCAGAGCTCCATCCGACAGCTCCGGCAGCCGTTCGGTGGCGGTAGGCATAGCACGTCGACCTGGGAGCCCGCAACTACTGGGTTGGTGAGCAGGGCCATCGGCGAGGAACTAAGAGCAGACGAGAGTGCGGTAGAGGTCACGGCCTGCGGCTTCTCGATGAGCGCGCGGTATGCCTTCTTGCTTGGCAGGCCGTCGAGCTCCATGATCATGGGGAGAGGAACTACCACTGTCTACTGAATGTGCTCGACCAGAGAAGGTTTAATTGCGAGCGAAGAAAGAAGGATGTTCGTGTCGATGACGAGGATAGAATAGCTAAGGATGACCCGGACGGAGCTGCGAGGGCATGCTGGCTTGCGAGATTGTGGCCCTCGAGGGCAGCATCGAGGAATCGGTGGGGAGGTGCGACCCTGAGCAGATAATTCCAGGAGACACTGTAGATATTGCCGACGAGCCTGGCAATAAACCGATCAACACCTCTGCCAGCCCAACATGAGACCAAGCATACCTTCAGGGCCTGGATATCGGGCGTATCAATCTCGTCATCCTCGCTGTCAATCGTGGACTCTTCTGCCGCGAGACCATCTTCATCGTCGACATCCAACGAATCCTCGTTCCACTAGCGGCCTCTGAGGCGCCGCTCTTCCTCCTCGCGCTCTCGCCTTTCCTCCTCCTGCCACCTCTCGACCCTCGCGGGAAGCATGCCCTCGACCTTCCACTGGCCCTTCTGCTCCTCATTCGCAGCCGGATAGTACGCGAACTCGCCCACATGCTTTGCGATCTTCAGGCCAGCGCGCGCGACGCGGGCCCAGCGCTTGCTGGGCTCGTTCGCAGCCTCGTATTCGCCCCGCTCGTCCTCGAAGATACCGTCCAGCTGGTCACCGCCCTCGCTCTTGTCCGGACGCCCACCTCGACGTTCCTCTCCTCGGTGTTCGTCTCCTGGTCCCAGAAAACCGCGGGAACCAAAGCCGCGGAGACACCAGTCTTCCGGAAGGGGGTTGCACTCGCTCGGCAGCAGGTCCGTGCGGTCGCTGCGCTCCTTCTGCTGCTCGCGGTACGAGACGGCGCGGGATGGCGGTGAGGAACGTGGCGAATCTTCCCAGGGGATGAAGCGGTCCATGGCGGCCAGCGCCTGCGTGTCCTTGGCGGCGGTCGCAAGGAAAGTGAGCAGTACGGTGATATATGGGTTGAGCGTCGAGCGGTCTAATGGCGAGTACTTGCGCATCGGTTTCCTGAGGGCGTGCGCGAGCACCGAGAAGGCGAATTGCATGCCGAGCTTGAGGGACAGCGGGATCTCTGGGCCGCTCGACGCAGCCTCGGGCAACGCAGGGGACATGCTCATGGCGTCGAGCTTCCATTCGGGCTTGCGCGGTGGGGCACCCTCGTCATCGAGGTCCATCTTATTGTCGTCCTCCTTGGCTTTCTTCGCCACAAGCATGCCACTGCCGCGGTCGACGCAGCCATGTGGGACTGGCACCAGCGCGAGCGCCGCCGCCGTCTCTACCTCCGAGGCCAGCAATGCGCCGCAGGGCAGCGGCGGGCCGCCCGCACTCAAGGTCGGTGCCGAGGTGGACGGCAGCCCTCAAGATCCAGCGGGCATCTTCTAAGCGCATCATTGGCACGGGCATACCTTCGGCATGCGGCGCTCTTGCGTCCTTTCAGCTCATGCTGTTCCCACCATCCTGCTCCTTCACAGTCTCATCGTGTCCTTCTCGCTTCGTGGTCATCACGTCTCGCTCAGCCCTTGGTGCTTGGTGCGGGACTGGCAGGCGCAACTGTGATAGCGTGGTCTCGCGGCGGGTTAGCAAGATCACAAAGCGGAGACTTGTAGTGACTGAAGTCGAGACGAGAGCTTCCTGGGTCGAGAAGAGGAGCGGGAGAGCAAGAGCGAGCGTCCTCGGAGGAAGGAGAGATTCGGGGGTTCGGCTTAGCGCTCGGCGTAGCCACTCCCGGCGTCGGGCCTCGACGCATCGTCGGCGGGCGCGGTAACATGCGCGGCTTGGGTTGGTTGCACTGCGAGCGCCATCGCTACGGCGGCTCAGCGTGCCCCGCGCTCGCACGGTGCTCTCGACTTGATGCGCGGCGCTGCAGCCGTGCATTGGCATTCTCGACGGGGCGCAAGAGCTGGTCGCGAGATTGATGCAGGCCTGCAAGGGTGAGATGAAGCTCATCAGCGCAGTGCGGATGCGACTACCCGGCCCGAAGCCAACGCAAACATCAACGCAAGGCGCCTACTGAGCTTCGTCCCGTTGCAGCAAGGCCCACTGGCAGTTGGCCGAGCGACGTACAGCAAGTCTGGGAGAGCGAGTGCAGTGCAAGGTGGTTTGCGCGGCAGAGCATGGGCGTCGGGCAAAACGGGGCGAACGTACAGCTCGGGCAGCTAGCCCAGCATCATGTCGTCTGGGTTCCCGACTGAGGTCAACTGGAGCCCCCGAGCGCATGAGAGTCGTGCCCATCCTCGCGGCAACCATCATTTGCTCTCGGCGAAGCACGTCCGTCGCCGTACAGCTATGTCTTTCGCGCTCGCGTGCCGCTGGGGGGCCGCGCCCCCCAGTATGTCCACCGTCCCATCTAATATGACCGTACCTGCCGACGCGTTCTGGCCCGTCCGCGTCGGCGTGGTGGTCGCCGTCCTCCTCGTGGTCGTTCGCGCTGTACTAGATCCGGTGGCCCTCCCTCCATGCCAGGCTCTGGCACTCCTTCCCCTAGTACTTCGGTTTCCGAGCCCTGCATCTCCGGAACGCAACGAACTCGCCGCCGCAACACTACAGGATTGAGACGTGAGCCACATGCGCCTGCGCATGGCATAATCACAGATAAACACACTTACTGTTGGTACCTGCCAGTCCCAGTAAGGCGAGGGCGGCGCGAGGGCAAGAGGGGCGGCGCGAGGGCAAGACGGAGGGTGTGGTTGCTAGCGGGCACTGGCGAGAGTGCTTGGGCGAAGACGCGGGCAGACGCGAGGGCGAGAACAAGGGCGAGAGAGGACGAGAGCGAGGTAAGGGCGGCCCTGGCCAGGTCTGCGCCTGAGTCGGGCTTCCTGCAGATGCGCATGCAGGAACGCGAGGGGCGGTTGAAGGGCGGCAATGAATGTGTTCAGTGGGTGGTTGCAAGTGTCATTGGCGGGTTGCGACTCCGTTGCGCAGAAGAACCGAGTGGCTTTGAAGTTGCTCAACTACCATTGGAAGGCGGAGGGGCCTACGCGAGAGCTAACAGTGGGAGCACTCGCCGGCTGAGCCAGGCGAGTATCCTCAACTGCGCCGCGGCGGATCCGCCGTCCAGAGAGTCGGGGTTGCGAGAGTGTGGGTGCTGGAGGGTATGCCTGCTGCCGCGCACAAGCATCCCGTGAAGGCCATGGATGCGGTCACCTGGCCGAGCCAAAGTATGCATCACTATGGCTTGTCCACGAGAGCTTCGGGCGTGCGTGCAGCAGGGCCTGAAAGCGAGGCGGCATGCAGGTGGTCTTGAACGTGGTCGACCCGCAAGGAGGATGAGGAGGGTGATCTGCCTGGTAGAGGGTGTGCACGACACTCAGGTGTTTGGGATAGTCGCTCGAGGACATGCTAGGGAAGGTTGTCCGTTAGTTGAAGACGTGTTCGTCAGCGCACAGACGCACTCACCCGCGCATGACTCCAACCATACATCAAGCCGATCCCGCAGGGTGAGGAGGCCGGCGAGTAATACCGCCGTGAGCACCAGGGGCTGAGTTCCCGCTCTCGTTATAGTTGCCGACCTTGGGCGCGGGGTGGGGGCTTCGATGCGCGAACGCAGGCGCGATGTCTTGCTACTCGATGAGCAGGGTAGTGAACGTACTGGTGTGGAGGCGGAGGAGGACGGTGACGGTGACCCAAGTTGAAACGTTGAACGTTGAACGTTTGAACATTAGGGGAGCTCAGACTGAACGGGCAAGGGTACGGGTACGGGCAAGGGCATGTCACGGGACGGTCCGGCCGCACGGCGACTGTAGGGTTAGCCACAATTAGCGTAGATGCTGCCACCGTTAACCCTAGCCTAGTTCTTCCAGCTTCTACGCCACTGCTCTTTGTTACAGACAGTATTTGGATAGCATAATCAGTATGGCTCTCAAGGCTAACGCGCACCAAAGAGAAAAATCAATTTGATGACAATCAACATGGCTCGTAAATATTGTACGCACGATGCACCTACTATAGCCTACTACAGCTGAACTCGAGTGCGGGAAAGTGCCAGCGCCTGCCGAAAGCGGAATATACTAATCGGGTAACATAACATTTCCGAAAGCAGAACTACGTACTTAGGTATATGTTTTCAAAGTATTAGAGGATGGCGGCGTCGCATTTGCGATGGCGATCTAGCTGCCTCCTATCATGCTACCGAAACGGATGTACGTGCTCTATATACCTTGTCGGGACCAAACTATTGTACAATTACTGCTGCACAAACCCTAACGTTACGTGGCAGCCCCTACTGCTAACCCTACGGTTGCCGCGCGGCCGGACCGTCCCCGTGACCTACCCTTGCCCGTACCCGTACCCTTGCCCGTTCAGTCTGAGCTCCCCTATTCACGTTGAAGCCAAAAGCGCTCGCGAGACCTCGTGTGACTCATCTGTATCATACCAAGCTGTAATACACACATTACATAAATACTTGGCTACTCTTCGTTCTCGACGATGACCTGACGCCCCGTCGAGATCTATCTGATTTTATGAGAGTCCTTGCGACGTTGAGTCCGCTCTGGAGAAGTTCGCAGAGGGACGACTCGGACCGCGCGCTCCACTTGCTCTCCATCCTCGCGCGGTCCCGACATGCTCTTGGCCTTGGCTTGAACACGACCTGCTATTGAGCCGAGACGTGAGTGTGCTACAACGGGTACAATCTGAGGTAAGCTCACCAGTGCTCAGTATAGGTGTTTGTGGTGTGTCACTCATTGCCTGTTGCACATGAGGTTCCAGTCCGTCTTTGAGCTGGCCGAGCAAATGATATAATTCCAGTATATCAGATGACGGCCTAAGGGGATCCGGTGCGTCCTTCAGAGTGTTGTGTATGCCATGAAGGAAAGGTAGGACTTCGGCTACACCATGTTCCAGTTGAATCTGAACCTGTGCACTTATAGCCTCTTGGTTCCATCGTAGCTGCGCCAACTCGTGAACATTGGTGGTGGCAGCCTCGCCTCGCCTCGCCTCCGACCCCGCCATGGGCTCGCCTACTACTCAATCAGTGAGAGGTCTGACTATAAAGGTACGATCCGAATCCCACTACTCACCGTCTGTGTCGATTGGGCTTACTTCTTCCACGTCGTTCGCCAAATGTTGGAGCTCTGCTGCATCGAGAAGGGAAGCCGCTTGGTCTTGTACCAATGGTGGTGGCAGTATGGCACCATACGCAACGGCCACATCCCATCCTTGCGACGCCGACTCCGCCAGTGTTACGACTCGCATATGGGGAGGCAGGCCCCCCGGATCACCTTCATCTTCGGGCATAGCGACAGGCTCGGAGCCTGTCGACGTCACTGCTTGTGAGTACTGCGCTCCATACCATAGCCTGTTCTGCTGATCGATGGCTCGCGCCTGTTCCAAGGATTTCGGAAAGACGTACGAGATGTCTAGCTCGTTGCGCCGGCCCCATGCCTCGACGAGGAGCTTGAAGGCGCGGAGATGTTTGCAGGCCCCTCCGCGCTTCAACCAGTCCATACATGTGCACGTCGCCGACCCGGATGGGTGGATTGTGAGCCAGTATCGGATCGGTGTTTGGTTAGGTAATGCATTTCGGGATGAATCGCAAGTCGCCCAAAGTTCGTAAGGTCGGCGAGCAGGAATAGCTCGAAGGGATTGGCGATGGTAGATCTGGTACGCCTCCTGGTCTCGTCGTTCGTCTTCCTCGTACCATGTGTAGGCATGCACTGACCCTTGCCCCGCAGGACCAGCAAGATTGTGCATTCTACTCGCGCGCTGGATCGGAACACCTCCTGCAGCGATCTCGAACCGGTCCTTCTTCCATACTTCGAACTGCGAGAGCATGCGTTGTCGTGCATAGACTCGGGGCATGATGTCAAGGCTCATGCAGACAAGCAGAACATCCAAGCGAAGCCGGTGGCCAGAGTGTTGCCACTGTGGAATGTATTTCCGCTTCAGACTGCCATTGAACGACTCGAGGTGGTTTGTCGTGGGGAGAATGGCTGCTATCTGAACGTTCATGCGTTTTGCTGCATCTTCTTTCCCCCTCTTCGCCCAGCTTCGCCAAAGTGCGTATGGCATCCATGTCGCGCGCAGGTAACTGACAAACTCTACGACAGTGTCTGCTGCCTTCTGGGCTTCAGCATCGGTGACAAGGGCCTTGAACGTCGCCTCTGTTTCGTTGATCAGTCTCAATGCATCATCGTATTCGACTGTCTGTAGGAGACTTTTTTTTTTGTGAGCACTAGCACTTTAATGAGGCATGGCGAAGGCCCCTACCTTTCTTCAAGTGCATGCAGTCGTTGATCCACTGATATTTGCCAGATCGACGTGAGTCTCCCGAGCTTGAGCGTCTTTCGCTTGTTCGTCCAACATTGCCGAACATGAAACTTACAGAGCAAGAGTATGATACTGGGCCAGACCGCGACCAATGCCCCCCGCTCCTTGGTATCGGTGTCGGTGATTGCGACGAATGGCTCAAATGGCCGATCCGGAGAACCAAGCCATCCTGCCCATTGCCCAAGCAGTTCTGTGAGGATCTGCGTGTCGTATCCGGCATGTGTCGCGTGATTGCCAGTGGGTGCTGAGAACAGAAAAAGGGCGACGGGTATCCCTCGGTTTGCATCGTCCACTCCCATGGCGATCCAAAGTAGTAGACGTGACGTGCATACACCGAATGTCCCATCGATGATGAGTTGTTTCTGATGACAGTACTTCCACGATGCATCCCTCATCTCGTGCGTCGCGAGGCAGACTTTGAACCTGTCCTCGCGTTCAATGCGAGCTGCGTAGTAGAATATGCACTCTGCCAACTCCTTTCGGTAGTGTGGGCTGTGAGGTTGAAGCCAGTTGTGGATATTCTGCTCGGGTGTTACGGAGACGTCAATGTTGTATGTTTGACGATAATGCATGCGGTATAAGCGGCTGAAGTCGCCTGGCAGAAGCTCGTATCGATGGTTCAGGAGTGTTGTCGTTAGAGTGCGGGACAGTTGGTCTCGGTAGGCAGCAGCATGCAGCATCTCCATGTTTCGCTTCTGGATTTGCGCGACACTATCCCCAATGATTCTGTTAATTTGGGTCTGTAATGCCTCGTAATGATGGTAGGTCCTTCACCAGGTGCTGGCAGGCCTATGTATAGGATACCTGTAGTTAGCGCAAAAGGGTGTATACATGAAAGGCCTGTACTTACCGCGGGCCGCTTCTCATACATGAGCCGCCACTCGCTCATGTATAAGCGAGGCGCCGCACTTACTACCCAAAGAGGCAGCTGCCCTTTGGAGACAGCTTAGGTCACCCGGCGCCGGGGCTCGCGGCGGCGGCCCTACCCTAAATAGGTCCTGTCGGGCGCTCTGGGTGCTGTCGCAGGCCCATCGGGCGAATGCGATCGCGATGTGCGATCAGGCGAGATCTGACGGTTTCCGGGGCTAGGTACAGTGCTATATAAAGGGATTGTTTTGGCACCGCCGTGCCTCAATAGTTTATATCGAGATCCAACAGATGGACGGTGTACATGTATGTCGTGCACTATGACATACGTGCTGCACATGTCACACTCCACAACATACCCTTATCATTTCATTCCTCGCGATGCCGAACACTGCATTCACGCGAGAGGCTAAGGAATAAAGCAGCAGCCCTCCTAAATTGGTATGTTTGGGGCCCCGACAAATCATCAGGCCAGCCGAATACAGCGAGCATAAAGGTTCGTTATTCATGATATCGACGATCGACACTATACTAAGCACCAAGGAACAGGCAGACAAGATCGCCTTATACTACACCATCATCACCGTCCCACCCTTCGCTTTCCCATCCGTCGCCTGCAGGTCCACACGATTCGTCCTCCCACATATTGTCTTCCAACCCATCACCCGCAGGATCAGGATCCCATACATCGCCCGCCCTAACCAATGGCTCGCTTGCCACGCGGAGGGCCTGCAATTGCCTTTGCCATGCAGTGGCGAGTCCTGTTGATGCCTGGCCAATGGCGGCCGATGGCTCGTTCACACTGGTTCGTGGGTGGTTTGTGCTCGCCGACCCAGTATCCGACACACTTCTCGACACACCGTCTGACATGCTCGTTGACGCGGCGCCCAACACGTTCGTGGACGCGGTGTCCGACACGCTTCTCGACGCGTGGTTCGCGCTCGTCGCTGCGCTGTTTGTGCCCGTCGACACGTTCATGCCTGGCGGTTGCACAGCGCCCGCAGGCTGGGACGTGTCGGGCGTGGCCAAGACTCCATCTCCGTACATTAGCTCCATCGCATTCGTCACCCATGTACCTATGTCTTGCCATGTGCGCGCGCAGATCGATCGCAGGGTCGTGCGGATTTCGGCCTGGCGAAGTGCATAAGCTGACAATCCTTCCTGAACCTCGACAGGTAAATCTTGACGGGCGTCGTGCCTTCCGAGCCACCGTTGCGCCATCCACTGGTGATAGGCGAGGACGCGACGCATCTCCTCGACCAGCAGGTGTACTTCTTCTTCCCAGCGGTGTGCCCTTGCGCGGGACTTGCACCATTCCACACGCAATGCTAGGTATGTGATTCAGCACCTCATCATAGTGGAACAGACCATACACACCTTCTTGCAGGTGAGGGTCGTCAGCGTTCTCGGGCCCCGCGAGTGGCGTTGTGCGCCATATCCAGGACAGCGTGCGGCGACCCTCCGTCTCCTCGCTTTCGTCCAGCTTCAGCCCTCGGACGTGCTGATCCTCGAGGACTTGAAGTGTGGCTTCCCAGCCAGTTCTCCCAAGTCGGTCCGACAGCGAGACCAACGCTGCACGCGCACGCCGATACCGCTCGGCGTTCTCGTCAACCTTGGCCTGTGTCGTGTTGATGATCGACCGCGCACGAGTGTTCGCCTGTTGACCTCGGATGAATCGATCTTTGAACGAGTAGAGGTGGCTTCGGAGGTGGAGATGGCGCCGTAAGTCCGAGAGCGCGTCGTGGGCTTGAGCATGGCGCAGTCGCCACTCGATGTCTTGCAAGAAAGCGGAGACCTCCAGGGCCGAGCTGATCCCTGATGGGAGGAGTACAGGGATGTCATATGCAGGTACGTCCTTGTTCGTGTCGCGTACTAGACGTTCGCGGAAGGCCTCGGCACCCGGAATGTACGCGTGCTGAATCTTGAACCATGCCTCTAGTCTCCGACGGAGACTGTTGAGTCGCTCTTGGATGGTAGCATGCTGTTTGTCAGTGCTATGCTCCCCGAGTCCTCGAAATTCCCGACGAAGGCGACATCTGCATCAGGGAGTCGTGCATCAGGGAGTCGTAAGGATGGTGGGGAGCAACACTGTATACTTACTGCAAGTTCTCAAGATCAAGCCCAGCCGCGAGCATGATACTCGGTGACATGCTCGCGTGGTATGACAAGTCGTGTCCGGCCTGTAAGCGTGCCGCTTCCTCCTCGGCGAGCTGGCGGCGTACTGCTGCGACGGTGACCACTTGAGTTCATGTTAGCAGAGACAATGGCGAGACAAACATACGTCACGCACCGGGTTCCGTAGTTACGAAAGGATTCTCGAAGTTGGCAGGGTCAATCTCCCACTTTTCGACTAGCTCAGTCCATGCGCGCACACTCTCGAGCGGCAACGTCTCCCCGAACTCCTCGAATGCATGTCGTAGGGTACACATATGCTCAAGGGCCTCCTCCAGTTTCCTACAAAGTGTCGGACCTGTGATGTAGCACACTGTTAGGACCGCCGCGCGCGATTGAAGGTTGATGCAAGTACCAAGCTTCCGGACCTTCCCCCAGTTGTAATTCCCAAACACGTCGTCCAAGACGTCGCGTCGATGGCCAGGACCCATTTCTTTCGTGGAAGACGCGAACGGGTTCACGGCGGCCCAGCCTCGTTCGACCGCCTCGCCGTCGGTGCGCCCCACGCCTTTCGTGTAGTTGAAGGAGTACGCCGTTTGACAGGCGAGGCGGTGCGCATTGAGGTGGTGCTTCGGCACGAGGAAGAGATACTTGCATTGGATACGATCGAACTGGAGGCCGTAGAGTTCCTGGCGGGCGGGCAAGTTCCGGCTCCACTGGCAGGAGATATCGTACGACGTCACCACCTCGACGGTGCAGTGATGCGTGAGGCTCGAAAAATAGAGATAGTCCATGTTGACATAGCTGCAGGCAGGTTAGCGAGCAGTAATATTTGATATGATGTTTGGCTTACCGTTCGCCATATTGTAGATCGCCGACAGAGGCGGGCCGCTTCATGTCGTGTCGAACACATTCGACAGTAGCCACGCCACTTGCGTCCGTCTCACGAATCTTCTTGATGTTGGCAAGTTTGACGGCATCATGGTTGTGGCATGTATTTGTCTCTGGGGGTAGCTTCGTGTCGAAAGTATTCAAGAAGGCCTTGTAGGTGTGGTCCTCGACGAAGTACGCAAAGCCTTGGTTGAGGCCAGGGTCGACAGCTACGCTGGAGACCTTCTTGCGTTTGAGGCGGAAATTCGCGTCGAGGCCGACGAACAAGCGATAGAGCCATCTGAATGGAGGTCAACACAGGAGGTGCGCGAGGGACAGTATTCTACTTACTTCTCTCCCTCGGGTGCCTCCTTCCAATTATCGGGTAGATTCTTGCCCGGGTGAGGGCACGCCGGGCATTCCACCGCGCATTCCCCTCGTGCGGTTCCGCCGACGCCGGAGACGTCATGTCCACGGCCTGCTCGCTTGAGCATTTTCAAGTGGCTCCAAGCCCGCGACATGCGTAGAAACGCGGGATAACGATCCTGTGCAGAGGGCGGTTAGTGTCTCCTGTCAGTGGACGATGGAAGGGCACATACTGTGGATTCTCGTGGTGCCACATTCTCTGTCCGTCGCGCGAGCGTGTGATAGAATTCGTAGGCGGAGATCTTGGACTGAGTGCGCAGGAGGTGGAAGAGTTCCATCAGTGCAAACGTGGCGGCGGTCTTGGGATTCGTGACCGTCGCAGGGAACAACCGCGCACGCATGAGTTGGTTGGGCAGGTGTACCTTCCGATGACAGTTGCAGAAATCGAGCGCGACGTGGTGGATACCACTGACGTCGAGGATTACGAAGTCGTCGTCGAAGGCCGGTTTGGGGTTCGGGCAGCGTTGACCTGACGGGTGGCCCATTTGCATACTCACGCCGAGGCTCTTGAGGTTCGCGTGCTGAAAGTGGGCTTCGGCCCAGCGCTGGGCAAAGGATTTAGTCACGAAACATGGCTTGCCTGGGAAGATATCACCTTGATCCGATGGAGAGGCAAACGCATATGCCTGCCGGCTGTGCAATCCGCACAATAGAGCTGTAGATCTGCGCAGTCTTCACAGCGGTACTCTGCAATCCCATCGTGGCATGTCGGGCACTGCGTATCCGTGAAGCCCGCGCGACCTTCGAGCCTCAATAGCTCCATGAGCCATTCGTCAACCCTGGCGCGCCACTCCAACAACGGATGATCCTGTGCAATCAGAGGTTAGCCACGCTCACATTTCACTGTGTGGAGTCGACGTACACTAGTGGTCCGTCGTCGTCTACGAGCCTCGGCCTCAGCCGTGTCCGCCTCCGTGATGGCGTACACATGCGCCTCATCTCCATCCTCGCGAATCAGATCAGGGGCGTCGCCGGGGTCTTGAGATGTTGCATCGGAATGCTGCGGTAAGGTGATGAAAGTAATCTGGGAGTTATAGCCCTGGGGCCCGGACACGAACGCTGTGTGCCGAGCCGTCTCCATTACGGACTGCGTGGCATCGGGTTCCTCTTCAGCAACCGCATGGAGTTGGAAGGCGGTTCGTTGTCGTTTGCGTGCGCCAGGCATGATGCGGGAAAGGCAGCGCGAAACACAGTAGGCACGAGGGGCGGGAACCGACGGCAATGTGGGGACGCGGGAGGCTTTGCCAGGCCGGGTATGGGCCTGTCAACAACAGACCCAAAATGAGACATGAACGACACAAATCTCGAGCGAGGAAGAAGGTCAGCTCACCGCATGGCCCAGGCTTGTGGTCAGCCTAAAATTGTCTCCGCTGTCCAAAGGAGGGAAGCACAAGTGTCGTTTGAGTCCGGTCGATACACGCAGCGGAACTACGCGTGGTGGCTGTCGTCTGATTCGAGCTCGATGCCGCGGGCAACCAGGCATGTCATGCACGTCGCGAGGAATGCAGGCACCGCGGATCCGTCGACGACAGCGAAGCCTACAAGGACGACGTGGAGATCACGCCGCCGCCATTATCCTCGTCATCAGCGGGTCCCGACCCGAAGGTATGAAGACTCACCGGTGCTGCCATGACAGACCCATCGCACGCACAGCGCAGGGCGGTGTTCGTCGTCGTTCAGGCCGACAGCGACGATGCACAGGGTTATCAGAGTGGGAGGCGTAGCTTGGGCGTAGCAAAGACGGGAGAGGCGCGCAAACGAGCAGGCGTCACACGTGAGGGATAACGCATGGCCAGATCAGGGAATACGCCACCAGATGTGGCCCCGATGTAGCTGAGCGACCTGCCGGATGGTCGCTCAGCCAATGGGGGGTCGTTTAAAGGTCCCACTGAAGGTTGCGACAAATGCAAACATAACGCTGTGCGTTGAACGCATGCTTCGTTGGCTTACCTAGATGTGCAAGCTTGTTCTAGGCATCAACCTGGTCACGTACATACTAAATTAGTGTACACGCCTCGACATGGTCTTCACACTCGCGCACAGTACCAACGAGAGGGTAGTGCAGCACTGCTACTTACTCGCATTCTGTGCAAGTAGCCATGCAGTACTGTCCGTCCATTGTCAACATTTTCTGTTTTATGGTAGGCCTTCTCTCTCCTCCGGTAAACATTCATGCTCACCCCATTAACTGAGAACGACGGTATTCGTAGAATCATTCACTTGTGTAATTAGTCTGTGACTATATTCATACATTGCCAGGCTAATCCTCCCTCGACTTCCAGCTCTTCGAGCCGCACGACGCCTGCACGAATGGTCTCCACCTCCTTTGCTAAACAGCATATGTGTTTCGCACCCCAGTGTAAGTACACATCGCGGGCGATGTTCGCATATACTGTACGATCCACCACCACATTAGCCTGCGCCGTGAACTCCCAAGCCCGAAGCCTCTCCTTCACTTCGCTCTCCAATGCAGACACAAGGTCGGCCATCCCAGCCCTGCCCACGGCTTTCCTCTCCTTCATCCTCTGAAAGCCCGTCTCGACCATGAACCCCAATTGCCTGCCATTGAGCTCGCGCAGAGCTCGCTCAGCAGCCAAGACGCTACCTCCTTCACCACTCTCCTGCAGTACGTCGTGCTCTGGGGCCAACCACTTGAATGGTCTCTCATGAAGGCCAAGGTCACTCGTATCCAAGCCCTCTACAGGCCCAAGCGATTTGAACGGCTCGCGAGCCAGTACTAGCACTTGCGGCGGCAGGGTCGACGGGTCCCAGCCGAGAAAAGGGCTCGGAAAGAACTCCTTTTTCCTTGTATAGGCTCTGTCGTTGCAGCGAGAACGTGATTGCTTTCCGCTGACGGCCGCCATGAGCCGCCGAAGTGTGGACGAGGTAGTGCAGGCAACTCACGCAACTGTCCCGTCATACCTCTTTCGCGCCATGTTTTTCGCTGCCTTCCTCTCGGCGTCAGTGTAGTACTTCGCGCGTCGACCCATAGCGTCGCTGGAGGTTGAAGCTAAGGGGAAGTGATGAGTCGGTGCAAGTATCAATCGAGTTCAACGTTATTTGATTACATGCGCGCGTGACTCGGAAGAGCCGTTCGGTACATCGACGGACATCAAGATAGGCTACGATCGCGGGGAAACAGGCAGCAATGACAAGCACTTGAGCAGAGTAAGAAAGGCGTATGCACACACGGTCACTCGCGGAAGGAAGAATCGAAAGCGGAATGGTAGGCACTGATCGGGCCCGGTTGCACCTTTACATCGCCTCGATCCTCTGCCCTTTTGAACGCAGCCACCGCCTCGTCGTAGCTGCGGTAACCTTTGTGGCACGCCTCGGACACGCCGTTCACATAGCCCGAAGCCTGCTCCCTGGGCGGCGCAATCAGACAGGGGAGACGATGTGTTGAGACCAACTAACCAGTCGCTGAAAACGCCCACCCTAGTGCCCTTGCTAACTACGTACCACTTTCCCTTCCGAGGACTGTAGTCTTCAATGACACGTGTCTGTTCCTTCGGCCTGCGTCGCGAAGGTGCAGCGGAAAGGAAAGGGGTCCCATATGGAAGTGGGTACATAGGAGGCAGGGGCGGGATGAAGCGTGGCCGAGTCGCGACAGGGGAGCTGTGGCCAGTGCCCTCCGAGGGAACGGGTGGTGGCGGGGTTGGCAAAGGTCGGCGACGGGGTGTGCGCTGAAGAGTATGGCCCACCTGGGCCGAGGACACCAGAGGAAGGGCGGCGCGGAGCTCGTCGAGGTTGTTGAGAGGCGTGGGCGCACTCAGAGGTCTGGGACGCACTGTCTCTGCAAGTGCATTAGCTAAGCCAATGAGCATGTGACCGACCCAGAACTTACTACCCTGAGTCAACGCTGCTAGTCTGCGCTTCGGGACAGGGATGCGCGACGCAGGGCTCTCAGACGATGCGCCTGAGGGCACAGAGCCCGCTGGCGTCGTCGTCGTTGAGGTGGCCGGGATGTGCATCGCGTCCACGATGCCTGTCACCACTCGGTCCTTTTCACCTCGCGCGGCTTCAGGCGCTCCCTTGAACTCAACGTTCATGTGGCACGACGACTTCCCTTTCCTCACTCGATTCCTGCCTGTCGACTCGCCCTTCTTCTCGCTCCCTCGCCCTCCGCAATGCATCGGTCGCATGGCCGATAAGCATTGCGGGGTCTCTTCGTTACTCAACCCGGATGATACCTGTCAATGCCGGCGTCAACGTTATGCAAAAAATTCCAGTCACCACCGCCTTTCATGTATGGGATATCCCCCAAACCCTCTAGACCGGTCACCCGGTACGTGTGCTGGACATAGAGCGGGGCGCCCTCGCTGACTGATGTTCACGCGACAGATATGCCGCCAAAGTCGTGGGCGACGCCCGAGCAACTGCAATTTTTCAAGGAGAGAATTCAAGGCTTTCTCGCTGCGCAGAAGGCCAACAAGGTCTCGCAGTTTATGACGGAGACGGAGAGCGAATTCTTTGAGAAATGGCCAGAGCTGACGAAGATGTACGGGCCAGACGTTGCGCTAGACGACCTCACTGAGGAGCAGATGACCAAATACGGTGCCGCCCTGCAAAAGCGGAAGGATGTACGTGGCCATTCTGCTGCCGCCTCGTGGTACTGACTCATCTTTCGCAGCAAATGCGCTCCAAATTCTACAATGACGTGTACGCGACGCGCCGCGACACGCCAAAGGCCCTGACGCTAGCGGCCCTCCTCCCGGCCGCCCCACCTCCAGCCAAACGCGCGCCGCAGCGTCTAGAAGCGTACTCAAAACTTTACTACCAAGACAAGGTGAAGGCCTCGGTCGCCGATGCAACCAAGGACGAAGACGTTCCGGAGGCCCGAAACATCAACATAGTTCGTCGCGAACTAGCATCGGCCTTCAGCCTGGAACCTCCGGAGGTTCAGGCCGAAGTCCAAAGTTACATACAACAGCAGAAGGCAGCCATCGAACTGGCCAAAAAGGCGGCGGCCACGATGCCATCACTCGCCAATCGCACTCCGGAGGAATACAATAGGTATCTTACCGTTCTCGTTCTTGCCTCTGGGAGACGCTGACACGCTATTGCTTCGCAGCGCGATCAAAGAACTACCTCAATTTCTAGGACCACTACTCAAGGTGGCTTCGGAGTTGACGGGCCTCTCCATCAGTTGTTACGGGGGAGGGCCCTGGCCGGAGGAAGGTGGGGCGCTGCAGACCTTCAGGTGAGTCCTCTCTGACTCTCGGATACCGACGAGTTTACTGATAGTCTTGCTTCTCTAGCTTCCATATCGGCAAGACGGCAGCTGGCCACGATTTTGCTGCTACATATGCAGGCCACGAGAAGTATGTGATGCAACCCTTCGGGAAGTTCCTTAATGCGAAATATCGTGAGTCCATTGTCAATCCTTTCGTTGCACCTTCTGACATGACTTCTAGCCCCCGCTGAACGTGCGCGTCGAGCGCTACCTAGTGGCTCGCGAAGTCCTCTCGTGTCTGCCGACAGCGCGCAGGTGACGACCCAGCCCGCGGGCCCCAGTACTATCCCCCTAGCTCCTCCTGCTGATATTGTCCCCGCTCCCGCTGTTGTCCCTCCTGCGGCCGACATCACCGCGCCTCGTTCTGAGGTCGTCTCTACGGCCGCCGACGTCGCGGTTCCTCCTGGCCAAGTCGTGGCTCCTTCTCCTGTTGCCGAGTCGATGGGGACCATGTCCGTGGTGCCTGAACCAAACGCGCCCGAGCTTGTGCTGCTATCAGGTGGCGCAGGTGCCGGCATTCTCCCAGCGTCTGATTCCTCAACCCCTGGGCTCGAGAACATCGACATCAGCTTCATGCCCATCCCCGTCGTTCTTCCGACCACGCTGATGACATCCGCGATGGGCTCGAGCACCTTGGCCGCCGACGATGACATCTTTACGGCCGAGAACATTGCACGTTACCTGCCCGCACCCACCATCAACAACGTCGTCTTCCCGGAGTTCAATCCCTTACCTTCTACTGTGCAGTCACTGCCCACGAGCGTGGGCCCCTTCGACGCGCCATATCGTTTCGCGTCTAGCCCGCCACCTGCTCTTCCGTTTGACCCATCACTGTGGCTACCCTCGCAATCTTCGAACGTGTCCTACATGGACAAGCCGAATACCATTGATGTCCAGGACCCTCTCGCGTCTTTCCCGTTCCCACCGGACACATCGTCGACATTCGAGTCTGCGAGTGCCTCAAGCACAGCGTTCACCTTCAACTTTGACTCGATCGGTGTGCCATCGCAGCCCACCGCCCAACCCTCTGTCTCTATGTCCGTGGCGCCTGCCTCGGCCGTGAACGCACAGGATGGTTCCTTGCGTGAAGACACTTCCACCTCGACACCAGAGCTCACGCCGCCGCTGGCTGCGACCGCGTCGGTGACCTCCCCGCCGGCGACACCCACGTCTACCTCGGTCGCTGCTATGTCTGAGTCGATGCCATCGCCTGAAGCAATGTCGGTATCGATGTCTACGGCTACACCAGTAATTACTGTGTCCGCCACGCCCGACCAAACGTCTTCGCGTAGCCCATTAACGGATGCGATGCAGCAGTCTACTCATGGGGGACGACCGCGCCGAGACCGGACAGCTCCCAAGCCTGCGGACGCTGATTGGCAGCCGCCCAGTGCGCGCGGCAAGGAGAGTCACGGCCCTGCGACAGCTGTAAAGGTGGGAAAGCAAAAGGCAAATGAAGCTCTGGCTGAGAAGGCCTCGAAGCGTCCACGTACAGTCTGAACGCCGTGTCATGGTTTCCATGTCGGCGCGCGCAACAATATCTTGAGCACTGCTGTTCTGTATGATATACTCGAATACTGAATGCCTCCTCGTCGCTACGTAGTCTGTACTCCGCTATCCTTACCTGTGTCTCGCTATTGTGCTTTGACAAATCAATATTGCATGTCTTTCATTGTGACATAAGCCCGAGCTTCAAACCTGTCAGAGTTGTCGTAGCACACGAAAGAACATTACATGAATAGCAAACTAGTTTGCCCTGCTCGTCGACGTACAGCTACTTACAACTTAGAATATCCATGACGGCGGGCGCCTATGCTACGGACTTCATGCTGGGCGAGCACGTCTGTGCACGTGGTTGCCTGTGCTGTCGGGCTGTCTGCTTTGAGACTCCAGGCACAGGGAAGGTACAAGATCGTACCTAATCTGAGATGCGCTGACAGTAGCCCCGATGCTGCATCCATATGGGGCAGCCCCAGATCGCGCGCCGGTGGCTGCGGACGAAGGGGCCGGGTTCGGTACAGATATGGTAAGGGCCACGGGATACCCCGGCGTGGCTGCTAAAACGGGTAACGACCGACGGCGCCTCGTTCATACATGACGGCGTCTCGTTCATACATGGCGGCGCCTCGCTTATACATGAGCGAGTGGCGGCTCATGTATGAGAAGCGGCCCGCGGTAAGTACAGGCCTTTCATGTATACACCCTTCTGCGCTAACTACAGGTATTCTATACATGTATATGCCTGTATAGCCTGGGTCCTTACCTAGCACCCTGTTGCAACTGTCGTATAGCGACTTCGTAAACATGAGGATGCAGCGGGATTGACGGTGTGTATTTGAGTGCTGCAGCTCGACAGCCCTCGTTGTGCTCAAAATATCCCATAATCCGGAGCGGCTGTCGAGTAGCCTTCATATACGTGATATCGGCATGTGCAAGGCAGCCTGTATAGTCGTAAGGAGCCTGGCGAACTCCCGCCGCGACCGTGGCATCCTCAGTCGATGGTTCCTCGTCACATTTTCTCTTCTTGCCCTGCCTTCGCACATCGTGGTTGTATCCACAGACACTTCACATGAAGAATATATAAATTTGTACCCTACTTGTATTCAGAGCTGAAATACCATTGATATACGACGCGCTCAACCTCTCCCTCTCGGCGCCTCCACGTTCGCTGGTGAGTCCGACTCCATCGAGACTCGAGCATGGCCAGTGATTCTTCGTCGAGCTTGTTGAGGAGCAATAGCTGTTGTGCGAGCTCCTGGTTCGATGGTGTGGTTGTATAGACCCTTGCAAAGTCTTTGGAATTCGTGTATATTGCATTGATCTCGTCTCGCTGAGCATCAGTGCAATAAAGGGACTTGATGTTACACTAACTCTGCATGAGCGAAACAATGGCACAGGTGCACTGATATTGCATACCTTCACATCGAGGCGGCGCTCGTCCCACTCAGGTCCAGCCGAGTGCATGCCTGTGCCCTCTCGAGTCGTGTTGATGATGTGTCCAAATGACTAGATTCAGTTCGGTGTTGTGAGTCAACGACGACAACGAGAAATGCACTATATCGGCACACCTGGTCCAGTGACCGAGTCGGAGGCTTGTCTTCGCAGAGATGGAAAAGCTTTTTCATGGTATGAGTGACTCGTAGGAAGTGGGGATCGCAGAATGGGCGACGCACCGATGGCCAGAGTCCCTGAGCAGCAGGATCAGGACCCGAGTGACCCTCCATGCCTCCAGACAGTCCTGATTATTCCTGGCTGTCGGCAGCCTGCATATCCCTGTCACACATTCGCTTGTAATTCTGGAAAAAACCCCGGTATATTGGTCTCAAGGAAATGTGTCACAGACGAGTTACTCACCACATTAGGATGGATGTCGCTGCTGATCGCCTATATGCTGTGTGGAACGAGGCCGAAACCACCTCATTTGGGGTGACAAATGCTTCGGTGCTGGTGCATGAGGCAACCGACGGTGTATCCACACGTCAAAGGTTGTCAGTTCGGCAGCATGGCCATGCGAATCAACCACAGGCTAAGACGATCGCGAGCACGAACTTCACATACCTGGTCATAGACACTGTCGGACGCCATCCTCATGGTGCGGATTCGTGCCCGAAAACACGAGGTGGACCGATATACTCGTTTTCGTGATCAGTGTATGGCTGCTCCGACCAACAGAATAGCTGATTACCAGTCAGCAAGAAGACACTATGACAGCGAGACAACCAGTATCTTACCTATATCGTGTTATTCCACATGAAGCTCCATTGTTCCGGTCATGCCTCGTGCCAGTAGTAAGACCCGACGACAGCGAAGCAATCAGTATGTTACCATTTTGTTCTTGTGCTGCACAAAGTTCCATCAGTCTGGTCGTGTGTCCTGTCAGCGAAGCAACCAGTACGTCGCAAGTATGGTATTGTTCTGCACGAAGTTCAATTAGTCTCATCTTGGCTCATTCCTCATAGAAACGACGAGACAGCGAAGCACATGTGCCACATGTGGACGAAGGGTTCTAATTAAAGGAGAGTGAATCTAATTAGGGGATGGGGAAGACAAAGCCGGCAGGACATGAATATACCACAACGGTCGACCGACGTTGCGTTGGCAGCGCGCCCTCTGACAGAATTCCCGCGCCCTCTGGAACTCACACGGTTGAAGAAGCAGCCAGATGCTGCTTCGGGACGATCTCTGTCAACGTCGCGCCCTGCCCATCTTGCGAACGACAGCAGTTCTGCGCTTCTCCGTGCCTATCAACGACGTCATTCTGTGGGACGGCCGACCATCCGACTGTGCGCCGGACTGCGCGCCCCGGAATTCTCAATTCCCTGACGTTCTGAGACGAACGCGCGCGACATACGATGACAAATAAGCGCCGCGCCACAGTTGACGTTGGTTCATCCACTTCTGCACCATCATGTTTTTGCGGCTTCACGGTCGTCTGCACTAGCACCTGTACCGAGCAATAGCGACGCGGTCACGCTCCTCGGACACCGTATTAATGTATATTACATCGAGAGTAGTAACAATGTAACAATGCCTCCCCTACACCGCCACTTGCAGTCAGCTACAATGGACGAGTCCGACAGACGTCGTAGACCTGGGTGTAGGGGGCAGATACACGTTCAATTGTCTGCGGGCACTGGCCGGTACTCCTGCAAGGCGTCCACGGGATCGTGTTCAGCGAGTCGCAAGACATGCCTCTCATGACGGCTGCTGCAGGGACAATCGATGCAACACAAAAACATGGTGGTGCGAGGTGTGGTGAGGTGGGTAAACCGACGTCTTCGTGTGGATAGCGCCTATTTGTCATCATATGTCGCGCGCGTTCATCTGCGCCTAATGTTCTGCAACTAGCTGTACTGTAACTCTGTCCGAAATACTTACGGATAATGATTATTGTATTTTGGCAAGGTTCTTCCCACGGGGCATGTACATACTGTACCAATCTGAGCGCTTGTTCGAATGCAATCAGGTCCTTGGTTTCTTCGTGCGTGTGCAAGGTGTCTTGACTTCGGCGTGCTCTGACGCGTGGACTCGCTGCTATCTGATTGCCACTCTTGTAAATACCTGGACTCGCTCAGCCACGTCTTCACGAAACCAAAGGGCCGGGATATCGAGACGATGTCGGGCAAAGCGATCAGCAACAGTACGCTGGGCCTGCGGTTCATGCAGAACGCGCAGCGGGCGAAGTTACAGGCCCAGGTAGAGGCCGAGCAGGCAAAGATCAGGGATGACGCGGAGTGGTCGGTCTCGCAGGATGTTCGAGATGCCTGGGGAACCGACGCAAGTTCTAGTTCAACATCGGGTTTGAAGCAAAAGAAGTGTGTGCAGTTCCCCGTACGAAGATCGTTGCGACTCTAGATGACATCATGAACGATAGGACTCAGTCGGTGACGTACGAGGCGTCGTATGTCCCTTTCATATTCGACGAAGAAGAGAAGGAAGAGGGAGAAGATGATATGGGCGCATCGTCGGCACTCGTGAGGGGAAGGAGGTCATTCAATGAACGCGGTCAGGAGGTTCTGCGCAAGGAGGTCCGTGCACTCTACGGAAGTTGCGAAGCTGACGGGGTCATCGCCGCTTTTTCTCTATGATGAGTCTAACTACCCGCGCAGGTACGCGAGTCTGACAACGAAGCAGAGGGACCCGCAGGGGAGGCTGCTGGCAGGTCTGATCCGCTAAAAGGCAAAGGCCGCCCCGGATCGATATCCGGGTTCAAAGCGCCGCTGCCTACCAAATCAAAGGACAGCAAGAAGGCACGGACGAAGACCGCGCAGCAGCTCGTTCACGAGACAGCCGCGGTAGCATCGGTATCACTCTCATCTGCACCACCTTCCAGGGCGGCAGTCGCGAAGAGTGAACCTGCGGGTTTCATGAAGCCCGCTGGCGTAGATGCGCCGCCACCTACTAACGCCAAACAAGGCCAGAAGAAGAGACAGCGCGACCGCGATTCAACTGTCGATTCCACGGAGAGCAAAGGGAAGAAGCGGAAAAAGAAGGTGGAGGCGGACCTTGCTACAGTCGGGTGACCCATACTATGACTACATTTGGCTCGCTGTTTCCATAGGCTCACCTGCTCTGCCTGCATGCAAGGATTCTGCCGGTCAATATAAGAACGAAGGATGGCCAGCTGACGATATGATCTTCATTTAAGATAGCGGGCGAAGTACGGATATACGTCATGCACCCTTGTAGGTGGCAGGCTTCACCGCGACTGAATGCTGATTATGATGACTCAATCGGATGGCTTCGAACTTCTGCAGACTAATGCCCCTATGATCATGATTATAGTCAGTTTCTGATGGGACGTGCGGCCGCACACAATTCGTCGCAGACGGGCTGTGGCTTCTGTACAATGATCGCCCCACACAACTGGTAAACTCTATGTATTTTCGCGCTCTGTTCATCGCCATGCCTTGACTGAGATCCCCCGGTCGGCCAGATTTGTTGTTCATGCGCTCATATCGGATTCCGCCGCCAGAACAAGCATGGTGAATGCAGCTCACAATTACATTTCATTTCGGTTCTACGCGCACGGGCCGCCGGCTGTCCACGCACAGGAGAAGTCAAGTAACGTCACTCGCGCCTTCTGAACGGTCGTCACCCACTTATGGCAAAGCTCAGCTGAACTCCATCTGACATTTGCTTTCGGACATAGGACTTCTGTCAGGGTGGGTGCCGCATGTTGCCGGCATCGTCAACGTGCACATTCTCGTACTTTCCTTCTTATCGTCCCTGAAGTACAGGGCCCCTCAATGTGCAAACGGACAGGATCCGGCGCCCCGTGGTCAGTCAAGGTCATACTGTGATCAGGATACGGCCAGGACTGACAACGCAACGGTCCATCCAAGTCAGAAGTCGAGCGGCACAAACAGACGGATGTCAACCGGTCTCCTAATCGCATCCGCCGCCAACATCGTCTCGGTGAACGAGGTGTTAGCATGACAGAGACGGTGAAGTCATATGCCAGGGACCACTATATCATTCTTCACCCCGCTTCCACCGGCGACTGGAACTGTCAAACGAGCGCACGAAGAGAAGAAGTCCGGCATGCCGTCCCGTCTTCCAGCGTCTTCCCTGCACCGTGTACGGACACGCAGGACTCGCTTTCTCGCACGCCAACGTTGGTTTGATGGCCCGTGCGTCTGATCAAGGTACATGGCTGATGTCGACATAGACAGCTAGAGTGGGAAGCCGCTGTCTTCCCGGGCGTGCCCTGGGGCGGCGAGCGTTCTTGTATGCAGTTGCCAGGGAAAAGCTGTCGTAAGGCGTTTGCGATGTGTGACGACGTGCAAGTTTGGGCGGCTTGGTCATGGGTGAGACGAAGATAGCACAGAAGACGCGCGGAGGTTGGGTGTCTGGGAAACGACTCGGAGGGAAAAGCTAAACGTTGAGGCGTCAGTGGCTAGACTAGAATAGCGTCGGTATGATGAACAGGACGAACGAACTTGCGAAGCCACGCCACAACACATGGACGGTAAAGCCACCGTGCACAACGGGTAAGTCGTCACTTGACATATGCTGTATGGTGGCCAGTGACTGGCGGATCCTCCCCTGTCGGTTTTATGGAGTAGGTTGCATTGCCATGCATAGCCCGCGGCGATAGATTGGCAACTGGAGACTCATCTGCCCTCGTCAAGCTCGAATCGTCACGGCAACAAACGTCCGTCAAATCATGCACAATCCAGGCTATCCGACCGGGCAGCACGTCCATACGCACTACGTGGGTTCTGCATATGGCGTCTCTACACATGCTGATCTCGCGCATCTGCCAGTTCGGACAGTCGGGATCTGTCGCGCTCGCCCTTCTAATACATCTCGACGTTTGACAGAACCTGACATGGACAGACCGTGGTCGGTCGGCCGTCGACGTCGACGCCGCAATCAGCCATCCTGCTGCTTCCCTCGTCAATTACGCCCGCCGTCCGACACCCGCACACCATAACGCTGCCGCAGTGTCTCCGATCGCCACCGGAGCTGACTCGGACGCGTGTTCGCCGCCCGGCGAGTGTCAGTGAGACGAAATGGAGGTGAGTCTGTTTGACCGCGTATGCTGTTAGCTCGCTGCCGCCCGTGTTAGCGTTCTGTCGTCCATGGAGGTGTCCAGTCTCGAGGCGGTGGTCGGTTTGCGGCCCCATCCCACCCATTCGGCGCTTCAGCGTTGACAACGGACGTTGTCCGTAGCGCCCGCGGGGTGGAGATGAATCACCCATGACTTGGCAAGGAAGACGGGGGTCGTAACTCAAATGATCGTGGCGTCCCTGGAGGATGTACCGATGAGCGTAGTGGCGCCGCAGCGGTCGGCTGGGACGCTCAGACGCCGCGCTGCAATGTCCGTTGCGCCACAAGAAGTGCATGGGGGACAGGGGACGTCACGCGTTGCGACGTGAAGTTCTTCCACCCAGGCGTTGTTCACCGGCGGACGGTCGGAACACGCAGTTGCTGTAGATGCGGCTTGACAAGACGAGGCGAGATTGGCAGTTTACGTGTAGGCATATTCGGTTTGCCATGACGGGAATGGTGGTGATGCTGACGAATGCGTGCAGTAGCTTATTGTTCCGCGGATAGCGGTGTTCGTGTAGAAGCAAACTGGCGGCCAGGACTGGACACATCGCATACGCAATAGCAGCAGGGTACATACCATCGCGCGCCCACCATAATCATCCCCAACCTCACCGGCAGCCGTCTGCGGCCCATCCGAACATCGACTACGCCGTCGACATTTCGATGGCCGGCTCGACCGGCTCGTGGCGAACACCGAACGGCGAATAGCGAGCGACGCAGTGGCGCCGCCGCGGTATTGAACTTGACAGGGGCAGATGAGCGACGGCCTCGGAGGACCCTGTGGCGTTAAGATGGGCCCCGCGCAGGATCCTACTAGGTGCTGATCCTCGACAAGGCGGGCAGAGTCCGGAGCAGAGGACAAAGTCGTCCGGCGCGTCTCGATGTGCCGGCAAGACAATACAGCGCGGACAGCACAGGTGTGCAAAACCGGGGTGGTATGGATTCGACGGACGGCGAACTCCTGGTGGAGGATGGAGATCCGCTCGGGTCGCCCATGCTGGGAGAGTAATGAAGATGGTAGCGGAATGAACTGTCCAATACGCTGCGGTCGAGCAATATCGGGTACGTCGCTCGATTGCATCAGCCTGAACCCCAAACGATCATCCTGGCGAGTCAAACATGTAATCCCCGTGCCTGCCAATATCTGGACATGTAATCGCACAGGCTGCAGATAACCCCCCGAGCCCGCCAAGCTGCCGCTGGCACAGCTCCTATCCGAGTCCACAGCACCAGCCCGAATCCGTGACACAGGCCGCATGTCTAACCGGCTCGCGGGGTGCGACGGGTTCCTGGTTAGGCCATGCACGCTGGGAAGCGAACCGCGCTAGCGACCTGGCCATGGACACCTCCTGCGCACTCTACCGCACCCACGGCTCCCATCCGATCTCGATTTGTGTCCGTGCCCGCTCGGTTTGGGCAAGAACGACGGGAGCAAATTAGGCGCGCGGGTGCGGAAGCAACGGACGGCTGGCGCCCATGCAACTACGCTGGCAAGAAGCCTCCTCCATGAGGAAGGGCGGGAAGTTTGAGGGCCTGGCGGCCCTGACGTGATGGGATCGATAGGCTACCGTGGTACGCTGTTTGTCTAGCTTGATACGACGATTGGTGTACATGTGCGGACTGAGCACAGCATCGTACGCGTGTCTACACTACACACATATCGATCCGCACAAGCCAGCTATGTATCACGCCTGGTGGAGATGATCATATCGACGGGGACGGCTGATCTGAGAGCGATGCAGACAGATGCAAGGATGGCTCCTGTCGTGCCCCCGCAGAGCACAGCGAGTGGGAGCATATGGACCACGCAGCCGGGCCGCTGGCCTGACATCAAACCCACTAAAGAAGCGCGGAATGTGGTGGGTGACGGCGGTGTGCCTCCCGAGAGGAGCAACGAGGCGCACTTACCCGCTCCGAAAGTGCGCTGCCGCAACTCGAAAGTGGGACGCGAACAGAGGTTGGTCGGTTCGAGCGCGAGGAACGCCGTGCGGCGCGATGCAGTACCGTACACCACGATCGCCTGCAACGAACCCCCTCCGGGCCAAATCCTCTCCTCTGAGTCTGACCACGACAAGCGGCGCTGGTCATACCGCACGAAGCGACGGGATCATCCTCATCCCAGACGCCCAACTAGTTGAAAAAACTCGTGTTCTCGGAAGGGAAGCGGAAGTGCAAGAAGCGCACCCGCCCCCGAGCTTCGATGCATCGCTCGCTCCTTAATGAACGCCCCTCGGCAAGGCACCATCGACATCGCCCGCCGCGTGTTCGTATTCGTCAGGAGAGACGCGGGTGGCGCCGACGATGACGGTGCCGAGCGTGGCGGACGATCCAGGGGTGCGCCGATAGCGCCGTGTCTGGATCGGAAATCGTTCGCTCGCGGCGAGTTCTGACTCTCAGTGTGCCCGGCGCACCACCGCGCATTCGTGCATCCGCCCACGCACGATAGACGAAGACGAAGACGACTCGGAAGACGCACCCACTTAGACGCCTTCGCGGGCTGTTGCCTGCTCAGCCTGAGTGGCCCCTCGGAACCCAACGACCCTGCTGTCCTAGCGCCGGGTGTTGACCGCTTGGCGCCCGAAAGGCGAGAGTGCGCGCTCAGCGGGGTGGGTGCGCCGGGAGGGGCCATGGAGAGCAGTGCCTGTAAGCCAGGTTCAATCCGGCAGCAGTGTCCCTCTGAGCGGGGACGTGGCTGGGATGGGAGCGTCGGGGACTTATTTGGCGGGTTTGAACACCGGACGGCCCACGCGCATGTGCTCGCCTCCGCTGCTATCTGACTTACGGGCGACGCGTGCGCGGACGAGCGTGGATAAGCGTGGCACACAACTTCGTACTAACCGTCCGACGCTATCCCAAGAAGGGACGCCTCTGCACGCGATGCGGTGGGCATGACGGTACGGTGCACGGTGCGCGATACTGCATTGTCATTGATACACGATATGATACACGATACACGATGCTACGGTGCGATCGCGAAGGCTGGGTTTGATATCCGGGAGCCGGGCTCGCGCGCAGGGCACCGACCCGACCATTCAAGATCCACGGACGCACCGCGTAGCATCCCGTCCCTGCACCGCACCGCGGCCCAGACGCGCTGCAGCGAACCTCGGAACGCAGGGATCGTGGATCGGAAGCGAACACGCCCCAGTCCAGGCCCGCTCGCACCCTGTGCGGACGAGGGTACATGGCACGCTGAGTTGCGCGGTGTCAGTAGGCGATTTAGAGGCGGGGACGGAGGAGGCCTGGGTGCGAGCGCGGGGGCACTTACAGAGGACCACTCGCTGTGCGGACGCGTCCGAGCGATCGGGCGTGGCACTGGGGAGGGGCGAGGAGATGGCTCCGTAGGGCGCGTGCAGTGCTATCGGTCGATGCTCCGCTGGACGCCGAGGCGTGCAGCCCTCCGTATGCGGCGAGGAACAGAGTTGCCGGGGACGCAGCTCTGCCTCGATTGCACCGAAGACGCGTGGTGGGCTGCCTCGGAAGGAAGACGGGAACCTTGTGGGGAGTGAGTATAACAGCCGGCACGTCAGCCCGCGAAGCGGGCGGCGAGCAATAGGACGAAGTACTACGCGCGCACGAGGTCCGCGGTCTGTATCAGCGGAGCAAACAAGGTAGTAGTATGAGTACATGCCAATTCGACTCCGGACGGTGCATCGTCACTGGGTGATCTGCAGGGCAATCTCGCGCACCGACTTGTCGATTCTGGCATGACCGGTGACCATAGCGTAATTGAAAGGCCCGGGCAAGGATGCAGAGCCAAGAGCCAAGCACGAAGCCGCCCGAGTGCTGCTCACGCCGTCCAAACCCCGCGCTACATAAGTACCAAGCCCCTCGCCGGCGCCTGGGGTGCACTGAATGGCATGGCCATACGCGGCCAGCCGCACAGAGACGGCTCGAGCGGCGGGCGGATGCGCAGGCTTCGCGACGGGAAGCGCGCGGGGATGTGGCATTCGGGTTCCGAGGACGGCTGATCCTCGCTCGCGGGCTTCCATTTCCATGCAGCGCGATGCGGCGATGAGTCGTGCCCCCAGGTGCCGCAGCTGCCACCGCCAGCAGTGCTCGCTGACGGCATGTCGTGATCGCACCTGCACACGGGAACGCAGCGTGCGAAGGCCGCCTGATCTGGGGCGGCGTGAAGGCGGCGGGCGTACACCTGTCATGCGTTGGAAGCGACGGCCGGTGAACTTGGGCGATGGACGTCGACGGGCAGGCGTCTTCCGAGGCGAGCGGCTGCCGGATCCCATCAGTGGCCCAAAAGGGCGGAGAGTGCAGGAGAACGTCCAGATCGAATTGGATCGAACCGTCTGTGCGAGCGCGGGCCGATCGGTGCAGCGCCCCTGCGTCCGCGCACACTCGGATCCTGCCTGCGAAGTCGCTGTCCGTGTCAACAGACCAGACGTTTCGAGACGTACGGCATGTCATGGGCGTGACACGCGCAACTGGCACCGCGACGACTCCTGTTGCCCTCCTGCAGGGTCGCTGTCGCCACGACGCTCGTCTCCGGCCTGATGTGCGCTGTCGAACAACACTCGGAGTCCGGCGGCGGCCTGCGTGATGACAGTTTCTGCTCAAACCGGAAGCCTGATGGCCGGCTGGCCCATCTGCACCCGCGCAGGGCGCGTTACGTTACCTGGGCCGAATTGGACGGCGACCTGCCGTCGCACGCTAGCGAGTCCGCCCTGCCCGGTGTGCCAGCAATTGGCTGCAGGCTGTCGGGGAGCCGCGATCACCCTGCGGTACGTACGCTGCGTAGTAAGCGTGGCCGATGCGGTAATGGGGGCCCCGTGGCGCAGGAGGCGGTCGATGAGATGCGTCCGGGGACACACGCTCTGCAATCGGTGGTGTGATTGGCAGGCCGGAGGCAGATGGATGTGCCAGGCAACGGTGCGCTGCGAGATGACCGCCGCCGGGCGATGTATGACAATAGCGATGTGGGCATGGCCTCGGCTGAAGAAGGCATAGCTTGTGTGTGCCGGGAAGAGCCAGCGCAGTGGGAATGCAGCGGGCAGAGAAGACGGTGCGTGGGCGGAGAGGTGGACAGAGCTTGCTCGCTTCGAGGCTGGCAGCGACGGTGGCTGGCGCGCGCCTGGGGTGACGCCGGTCGCGGTGGGCCGGTGTTCTGCGAGGGGGCACGGAGGGATCGCGATCTGGTGAAGTGGCAATCAGGATCAATTGCCCGCGCCGCGCCTAGCAGCTGCCTGGCCTCCTTTTCCTTTTCCTGTCCGAGTCCGGACGCCAGATGCGGCGATGCGCGATCGCACACCAAGAACGCTCCCCCTCTCAGGGTCGCTTCATCTGCGTCCGCCATCCGCCCCCGCCCTTATAAGGCCCCCGCCTGCACCCCTCGATCCCCTCTCCCCCACTGCCCTCGCCTCGCCACCGCACCCCCGCACCCGCCGCAGCCTGACCACCCGCCATGGCGACCGCCAAGTACCACCTCCGCCCCATCCCCCACATCCACACCGGCTCGCCCTCCCTCTCGCCCTCGACCACCGCGTCCACCGGCAGCGAGCGCAGCCCCCCTCCGCCTCCGCCAAACGCGCCTTCCTCCCCCCCGCCCCGCCAGACCCCGCGCGCGCACGCCGCCCCATGTCGCCGCCGGCCCTCCGAGGTGCGCCGCGCATGCCCGCGTCCCACAGACTGCCCCTGCTGACGTCCCCGCGCGCAGACCTCGAGCTCTCCCCCGTCGACGCGTCCGCCGCCGCCATGCCCCGCCGCGGCGGCTTCCCCGCGCCGCCGACGGGCCACGAGCTCATGGCGCTCTTCCCCCGCCCCCGCCCAACGCCGCGATGGGCTCCACGTCCGGCTTCTTCTTCGAGCAGGAGCGCGCGTTCTTCGCGCGCAAGGGCAAGGAGATCGTCACCGTGCAGATCGAGGTCGACATGCACGCGGGCCCCTCGTATCCACATCCGCACGCGCAACCTCCGCCGCCTGCTGAGCACCCCGCCCGCCAGACGTCGGGCTCGCCCCGCACGCATCCGGGGCACGCCCTCGCGCCGCCGCCCCAGGCTGGACCGCCGCCGCCGACGCAGGCGGGCGCGCGTGCGCCGCGCGGCGGCATCCCCATCATCCCCGTCCAAGCTCAGTCTGCGCCCGTCTCCGCACCGTCGCCCTACCCGCACCCACACTCGCACTCCGTACCGCCACCGCCCCCACAGCACGCGCGGACGACCCCGCCACACGCGCCGATGGACGTCCAGATGCAGTACCCGATGCACCCGCCGCCGCCGCCACAGCAGGGTGAGGAGCACGCCGGGAAGCCGCCGCAGGGAGAGGGGTACCCGGGGGAGGAGGACGAGGCGTGGAGGCGGCCGATGCCGCATAACGAGAGGAGACGCGCGGGGAAGCACACGAAGCGGGTGATCGTCGTGAAGTGAGAGCCGTGAGTCGTCGCCGTCGTTGAGGGTTTCCAGGTCGTTCTTGGGGTTTGGGCTGGACTGGCTGCAGGGTCGGCGGTCGGTGGTCGTACGCGTACGCTAGGAAGCATTATACTGCGTCTGTTCAATGTCTCTGTGTTTCTGTGCTGATTCTGAATGACTATCATTAGTACCCGTTGCATCATCATCGTCTCGTCGTTGCTGGTTTTCATGTTACTATTATCGCATTGCAATTGCAACTGGTCTCGTCCATGTGTCTATATAGGTGTGTGTGCTGCCTCTGTCTATAGGTGTGTGTGCTGCCTCTGCCTGGTATCTACTATGTGGCTCCTTGCGTCGATCTCCGGCTTCACTTGTGCGCAGCGGTTTCCTTGCCACTCTCTGCACCCGGAGATCTTGGCCGCACCCCACGACAGGCTCAACGCTACGCCAGGCTACGCCGCGCAGCCGGGTAAGTAACCCGGTACGGGCTTGGTCTTTCAGGGTCACCGTAAGTACTTACTAGTAGGCGTATTCCGAATATCAGCGGCGATCAGTGTGTCACTGCAAGCGGTCCGCAGCAGCCTCTGAATCCTCAGGCTGAATGTGGTCACGGTGGCGACTCGTGTCGACGCGGATGAGTCCTTCTGACCCCTGACTCGGAGTTCTGACAGAATCGTCGCTCGCGTGCCGAGGCGCGGTGTGAGATCATGATCGAGAGGGTCGCGTCGACCGACGGCCTCGCTTGCGTGCGGTGTCGCGTCGTCGAGTTCCGAGGATCTCATGATCAGGACCAACTTGTTCGAGTCGCCGCTCCGGCGCGAGCTAGGGTCAAGTTGGGAGTTGGGGTCCAAGTTCCTGCCGACGAGTCTGCTGGCTGGTGCTACTGTGATATGTATGGGTGAACCTGCTAAGCCTGAGACGCCGCTAGGCGGGGTGATAAGTTGACCTATATGCTGGGCTGGGTTCCGTACTACGTAGTAGTAGAGGCGGGTAGCGGGGTGCGGAGATCTGGGCGGGAGGCCGGGGATCTGTAGCGATCGACAATGCGATGCCTCCGCTGAAGTTGGACTTGGAGATGCTTGAGGCGGGGTGCACCGGCACAGATGAACTGCACGCGTCCGTCCGAGGGCCTTGCTAGTGGACGCGGTAGACTCGGATTCGTCCTATAGACACCTCCGGGATACTCGGGACCCAGACGTCGAACTCATGCGCCGCACTGGCAGGAGAAACGCGGGCAGGCAGGCATGGCGGACGTGCATCTATTATGTCACTCGCTGGCAGCTCAGAGCCATGATACATACATCGACGTCACCGTATGTACGCACGACACGCGCGCGGCGCAAGGCCCGGGAGCTTAGTGACCGGACGCGTGCTCGACGTGCATGGGGCGGCCACCAGTGGCACGTCAGGCAGGGAGACTTCCCGAACGCCACGGACGCCGGCCGCGATCGTGAGGACAGAGAAGCCTGGAGAAGCAGGGAGGGGGCGAGCGGGCCTAGAGAAGGCGGGCGAGGAAGCACGCATACGTACGTGTTCGCGGGGAGGTGCCGAAGAAGGCGTAGGGAGCTTGGGAGACGTCACGTTCAAGGATGCGGGAGGAGGCTGTCCGGTGAGTCAGCGTGCAAAGCAGGATAGCGAGAATGCGTGGCGGCGCACCACACACGGACTGGTCGGCCCACGTCCGAGTCGAAAGCAACACGCGTGATTGGACGATCGCACGGAGGGGTCAGTGTCAAGGCCAGCGGACGATCGCGCGCGTAGAGACGAGTCGACAGCATGTGCCTGACCCTAGACGCGACACTGCCCAGACATCACCCTCTCGGTGGGCTTCGATTTCGGATCAGCGACTTGAGGATGGTCGGCACCTGACAACGAGTGAAGCTTGAAGATACCTGGGAGGTGCTTCAGAGAGACCCGCACTTGCGCACAACGCTAAGCTAGTGTGGGACCCGGCGGCCGCGTCGGTCGTGCGCAATACCCACCAAAGCCGCGTGTCTGGTCTTCCTTGGGTCTTCCTGCAGGTTAGTTACTTTCATGACAATGGTACCGTTCCAGGACAGGCTCCCGACCGAGGCCGTGGTGTGATAACGCGTAGGCCAGGTAGAGACGCTTGTTCAAACCTTCGCAGCCCAGACCCATCGCCGATGTATTGTACTTCATACTTGAGTATGACCGAGTGAAACGTACGTCTTCATCGCCGTGGCCGATCGCTCGTTCGCATCTGGGTTCCCAGATCAGGTCTCGGGTACGAAGTGCCCGACTCCCGAGACGATGGATCCCCAGAAGCGTGACTGTCCCCGAAGGCTGCGCATGGAGTCGTTCCCCGCAGCCCAGCCTTTCATTTAGTACTTGCAATGAGGACGTTATATAGAGTCAAGCCGCGAGTGTTGTACGTCTTGATGCTTCCGAGATCCTAGAGGCCAGATCAATTGGCCTGGGCTCTGCATTTCTCGATTTCCAGGGATGATCCGCATGCGGGGAGAGCCAGGATACCGGGCTTGAGAGCCTCCACGGTGAGCGTGGAATGGTGCTGACCAGGCATCGTCAGGTTGCCCGGCCCACATACCTAAGACGGTGTCGTCTGATGAGGTTAGTCTGTGGGCGAGGGGTTTGTCCCCTTCTGTCGACTGTGGAAGGATCACCGCAGGCGGGTTGGCGTCGCGGTGAGCGGAGCTGCTGTTGGCTCATCAGGTTGGCATACACTGTCATGACAGATTAACTTACGTCAAGGATGCGCCCTAAGTCATCGCTGATGGCCGGGAACAGTGCTTCTCCCACCGGAGGGTGCTCGCCACATCCGCGCGAATGACTAGAAGAACGACATGTAACATCGACTCAGATCACCTACAGGATATCGCCACTGGTCATCCCTGCGACCTATCACAGTGCACACATACGTACTGGACATATGTACCACTCGACAGGCCATCCGTGATCCATCCGTGAGCTACTCCGAGTCGGAACCATCCCGCACTTGATCGACCGTCCGGGGCGGTACGCGTCGGCGGACTGCGTACGCGACGCGCGGGCCCCTCCGCCTGACGGATGCTGCGGTGCCACAGTGGGAGAACGCGGCGCTGTGTCGGAGGCGCTGCAGCGCGGACAGCGATCAGCTGCTCGCCCTGCATCCGAGGAACGTCCTGTTAGTACCGAGGAACCAGCCCTTGAGATCTTGCGAACCGAAGGAAGCCTGCGTCGGACGCAGCCGACTGAGATCAGAGCGCATTGACGTGCGGTGCGTTTAGGGATCGGGAGGCGACGTACGTATGCGGGTCTGGATATAGTGAGCCCTGTCGATCGTATTGCTGAATGGGAGGAAGGGCGACGGTGACGCGACGTACGGCATGTCAGGAACTCTGCATGTAATGCTCCTGGGTCCTCGGACGCGAGCATGTCAGCGTGTCTTCAACGAATCACGCGTATGTACGGCATGGCCGCACAATTCGTCGAAAGCATTGATCGAGAAGACTCGTTCCTCTCGACCGATCGCGCATTGATTATGCAATTAATGACCTGTGGCAGGAGAAGGGAAGGACGTCGAGTGATAGTGGCGCTGATGCCGAAGTGGGAACCGCCGAGGAGCTCGCGCCCGACGTCGATGCGTACGTACCTGGCACTGTATGGTGATGGCGATCGGCGGACCGGGGCACGGTCGTCGGAGTCTAGAGCGCAGGGTGCAATAGGCATGCACGGGGATGAGCATCGGACTGTCAGAATCTGTGGCGTAGGTAGTGGGGAGGGGGGGCGGTATTGTATGTCGTGCTGCGGATCCCTAGCTAGACGTCGAGATGAACCTGCCAAGCAGCGACAGCCGATTGGGGAGTCCGAAGGGATGTCCGGGAGTAGGGTCGACGTATGTCTGGGCCATGCGAGGGGTATGGCCAATTACTCCTAGGCAGGCGGCTCGTTGTCCGGATATCCTGTCGCTATTCCGAGTCGCCGAGCCACCTGGTAAGGTCTGCAGGACCAGACGAGTAGCACCATTGAGAAGAGAGAGCGCAGAAATCTGCATCCTAAGCTTGAGAAGCCGAGGTTGTGAACCTGTGAGATTCAGACACAGTTGACTGTACCGATCAGATCTGACCCACCTACTGCGAATGCCTCAATCGAGATCAAGAGTCTAGCACTAGCATGTTTGCATGTTTTCAAACGCATGTTGGTGAAGGTGCCAAATGCGCTTTGTAGACTCCTTGACGACAGTGACTGTACGGCAAACCAAGAAAACCGAGCTGTCAGGTCGTTTCGTGCGACGGACCTTAGACGGTAGGGGGTCGATCGGCGAGTGTCCAGCAAGAGCATAGTCATCTTGTCGGCGCAAGTCGGGTCGTGAAGCAATGTGTCGTCCTGTGCCGCATGTATTATAATGGATCGACCCGGTAGGTACACGAGACCGTTGCGAGATGAAACCATCGCTGCTCCAGAAGATTAGATTTCGAAAGGCTGTAGTATCGTGGTTCAAGCAGTCTGACGGGGTGGTCCGTTGCGCACAAGACTGGTGCGAGGCTGACCGTCCCGTTGGGGATTAGCGAAAGGAGACGACAGTTGACGTTGAATATCTTAGATACACATCAATGAATCGGTGCTACACTGCATGCTCAATGCGACTAGCGCGACTCACCTCTCAACTTCCGAATCGCAGCAGACCACAACAAATTGAAAGAAGGTGCGAGCTGTTCTCAGAGTTACGTAGTCAGGTAAGGGCAACAAGAGAACAAGTGTGCGATTGTCCCGGGCACCAGCGAAGGCTCAGCCGGCTGGTTCGTGCGCCACGGGTAGAAACAGATTTCGCTTTGATTCAGTCCAGCAGGATGTACACAGGAAAGTCGAGAGCAGGGACTGCTGGCACGTTCAAGCAGACCGCGGAAGGAAGTGATGGCGGGAGGAAGGAACGGACCGAAGACCGCCGCCTCGCAGTGATCGCACTCCGGGCGCCTAACAATGCACGCCTTACGCATACGCTCAGCCACAGTCCGACTCTGCTGTTTGTCTCTGCGCGAAACACAGCTCACCGCCAGCCCGCCGCGTTGTCGTTCCTCCTCTACTCGGTTTCTGCGCCGCGCTCGTGGTGCTTTTCTCGTATCTCGTCATGGTGAGTGTTCCCAGGGGCATTGCGACCGGCGCCCAAGCATATCTGACCGAAGATCGTGCCCCGCGCTCTTGAACCCAATCGCTCTCTGGTCGCCTTGCGCACTTCCGCTCGTGTTGTCCGTCCGCGCTGCGATCCCGCGTGCTTTCTGAATCTGGGACGTTACGACGACGCTGCTAGTCCAAGGTATCCTCCAAGAGCAAGTCTACGCTTGACAAGGCGATGGCTGCGAACGTTGACCAGTTCGTTGCCATAACGGGTGCTCCGTGAGTCCTCCATTTCCGCGATTCGTGTGGATGTTGTGCGAGAGTGGACCGTGCATTCCGGGTCCGTGGTGGGCTCACACCGATTCCTGTGGTTAGGACCCGCGACGCGAAACGCTTCCTCGAGAAGTACAAGCGGCTCGACGTCGCCATCGACGCGTTCTACGGCGATCCCAATGCACTAGCGAGTGCGCAACGGAGCACCGTCTCCACCACCAAGATCAACCAGCTCTTCGATCAGTACAAAGGTGCGCCTCTCCCCTTTGGGTGCCAGTGTGGGATCACGACTGACACTTGGCCGCGCACAGATCCGGACGGCGATGACATGATCGCAGTTGACGGTACGATCAGGCTGTGTGGGGATCTGGGCTCGGATCCGGCGGATGTGGTCTGGCTGGCTGTGGCGTACGACCTCAAGTCGCCAAGCATGGGCGAGTGGGCGCGGAAGGGCTGGGTGGACGGCTTGAAGCGGCTCAAGTGCGTGGTCCTTGCGCTGGTGACGGCGAAGGACGGCGAAGCTGATGGCCTCGTGCTCCCGCAGCTGCGACAGCATTTCGGGGATGCAGAGCCTGCTGACGCAGCTCCGGCAGAAGCTCTCGCAGGACCCGGAGTACTTCACGCAGGTGTACAACTACACGTTTGAGTTCTCGAGGCCACAGGGACAGCGGAGTCTAGGTGCGTTGGTAGCTAGTCTGGCGGTGTATGGGCGCGGGCTGACTGGGACGCGCCCATGTGATGCGCAACATTAGGTCTTGAGGACGCGCAAGGGTTCTGGGCGCTCCTGATTCCTCATGGCCTGCAAGGTGGCGCGCTTGCACACGTCCAACGAGATGACGATGTGGATATGACCGGTGAAGAGGGCTGGAAGGAGGAGCACACACAGTGGTGGTTTGAGTTCCTCAATGAGAAGGGCGGAAAGGGTATCAGCAAGGACACTTGGCAGATGGTGAGTTTCTGTTCGGGAAATTCAGGGATGTATGAACTTGACGGTGATACTCTGGCGCGGGCGCGCAGTTCCTTGAATTTGTACGGAGCATCGACTCCAAGTTCGAGAAGTATGACGCAGAAGGTGAGTGAACTTCCATGTGCAGTTTCAGCCCCTTCTCTGACCCCATCTGATATGACTCGCACCAGCTGCATGGCCGTCAACGATAGATGACTTCGTAGAGTACGCGAAGCAGCGGGTATCCTCGTGAAGGCACCGGGCTTGCCGCTGCGGGCCGCCCTCAGACGTTTCAAATTGTTGTATCGTATTGCGCGCTGTACGTTAGCTCTGTATCGCAATCGCATACCAGGAATGGTACCCTACCCGGATCTAACGAGCGCGACCGGCTCTATGTAGCGGAACTGTAACAAGCGTGGACAGGACCGCTTTCGCACCTCCTTCGCCCTGCAACTTGCGCCGTAGAACCTCCGAGACTAGATGTCACAGGGAACAAGTGTCGGCATGATCCCCGCAAGAGAACTTCTGAGAAGCACTTCCCCGCACACTTGACTGGAAGCTTCTGTCACAACTCGGTCGAAACCTGCGACCCGGGAGTGCGGCTATAGCACCCTTATTGCGACATGCACTCGTCTTCTGGCCATAGGAGCTGGTGCTATTGTGAGGAATGATGGTGTGTCAGCAGCGGTCACATGGGGAGCAGCGCATATAGAGTATGCCGCAGCCATCTCCTCACCTGAATCGACGTCTATGTTGGTCCGAGCGGCTGGACAGACAAGAGCGAAGGCAGGAACGAGCTCTCCTTGACGAGCGACAGTCTTGGCCGTCCTGAATAAGCCGTGACGGACGCGAGCAGCTTCGTCGCCTCGCTGCGTTCGGATTCCCAGTCCGAGGAGAATGGAAGAGTGCGGCGTGAGGGTCAATATGCCTGCATCCTGTCCGTGCCATGGATAAGTCAACTCTTACCTCTCCGCGAGCCGGACAACCGCTTCCGACCCATCGTCCGCGACCCACAGGACATCGACGTGCGTGTTGGCGGAAACGAGGCCAAATGACTGCGTGAACGCGTCCTGGATAGATTTGCGGATGGATAATGCGTCCGCGCACGCCGGCGCGACGGAGAAGCGAGCGTAATGGTACGAGGAAACGAGGGTGCGTTTCGACATCGCGTTCTCGCGCTCTTGTCGCGCGGTTGAGTGGAGGCGGCCTCGTCGGTCGAGATGAAGCGAGCAAGACGATTCACGAAACAGCGTTTTAGCGTTTAGTATTTAGACGCCCGTTTCACGTATAGCATCACGTGAAGCGTGAGGCTGATCGGGTGTCACATGTGCCGCGTCAAGGTGGCGCGGCCGCTAACGCCCACGCCTACGCACGCGCCTTGGTCTTCACCACCGTTGTTCACCACGCTGCGTTCGAGCGTAAATCGCGCTGCACTCGGGTCTTGTCCCGCCTATCTTACGACTCTGTTACGACTTATGGCCCAAAATGAAGGCAAGAGCAAGCGACAGGAGTTTAACTGCTGCGCGGTCATGGAAGAAGCGGCGATGCGCTCCAGGGAGCGGCGAGCGAAGCGCAAGCAGAAGCCCATGCCGTGGATCGTGCTCAAACTCGCGGTCGGAATCACAATCGGCATCGTTGCGTATACGTTCTATGTGTACATCGGGAGACTGTGCGTGCCGATGATAAGGAAGAACGAGGGTGCTTTGGGCGGTCGAGGGACGGGTAGTGAGTTGGGAACGCATGTGTGGTTCGCAGTGATGGAAGCTGAATGAAAGCGCTCCGTCAGTCGCGTTCTTGGTAGTATTCTGTGTGCTGGGCTTGATGATGCTCTGGGCATATGAGAAGGTGCGTCCGTAAGTCACAGCCAGACCTGACTGAATAGACTCACGCGAATTCGCTATAGGTCGTCATGACATCACCAGGCCTTGCGAGAGACGTACGTACACTCTGTATGCTTGTTCACCACCACGTTGATCGCAGCCGCGCGGTAGTTCGTGAAGCAGGCGCCAGAACCTGTGGTTAATAGTTTTGTGCCCGCTTGGTGGGATTCGCAACGGGACTTGACTGGCATGCCGTACCAGTACACAGGGCAGGGCGAGCAGCCGCCAGAGTCAACTGCCACCGACCTCCCTAACGGGCCGCAGACTGCTAATGGGCACCATGCGAATGGTAAGTCCTTGATGCCTGTACGAACCTCAGGCAACCGCACATGTCCACGAACTGCCATAGGTGATCTCCAAGCGGGGATGACCGATGCGATCCCTGCGGTCGCACAGGCTCGCGTGGCGAAGCCGAATGCACCGGTGCCGCAAGAAAACGGAAGCGCGCGCAAGGTCCCACAGAACACACGTCGCGTTCCAGAATCCCCCGTTCTCCGTCCCGAGAACCGGTATTGCTGGAAGGAGGGTTTCGTCAAGCCTCTCAGGGCGCATCACTGTGCTGCTTGTGGTACTGTGGGCATCCTGATCATTGGCCGATGCACGGTTCACTCACAACGTGCTTAGTGTGTCCTTAGATACGACCATCACTGCCCATGTGAGTGCTTGTTGGTTGATTGTGTACCCCCACTTACCCGACTTTCGAAGGGATCGGTCAATGCGTCGGGGCTCGCAATTACAAATTCTTCGTGATCTTCCTTGAATGGGCCCTTCTGTTCTGTTCGTGGACGTTCTCGACCCTCGTCGCTGATCAGGCGAAGTCGGGGCACGTCGATCCCGAGAAGATCGTCATCATTGTACTGTGAGTGTTCGTCGCGGTTTATAGGGCTTTGGTTGACGTGGGTGGGTAGGTCCGCCTTCTTTGTGCTATTTACGGTGTCATTGTTGTTGTCGCAAGCACGACTCATTATGCTCAACACGACGACTGTAGAGTCGCTTAGAGGGCAGAGCGTCCGTGACCGAGAGAAGCGGGTGCTTGCGCGAATGCATCCGTGGTACGCTCTGGGGTTAGTCATCTGCGTCCGACTTCACGTGGGTGAGTTTGCTAACACAATTTATTCATTGGATAGCGCAAAGAGACGCACGCGCCAACAATGGGACCAAGAATGGGGTCGTATAGACTATGAGGGGAACCTATGGTGGCTCGGGAGCCACCGCGCGAACTGGGAGTCTGTTATGGGAACGCACGTATGGCAGTGGTTCTGTGGGTGGTCTTTTCGAGGCTCGGCATCTGGCCTTTTTGCTGAAAGCGCAATCCGATAGTGCCCATTGGCCGAAGTCCTGACGATGGCCTGTCATACACACCGAACCCGCGACATGATCCTGAGGGCCGCTGGAGACCACGAAGGGAGTGGCCTGCCGAGCTACAATAGATAGGGGCGTTACCCATGCCGCTCCTATGTGCGCCTCCAACGCAAGAGGCATTGGTGCAATCTTGATCCGCCCGCCTCTGCGGTTCTTCATGCGTGATATGCCTGGATGACCTCGCTACGTATTCGGATGGGACACTGCTACCTGGGTTCCATTACCATATTCGCCTTCATAATGCCACAATGTAAATTATGCTTTTACCTACGCGTTCGTCATAGACTTGCAACGAAAGACTGTCAGAACCATTCCGTCATGGCGGATCAAAAATGCCAACTGGTTCGATCGAGGGCTTCAGCCACAAGACGTAGATCCGCTCCGAACTTTCCCTTTTTGGATGCACGTATTAAATATTAAACGTGACCCGATGGACGCTACGGACCAGAGCCATTGTGGCGGAGGTGGAACGCTTCTTGCACCTTGACCACAACTTGACCACATCACTGACGCCGCGCGGACCACAACAGCCTATCCTCACTCAAGACACAACAGCCATGGCCCCCGCAGCATACGATCGCAGTACGACAGGTAACGGAGCTTCGAAGGCCGCAAGACCGGAAACGGCGAGGTCCATATCTCTTCAGCAGAAGTAATCCGCCTCGAGCACGAGTACGGCGCACACAAGTGAGTAGTCATTTCTTCGGCGGCGCTGATGATGGAGGCGCTTTTCCCTTGATGCGCGATTTGCAGCGATCGTCGATTAGCAGGCATGCGGAGTGCCTCCGAGATATTCAGTTCGCTCGTTCCGCCTTTATGCGTGCGTATTGCCTGCGTGCTGACTCGCGCGCTATAGCTACCACCCGCTCCCGGTCGTGTTCGAGTCCGCCAAGGGTGCCAAGTGAGTGCTTTGTGCGCTGACATCCGCGCCCGTGAGCGCCGATGACACTTCTGAATACAGAGTATGGGATCCGGAAGGTAGAGAGTACATCGATATGCTCTCTGCGTACTCGTGAGTGCTCTCGACCACCTGTGTCCTCCGTTTTGTGATCGGGGCTTATTGATACGTTTACAGGGCTGTCAATCAGGTGAGCCGACGTCTCCATCGTGCCGTTACTCCCCTCAATCCGACTTCCCTCGATCGTGAAACCCGGGTGAATGGCCCTAGGGCGCACTTCTTGGTCCGTTCGTCGGAGGAAGTCCCACAAAGTTGCTCGCTCGCCTGTTCTACATTTCCAGCCTACATAAGCCACCGGGGCGCTAGGTGTCTACGACTCATAGAACATGCATGCCGCTGAGCATGTGGTCACATGATAGTGCGGTCCATGAGTCCCACTGTTCGATCAAGCAGATGGCCATGGCCTTGTCCGGCAAGTCGAGCACAGAGATGAGCACCCTCTAGGGGTAGGCGACAAGCCGCGATCTCCGAATCAAGAGCTTCAGTACATCCCAGGACAAACCCAGCTCACGTCTTCACTTTCAGGGCCATTGCCACCCTCGGATCGTCAACACCCTCATTCAGCAATCTCAGAAGCTCACACTCTCCTCTCGTGCCTTCTACAACACTATCTTTGGCCAATTTGCCCAGAAGGTCACTCAGATGTTCGGCTATGACATGGTCCTTCCGATGAATACAGGCGCGGAGGCGGTTGAGACCGCATTAAGCTATCCAGGAAATGGGCGTACAATAAGAAGGGCGTCGCGGACGGAAAGGCCATCGTTCTCAGCGCTGAGGGCAACTTCCATGGGAGAACCATCGGCGTTATCAGGTCTGTGGTCCGCATGTCTGGCCTACGAGTAAGCTTTTGGGAAGGCTGACCTCTTGCATGGGGCTTTTAGTATGAGTACGGATCCGGAGAGCCGCAGCGGATTCGGACCCTATCTTCAAGCCGTCGGTCCGACGTACGAGGATGACGGCGAGATCAGGACGATACGATACGGCAAGATATCCGATCTCGAACGCGCACTTGAGCTGCACGGGAGTGACGTGGCGGCGTTCCTCGTGGAGCCTATTCAAGGGGAGGCTGGGTACGTGTCGGCCGCAATCACCCGTCAGTGGTACCTTATTCATGATCGCGCTGCAGCATTGTGGTCCCCCCGGCCGGGTACCTCGCGAAAGTTCGCGAGCTCTGCACAAAACACAATGTCTTGCTCATTTGCGACGAGATCCAAACGGTCAGTTCGCAGAGGAAAACACAATGGTATCCATATATGGCAGTACTGAGCGTTCAGCACAGGGCCTCGGCCGAACGGGCAAGATGTTGTGTCATGAGCACGACAAGATCAGACCTGACATCGTGCTTTTGGGCAAGGCGCTCTCTGGAGGAGGTAATATTTGTTCATGACTCACATGACCCTGTCTCGACTAAATCCGACGTTAGTATATCCTGTCTCGGCTGTCCTGGCTGACAGAGAAATCATGTTATGCATCCAACCTGGAGAGCACGGGAGCACTTATGGAGGGTGAGTGGCACCATTCAGTGTGTCCGTCTGACCTTAATCGCCATACCGGTGATTTGTAGGAACCCTCTGGGCTGCGCGGTGGCAATGACCGCTCTAGATGTGTTAGTCGACGAGGACCTAGCCAACCGCGCAGAAGTCCTTGGCGAGAAATTCCGTTCAACCATCCGGGCCATTGAGTCTCCGTTGATCAAGACTGTCCGCGGCCGCGGATTGCTGAACGCTCTCGTGATCGATGAGGAGGCAAGCTCCAAGGGTCGGACTGCGTGGCAATTCTGCCTGCTGCTGAAGAGCAGGGGCCTGCTAGCCAAGCCCACACATGTCAACATGTGAGATATTTCTATATGATGACTGCACGTTCTTGAGACGTTGATCATGTTACAGCATCCGCTTTGCGCCACCTCTGGTCATCTCGGAGGATGACCTCTTGAAGGCGGTCGAGATAATCAAGTCGTCCCTGGACGACCTGGACAAGGTTAGCCGCGCTTGATAATGATGTTGACGTATTTTCAATAATCCCGTGTCAGCTGGATAACATTCCAGGTGAGGTAGAAAGCGAGAAGGGACACAAGGACACCCTGACACTTTGAGGGGACATCTCAGTCTCTATTACCTCCGCTTCCACTCAGTACGCATTTTCTCATCCAATCTAGTGAGAACCATCCATGTCATGTATCGTTACCTAGCCCTCTCTTGTAACGCACCTGCACCCCATCATGTGTAGCACAGCGGACAATAAAGTATGTTGGACACATTGATTCCCGCGATGCTTTCCGAGCGGGTAGTTTATCTCTGCGGCGTCGCGATCATATCTACGGAATTCGTCCTCCGTGGATCTCATTCAGTCAGCGGATGGCATCCCCGAATGACAGGGCTGCCGAAAACATGCAGACTCAGGGCCACAGTAATGGTGTCAGACGCTGAGACACTTTGTGTCATCCCTGAAGGTGAGAATAGATCGTGCACTGACGAAGGACATCGATAGTGAAGAGCGACGTAGGCCCTTGTGGACTGTTGATGTCCACTGCTGGCTACCTTTCCAACCGAGGAACTTCATGGTACGTTTTACTACAGTCCATCCGGATCGAGACACGTTCCAACATCCGATGCGTCCAGTAATGCGACCCCGAAGATGGCGCTGTTGTGAGATAGAGTTTATCAATGGGAGGAAGATTACGCCGTAAGATGGTGGAGATCCAGAGTACCGACGTGTCAAGCCAACAATAGGGCTTGGGAAGGTCCTCAGCAAGTCTGGAAATCCAACTTACAAGGAGGTGGTACCCCCGGCATGCGGGCTCTGCGCCACCTGATCGTCGGTCCAGAATAGCCAACGCGAGCTAGAAGGCTGGAGGACCAATGGTACCGTCTCCGCAACGTGGGCAGCAGGTGGAAGTCAATCAAATGGTCGCCAGAGTGAGTAATATACTAGTAGTGCGTCACAATTCCATGCAAGACATGAAGAACGTAGCGCAGGTCGGCCAGCGTTAGAGATGCTCAAGCTAGTATTTGTAGCTCGGTCGTCACGTATCACTCAATTGGCTTGATACTGTCACATAGGAGGGTCCGAAGTGATGCTCTACCTCAAATTGATTGAGTGCACGATGTCTCCGGAACAACGCCATCGCGGAACCGACGGAAGCGGAAGAAATAGGCCAAAAGCTTGGGGGCTGCGGATGAAATTACTGGTTTGTGTTCTACAACCGCTGAGACACTCGGGCGCCGACCGTATCGTATTGTTTCGCGCCCAACACTTTGTACCAAACGACTGGCTTGCCTCTGTGCATCCTTTCACGGCTCAGGCGTCAATTCCCGGCGGGATAAAGATGATGTATTTGATACGCACTATACTACTGCGTCGCCTTCGCATCCTAAAACAGATCATAGCCTACTAGATGGATGCTTTCTTTGGCTAGGAATCAGGCGTTATGACCGACGCCAGGCGGATTCGTCATGTTATGATCCGAGTCCATGAAAGCAGACCAGAGCTCCCCTGTCATTAACTAGCCACTTCGGCACTGCACATGACAACTGGTACAGCGTTCAGATATCTGTATTGGAATCGATCTCAGCAGCACTCTGCGGTGTCGGCGGCGAGATAACCGCCTCCCTCGGAGCGCACTTGTATAAGAAAGGAGATGTCGGATACCTACATCATCCTCCAACAACCCGGCCTACATCAGGACGCGAACGCTTCCCTGCGAGTCAAGACACATCCGCCGCTCAGATGTCTGATACACAAGTACTAGCTTTCTTGGTCTCCCGTCTGACCACTGACCCATGACAATGTCAGGCCACGACTGCTTCGGGACAAGGTCAGGACGGAGAGAACGATGGACAGGAGGGCGTTACCCGTGTGCCTCGACGAACACCCATGGCCTGCACTTTCTGCAGAGGTTGGTGCTGCTCCCCGATAGATGCACAGCTTTTTATCTAGCCGCTCGATTTTCTTAACAGGCCGCAAGCTGAAATGTGATGGTCAGCCGACTTGCGCCAATTGCAATCGTCGAGGTCTCGTGTGCGAATATGTCCCAGTGTGCGTCCTGCGTTCTCTGCAACCTCAGGCAGACCATTGACGAAGTATTCACAGGTCGGCGCAGAAGTAGGGGACTCACGTATCGCGCATGGTTTTGATTTGCCTTTAAGGGGGTCTATGAATTATCTATATATGCCGCAGTCAGCTAGGCCTAATATGAGCTTATACACGTTACTTGCCAAGCAGACGAGTGCTACTCGGGTGCGAAGGTTGTTTGAGGAACTCCGCCACGGATCAAATGTGATTGACGGTAGCAGGATGCTCCCCATCCGGAAGCTGGTAGCTGAGAAGTCCAGAAGATTCGGGGAACACGGAGTCAAGGACAGACTACTGCACTTGCGTTGCATACCCCTGGCACCATGAAACCGTATCAGCGTCTTCAGCCAGTGGAAGTGAGGCGGATGTGTATGCACGACTCGTTCGCAATATGTGCTCCGGAAATTGCAAGGAGACGTCATCGCAGTTAAGAACAGCCTTCTCAGCTCGGGTTCGAGGAAGACCCGTTTTTTGAACGACCACAAGTCCGTTATATTGGGCAACAAAATCCGAAATGAAGGCTTACGACGAGGTCTCCACGTAAATTGGCCTAAGGCCCTTTGGAGCGGCGGATTGTGTGCGATTATCCGCAAGCCTGCGGACATAGACCCTATCTGCCGATAGATGATAATCAAGCTCGAGGGGGCATCGCTGAATTGACGGTGCGATACACGCTACAGACCTGTGCTGCAGAACTGTTCCCAACTGTCGAGCGGGGTCCAGCTGTTGGATTTGATGATGCGCAGAGGGGATGCGTAAGTATACACATCACAGGAGGGAGGACTTATCGACTCTTTCAATCTGTGCGGGTTGCGGCACGTCAAGCTACAGTACGTACCGCCTCATTGCAGAGAGGACCGCATCGTAGATTCGGTGATACTCCACTTCTAGCGTTGAACGTTATCCCTGGCGCGAGTGATGAAGTTCGCCTCGTGTGGGATGGCAGGCCCGCAGGCGCCGGAGAGCACTGCTTCGATTAGGTACCTATGATCAACCAACATGTCGTTCGGCGCTGCCAGTACGCCGGCCAAGGTGGTCGAAAGTGGTTGTGGCTGGTGAGGAGACTCACCGTAACGTCTACGCGACGCGACAGGCCGCACGGCATGAACGCGGGTTAATGTCGTGTTGAACGGCTGCTTGCACCGACAGAATTCACATGCCCTAGTACCACAAGAAGCAGTCATTTGACTTCAAGCATTGTGTTGTGGAAGACCCTAATCCGCGCCCGCGCGTCACGGAAATTACCAAGCTCAACCGAAATGACAGCAAGGCAGTCTTCACTGTACCACTCTATTCTGCTTCCAAGAGGTTCCGTGGGTTATCATTTGACGGCCAAACCGGGACGTCTCAATAGGCTTCATGTCTTCAATGGACTCTGATCATTTATCGATAGGTACAGGGTGACAATGCGCCAACTAGACAACAAAGATGCGTATCAGCCTCTACGAGAATAAGCAACAGGCATGAACCTGCCTCGTGTAGGTTGCGGTGGGTATGGCACCATAGGACCAAAAGTAAGTTACTCAACCGTAACGACAGCATGGTGGGTACCTCGGAAGTCCACAGCAAACGGAACATGACGAGCAGCTGCGTATATGTCCGTCACGGGGAGAAATAGACCTACTTCAAGGCAACTCGTTACTGGCCCTCGGGCGGATATGGATCTCGAAGCTCGCTCTTGCCACTACTGCTTGCATGCGACCCGGATCTCGACACCTCTCCGGACCCAGTTGTGGGCTGTACGGTGCCTGGCCACACGTCCTCCGGAAGGTCCATCGTCGTTGGTGTCGAAACAAGCGCGAGCGCCGCGTCGAGTGAGTTAGCACGGCTTCGGATGGAGGGCGTATCGATGCCTGCCTCGCTGAGGCTGAAATTGTTCGAGCGGGTCGACGGCCGAGACATGTGGTACGACGGTCCTGGAGACGCTCGGTGTATACTCGACGTCGCGAGGCTCATCACCTCGCGCGAGCCGAGCGACTCTATGGTCGGCATGCGGTGGATGGTCTTCCCGAGCACAGGTACGTAGTCATCGTCGTCCTCAGAGGGGAAGGGTGAGCGATGGCTTGGTCTAAGGTTCTCTATATCATGAGACGAGGGGGAGGCGTAGTACCCCGTGCTGTCGTTCCGGGTAAGTGCAATCCCATCCTCGGTCTCTCGTGTGATTTGATCTACGAGAGACCGGAAACGGTCCACAAAGCTGTGGAGCTCATTGTCCGACATCACGTCGCGTGGAGGCTCTCCCGCTGTGTCGGTCTCAGACGGCGCGTCCGGGGCTCCAGGGAACGTGTAGTTGCCAGGTATTCTCCGGAGAGGGCGGCCGAACCTGTCAGCCCCAAGGGACGAGGAGAGGTCCTCGTCCGATAGATTAGGCGATGAAAAGCCTGACGCGGCAGGGGAGCGGTCTTTCTCGCTGCGGGTGGGCGAGAGGGCCGGGGATGCGAAGCCTTCCCTCGATCGACTGGCAGGAAGCTCTCTGCGTTGATGCGAGACCGAGAGCTGCGCAACGGCCGGTGATCCCCCGCGCTAGAGTGGCTCTCAACTGTCGTGTGACCTTCGGACGTTAATATCGACGGAGGCCGGCCGACTTGCGAGAGCGAAACGGGGGACAAGGGCGTCGATGTGGACGACATTGGGTGGTGGGTTGCCGTCGACACCGACATCGGCGTCACCGACGGCAATGAAGAGCCTGACCGTGGACGCGAGCGGCGCCGCCTGCGGGAAGGCTGGCGGGTGATGTCATAGTGGTAGGCTGTCAGGTGATATGCGATCTATAATTGGTGACGGATTCATTACTGAGAAGCTGCGAAGTCGTTGGGTAAAGAGTACGTACGAGAACTGCGAGCGTGAGTATCAAGCGGACAACGGACCCCGCGAGCCACTCGGCCCACGAAGGGGACACGTTGCACTGCGAGCCAGTCCTGACCAGAACACGTCGATGTCCCAGCGACAGCGGTGGGCGAGTGTATTGAGGGAATTTGATGTATGTCTCCATACGAAAACGAAAGCAAAGTTGACGACGGCAGGGCCGAATAGCAGAGCAGACGACAAATAAGTTAAGATAACTTGCACACAGCATGGGAGCGTTCGGTCTGTCTGTCCAGCCGATGTGAGGGGCGAAGGCGCCTACGAGCAGCGAAATGAGAATGAATGTAGGGAAAACGCTGTAGACGTCCCCAGGGAGAGCAGATTAATTGCCGCTCATGGTAAGGGTACGTCGTGAATGCCAGAAGTAACGAATGGTGTTGTACGCCGTCCATGCACCTACAATCAATTAACGGTGAGCATTGCTTATTCACGGGCGGTCGCGCAAACGAGTAAAGAGCGGGTGAATCCACTGCCTAACGCAACCACCCTTGTCGGAAGGTGCATGCGTTCGCGGGGTACCAACATATCACCATCACAAGCGCCGTGTGCGTCTGCTTTGTTCTGAATGGCCAATACAGACATCACGTCGCACAACATCACCCTGTCGAAGTGTGATCCTCTGGTCTTCGTTCTGATGGCCAGTGGATCATAATCGAACAGAGATCAATTGGCCAACAGGAAGCACCGTTTCTGGGATCAGATTGAACGCGCAGGATCTCCCTCTTGGCTAGACGGTCGTTCGTATGATGGAGCGCTCCGCATCACCTTGTCCTGTCACTGTGACAGCACAGACAGGCAGGATTCCAATAGGTGTCATTCTGGACGAACCTGTCATGCTAGCAGCTTCGTGTAGGATCCACGCGCGAGCTTCTGTACATCGCTTCGCTCCGGATGAGACCGTCGAAAGTATTCAAAGCGCGTAAGGCGTATCGCCGGGCAGCCTCGAATAGAACGCATGGTCGATTGGGCGTAGCACTCACCTATCACAGTGAGCAACGACGCTTTCGTCCACCTCAGTCTACGCAGCCGTCTCCGTGTCCGACGCTCCCGATGGCTTCTCCGCTCAGTCGCTGTCAGAGGGTCTCCTTCAAGACGGAGCGCAGCATCCGCTGGGTGCCAGGGCTGGCTGGATGTCTAGGTTGTCTCGCCAGAAGATCGAGGTATGTGGGAGAACCTCCGAATCCGGTGGGTTCAGAAGCGGCTCCGTGGGGTGCGAGTGATCCGAGTTGGACGCGGTGCGAAGGGTGACCGACGAGACCGCAGACAGCCGTCGGTCCTGCGCGAATGACGAGCGTGCGGAGGAGGACGTCGCGGTGGCTGCGGTCTGCGCGACCGAGCTTTCCGAGAATAGGGCCTGGTGCAGAAACAGGGCTGCCATAGCGATGTTGTCAGACGGTTGCGGGGGCGAGAGTGCAGCTAGAGCGTGACAAATGAGACTGCGCTCGTGTCCCCATCGACCAAGGCTGGCGAGCACTCGGCACTGCGGACGGGAGCTGGATGGCGGGGCTGTTCGTGCGGGAGGTTCAACTTGTCTGGGCAGGTTGTCTTGCCGTGGCAGGCCAAGGCGCTCACGCTTGAAGCATATTACGGGCACTGCGCATGCCCAATCGCGGCAGCGCTACCGATGCCGGGTTGCGAGGGACATTTCCTAGGAACGCAAGACGTAATCCAGACCTCTTTGGGATACACGTCAACTTCCCCGCTGCGGCTTTAAGCCTGTTCAAGCACAGGGATAGGAGGAGGGGTCGAGACCGGCGCGCAGGTTCAGCCTGATGAATAGAACTCATGAATTGGTGGAAGGAATGGATCGGCGGCCACGGCAGACGAGGCAGTCCCAGGACGAACCATGTGCAACGCGGGGAAGGGCAGTGGGTTGCAAGGCAACCAGATTCTCCGAGACACTCACACGATCTCTCCCAACAAAAGCTTAATTCTGCCGTGACGTCGATCGCCACACTTCCACACCAAGCATCTGAAGTGTCTATCGGTCCAGAATGAGATAAAACACGTATGTCAACAGGTAAGCAAGTCAGTAGTGCGGATAGTGACTATGACAAGGCACCCCAGAGAGCAAGACCGGCAAAAGTAATACCGAGACCGACCAGAAAGCCGACGTACGCCATAGTGTGTACTCCGACGCGAGGCAGGAGGACAGGTGAGTGGAGGAGCGCGAGGGAAAGGTGCACCAATACAACAAGGGGAAACCTATGGCAAAAGGATAACTCCTGTAAATCGGTGGGAGATCAATGTCAGGGAAGGATAGCGGAGACCGGAGGTAGGTCCCGGCGAGGATGAGGGTGTGTCCCAGAGAGAGGAGGATAGAGTCGATGCGTTGGAGGCACGATACGAAGACCGGGATATGCTGCAGTCAATCGCCATGTCAGTGACAAGTGGTCCGAACGAACACCCGCTCACAATGGGAGGTACCCGTATATCTCCTCAAGCTCCTCCCTATCCTTCAGCCGCACGATCTCCTCCAGATCCTTGTCCACGGCCAGCTTGATAGCGTCGTCGATGCTTCTCGGCTTGGCAGTGACTTCCCCGTTCTCGCGGGCTTCCACCGCGCGCGGGCTGAGCGGCAGGGCGTCATCTGACGAAGTGCGGCTGCCCCCGCCGAGCCCACTAAGCCCGCTCTTCCACCGCACAAGCACGTCCCGGACACTGTCCTCCGGGACCATGACTTCGCGATACAGCGCGAGCTGCTCGTAGCCCTGCGTGACCCCTACGGCGACGTCGGCGAGCGCCCATCCCAGGGCGATCCACCATACCCGGGAGAAGGCAGGTCCTTCCATGTCGGCAGGGGGTAGTCCATCCTGTGCCGGACGCCGAGGATGGGGAACGCGGAGAGGCGGAGAAGCTGGCTGAGAGGACATGGAGGACGTTGAATAGAAGCGTGTTCCAGATAGGTGAAGAGAAGAGGGAAGAAGTGATGGTGAAGAGGGGGAGGCGGAGATGGTGGGATAGAGTCCACAACGATATCGAGACGAGTAGCTCGGGTAGCGGCGAATGGAAGTGTCTGGGATAGCTTGAATCGCTGGGAGGATCCGATTCGTTGGGCCAGACGAGTGGCGGAAGCGTAGCAAGGAGCACAAACGCGAGCAGAGAACTTAGCGGGACGAAAACGTACAGCGCAAGCTTCCGCTTGTATGATCCTGGCAAAGGCAAAGAGCATGAGAAGAATATCAACCTACCGAAACCATGTAGACACGTACCAATGTAGTATCCCCGCCCTCCAGGTCCAGTTCCTCTTCATCCAAGTCGTCCAGTCGACCCTCCTCGGGCACCCGGCCCAACTGGCTATCTCTCCGGTACCGCTCGGGACTGCTATGGATGCTCGAGCTCGCCTGTCTCGACGTCGAGCCATACGCCGGAGGCGGGGCAGCCGAACCGAACGACTGTTTTGGCGGCAGCGAGAGACTGAGCAGCGGTCTGCGCGACATCTCGTCCTCTGTCTCTGGACTGCAGGTTCCTTGCCTTTCGCTGAGGATCGCATCCACGACGCGACGGCAGCACCGATGACAGTTCGTCCAAGGCCCATGACACCGGTGGCCCGAGTTATGAACGTGCGCAAGAGATGAGCGAAGCGGTCGCTATGGCTGGGAGGAAGGAAGCTGGAGCGGGGTCAGCCTCAGCGGTCAGGGGACGCGGTAGGTGTCCGCAGGATCAATCATGGGCCTGGGCTGCCGACGGGCGTGGTCCTCGCTCTAGCTCATGTCGTGCTGTCGCGGTTATGTACAGTGCGAGATGTCGTCAAGATGATGTTCAATCGCAGAATGAGCTTCTTGAGAAGATCCCCTTCGCAGGCGAGGATGCGGGTAGGGATCATGAGGCTGCACAGTTGACCAACTGAGACCATCCACCGGCACAATCACGCGGGCGACGAACGGCGTGCGCATGTGGAGGAAGTTGCACTCAATTCATTATAGCTACGTATTACACAGGTACAGGCGGTACGTGCACTATACATGGATCGCACGTTCTACCGCTTTTCATTCAATGAAAATCAAGTTTAATGACCTGTAATGAAGCCGCATGAGCACGACCGCACGCAGCATACACGTAACATCCAGCAAGTCAGGTACTCGATGCATTTCAACAAGCACCCGTGCCCATCTCCGCTTTGTACATTGGGAGACTTTGGTGTAGGCAGAGTGCATTTTGTCCGCCCATCGAAAGAAATCTCATCCGGGTATCCAAGGTGAAGATGCGTGACTCACCCACTGCGACGTTGCGCCGGTCTTCCAACGTGTTAAATCTTCTCCGCGAGGCCTCTGTTATTGGAATGGTCAGTGACAAGCCCAAGACGGTAAGGACAATCAAAAACGAAGAAGTCAGCCAAGGCTGAAACTAGATAGACTGGTGTCTACATTGAGTTCGGATAGAAAGTACATGGCGATTTGCCTCATCACTTGAGAACGAATGCAAGCAGGATACTCACCGATCACGAATAAACGCGTCAAAGAAATTGACCTACAGTACGACGCAGTGACAGAACCAAGACAAGAGCTGTCGACGCAACGACGCGACAAAATCGCTGGCGCGAGTTGCCGACAGACGTCGGCATCTCCCTTGATCTGTCAGTGGCTGAAGATCGCTGCCACGATCGACAATAGCCGAGGTATGCCCGATCCTTTTCTCCAAACGGCGTGAAGCTTCGAGCATCTTCCCCTCCCAATATATTTCACTTCACCACAACGCTCTTAAAACCTTTCCCCCTCACTCACAACACAGAAAGCACGACAGAGACTTCACAACGAACTCCAGCATCATAACGGAGAACCATGGAGAGCCTCTTGCGCTGGAGTATCGAGCACTCGACGAACAATGAGGGTGCACCACCGCCACCGCCGCGATCGGTCCAGAATTTGGACCCCGGAATCATAGATGCTATCCTTGGGAAGCCAGACTCGGAGTTGATGAAGGAGGCTTTGGCCATCGCGACGGACGAAAGCAAGGATGAGGACGAGCGGATACAAGCTCTGGATAATCTCGAGATGGTGAGTGAACATGCCTTGACCTCGAAATGATGTACTGACGAGCATACGTGCAGCTCGTTGAGCAGATCGACAATGCGAACAGTGAGCACACCTATGACCGTCTGCATACGGCGTTCGTCTTACGTTGTCGTTGCAGACATCGAGAAGATGAAGATGTGGGAGCCCCTTCACAATCTACTGAAGTCACCAAATACAACCGAGGGAATCAAGATGCAGACACTCTGGGTTATCGGTACTGCCATTCAGAACAACCCGTCTGCACAAAGCGCGGTGAGTGTCGCTGCATTATGCTGCTTGATGAAGCGTTGCTCATTAGCTATTATTACCTTCAGTACCTCGCTCTGTCGCCGATGCCGACGTTGCTCACCTTCCTCAATCCATCCGTCAATCGCCGAACTGCGCTCAAAAGCCGTATACGCTCTTTCGGCACTGTTGAGGCTCAGTTCCGCTGCCGTCAAGCAGTTCGACGAAGCGGGTGGCTGGCAAGTCCTGAAAGCGGCTCTCGAAGGTCAGATGTCCCGTAGCCCTTCTACTACAACATGAGCTCACACCGAACCTGATAGACTCCGATATCAGCGTCCGCCGCAAAACTGCCTTCCTCCTAAACACCCTTATCATCCCCACGACGCACGTCTCGCAACCCGCACCCGCACCATCCGCCGGATCGAATAGCACCGGGCTTGCCATCCATTCATCGGACACGCAACCGCCCAGCGGTCCAGTCCACCCGAACTCGCATGCGTCCATGCTATCGGACCCCTCCTCAATCTCAACCTCCCCGGCGGCGCTCAAAGCGCTCGAGGAGCATGGCATCCTGCAGTCGCTCGTCTCGGCGGTGACTTCCCCCGTTCCATACGGCCCTGACGGCGAGAGCGAGGGGGACGCCGACTTCGACGAGAACGTGATCAGGTGAGATTTGTTGCGGCACACCTAGCGTGCCTCGGGGCTATTGGTTAACGCGTTGTTGTAGGACACTACACACCTACGCGACGTCGTGCGACGGCCGCTTCTCCGCGCAGCAGAAGACCGACCTGCGCGCACATGTAAAGGACGAGACGGACAAGGCGGGCAGTGAGCCGAAGCTTGCTGAGAAGTGGGGGCTGACGACGGACGAGCTGACGGCGTTCAAGCAAGCTATAGCATAGTAATGTCATGCATGACCTGACGATACGTTGTAGCCATATCGAACCGGTGTACTATACATACGGGTACTGTAATTCACTTCGATGCTAGATCATCGATACACCCACTTGGCGGCCAGAGAAGGCCACTTTGATCTCTGCTCGCCGTATCAAAGCTCTTAATGACTGATGCTACGGAGTCGGTATATATTGATTCAACCACCGGTGGATGTGACGCTGATCACCGACAGCTGTTGCGATGGGGCGGAGTACAGGTGCAATGCAATGCACCAATGCTAGCAATACAACGTGTGGCACTAGTCCCAAGAGCAGTCCGACTCCGTCAACAACAGCACACACAAGACCGAACAGGAAGAAGTGTGCCTACCGGCAATCCCTTCCTCCAGCTACTCATCTTCGTCCCCCCTGTCCTCATCTGTATAGAGGAAGGACCTCAGATAGTCACCCGGCCTCCGCCTCCACCCGGCTCCCAGAACATGTCGTACGCCGCATCAACAGGAATTGCGATGTAGTCTCTCTTCTCAGGGCCTTCCATTGCAGACGGATTGGCTATCTGAGGACGAAAGCCGACAGACTCTGTGTAGCCAGTCTCGGGATCCTCGTAGAGGAAGCGCAGTTCCTGCAGGGACTCCGAGCGTAGGTGTTTGTCGAAGAAATCCTCGGAGAATGTTGCTAGGTCGTCGAGGAAGTACTCTGGAGACTCCACGGCGATTTGTTTGCCTTCACCATGCACAATGAGCAGCTGCGGCGCATATGCGTGACAGAGAGGTGGCACTCACTGGACTGGTTATCGGACATATTGAGGCTTGACTCCATGCTGTCGCTCATCTCGACGTCCGAGCATACGGTACCGACATCAGCATAGTCTGATCCACAGTCGCTCGGTTCCACCACGAACAAGGTCGACAACGCAAGTACGCGCAAGCTAGTCTCGCGAATAGTCTTGCTCCACTCGACCTGCCAATCCCACGGTTCAGTCGAAGCAGAGACACAAGAAGGTAACGAATTGCGCACCAGGCACTCTTCAGTCAGCGAGTAAGCGTACAGCGTCGCCCTCATATGGTCCATGATGATCTCTTCCAGGTTCGGGAAGATGTTGAGGATGCCCGAGAGCAGATGCGGGCCGAATTCGGGCATGAACTGGTCATCCACGTTCACCGTGAGCCGCAAACGACGCAGCGGGCACTGGCCGAGCTCGGTCAAGTGCTCCAGCTTGAAGAACGCCGATATCGAGAGGCTCGAGAGGTTGTTCCATCCTGTCGTCTACAGACAGCTATCCGTCACCGGATCAGACAGGACGGTGTGCCACTCACCAGCGCATAGCTCACAAAGTCAGAATGATCTTCGTACAGCGGATTGCTCCCGCCGCACGTCAGACACAGCTGATTGACTACGCTCGAAGCCCCAGCGTCGCGCAGGCCGCCTCCGAACACGGCCAACCACGGCTCGCTCGACACGACGCTCTCCCTAAAGTCCAGGGCACGCACGCACACCGGATGCAGCAAGAACGCGCGCGAGAGCTGCACGTCCTCCGAGCGGACCGTGATCCGCCGCACTTGCAGGTTGCGCGCAGGCACTATGGGCATGTCGTCCGTCAGAGGCGATGGCATATTCGTGTCCGAGTTCGTGCAGACGCGGACGAGACCAAGCTCTTTGAAGAGACGCCGTTCGTCCCGTAAGAACGCCATCAGCGTGTACGACAACGGAAGGAGCAGGCCGGTCGCGGAGGCGTCGAGGATGAAGGTGCGTAAGTTCGGGGTGGTCTGGTGGGCGACAAGTTGGCTGAGGCAACAGTCGAATTCGAATATTAAGCGGAGATACACTTCCGCGTTCTCTTCGCGGACGGGAGACGCGTCGAATGCTGGCCCCAAGGACAAAGAGACATCGGCCGAGGAGGATCGAGGCGCGAAGAGCGTGATACGGAAGATGTGCGTCGGGTGACCTCTGTTTTCACCGAGCGTCTGCAACAGTAAGGTGAGTTTGTTCGTGAGCCGAAGCAAGCCCCGCACTGTTCCGCATGTCGCGTCCAGCGGAAAGTGAATGGCATTGTAAGCCATCGGGGCGCACCGTTGAAGCGGTCTGCACGTGGAAGCGACGGAGAAGATGTCTTTGCTATGCAGGTCCCCGACGTGCATTACCCTGCGCAGGATGTCCATGGGCAAGTACGGGAATGGTGACGGGTTGGGCGGAGGTGGGGCCGCAGCCGGAGCAGGAGTGGAGGTGGAAGCGGCGGCGGAGGCTGCACGCCTATCTGTGTTAACATTTGTCCAAACAGCCGAGCCTGCATCCTGTATGAACCAGGGAATGAGAGTGATCGTTCAGACGAACAAAGCAAGGCACAGGGCGATATAGAGCAGCCTGAGTGGCACTGCGGGCAGCGATGAAAGAGGTGGGGGAACAACAATGGCCAGGGGGGCTGATCCCAGCGTACTCAGACTTTCATACATGGGGGACACGGCGCATCGCCTTGTCCCATGAGCTACTGGTAGTCAGTAGGGTTAGAGCGCTTATACACAACACCTACCCAGTCAGGCGCACAAGGCTCGTGAGAGCAACAGATTGCTTGTAGAACAATGATGTTATAGGCCATGGATATCTCCTCCCATTTGGTGGACCTTGTCTCTCAGGCAGAGGCAACCTTGAGGTCTGTACTGATGTCATTGAGTAACGATTACTTGTAGGCCCTGGGAACAGCGGCAACATTCATGCTACATAGGTATAATTGCAATGCGAAATGGTATGCGTGGAGAGTCAGCAGGTTAGCACCGGACGCTAGGACAACTAATAAAAGGCACACAGATAGGATGTAATACAATTTGCGATCGCCCTTCGCTTCACGCAGAACCTGGACAAGAGGAAGTGGACGGAAGACAGAAGCAGCCTGTCATGGCGACATGTCATTGCCGTTCGTGCTCGGTTCGTCCTCCGCGTCTAGGTCGTTCGCAGATGGGACTGCCGCGGACGTAGCCGCTCCGATGGCTTGACCTGTCCGCTGCTGCGGCGTTATGTCCCTACAACAAGTCGCGTCAGCACATCGACACAGCACACAGCACAGCCAAGCAGAGAATATGTGGTTGTGCGAACAAAGCAGAGTACGCACCACTTGATCTGGAACCTCGTTACCCGCGGCTTCGAGTTGATATCCCTCACAAGCCGGTCAAAACGGATGGGCTCCGGAAGTGCCTCCTTCATCTCCTCGTTGTCGTATTCCGTATTTTGGTAGTAGCCCACACGGACGAATTCCTGGTCTTTGTATGAACCGGTGAGAATGAGCGCGGCCACTCCGAGGACGTCCTCAGGTGGGATTTTTGATGGGTTGGGGGCGGAGCCTTCGAAATCAAACGCGTTGACTCCTACTGGTACCGGACCCACCAAACAGTCGTCGAGTTCCTGGTCAAGTTCCTCGTCCCCCGGCGAAGAGACGTAGATGAGCCGCCATTCGAGATCTGTGAACACCGGTCAGATCGCGAACGTTCGGTCCCTCCAGGAGGGTGCCTGGTGCACCGAGGAGACTGTACCTTCTGGAAGGGGTGCAATGCATTCGAATGTAACGCGAAAGTGGTATGGGTCCGAAAACCTTGCGGGGTTGTTGAGGAACTCTACATTCTAGATGCATACATGAGCAGCATCGCCACAGCAGCAATGAGTTACGCACCCTTATCGTCACGATAGACATGGTAGTCGAGTCGACACAGAGTGATCGAGTGGCAGGTGTTACAGGATAGGAGAGAAGTGACGGATGACCGTGAAGGACAAACTGAAGTTGAAGTATGGTCCTGAGACTGAGACGGCGGTCGCACTCGCGCCAAACGCGTAGCGTCACAAACGCGTAACGCGTCACCCATCGTGACTGACGCGTGTCGTGCGCGCTTGTAAGTGCCGACAGCGCTTGTCCCCATGCAATTTCTCTTTCGCGATGAACAAGTGACCTACGTAGAGCAAAGCCACCGGCCCGCCCTAGAGAGAAAGAACACAGAAAGGGCGAGTGCACCGCAGGTTGATAGATTCCGCAGTGTGGCCACAGCTACAAGCACATTTCATTCTAGACTTCTCGTAAGATCCACGCGTACACACAGCTACTGGTACCCTTCATACTACACGAAGCCCATGATACAGAGGAAACATGGATACAATACGCGATCGCGACCACTCAGAGCTCTGCAATGGGGAGCTGTTAGTGGGTGCCACCACCAAGAACATAAACATGATACGCACTCTGCATAGCAGCAATGTCGGAGCTCTGAACGTAGTCTTCGAACTCGGCGACCTTCTCCTGGAGGTCATCGAGGGAAACCAGTTCATCCTCTGTTGCAACTCATCAGCGAGTATCCGCGGACTCGTAACGAGTAGACGTACCAACGACGATGGTGATCTGCAGCTTCTTGATACCGTAACCGATCGGGACAAGCTTGCTCGCACCCCAGACAAGACCCTCCCATTGGATGGAGCGCACGGCCTCTTCAAGCTTTGCCATGTCGGTTTCATCATCCCATGGCTTCACCTCGAAAGTAACGACGGACTGCGAGTAAAGTTGAGTCGGTCAATGCTCTGATACCGGAGCCTGGGGCAGAGTAGAGAGGATGCAGACCTTGGCAACCGTCTTGGGCTTCGCGGCCTTCTTCACGTTGTACGCGGCGATACGCTCAGCCTTAATGCGCTCCGCTTCCGCATCCTCCTCGTCATCAGAGCCAAAGAGGTCGACCTCATCGTCATCCTCAGTAGCCTCCTCCTTGACGGGGGCAGCGCTACCGAAGAACGCCTCGCCTGCCTTGCTGGAGCCGGAGAACGATGCGAACTCGGCGGTGTAGGACTTGATATGGTTGTACCAGCGCGCGACGGCGGGGTATGCAGACGCGTCGGGGGCGGAGGTGACCGCCTTGTAGACGTGCACGTCGGCCTGCGAGGGCGTGTAGCTGTGAAGGGTATTCGTCAGTCAATGAGTACAAAACCAACTGATGCAAATGGGTGTTAGAGGATCAGAAAGCCAGGTAGATAGTTGTCGGCATGCTTGAGCAGCGGTGTCTAGTCGCTTCTTGGAAACACGGACCATAGCGTAGGATTCATCACTTCGCGCGCGCCCATCGCTGGAACGCACTGAGAAAGGACAGGAAACTCACCCCTCAACGTAAGACCTGGTCGCCAGGTGGGAGTTGAGCTTTGCAAGGTCGACAGACATCGTACAGCGAGAGCGAGGGAGGAAATAAGAGGAGGAGGGATGGGTTGGGATCGATGGAAGGCTTCAAGCACGTTCAGCAAGTCGAGAAAATTAGCAGTGACTTCAGGGCCGGCCCCAGTCGACTTCGCGTGGCGAAGACGCCGGAGGACCTCGATCTTTCCCGGCCAGCCGGCACTGTGGCTGCTGGCATTCACCCCGCCCTCCACGCTCGACCTGAATAGCTGTGGGCTCTCCTGTTCGTCGCGGCACCTCCGGTGGAATAGGCACAGGTGTTGGTGAAAAATGGCGTACGTGCAAAGGCTAGGTTACCTGGGCTCGAGGTGAGTGTTAGAGCGGCTTTCGGGTGTATAGTGCCTCAATGCGCGGATGCAGAGTGTCGATCCAAGCAGCATGTCACTCTCAGAGTCGACTGACTGCGCCAGTCATACTACATGTAAGTTTATCATAAACACGGAAACGTATTTCTGACGTCCGACAGCGTACAAGACCGCTTCCCTCGCTGCGGCCGAGTGGACTGTCCCGTAACGCGCGGAGTTACTGGTGGTCCTCCTCTCCAAAAGCTCCTCAAGAGCCGGTAGTTGCTGAGGAGACCCTTCCTGAACAACCCGCCACTCCAGAAGAACCGCTGCTGGACACGGCAGCTCCCGCAGAAGGCACGAGCACCGCAGGGGATGTTCCACAAACGACATCGAGCTGGCCAATGTCCCGGCGGAAGTCTCATAGATGCTGCCGCTGCTGCTGCATCAATACCTCCACCCCCTCTGAACTATGGTGACCTCGCGTCGCTCGGACTGATTACATGGACGCCCGCAGGCCTTTCCCGCTGGGGTATGGAGGCCCTGCAAGTCTCGACGGGCATACCGTGGCTCTGGACGATTGTGAGCGCAACGCTCATCACGCGTGTCATCCTCTTCCCCTTCACCGTGCGGTCCATGCGCTCGACCGCCGCCTTGGCACCACACGCGGAGGAGATCAACAAGCTCCGGCTGAAGATGCAGCTCGCGCAGGAGACCAAGGACATGCTCCTCTTGCAACAGGTCGTCCTCAAACAGCGGAGCATCTACGAGAAGGCAGGCGTGAGCATGGGGTCGATGGCCCTGCTCCCCGTCGTACAGCTGCCAATTACACTAGGGTTGTTCTTCGGTGTCAAGGGGCTGTGTGACTTTCCCCTTGAGCAGCTGAAGTACACCGGTTTGTCATATTTGCCTGACTTGACGGTTGCGGATCCTACTGGTACCTTGCCCATCGCTGCCACTGTGCTCATCAACCTTCAACTCACTGTAAGATCGAAGATACCTGTCTGGAGAGCGCGTGTGCTGACCGTTCGTTCCACATAGTTGGGTGCTCGTGAGATGATGTCGTCTCCCCAGACGGCACACCTAGTCAATCTCTTCCGTGTTCTATCTCTCGTCAGTGTACCGCTTTGCTGGCATCTCCCTTCGGTGCGTATTCCATCTGTGCCTCGGTGCGTCGTGCTCATTGCCCTCTAGGGTACCATGGTGTACATCATCACGAGTATTATCGGTCTCATGGCACAAAGTCTCGTCCTGCGGTCGACCGCCATTAGGAGATTGCTGGGCATCCCCATTGTGCAGCAGCAGCACCAAACAAAACCGGCAACAATGATGGAGTCTGTCGACTTTTTGAAGCATTGGTGGCAGGACAAAAAGAAGGAGCAGGAGGCTATCATCAGGGCAAGGAATCATAGGCGGTAATGAAAACGGACTCCGTTGTGGTAGACTTACTGTACACTTGGGCTAATTGATTGCTTCACACCCTGCTCAGAAACAAGCGGTACAATGTGTGTACCACCGCTCGCTCACTCACTCTACCCGAGGTCCTCTTATGTTGCGAGCCAAAACCGGAAGCGCAAATTGCGGCTTGGCAAGATCTGCCATGGATCTTCTTGAATCTGCGATCCCTCCTGACATGACACGTGACTGTCTTCCGTTCAATCCCAGTTCTTAACGGAAGCGCCTGGGGCCTGGGCCTTGACGTGCGTCTTGCGCCAGAAGCTTTGCACTGTACGTACATAAGGAGCGCGTCGCGTAAGATGGCAAGAATCCCGGAGTATCACCCCCTTAAAACCATCCCAGAGGCGCGTATGTATCGTGGAGGCCCACCTGTAGGACACCTCTGCTCATAGGTTGCGTCCGTACTACCTATGCTCACGCGTCGGAGGGCTTTCTCCTCCTCAGCCGTTGACGACGGTTATCAGCCACTCGAAGAAGCCAACACACATCGCTACAGGCGCGTGCACAGCATTTTGTTCGAAAACTGGGCTGACTGCGAAGTAAACAACAGCGGGCACCGAGCGGGTTCATTCTTTTCCGAGGATGTCGATGAAATAGGTGTGTATGCATCTTGCTCGCACACAGGCTGCAGGTCCCTTGAACGCTCTGTTCGCAGTGGAACTGCGCGCCAGGCAGCGAACGTTTGATGGGGCGTATGCGCGGACAGCTCTGGTGAACTTCGGGTATGCCCTCACCATCTTGCGTCTGTTCGACAAACGATTCGCTCGAAGTACGTGTTCTACGACCTATTCCCTAGCCTCCTGTTGACGATGTACCCGACAGTCGGCCTCGTATACACTGTCCTTGGGGTTGCGTTGGCGGTCATCTCGTTCTTCCGTCACCGACACGCGCGACACGACTTCGCCGACGTCCACAGGAAGGAAACTTGGGACCACGCGATACTACTGTTGGGCAAACAGGAAAGCGGAACTTCGGGCGGCCTTTCATCACTGCTGGGTGGATGGTCATTGCAGTGACGATAGTCGTCGCTGCAGTCGAGATCAGTTTGCTTGTCCTTGTTTTCGATGTTCAGATAGCTGGCACCAGGATATGACCTCTGTCGCCTCGGATTACGCCTCTTGGGAGGACAACTCAGCAGCTCGGAACGTTGAGACGTATAGAAGCGCCCATAGAACCTTCAAGCTTACGAGTACGTTCCGACGAACTGCGGAAGACGCAACACGGCTCCAGCAGCGTCAGAGGTGAGGCGCTGAAGGCCCGAGAATTCGTGACCGGTGATGAGAGTTCGTTGTTCAAGATCCCGTGTTGACGTCCATCACCAGGTTGTTACCCGTTGACTCGTCTGCTCATGGATTGGCAGGACCTGTCGCACGCGTTCGATCAGACCACCACCGCGCTACCAAGGGTTTCCAAAGTCTCCACAATGTGTTTAATCCCGTGCTCTTGATGCAGCTGCCATCTCACTCACTGTGCGTTCGCCTCAGGCACAGCTGCCATTCAGCTCATCCTCAGTGTCCAAAGCGGTGGGTTGTCAGTCTCTTTGCGCCGCCGTCTTTTACAAGGTGTATGGAGAAGCCTATGGCACCTCGCTTCGAGATCGACTTACTGAGTAGGCAGTCAATTCGGCAATTCGGTGTCTCAACTGACGCAAATATCAATTTCAGGGAATTGTCCCCCCCTTCGTGTATCAATATATCACTCTTCGGCCCCCTTTGCATTTTGACTTGTCGACCTCGGTGTAAGTCATGCTTGGCGACGGCGCTTGTTCAACATCATCTGCTTCCAGGCAGCTCGCGCCCGACATTCATATAGGTACCATGAGCTCTATCGGAGGCGAAAGCTGCACGTCCGCCTTGCGTCCGCCCCCCTTCCCCACTTAACCTCTTCAGCGCTACATAGCACCGTTCCCCGAGACGATCAGAGTAACCAACGCGGGGGCGCGAACCTTGTCATACTCCGGTCTCGAAGTACGTACCTCCTTCATCGGGGGCGGGTGTCACGCTCATCCACAGACAATCCCACCAGCGATGGCACCTCCGACTTCCGCAAGAATTGGAGTGATCGGCGCGGGTGCTGCAGGCCTGATCACCGCACATACGTTGCTCCAAGACGGGTTTCAGAACGTCGAAGTCTTGACACGAGATGAGACTCCGGGTGGGGTTTGGGCCGCGAGCCGCATCTATCCAGGTTTGTCTATCAATAAGTGAGTGTCGCATTCCGCCACGACCCTTGTTTATATTGATTGGTCGTTTACATATCGTCAGCGTGCATGGGGAATTTAGGTTCTCTCCTCTACCGATGCCTCCACCTGCGAATTTCACTGTCACCGGTGGCCGGCTATCTGGCGATGACATGCGAATGTACATGGAGACGTTCGCTGCCAAGTTTCTCCCGGGGAAGATTCGATACCGAACTGAAATACTCAGCATACGTCCGTCGCAGGACGGTGCATACAGTTGGACTGTCACCGCCAGGCGTCTGAGTTCTGGCAACATCGAGAGCATTGCGTATGACAAAATCGTGTTATGTACTGGGGTAATGAGTGATCCTATTACATGCTTATGTGATACTTACATGGAATAGGGCTGCAGCGCGCCGAAGATACCAGAGCAACTGACATCCGAAAAGGCAAAGTTAGCAGGCTTCACTGGTCCTACATTGCACTCGTCCCAGTTCCGCCAGAAGCTCGATGCCGTCCTCAAAGCCGGCAAGAATAGCGGAGTTGTCGTTGTCGGAGGCGGGAAGTCAGCGCAAGAGTGGGCACTGCACCGTCTGTACGGCCATCGCACCTCGTTCTGATGTCACTATTACAGTGTTGCGGCATACCTTGCAAAATATAGCATCCGTGTCTCCATGGTTTTCACCACAACAGATGCCGTGTTAGCAACTCCTATCCCATATCCGGCGATGATCCGGAAAAGCAGGTACGGCTGCTTCCAATGTCACCTATCCCACGCGCAACTTACTTAGTCTCACTTTCGATATCCAGACTCTTGTCGGTGCTGTCTCCCCACGTGGAGCTGAGAACTGGCTTAGAGTAAGATCTTTCTCTTCCGCGAAGTGCATCTCAGGCTGATTGACTCTGCAATGACAGACGCTTCCTCCATACTACTTGGCTTGGTGCCCACATTGTACATGCCATGTGGGCTTTCTTGACTTGTGTCTCGGTAAGGACCGAATGCCCTCGCTAGATCGGATCCTGATGACTGAACCAAACCATGCTATGTAGTTTTGGGTACTCTCCGTTCCACCCAATTCGCCCTTGCGGAACGCACCGGGCCTCTTTTGGACGGTTAGCACTAATGACGAGGGGACTAGCAGAAAAGACGACTTCCACACACTGGTGAAAGACGGGAAGATTGAACTGGTTGCGCCCGCCCGCGCCGCCGGCTACGGGGCCGACGGCCAGTCCGTTCTTTTGGAGGATGGGAGGACTCTGCCAGCAAGTGCTATCATCCTAGCTACAGGATTCACATCGTCCTGGAATGGTATATTCGACGGTATGCGCCCTGCTTCGTTGACTACGGACTCCCGTTTACTGCCCGCCTCAGATGCCACCATTAGCGTCCTCCGTCTTGGCCGAAGCACAGCTAGTCTAGCCTCGCATGAGGGACATTGGAAATATGCCACCTTGGCGAGATCACCGTCCAGCACTAGCAGTCATGATCAACGAGGCCCCTCGCTCTACAGAGGAATCGTCCCAGCAAAGAACATCACTCGCAGAAATCTCGCAGTCAATGGTGCTATCGTGAGTTTCTTCGTACCATCGATGCGCACCGTGCTCTGCAGACTGATCTACATAGTTCACGACAAACAATGGGTACATTGACGAGGTCACGGCGCACTGGATCTCCTCGTACTTTCTCGAGGACAGTTTTCTCAGTCTGCCGTCGTCCCCGGAGGATGCGATGGCGTGGACTGATAGGAACGCAGCCTGGCTTCGCACACGCTATCCGGACTCTCTGTCGTACGCCAACGAAAGCTACAGTGGCGACGTAGCATTCTGGAGGTATGCGCAAAGCAGCTGTCAGTATGCGAGCGAGGCTTTGACGGTTCTGTCATATAGCTGGCCTCAGCTGGCCGACGGGTTGCTCGCGGATATGCAGCTACGAACGATGAGGAGCGGGGGAACGTCTTCACGTGGCCTTTTAAAGTCATCGACCTCGACGAAATTAAGCATCTCCGCGAAGAGCGTGCTGCGCTCAGAACTGGCAGCTCGTCGTCGTCGTCTTCGAAAGTCTCCAGTGCGAATAAAGATCAATGAGTCTGCAAAACACTTGTCTTTCAATACAGTCACGTACTATGCACAAATGAATAGCTGGATAGGATCCTCAGCATGCAACGTGTCATTCATTTCGCTCTCTTGAGTTCGGAGCTTGACGCTTGCGACTTCTGCGCTGCACACAGTGACGCCTGCGGTCTGCTCACAATTATACTACGACTATATAGCTCCACTCAGTTCACAGGTCTCTTCGGGGCTGGATCTATGCCTCGATCTGCTTGGTAGTGAGTTCCTTATGTCCCACTTCGTGTATATGACCTGAACATGGCTTTTGAAAGAAACGCTGCTGGCGCACCTTAGGTCGTACTACGACTCGGGTTCTCAATGATGACATGGCAGGCTGGGGTGACGAGCTTGTTATCAAGGTGAATACATAATATAGCTGGCGTGATCATGGTGCGTGTTCGCTGGTCACCACAGTGCATGTTGCTTACGATCATCCTGGTACTCCACGAGTCGCCTGAAGAAAGGGCGGCGATTGCTCGCAGCATACCAGCCCTTGGTCCATGCTCCCGCATTGCGTGAGCCACAGCTTGCTCCAGAGCTCGGAAATCGAACACTGATTAATTCAAATAGAATATCAACGTCACAAAGGGTTTGACGACGTTCTCCCCAAACTGGATGCTCAGCGCTCAGTCACGATGTCTATGGTATGACCCTGTACCTCAGCTCGTAACTTCACTGACTAGCCCCGCGAGAAGACGGTACGTGTAGTGCTCAGCTGTGACACTAGAAGTCTGTACTTAATCCTGCAGGAACTGCGTGCTGAGCACTAGTAGTCGGCACTTTGGTGCCTCATGTCAGCTAGTCCGAGTCCTTGCATGCTCACTGGCACTGCCAGTGCGTGTCCTCAACCGGCTTGCTTCTGAACGTTCTCTGCGGGAACTCTCAGGGGCGCAACGTAACAACAATGCCCTTTGCTCGAGTGCGGCTCACTGCTGCAACCATTGGCACGTCAAGGGGAGCGCTCAGTGGTACGCGAGTATGTGTTCATTCGATCTTCGTCACCCGGACGTTCAGAGAGTTCAGTTATTGATAGCAATCTTCAAGTTCAGTCGCCTTCCACCCACAGATGTTATGCAGTGTGATCATGACGCTGATGACAGACGGCGTTCCGTTCCTTGAGTCACGGTAGGTTCAACCCTACTATGTACACCCCGCATCGAATTCGTCCATCTCGCAGGTGAGGAACGTGCTGGGACGTGACGCTACTTTCGTAGCGGGTGCACTTTATCAAGTTTGTGCTGATTCAAAGTAGTCTTCTCAGCCTGCAATGGAGCTGAGCGGGCCCACCGTATCCCGATCTCTGCCATGTAGTCCAGACTAGTAGTCTCCGCTCACACTAGCACTGGGGTGTCTAGACTTTGGTCTGGATCATCGATGTTTCGAATGATCGCCAAGCTTAGTCATGCAAGGCCCGATAACAACTCCGCGGCGTCGATTGATTCTGTCCATGCCTTACAGAGACTGCGACCAAACTGGTGCGTCGTGTCTTCCTACTACGCAGTGTTCAGACGCATTCGTTATAGCAGCTCATTCTGATTCCTCGCTTTCAAGCGGCTCTTGATGTGACAGATTGAACACATCCATGACTCGGTAACGAAACTCATGTTGTGGATGAATTTCTGCCGAGGGGACCCCGGACCGAAGCAGCAGCACCTGACGATTTCACTCCTGTTTTCGGAGGAAGTTCAGCGGCGTGGTGGAACGCCGTCCAGTGAGCTGCGAGAAGAATGTCTGGGGCACCGCAAAGCTGACGTCAAATGTACAGGTCAAGACACGCTTGCCTGCACGCATCGTCCACGAGCCCTCAACATCCCCAAGGTCTCGGCCCATTTCCTTGTCGGTTGCCTTCAAAGCCTATCGCCCACTTTCGCCGTTCGGCACACCTCGTCACGAGCCTCGTTTGCTTCTACACACCCCGCATAAATATACCGTGGAGTCATGATTCCAGTTATTCACGACCCCCTTCCCCTTCCCTACGCTCCTCGGTTTCCCTGTACACTATGGATACCCCCGCATCGGAGAAAACGCATGTCGACTTCATGCCGGCTGATGTAGAGGCGAAGACACAGAGGCTTTCTGTGAATGAGAAAAGCCGCCATCCGCGTCTACATCTTATGCAAGTTCGGCCGTCGACACGCCTCTTGAAGACGATGACTACCCCGACGGCGGCCTGCGTGCATGGCTCGTCGTCTTCGGATGTGTGTTGTTCTCCGCAAACACACTAGGCTGGGCGTATGTCCCTGATCCGTAAACCTGATATAGGATCTACATTGATTTCTCACTTTCTACCACTTGCGGTGTTGGTGGGACGGCGTTGGGCGGACAGGCTCGTGAGCATTACGGACACACGTCCTTGATACTCCGCGTCGTTCTCCTCTTTGGTACTTATACGATGGCAGGCATGGGGCGTTGTACAGACATATTACCAGGAACACATTTTCCCCGACACATCCGATACGATTCTGTCCACGCTGGGTAGTGTGTCGGGCATGGTGAGTGTTGTGTTTTTCTAACATCTTATGTATGAGTCGCCGAGAAATTATGCAGGTCATGACGCTGGCTAGTTTCGTCACCGGCAAGATTGGAGATCGTTTGTAAGCGTTCTTACTTGGTATATGTTCATTCGTGCTCACACGAGGTTCCAGCGGATTCAAGGTAAATGGTATTTCATACTTATATGGTCCGGTTACACACACTAAAGCAGTCCAGCCCCTTCTCGCGCTGGGAGCTATATTCTGGCTAGCAGGCATGCTTGGCTCAGCATTTTGCACCGAACTGTGGCAGTTTTTCATAACGCAAGTATGTATACTGGTGGAACTGTTGTCTCCATGTTCTCACCAACTTTGCACAGGGCCTACTCCAAGGAATTGCGAATGCCCTGATATTCCCGCTTGTCGTACGTTGCCACTATCCATGGCTACAGTGTCAGGCAGTTGAAGGATTCCCGTCAGGTGTCACTACCGGCACAGTGGTTCCTCAAGTACAGAGCCTTCGCAATCGGAGTGGTGGTTGCTGGATGCTCCTTCGGTGCGATCATGCTGTCTCCCTATACTCATGACTGTTATATTGACGTTGACGTTCCAGGCGGTGCTATGGCGACTCTCATCATGTACAAGATGTTCGCCGCGCTCGGCCTGAAGAAGACTTTTGCGATCTACGCCGCTATGAACGCCGCATGCTTTATTGTAGCGCTCATCCTCATCGAGGAGAGAAGGCCAGCCTCGAAGCGTCAGAAGATCGTATGGATCGATATCACGTTCTTCAAAGACCCTGTATTCTGGAGCCTTGGTCTCTGCATTCTCTTCACGGTGTTGTCAGTGTCTCTCTCCGGTGCTCGAAGCTACATGGCTGACGGTGGATCAACAGTGGTTACTTGACACCCATCTTCCTCCTTCCCACCTATGTCATAGATGTGATGCCGGGAACAAGCGACTTTGTTCGTATCCCACATTGCCATGCTCGTCTCAATGGCTCAACTGACCGCTCTGTTAGTTCTCCGTGCTGCCTCTCATGCTCCTCAACTTCGGCGCCGCCGCAGGCCGGACATCCGTGGGGTTCATCGCCGACCGCATCGGGCCCGTCAACGCCATGCTCATCTCCGTCGGCATCTCCGGGCTCGCGCAGCTCCTGATCTGGAACTTCGTCAGGAGCTACTCCGGCATTGTACGCACTGCCACAGGGTACAGTTTCTTACTCATCCGCGTCCGTCTGACGTCCCGCAGATAGCGTTCGGGATCATATACGGCTTCTTCTGCGGCTGCTTCATATCCCTGACGCCCGCCGTGTGCGCGCAGCTGTACGGCTCGGATCGGCTGGCAGGCCTGTCTGGCATAACGCTCTTCTTCAATCTGCCCGGTACGCCGTTGGTTGCTCTCGTGCTCATGCGCCGCGCTGATCTGCTGGCGCTGCACAGGAAACGCCGCCGGGGCGCCCTTGGGCGGCGCGATCCTGAGCGGCACGGGTGGCAACTGGCACGCGGTTGCCTGCTATTCCGGTGGTATGCAGGTGCTCGGTGTGCTCCTGATGCTCTATGGTGTGTCGCGGTCATCGCCGGTCAAGATGCCACGTCTGCTGATACATGCCCTCCTAGCTCGCTTCAAGAAAGAGCGCAAACTGTTCGCGGTATACTGATCCTCATTTACAGCATGACATAAGACAGGGCTCACGCACAACATCCAGCGTGACACCTGTGACCGGGCTCGGAGTAGCCATACGAGGCAGGTATCGCACTCAACAGGCAGCTGAGCGGCTATTGCTCTTACACTCGTAAACCTATAGGAACTTGTGTTTACGATGGCTGCAAATCTGCTCGCACAGTTTTGTCCGCATTACAATTCCGCAGATACTGTGCGAAAGAACTTTTTAAAACGGCTGATCGAAGCTCCATTAGCTTAGCGCGCCAATGTCACGCAAGCTGGATGGTTGTGCGTGAGCCCTGTCTTACATCGCGACGACTTAATCACGATCACCTAACGCAAAACCCGACGAGGTGCCGATATAGAACCTTCCTCGAAGGATTGACGATTTTTCTCTCCAAGCCCCCGTAGATATAGATAGACGCGTAATGCTTCTCTGTTATCTGTTACGCTCGCAGTCCTCCTATGCCATTCTCTTCCTGCATCGGTTGGACGTGTGATAGGCTTGTCAGCGGCGATGCGAGACTCCAAGCGAAGAGAACCAGATGCAAGCACCAGGTAGAGCATTTCCATTTGGTCTCAATTCCAGACATACGCAACCAGTTAAAAGAAATATTTACACCTACTCTCGCGCGCCAAGCCAAATGCAACCCCGAGCATAAGGAGAACATTGCATACATTGCATACATAGAGGCATGATATGAGTCGTAGCAATACACAGATGATTCGCAAGCAGAGGCAGAGGCAGAGGCACAGAGACAACACAACAACAACAACAGCAGTATCCGTAAACCATAATCAGCATTAGACATTCATAAAAAGTGGCGGTGACGACGACAAGCAACCCGGCCGTCGGATTCAAGCACAGCGCATAAACCAGGACGACCCACCCGTGGACCACTCGGATATGGAGCGAATAGAAGTGTACAGTACATTATTGACGGCCCAGGCGAGGTGCAATTACGCGGGTGTGAGGTAAGGGCGAGTGTTGAGGAGGTCTATGAAGGATGCGTGGGGGGATGTAAGTTAGATGAGCTCGACGGAGCGGAGGTGAGCTTGGAGGATGCCCTCTTCGACTGGATGGAAGGTTAGCCCCTGGGGTGCTAGTGGAGAAGGACGGTGTACAGTACGTACCAATACCGAGAGTAACTGCTGTTGCTTTAGTATCCTGCGTAAACAATGATCAGGCCTCAGACTATGTCGGACACACGATGGATACTCACGATGACGGAGGTCATATGTACACGGAACTGCCGTGGCTGGGCGAATGCCGCTTCGAGATCTCCCTAAAATGCTGCGAGAAGTCTGCAGCATCCCACCGTCAGCACACCCTCCCACCCCCACATAAACGCACCACTCACACTTGCTGACCGTCTCCGCGTCGTTCGGCCTGTCGCCGAAGCTCCTAACGTGGTCCTTCACCTTCACGCCGCGCTTGAGCTTCTGGTCGAGCAGGTCGTACTTGTTCAGGAACAGGATCATCTGCGTGTTCTGGAGGAGCTTGGACGCGCAGACGAGGCGCCAGAGCATGTAGCTGTCCTCGAGCCGGTTCACCTTGCGGTCCTCCGCGAGCCGCTCGTCGAAGCACGAGATGGGCGCGAGGAAGATGATCGCGTCGCAGTCGTCGAAGTACGGGAACCACTTCGCGCGCTGTGGGGAGGGAGGGGCCGCGTGAGCATTGCGGTTCGTGATAGACTTGGGGAAAGACGATCGAGAAGGGAGGGACGCTCACCTGAGTTCGCGACCCGCCGACGTCGTACATGAGCCACTCCGTGCCCGCCGCAGGTCCTGAGGAAGGGAGAGTGAGATCGCGTGTCGTTGCCAGACCGGATTGATCGCTTACCGATCTCGAACTTTATGCCGTACTCCTGAACGCCCATCGTGCGTAACCGTGCGCGGACAATATCGTTGTCCGAGGGCTCGTATTCTCGCGCTGCGATCCGCTCCACGTCGTTCAAGAAGCTGCACATGCTCAGCCCGCATCCCATATTGAACCATGAAGGAAGAAGCCACTCACAAGCCCGGCACGCTCTCGATCACGAACTTGCGCCGCCTCAGCATCTCCTGGACCATCTCGTCCTCCCACACTTCCTGGATATCGTCCTTGCACCCCGCGAGATGTCCATTGCCTCGCGGGTTTTCGCTTCGCGGTTACGCTTGAATATGCCGTCGAAGTTGCCCTCGCTCGCCGAGCGGAGCTTGCTCTTCCACAGCGTGTGCGAGCGGATATACGCCTCCTGGGATGTACGCCCCGTCGGGCTGCGCACAGTCGAGCGCTGCAGCGGGTGCTCAATGTCCTCCGTGCCGGAGACGCCGAGCGTGTCTTCGAGGTCGCGCTGCAGCCCGCGCAGCGGAGTTAGGCGCAGCTTGAGCAGCGCGTGTCGGTCGGTGAAGCGGAGGGGGGCGGTGGACGACATGGATAGGGAGGCGGCGTGGTGAGTGAGGGCTCAGCCTCAGCCTCGGCCTCCTCGTCATCAGAGACATCGGCGTCCCCGGTGGCGGTGCTGGGATGTGAGGAGGTCCTGGACATCTCCTCGGCGAGCATGTCGAGGATAGAGTTTATGTTCCGGACGAGATTGAGTTGGATGACCGGTCCGCCATGAGTTGCGCTCTTCTGCCCACGCGTTGGCGAGTACGTTAGTTGAAAGTCTATGAAAGGGGCGTCAGATAGGTGTATGAGTGTGGCGGGATGTGCTCACTCTTGAGGGTCGTCGACTTGCCTGGAGACAGAAGTCGACAATCACGCGACGCCCGTGCGCACACGAAGATCAACAAGACGCACCGCTCTCGCTCTGGCCGAGCAGAAGGACCTTTACGGTCTGCGATCGCCTTTTTCTCTGTGCGGCCTTGTCCACTCTGAGCTGCTCGTCAATCTTCTCGCTTATCCGCCGGGCCTCGGCCTCGGCGCTGAGGCGTGCGTCGCGCTGGTCGGCTGTCTCATTTGGCGGGGCGCGATCCGCGAGGCGAGCGGGTCGTCAGCATCAAGCGGTGCACCCATGGGTGGGTATGAGGAGGGCAGGTCGAGGAGGGGTGTAATAGTGGTGGCGTGCCGCTGAGGGTTATATAGGCTGCAGCTAGGACATATGGGCGTCGCAGAGCCGCCTGGATCGAGGCTTGGCCGCAAGCGACGTCGATGCAAACAGCGAGTGCCCGTAACGAACTGACTGCCCAACGAACAATTGGTAATTAGCAACGACGATAACTCAAGCTGAGGCCTTAATACTTAGCTTGCATGCCTGCCGTAACGCAGACTAGTCTCAGCTCATTATGGTCACTCGCACGAGCTACAGCGCCGCTGCTTCTTCGAATTCTTCATTAATGACGGCGCATCTCAGAAGACAGAAACAATAACAACGGTGTCCTCGACAGTGGCAGCTGGCAATCTTTGTGTGTGCGTATGACCACATATCCAGTGCGCGCATCCACAACTCAGCCGCAGTTGCAGTTCGCGCTCATGCCACCAGCCACCGCCGCAATCACTCAGGCAGGCCTCAGGCCTCCCTGGTTGCCCTGGTGGGGCGCGTTCGCTGCACCGTGCCTGTGTTCGGCTGAACAGAACTCCCCAGCGTGCAACTCAATCTCATCACCGCCGGCATCCACTGCGGCATGTGCCCTGACACGGCGTCGCGCTGGCACACCGGGTATCCGCGCTCGCAAACGCTCCGACTCTGCAGCTCGGTGAGTCGCAACTCTGATGCAATGCAGACATTCCATATCATGATACGGTCGACAGAGTCAATACTTAGACTACCTGTGCTGGACGGTGGACTGCCACGACGACGTATCATGTCAGTGATGTCAATGCGCATCTGACAGTTCTCGCGGAAACTTCGTCGAAACTTTCCTTTGCAAGTCGGTTTGCCCGGGAACAACGACAACACGATTCAACCACGTCGCCGACTCATCACATCTGCCACCATGAAGCAAGTGGCCATACCGAGGTCAAACCTGTGCAGACCCTCATATTCCCCTGGTTCCGACCAATGGGCTCGAGCCAAGCTCGAGCATTCGAGTACGTGCTGACTCGCAGGTCTGACTAAGACGCGGAAGATCACCGTCACTCAAGGCTCTCCCGAATAGCGCGCAACGAAAACCGGCTTGTTTCCAAGTTCTACCAGATGATCTGTTACCTTGACAGCCTAGCAGCCTCCACGCGTCACATATTCGCGCAAACGTGACGTACAAGTGTCATAGCAGAACTTCGAGGCGCAAGGCGGGCCGATCGCAAGTCTCCCGCTACCGCTAGAGGTAAAAATACCTGTAGAGGCGACACAATAGCAGGCCTAGCGGGTGGTAACGACGCTTACTCTGCCTACTAGCGTCCATGCGTGCTCAATGTCGACGTCTGATGCGATCTAGAGCCTCCGCAAACACTAGCAATTTTAGCAACTTTCGCTAGATCCGCCATGCGGCCACTGTTTTCACCACGGCGTCGGCAGCCTCGAGGCGGGGCGAACACGAGCATGGCCAAACTGCATGAATGATGCGGCCCCGATCCGACGTTCGCATCTGGCATGTGCAACGCGTCGGGGGCTTTTACATCCCCCGTGTAAGTAGAAGCGGTTCCCCGAAGCCCAAGGAGCTGAGTGGGAACCAAATCGCGGAGTCCCCTCTGCACTGATGTCCATCCCACAGGTACCACGGCGACGCCGACCAGCGCACGATCTCTCCGCGCCACAGCACAGACCGTGTCTCCGCTGCACTGGATGTTGCCCCACCCGCAGTCTGCGATGCCGCAGGACGCCCTGAGGTACTGGATATCGAGGTACGGGTCGGCGTAGTCGACCGTCCCGTTGTAGAGAATGCTGTCTTGGTACTGCAAACGCCACCAATGGCCCGTCACGATGTTCCAGAGGAGAAGAAGCGACACGCACTAGTAAGTGGTGGCATCCGGAGTGCCGTTCAACGTCCAATGTTCACGGGCACGTCCCCGAGTTGGCGAAAATTTGCGATTGGCCCGCCCGGAAGGCGAGTTCAGGAAGGCGTTCTGTCAGCGAGCCTGGATGATGCTGACCAGTTCCCGCAAAAAATGATGTCGAATACGAGTTGATGTTGGGATGAGGGGGGTGAACTGTCCTAGAGTGTATCCCCAGCCGAGGTATGGATGCTGCACCGTGTTGGTCGCATTTAGATGGCGCGGAGGTCCGCGCACTGCGTCCACTCAGATCGGATCGAGGGCACGCTCCAGAACCATATGCTTGGAACAGTAAATTGGTAAAGTCCGGGGTGAATATCACAGCGCCACTTTAATGTATCGAACTGCGTGGTGGAGACCCCTCCTCCAGCAGCTCCCCTACACTGTTCGTGATGCCGATCTAGGTAAAACACCATGTAAGCACACAAATACACGCGCAGAGGTACCACGACAATAGAATATCCGAATCATTCGACACCAATGAGGTGCAATCCGAATCGCGTTGTGAGGTATCCGATGCGTAGCTGTCTGTTGACCCGGTAGCAAGGCGTTGCACTGCAGCGAAGTATGGTCGAGCCTTCGTATGACTATTTCGCAGATCCCGCTTCGAGGCAAGAGTAGATGCTCTGCGGCGAGAGGCCCTGCTGACGATGAGCTCAAGCTAGGTAGAGCTGGACATATTCAACGGTATACAAGGCAGCAGTCGCCGATCTGCCAGTGTTCGGTCGGGAGAACTTGGGAGGAACCTCGTGAGAACCCACCGAGGCGCTCGTATTCAGGCACACTAGATGCGATGGGTTTCTAAGTAGATGGATATCTTTACCTCGAACACTAGGAAGACTACCACATATCGGACGAACTTTTTCGTGGTGCCCTACGAGCCGCCTGCGCGATGACTGAAGACAGTGATACGCAACAAGAGTGGGACATACTGCTGTTGGTGATGCCTTGCTCCGCGGCGACGTTCGCCAGGTCCATCCGCAAAATCAGCATTAACAAGGCAACCTCTACGAGTGTCACGATGACCGTCAACAGAAGCACGAGCCAACTGGCTGTCGTCAACGGCCGCCCGAAGTTCTGCTTGCCACTTGGCCTACCGTGGGGAAGGCCTGTGCCCACGTCCGCCCGACATGCTTGTCGGCGAAGTCATGGCGGGATTGTCGATGGCGAAGGAAGGCAACCACGTAGAGGAGGCGGCTAGGATCGCATAAACAATGCCGACTCAACACGAGTTAGGAATACAAGCAATCAGTCAACTGAGAGATCGTCGCTCCGTGACCGATGCTACTCACTGTTCGCAAAACGCTTGTCAAAGAGACGCAGAATGGTCAAGGAGTATCCTAGGTTGACATCGCGCATCGGGTGTATGCGCCGTCAAACGTCCGTTGTCTTGCCCGGAGTTCGACTGGCAGATACGAAACCGGCACCAATGAGCGTACCGGAGTATGGCAAGACATGGATTGCTTACGCAGTGCACTGTCGTCTTCCGCGAGGTAGAATGAATCCGACCGATGTCCTCTGCAACTCATGTCAGTATTGCTCTCTGAATGCCACTGACTAGATTCACTACCTATAGAACCGGCGTGACGAGCATTCGGCACCATCGCGAGACAAGACATTGTTCGTGCAGAATTGTGAAGCGTCGTCATGGTGAAGATGTGAGAGGAAGTGGGGTGAAGACCTGCACGAGAGGAAGGGTTGCTCAATTCCGAATTGAACACAGCGCCGCATTAAATCCATGCTGCAATGTCGCTATTCGGAAATGGAGCAGCTGCACGCGCCGAACGTGCCCACGCTTCATGAGACACATGACCGTGTCCCAAACGCGACCCACTGCTATGGTCCCAACATACTGCGTTTCACAACACACTTCCCAACAGGCTGTGGCAACACAGTTGCGAGCCCATGGATGTCTGAAATTGCGAGTTTGAGACCATAATTCTTGTTCACCACAGAGATCGTCCTATGTATATACTGACAATGCAATCCAAACCAAAGCACAAAAGAATAAGATAAGACAACAAGACACGACGCACTAGAATGCTCTACGACTCCCGATCGCGGTTTTGGCCCTCGCTGTCTCTTCGCAGCATGGGGCTCGCAAGCCCTCGCTCGATCCGGCTCTGGTCGATGTCGATAACGGATTGGCTGCGTGCTGGTTCCGCGCCAGCGTTCGCCGCGCGAGTCGCCGCGGCCGTCAAGTCGACCTCCGGTCTGTCATCCGCTTCTTCGTCGGACTCGACAGGCGTGCCCAGTCGCGTCCCGTTGGTCGTGCTCATGCCAGACGTCCGTCGACCCTTCCGCGCATGCCACACGCGGCTCGCGGTTGCGTTCGAGAAGAGCGGGAGCAGGTACCGCTCGTCCAACTGTTGGAACCATTTCCCATCATCCACCCCTCCGCTGGACGGCCCAGCGACTGGTGGGCCCTCGCGCGACTTGCGTCGTCCACCCGGAGACGCCGCGCCGTTCGTCGGCGCCATCGCCAGTGGGAGAACCTCAGCATCCGACTCCAGTGAATCGGAAGATGCCGCGGAGAAGATATTGTTGTTGCTATTGGGGAGGGGCGTGTTCTGGATCTGGTGGTTGTAGAGGCGCGGGCTGTGGAAGAGCCCTGCCTGCTGCGTCGCGAACACACTGGTGTCTTCCTCGAAGGTGTTCCACCGGGAGCTGCGCCTGTTGTACCACCCAGTCCGGCCAAGTGGGAAGTCTTCGTCGTCATCACTGCTGGCCTCTTCGTCCTCCACCCCTGTTCGGATGCCCAGAACCTCCAACATCCGCGCCGTAGTGCCACCGAAGACAACTACGGTAAGCACCACCACGACAAGAACAGTGGTTCGTAATGTCTGTGCGTTGTCGCCTTTGAACCCAGCCGCAAGCGCCACACCGACTGCACCGCGGAGGCCTGCCCAGAAGAGCATCATCTGGTACGAATGCGGGAGCTCTTCCTGACGTTGCCCACGAACGTGCCGATGGAAAAGGTTAATCGCCTCGGACAAGGGGAAGACCGCCGCGTAGCGCGTGAAGACCACCGCGACCGTCGTGATCGTGATGAACAGTGGCTTGACGTAGTTCGTGACCTTCTCTGACGACGGCGGGCTCGTGAAGAGCGACAGCCCGAGGTAGATGAAGATGAAGTTCTCGGAGAGCTGCGCGAGCGTCGAGAAGATGTACTTCGTCGCGCGCTGGGTCCGCCGCGACATGGTGTGGTAGGCGTAGTGCTTCAGCGTAATGCCGCAGAATAGCAGCGACACAATGCCGGACATGGACATGCCGTTCGAGAAGAAGTAGCACGTGTAGGCGGAGAGTGCGACGAGGCACGACTCGATCGAGGGATACAGCATTAGGGACGAGTGTTTCAGGATGAGCGACATTCCGAGACCGAAGACGACGCCGAGTGCCATTGAGACACTGAAGGACAGCAAGAAGATACCGATCCCGTGGAAAAGGGATGAGACGTAGATCTCCGTTCCGTGAAATTGAGTCAGTGTCCTGAAACGACGCAATCAGCACATCGACGCTGAGGGGCCTGCGTGGCGGTACTCACTCATACATGACAATACTGACTGCATCATTCAGCAGACTCTCGCCGAAAATGACAGTGTACAGCTTGGGGTCAACCTTGTACTGGTTGAAGATGGCAAGAATAGTGACCGGATCCGTCGCGGATAGCGTTGAACCGAATATTAGGCATTCTATCAGCCCGACTTCAAGAGATTCGAGGCCTAAGAAAGAGTAGATGTACACCAGCACGCTGTGCTGGACGTGGTAAGTGGCATATCAGGACAACGCACAAGTATCGAGCATACGCACCCGACACCGACCGCCGATATGAAGGTCCCGAGGAATGCGAAGGTCAAGATTGAGCCAAAGTTTCGAAAGAAGTTTTCCTATTCACGTCTTAGAATGGAGATGACGAAGCTCTGCAAAATATTCACCTGTTTCAGCTCATAGCCGGAGTTGAGGATGATTGGTGGCAGCAAAAGGTTGAAGAACAGGGTGTGTTTGAAGGTCTACGGGACCGCGCAAGTCAATATGTCAGTACATCTCTCATGCCGATAACAGAGTTTCGTCCGGTAAGAAATGGAACGGAACCAGTCGCACAACATAACTTGTTTCGTGCGTCACAGAACATCCAACCTTGAGGCATACGTTGGCCTCCCGGACCCAATCAGTCCATGCAACTGCGTTGCATGCGCAGCATTGCTACATGCAACCAGCGCCTTTGACATAGCATAAATCATAACAGGTCTGAAGCATCACGCACATAATAGCCCATCGGCAGTCGAGTAAATCCAAAAGCTGGGAGATGTCTAAGTGGGCATACAGTACAGGCACTGTGCTGCTCGCTGTCAGTGGGGGCACAGCGGCGGAGCTGCGATGCCGAGCACTGACAAGCATGAGCCTCGCTTGAAGGGCTCGATTCTATAGCTGAGAGCGTTGACTCGAATGCATATATCGCACGTACAGGTCATTCAATAGCAAGGACGACAGCAAAGTGGTAGCTGCAGCAACCGGTCCAACCACGTTACTCGGACCGAGTACAGCGGTCGGACATGCGGTCGGATTACACGACCCAGATCTCGACTACTCCGTTTTACGCAAGAGACAACGATGCAACACAGGAAAGGGGGAACAGGAGTACTCACCAGCATTTCCCGAATCATAGTCCCCGGTGCGAGGCGCACAACCAGACCCACGATCATCCCTCCAATAATCGCGACTAGTGTCTCGTGTATTGCGCGTATTCGCTTGATTTGCAGATAGTACGAGGTGAACAGCGATAGAACGAGGAGGCCGCAGACCAGGAAGAGCGACCATGACGAATAGTACTCTTCTTCCTCTGGAGGTGCAGGGGTGATGGAAGGCGAAGGAACCGCGGTCGTGGGCGTTGGTGGGAGACTAGACGACATTAGAGCGAGATTACGAGACCTGTAGTGTACAATCCCGATTGTCGGCCCAGATGTTTGACGGCCAGGACAACCAGAGCGAACGAGTCGTGGTGGGCAAGTTGGCGGGCGAATGCTATGCCCCACGTAGAGATATAGACGCCCATCTGGCTCAGCCGTGGGCGAGGCGCTAAACAGCGTCTATACTACCGCACCGGACTCAGGGCTGTCAGTACATGTCAGTGTCAATCATGGAGCATGGTGCGTACAGTGGACAGCACTCTTCGTCTGACCACTACCCTGTGCAAGCAAGCAGTTTTCGAATCTGCGTGGAAGAGCTATGCAACGGATCAAACGAACAGTTAAACGATGGTCTGCCAGTGCGACCATTTTGAACCGTTCTTCACGGATCGTTGCGCTCACAGAAGCTGACATCGACTCTGGCAGCTGCGTGTACGATCTCAAGCACCCGCCGCCCTCGGATAACGCATCGCCCACCCATGATTTTATTGGCCAGCTGCCTTTCGAATCTTTCGATGACCCTCCAGGTCGTACCCCATCCTACGACCAAGAATCCTACTTTACTAGACCTTCGAATCGCATTTCCTACTGCGACCAAGGAACATCCCTGCTGGGTCGCTCCTTTTACGACCAAGCGCCATCCCCTCCAAAATGTCTACCCTACGGTCGTCGAAAACCATCCTCCTGGAGTCGTTCATCCCGCATCGATGTGGAATCTTTCCCTTTGTTTACCCAACTCCTCATACCCGACAATGCAAGTGCCGACAGCGACAGGCTATCGCGCCTTCCTCGAGAGCTCAACGACCGCATCCCACTTGAGATCGTCTGGCAGGTCATCGACTGGCTCGTCAGCGATAACCAGAGTCTTCTGGACTGTGCGCTTGTCTCGCATGCATGCTTCGAGTATTGCATGGGGCTCCTGTATACAGATATCGTCATCTCGCGCCAAGGGACATTCAGCCTGCTCGCACAATCGGGGTATCAGCACGCTGCTGTGAGGGAACGCCTCTCTCTCACGCGATCGCTGCAACTCGACGGGGGCAACATCGTGTTTGCTCCAGATGGCGAGAACGATGGCGAGAGAAACAGTCCGCGAAGACCCATCTCCGTAGAGAGCATTTCCCCTGGTGCATTGTTGACTCTCTGCCCATCTCTCGAGTGCCTGGCCTTCCGGAACTGCACGGCCGCCCCAGCTCATCACACATTCTTCCGGTCGCTCCGTCTCTGCACGTCGGTGACTGAGCTAACCCTCGCCAACGTCACCTTCTCCAACTTTTGCGATCTGCAACGCGCTATTTCCTGCCTGCCGCGTCTGCACAGACTGGAACTGGAGGGTATCTCGTATCCTAGCCATAAACGTCTATCTCTGGGCATTAACTTAGGCATTCGGGCTCGCGGACCGTCGCACAGCTCAGTACTGTCGCAGCTGGGTCATCTTTGCATTGGTAGCAATCTACCAGGAGACATACTCTTCGCCCTCGTAGATTGGCTCATCGCCACTCCGGCTATCTGCGAGGGAATACATACCTTGGAGGTTTGGCAGACGGACAGCTATTTATCTTCGATAAATAGGCTGCTTCAAGCCATCGGCCCATCCTTGCTAAACATGCACGAGAGAAGCAAAGTAGCGGGTAAAGAACGTGAGTGCATCTCGTGTCCTGTCATCCGTCATACGCGTTGACGAACGTCCTATCTACGTATGCAGACCCACATTTCGATCTTCGTCACAACACCCGCTTACGCCGCCTCCACTCCTACATCGAGTCGCTCGAAGAGGCCCCCGTGCAGGACACGCTCCTGCCCTTCCTCTCAACAGTCCACAGCAACCATCTCGAGGAGATCAAGCTCTCGATGTGTTTCGGGCTGCTCTTCAGCACCTCGTTCGAGGCGCGAGTTGCCAAGTCCATACCTGATCCTGGCCGCCTTGCACCGTTGCAGCGCTCCGTGTTCGCGACGCTGCGGTCTGTGGTATTGGACATAAGGCTGGGCTGGTACGCGCAGAGGGAGGATCTCTTTCTGGAGCAGATGCGCATGATGCTTGCGCCGTGGCATGCGCGTGGTATACTCACGGTCGAGAGGACCGTGGGGTTGTTCTGAACGTGACTTGCCATTCAGTTCAACTACTGTATAAGTGTGGTGTATTGCTTGATTTCTGCTGCTGAGTGCAACGACGCCTTGGAGCCACGGAGGTGACAGCACGTATGGACCATGACATCGATTACCATAACGACCTTTGAGCCTCCGACGTTTGTACTGGAACCCGATGTTTTAAATAGCTGGAACAAACACTATGTATTCGCGCCATGCCTTATGTACTGCAAGAACTTACTACAGGTTCAGCAAAAAGGCCTGCCGTCTGCGTGCCGGACAACATCCTCAGCAGCTTTCCACTTCTAGATGCTCTGAGCCGGGTTGACCAGTTCGTTGCTGTCGTCCCCGACGAAGTCCGAGTCCAACTTGCCCTCCCCCCTCCAGCAGGATTCTGCAGCCAGAACTTGACGTGATCAGACACAACCGCATGAGTTATCTTTGCACTTACTTTGCATGGTTCAAAGGTCCTTCCTTCGGCCCTGCAGGTACCCTGTGCGAGTCTCCTTGAACTCAGAAAGGTCGAGAGATGATGCGAGCTGAACCTCGCTCTTTGTCTCCACTCCCAGCTCGCCGCGCGCCTTCTGCACGATTTCCTTGACCGTCTCAGGCGGTACATATGCCATATGAAACACTCGCAGCTGTCTCGGGGGTATGCGCGAGGGGAGCGAGTTCCGCGAGCGCATGGTCGGTGTCTACCATGTATCCGGGGGCGGCGGAGATCCTGGCGTCGGGCAACACAGGTGTACATCATGTTCAATAGCAGTGTCAAATCCGACTGGACAGAAATGATAAAACACGCCATGGAAACCGAGGATTCAAAGCTACGCCATGGGGACATCAAGGGAAGGGCGCGGGTAGCGACGGCCCGTGTCTTTCCCCATTGCCCAAAATGAAGTACTGGTGACTGTGCGGTGGCTCGTATGAATGATACCTGCGAGGCAAGCGTTCAGTAAGTTTCCTTCATCAGACTCTGGCATAGCAACGACCAATCTATTATAAAGCGAAGAGGACGTCCGCATGACGGAGGCTAAGCTGTGGACGACAGGACTGAAGGGACGTCCCAATATTGACATGGATTCATTGAAGATAATCGCCGTCACGTGCGCTCCTTATGGTTCCCGCAGGGCCCAACAGCTTCTTTACCCACCGTCTGGTCTTTTTCTTCGACCACCACCTTCCCTCGTCGTCCTGCGTATACCCCTCCTCTATCCCTCAAATCCGCAATGCGTTTTTTCCTCGCTGCTCTTGCCGCTCTCCCGGCCGCGCGCGGTACGTCAATGGCGCCGTCTCTGTGTGGCTGAGGAACCGAACAACGTTGAATAGCCGCGATCACCATCCTCGCGCCCTCTGACTCTGAGTACTGGTAAGTGTGCGCTCACGGGATAATGGCAGAAGTTATTGAACCGTCGGGTTGACAGGGTCCAGAACCAGACGAACACCATCACTTGGGACTACACTCCCGGTGACCCAAACCCGATTGACATCGTTGTGTCCAACACTCAAAACACGACGCTCAATGGCAACTTCAGCATTGCGCAATATGTCAACCTCACCACGCAGGTAAGCCCGTGCGAGCCAGCCGGAATGCGTCCCCCAGCTGACCCGCACCCTCGCAGAGCTTCACAGTGTAAGCGTTGCCTCCACGTTGCGTGATTCCCACTGCTTACACACTGCCCGCCTGCCCGCAGGACGAACGTGACTCTCGTCACCGGTGGTAACTACCAGGTGAGCTTCGTGGACCCCGCGAACGCGTCGGTTGTATACGCGACGAGCGGCACGTTCTCCGTCGACGCTCCAGGCAGTAAGTCACTCCGCGCATCGTGTCATCACACACGACGGACTCTCACGCGTGGCTTCTAGCGTCTGCTGCCCCGTCCGTCTCCCCGTCCAGCGTGAGCTCTTCCGCTTCAGGCTCCGCCGCGAGCAGCACCTCGCCCTCGTCCTCCGGCAGCAGTGCGAGTACGTCCAACTCTGCGAGCGCAGCCCCCGCTCAGCTAGGCATGTCTGCCGGCGGTGTCATGGGTGTGATCGCCGCGTGCGGTGTCGCCTCATTGTCCGCGCTCCTCCTATGATCTCCACCCATTCAGACGTGGAAAAGGCCTCCCGGAGGCCCGTGGCATCACTACGGACAACCCTCTTTCTGTCTTGGGAACTCTTGTGTCTCTCTGGTGTTGAACTGTCTCGTCGCTTGAATCCCGTCCGCTCGTTGCTCGTGATGACTCCGCCATCTCTTGGGATTCGAACGTTTTGTACGGACAGTGGTCTTCTCTTGGCTGTTGTTGTTGCATCTACTGTACTTACATATGTGTGTACGCCAGGTGATGAACTTGGGTTTGATGTTCTTGACGTCCTCTGGGTCTGTTGTCTGTTCAGTGGATGCTAGAGCTTACTGTATCACTGAGGTCATAAATGACTGGTGAACCAGAAGACGCACGTATAATCATTCAGTTTCCGCGCCGGCCAGCCGAATGACCTACTTGGTACATACTGATACTTCTGTAGACGTTAACGTAGTGAGGCAAGACGCCTGCACGCGTCACGCTTCATTTATAGGTACGGTAACTCTCGGCGACGGCTAGGTTCGACACAAGCCCCTCACGTGTGAGCCGTGTGGAGGGTCTTGGTATGAGACTACGGCGACGGCGCCGTTCCTCCACTGCCAATGTGGCAGGCACGAAGGGACCGGGATATTGAGATTAGTACTGTCGTGCCTCAGCGAGGCAACACTCATTCTCTGGTATGCCATCGTTGAACACACATATCATGCTCTTACCAGTGAATACTGAGTACAGTAACCTGACCCGCAAAGGCTGAAACCTGGCCATTTGGAGAAGTACTGTACTGATAGGAGCTCAGCAGTCTAGCTCGGGACACTCTCAGATACTTAGACACGCCAGACTTCAAGCTGGCAGAGACAATTGTCGGGGTCCATGTGGCTAGTCGAGAGATGGCTGAGTTTCGCTCTCCAGCAACATAGAAATAATAGGAGATGAGGAGGGTTTTCCATCCGTGATGGGCGAGAGCCTTTCACCGGTATATAGCTATGCTCCTTGATCACAATCAAACGCAGTGGCATGAGAGGATTGACCATTAGTAGCTAGCTAGCTGCCACACCTATCCACGATCTTGCGGACACAGAGATCACAGACATAGAGATCATCGCATTGACGAGGTTTTCCGTCCTCACTGCCAGCGGACCGGCTTGCCAGACCCGGCTGACGAACTCCCAAAACACACCGATGGCCCGGAGGAGGCCCGGGACAGGAACCATTCCCATAGAACATCCGCCGATCCTTGACGACAGCAAAGGAAGGGACAAGGAACTTACGAAGGGCGCTGCATGACACCTCCTGTCAGCTGGCCTGGCAGTTCCTGTCCAGCGAAGGTACGCGGCATTGCGTACATAGTACGTCGTTCCCTCTTCGTCCCGTCAGTTTTCAGACAATCAGATAAGTCGAGAAGAAGGATCTTCGCACCTTGAGGATATATCTGTGGTGAATCAACCTTCTACATCCGCCGCAGACGAAACCTTGGTTCTTGCATATGGTGCGCGATGATAATGCCGCCCCTGAACGACCGACTGCATCTAACGCCGAGTCCCGAGAAAATTGCCAGATAGTTCGTGGATTGGACTGGCTTGTCACGATAAGGTTTCTAGCACAGGAAACTCGGAACCAGCTGTGAACAGGCAGTAACAAGTAATAGCCCGCGTTGAATGTCATAGCTAGTGAATATTTAATTTGCGGCCAACAGTGAGGACCGGTAGCACGTGTGTATCGGAGACGCTACTGTGGACGCGCTCCCGCGCGATCGTGATCGAACTCGCCAAGATACACAGCGGCCACCTTGGCGGGCAAACATTTTTCGCCCGCCCCTTGATGCGCCCTCCGGAGCCGGAGATGGGTTTTCCAAGTTTTATCGCCCGGGCACGCTATGAGGCCGATTATCAGGGCGTCGGACAGCGTGAGATCCCTCTGTCCGTTCTCCGCATCTCCAGGAGCGCCAGCTCTTCGCCTGGTCACTCGTCTAGCCTTCGCTGTCAAGTGCTATCTACCCGCTCTGCTGCGTGCGTGGCGGAACGTCAACGCGAAGCTGATAGCGGCTCCTCTAGTCTCTCCACCTCCCCAGTGCGCGTGGACCCACCTGCGAGCTCCCCCCTGCTCCAGCTTTCTTCCGTACGACCATGTCGACTTTCCCCGGAACGAAGGAGGGCCTCCCGAGCACCGACGTGGACGCGAGGTCCGTAACAAGCTCCCAGTCCCCCAATGGGAGCCTCGACGCCGACGACAGGCTGCTCGCGGAGTTTGGCTACGTGCCCTCCTTCAAGCGCGAGTTCTCCAACCTGGCGACGGTGCGCACACGATCTACGCTCGCGAGCGATCCTCCTAATCTGCGTCTGCGCACATAGATCAGCTTTGCGTTCAGTATCATGGGACTCTGCTCCAGTGTTGCGACGACGTTCAATACGCCTCTCCTTACCGGTGGCCCCGCGTCGGTGACATGGTGCTGGATCCTTGGTGCTTGCATGTGCTTCACTCTCGGTGCGTGCTTGCCCCCCATTTGTTCTGGATTGCCGTCCTGCGCGTGGGTTATCTCAAGCTTCTACGCGTGCGCTTTGATATGCGGTGACTGGACTGCTGAGTTGCTGCCACTTGGATCTTTTTCGCAGTGCCAGCCAATGGCACAGGTACCAGTCATTACAACCCTCTCACGAGAGGCTCTGTTCGAGGTATCCCATTCGCTTTATCAGGCGGCTTCTGTCGGTGTAGCGGACATTGACACGGGAGCCTCTTCGGGCGATGGTGGCTACCTGTGACGCTCAGGTGCCATCTTGTCGTCAGTCCGTTGACAGCTTTTTCCACATCGTGCCGCTGTTTCGCAGCGAACGTGTCTCAAGTGGTCACGCAAGATAATATCCTCCTCAGCCTGGTGCGCACTCAGCGTACCAGTAGCTGTATAGGTGTACGACGTGGGGGCGAAACATCGAAACCGCCACACTCCGCTTGAGTGTAATTTGACATTCAGGGAGCCTGACACGGTGGAAATAACTGTGACTGCTTGTAATCTTGTTTGCACAAACAACGCGCAACCCACCGTCTCGTCCCATGACTGCGTTTCCAAGCTCGAGCTAAGCAAGGATTCTTTTCACCGTAGGTTCTAGCATCGCCGAGATCGTCAGCGCATTCCCGACGTGCGGCGGCCTCTACACCGCGTCAGCGCAGCTCTGCCCGCCGCGCCACCGCGCCATTGTTGGCTGGATCGTCGGCTGGCTCAACCTGCTCGGTGCGTATCGAATGCTCATTCCTCATCGGGCCGGAGAATTAATGATGGGACTAATGGGTGGACAGGCCAAGTCGCTGGTTTGTCTTCGACGGAATTCGGTCTGGCCAACATGATCTGGGCGGCGGTCGTCGTTGCGAAGGTCAGGCATGCATATTGTGCCGTGCCGCACTGGAAGCTCATATTGGACTGGATGAAATTGCAGGATGGTGACTACGTCGTCACTCAAGGCATGACTGTCGGCCTGTTCGCCGGTCTTCTTGTCTTCAACGGGCTTCTCGTAAGTCATCCTTCTGTGTGAAGCGTGCTAAAGATCTGGCATTGACCGCGTGCGTGCGCGACAGAATTGCCTCGCGACGCGCCAACTCGCGCACATCACCAAGGCCTTTGTGTTCGTCAATCTCGGCGCGACTATCAGTGCGTACCCTCCTCCGTCTGGCCGCTAACGTCCGTTGACTGACCCTCACGCCCGCCCACAGTCATCATCATCGTACTCCTTGCGATGACGCCGCGCTCCGAGATGCACGCCGCCTCGTACGTCTTCGGCTCCGATGGCATCGTGAACCAGACGGGCGGGTGGAACACGGGGCTCGCGTTCCTGTTCGGGTTGCTGAGTGTCCAGTGGACGGTGAGTCACTTCCTTCTGTGGCGTAGGCGAGAGTGTGTGTGGACAGTTCGCACGGTGGTGCAGGGGCCAATGTGCACGACTGCTCGAGTACGAGATGAAAAACCTTGTTTCGCCGTGTCTCTCGCGCTGCATCGGACGGGCTGTGAACGCAACAGGTAGCGAAACTCTGTGCGGTCACCGAACCTGCTCAGGGCTGCGGTGCAGAACATTGCATGTACCGCCGTTCAAGTAGACGATTGGAGATTGGCTGCCTCCCCGTGGGTATGCCCTTCGTTGGGTGAGCTGAAACTAGAACCGGAAAGAGTCCGTCGCCGGTAGTCCCGGCTGTTGTGGAGAGGCATTGAAGCAAGGGCCGTGCGTGTGCGAGCGGGAGGAGAGCGGAGAGAAACCACGGATGTTTGCTCATGTACACCCGGTGCGACTCTGTTCCGTGCGCTCGCGGGCCCGCGGCGACGAGGTAGCTGTTTCTCGTAATGTCTTCTTTCCGCGTGTACCTTGCAATTTCCTCTATAATCTACACGAGCGCCATTCAACTTGACGCTAATTACTTTTGAATTTTGTAGATGACGGTAAGTAACTCCATGTAGGCATTTGCGCGGGAACTCATAGTAGGATAGGACTACGACGCTACCGCGCACATCTCGTACGTATCTTCTCAGTTTTCCCCACGTTTCTGTGCTCGTGAACGGCCACCGGGTCGCGGTCCGTATCTCACGAAGCCTCGTTTGCTCCGCGAATGCGCCCATAACGTACAGCATCGCTTCTACCCACATCACCTCGTTTCGAAGTGCCTCATGTAATCGGGCGTGAGAGTGGACTAGTGCGATCGCGGTCAAGCTCCGAGGAGGAGAGGTACTGTGGGGAGTGGTTCCCATTGCTGCGCTTCGCAGGAGATGCTCCGTTTTGAGTTCGGTGGCGTTGACGAGCTGCAGCTCTTTTCTTGCGGTGGCGTCGCATGCTGATAGAGAGGCCACAGGGAGGAAGTGAAGCGAGCAGCATATGCAGGTGCGCCGTCCTACTCCCTCCGTTTCGTCTATAATTCTTTTAACATGGATTTTCAATTCCAGCGCCCTCGGCTATTTTCATCGCGGGTGAGGACAGAGCGCACGTAATCTTCGATTATGTCTAGCTGACAGCGGGTACATGAACTTTCCCGGAACTGCAGTCATCGGAACAGGTTTGATCGGTTGGATTCTGAACATCGTGATGGTACTTTGCTCCGGCCCCCTGTGAGTGCGCTTATTCGACGCGAGTCTCCCCTTAGCTAACGCAATGCTGCTGACATAGGGAGAACCTTCCGGGCGCATCTGGTTCGGCCTTCCTTGAGGTATACCTGCCTCATTGTGGTCGCCTGACAATCGAGAGTTTAATTGACACCGTCGGGTCCGCAGATCATGGCGCTGCGTATAGGAAAACCTGGCGCTCTTTTCCTATGGGTTGGTACCTAGACGCTACCCTTTCGAACCCCGATGCTGATTGACGTCGGTTCAGAGCTTTGTGTGCCTGACGGCGTTTTTCGTTTGTCAAACGGCATTACAGGCCTGTTCACGGATGGTCTATGCATTCAGTCGCGATCATGGTACGTGACTCAGTCAATCCTGCCAGGTGGCATTCCGATGCGGTATTAACTGACGCGTCTCCCCAGCGCTCCCGGATCGTGAATACTTTGGACACGTAACGTCATGGACGAAGACGCCGTTGCGTGCGGTGTGGTTCACGACGTTCTTCAGTATTCTTCCCGGACTTCTGGACCTGGCGAGTCCCGTCGCAGCAAACGCCATCTTCGCCCTATGCGCTATCGCATTAGACTCCTCGTACATCATCCCTATCATCCTGTGTGTGCACCCGGCTATACGATGTGATAAGCGGGCTGACTATGCTCCTCTTGTGACCACAGGAAAAGGCTGTACAGGAACCATCCCGATGTCCATTTCAAACCAGGACCCTTTTACATGGGTGACGGACTGCTAGGTTGGACGGCGAACTTGGCGTGCATTTTCTGGACGATGTTCGTCTGCGTGATCTTCTGCATTCCGACAGAACTTCCCGTGACCCAAACGAATATGAACTACGCATCGGTACGTCCTTGCATCCGTCCTCTACGCCTCGTGTTGACAGCCTGGCCCGCACAATAGGTAATCACGGTGGGCGTGATTTTCCTCTCTGGGTGAGTCTGGTATGTTATCTCCACCGTGAATAAGTCTGACTTCCCCTAAATACAGTGTATGGTATGTGTGTGGGTACGTGTCTAATCAATTTGTTCCTCAGCTAAGCCAGCTGACGATACTTCATAGCGCACATCGCCATTACAAGGGCCCTGGTGTCAGCGGTCACGATGAACAGGAAGTGGCGTCCACCTCCCTCGATGATGAGAAAACAGGGGCGGTCTGAATGTGATTGTCATGTGTCTTAGACATGCAAGTTAGGTTTAGAACATATATCAAGTGTACGGGAGGAGGCTAGAGCGGTAATCCAACACACGTATGTTTCCTGTCGTTAGTGTTAGTGCTGCATACCGGAGATAGAGGAAGTAAGTATGCCGGACAAATCATGACGGCGCCATAGGAAGTCATATTGACGACTTATGCGATTCGGCATCCTCGGTGCGCTCATGGCGTCACCCATGTACATAACGTCAGGGAGACATAATCGCTGCTGGGTATGATCGGGAGCGGAGATCCATCGGCCCTTTACACGCTGATGCTGACATACAAGTTATGTAGTTCAATCCAGTGCGCTACGCCGCACACGTACATTACATCACCTTCGAGAAAGGTTGCAGTTCTTCTACCAGATGATCCCACTTCCCGCCGTTACGATATCGGATCCGACTCCAGGCTCCCTTTGGACCTGCCTTCTCGAACCAACAGAAGATGGCCCCGAGAACGAAGTCCGCATAACCCGGACCTTCGGTCACGCTAAACAGCCAGCGCCGCTGTCTACCACGACGCGGCAGGTTGTCGATGAGTGAGGCTAGCTTATCCAGACCTTCCTCCAAACTCCGCCAGATTGCTGGCTGCTTATGGGGAGGGAACATGTCTTCCAATGCGACGCCTTATCTACCCGTGAGCTACTGCCGTTGAGTAAGATGACAGACTGACCTAGGAAACCTTTCCGGCTTGCCATATAATATTCGAGATCGCGACCTTCCAGGATTCGCGTTGTACTAGGGACTGTCATGAAAATCATAGGGGTATAGACGTGTTCTTCCATGAAGTCGATATAGTCGAGTTGTACACCAGGGTCAGCATCGGGGAAAATCGACGGCAGAGGATGCGTCTTCTCGAGATACATGGCGATGTTCGCTGAGTCCGAGAGGGCTACGTGTAGGCCATCCATCTGGTCCACGATGGAGGGGACCGTGTAAAACGGCTTCTGAGTGCGAGTCGGGGGGACTCCTACAGCGGAGAGAACATCGCCGATATCTGGATATGACAACCAGCAGGTGGTATACGGGAGTCGTTTGTAGTTGAGGACGAAGCTGTCAACATGCATCAGACATGCACCCTAGGTGAGTATCGTGGAGCAAGTACCGTATTCTCCAGACATTAGGAGACCATGCGGGGGGATCCAATGTACATCGAACGTCATAGAGGGTGATCTCATGTTTGACAGCCATGGCTGGGTGCTATCGCGATGCAAACGGTGGAGGACAGCAATGACAACCTCTGGATGGCGATCTTATAAACTGTTTCATGCGCGCCCAGAGGCGTCGGATGTCCGAGCCATTGCGGTCCAAAGCACTCCATCGCGCTAAGTGGATGGATACAGTAGGGACACCATCCCCTAGTGAATTCCGATCATCGCCACCTCCCGAGCTCGGCACCTAGGAGCACATGTGGCCTGGTAATACGCGGGATGGCTCGTCAGAATGCCTTCTAGCTTCTTGAAAAGGTATATCATGGGTGAGAGGCCGCCCGTGTGGGTAAGGCGGCCTTGACACACCTCCGACCGGAGTAGGCGGTCTAATTGTAAAGGGAGTTGGATGGCCGCAGTGTTTGTACACTCCGGCACCGAGGGCGTAACTACCCACCGCTAAGCGTACCCCAAGGCACAAGGCAAGAATCGCTCCATTTTCCACGGTCAACCTTGTCTGGCGCTGGGAAAGGGACAGCGGCCGAATGGCGGGGTCGACGATCAACCGCACGACAAGATCCCCGGATCTCTAGATCGAGCTCATGATCAATGGAAAGACAACGTCAAGACCTGATACGTAGGCGTACTAAACCGTCCCACCAGGGCAAGGTCAACTTGAGTGATTACACGTGGTATAGCACAAGGGGCCGTGGCAGACTTGAGGATGGCGCATGCTATCGTACGACACGCGAAAGATGAATTGTGGTGCCCACGACAGTTGCGGCGGACAATTGAGATATTGTAGTCCGACTAGGCGACCGTGCCAGAGGAATGCACAGAGAACTGACCAAGAACAGAGAAGGAAAACAGGCACTTTACTCCCCGTAAGAGGTTTCGTGACCAACTATTCGTCATTCATGCCCTGCGGCTGTCCACGACACTTCCGCGTTACTCTCGGTAATACAACCATAGTGGGAGGGAGATTACCAGGATACGGCCCGCTGTACCTTGTCGGCGTCTTTGAAGCTTCGCGCCGTGTGATATCCGGACGCATTCGCCTCCTGAAAAGTCAAGGGCCACGTCCAGCAATGACAGCTCGATGTCGAGACTTTGTCGAGCCTGCATGGCCTGCGTCTAGACAGGAAAAGCGTGTAGACTGAATCAACTCCGAAGAGAGAATCTGTACTAACCACAAACACTGATCCTCGGGGCATATGTTGCTCATCTTCGCTAAGGCCCATGGCCGCGAAATGTCAGATGACAGCAACACGATTCATTTCGCATACGCCATGAGGCCATAGAGGTTGCCGTGGCGTTATATCCCGTGCAGTGTGGCGAGAACACCATTCGTCAGCTGTCCGAAGGCGTCGGCTACGCCTCAATAAGTCACTATGGTGGGCACTATTCTTGAGGAAGTCGCACCCAACATTATCACCGAGCGTCGTTATATGGCGATATTAATCACGTTGGTGGGCTAGTACCATGCCATCTAGCTGCAATGCTAGCGGACTACACATCGGCTGAGTTGGACATTGCCAGCCGACGCTGTATCTGGTGAACGGGAAAGAGATACAGGGGTCACCAAACTCTATCCTGTTGATTTGTGTGGGTCCTAGACACCCGTGCCTGTTTGCAAGGGCATTGCGCTCGAGTTTTGATGCTTGCAGTTGCGTAGGTTGAGCGATGGAATGGGCTTTTTATGAACCCCGGGAGCCGTCTACACCGTGCGACCCCGATTACGCCCTGACACAGAAGATAAGGAAGTGAGTTCCGTAAGATGAGAAGAAAACTGGAAGTTTCGCTAACCGTGACGTTAACTATACGAGCACTGATGCATACAGCACCCAGGGCATACCACCAAGTGAGCCGCTGTTTCAGACAAGTTAGCGGCGACACGACTGGTGTTGGCGATGCAAGACGCTCTGCATGTGACAATGCTGCGACCATCCGAACAAACCAATTAAACCGGAGATTATACGCGTGTACATTACATTTCAAGCAACACTTCCGCGCCCAAGAATCATTGCGCCGAAGTCGGGACCGCACCGGGCCTTTGCTTAGGCGGAGCAACAAACATTGCAGCATCCCGTCGTCTCCGGAGGTAACCTTCGTACGTCTTGCATAACCATTTGACATAGCGGATGCTGGCCTTATCGTCACTTCTCACTAATCGGGAGTGTAGAACCTCGAGATCGGTAAACGTAAGCAGCGGTGGAACGGTGTCGTCGGGAATATCCACGGAGCTGGACAACCTCACGAGCGGTCTCGCACCTTCGAGGACAGAACGAGAGGATCGGAGAGGATGTTTGGGTTCGACTCGGAGAAGCCGTCCTGGAGGGTAACGCGCAGCAAAGGATTGGACTACGTCGAGCGCACGTCGAGCCTGGCCCGTTCTAAGATACAGCCACAAATGATCAGCCCCGGGTGCTAGAAGGGATCGAATCTACACTTACAGGGACAGGATCCGAATCATAGCGACGTTTGCGCGTTCAATCAGCCGCGCGTTCAGCGTGCTGACGGCAGGGTCATTACGGTCAGACACGCCGCCCACAGACCACGCTCCCTCGATGCTTTGCCAGCTGCCCCAGATCTCTTCTGCCAGCCGGAGCGCCAGGTGTCGCTCCGACCTGTGCGATGTCGAACAACGCTCGAGCGCCTCGACATACGTCTTGGCGTCTCGCGGGACGTTCAGCTGGTCGAATAGCGTGCGATAGAGTTCACCCCAGACCTCGAATCGAGAGTGCACGTAGTGGACAGAGAGATAGGCGTTGAGGAGGCGCGTTGTCAGTGCGATATGCTGAAACGGTCCCGGGCTCAGGGTGGGCTCCTCTTGACCAAAGTCAAAGCGCTCGGCCAAGTCATGCTTCAGCCTGTTATCTTCGACAATCCGGGAGAACAGGATATCGACCTCCCTAGCAACTTCGGCACGAGACTGAGGCGGGATGTGTGAAAAGCTAGACATGTCCTCCTGCACTGGCAGGCCTGAGGACGCGAAGTCTTCCTCCATATCCGTCGCTGCCTCTGCAGCTGATGTCTCCGAGGCATCCTTGTTCTCGCTTTCCGACAGGTTCGCTTCGTTCGGGGTGGTCCTTGCGTCGGGTTCTTCGACTATCTTTGCCAGCGACGGAGTGAACGGCACTTTGTAAGACGCATACGTATGGAAGACATGCCTCATGATGCCCTCGTTGAGTAACATGTGCCAGGACTCCGGCGCATTGCGGCCGCCTGCATCCTCGGCTGCATGAGCGGCAGCCTGTGTGGTCTGCCTCACCATAACGGCGAGAAGCCAGCGGGTTCTCGCGAGGTCCCCAATTCGCTTCGCGCCTTCCAGCAGGGCGTCCACCAGCCGCCGATCAGGTCGGAAAGCGCTCATCCCCCGTGCGTCGCGGTCGCCATCTACCATCTGCTTCGCGAGCCGGAACGCCTCCCGGATATAACGCTTCTCCCCGCTGCGCGAGAGCGCGTATATCGCAGCCGAAAACGCCGCGGGAGTCGGCGCCAGCCGGTGGTCCACCGTAGCCTCTGTGAAGAGATCGAGGGCACGCTCGGGCTCCGCAGGCATCGCAGGGTGTGCACACGACCGAAGCATCAGGGTGTAGAGCGCAATGTCCGGTTCGGGGTGAACAGCGTAACGCATATGAGCAAAGAGATCCCAAGCTTGAGCGTGGCCGAGGGACGGTCTTGTCCGCGAAGACAGGAGGGCCGTGAGGACGCGGGTGTACGACTTCATCGGCGCTGGTAGCCCGCGGGATTCATACTCGTGCAGGAGTTCTTCCACACGCAGCGGGAGCGCGCCAGGAGCCAACGCCTTGCAATATGCCTTGATGTGGAAGTCTCGCTGTACTTCTGTGGGCGACGGTGCATGGGCCTGTAGCACTCTTTCCGTGCTGGTTACATCACCAACAGACGCATATGAGGCGAGAACTTCGTTGACAGCTTCCTCAAGGCCCAGCCCACCGGTTGACTGTGAACGTCAAATTCAGCAACGCAAGCGAAAAGCAGAGGAGCTCCCAACCTTCATCAGACTAAGCGCAGTCTCCGCTGTGGCGCTGTCATCGGTTCTGAACTACGACCGAAAGGCGTGAATGAGTGACAGCTCCACAAAGAAAGGGAACATAACGTACAAAAGTGCGTATGAGGGCTAGCCACTCCTCGGTAGTGAGCATGCCAGTCGGCACGGAAAGCGCAATTTCATCTACATTGCTCTCTTCGCCTTCACGCTGCGGAAGGGGCTGGTCCAAACGTTCGAGGCCTGCGGCAACCTCTCGCAGACGAGCGATTATACTGCGTGGTACGCTGACGTCTGTTGTAGACGAAGACGCCGGAGAGTCTAGGCCTTCGAGCCATCGCATTGCTATCCCTTGAAGAAGTGCTGCATCTTCTACCGCGATGTCACGCGGCTCGACAGCTTTGTCTTGCTCCGAGGGCATGGACGGGGGCAGCGCCAAAACATCCTCGTACACTTGCAGAAGGTCTTCCTCTGAGTACGACGCGGAGTCGGTGAGAGCTGTCTGTAACCTCGGTTCAGTGTTTTTCGGCGAAGCTAACCAGTACGTCAGGGACATACCTGGTCCTTCACGGCTTCCTGCAGTGCGCGGACCCGTTCCTCCAGCTCCGATAGCGCGCGGTTCTGGTTATGAAACTCCTCCTGGAAAGACACTTCGGTGGACTGCTTTGTTCTATCCGTGCCCTCTCCCTTGCTAGTGCATTGTCAGCAAGCAAGCGACCCACCACGGCCCATGCAACTCACGCTGAGTACAACGACAATGCATCATAGTCGTAGTCTGCGGGCGACTGCTGCAGCAGAACAGCGGCGCTGTGTCCATGTCTGCGAAGGACTGTCTCGCAACCTCTCCATGGACGCACGCTAGCTATAGGCGTTCGTGCGAAAACGCGACTGAGCGTAAGATCGAGTAAACCCGGTGGAAGACGCAAAGCAGTCGCCATCAAAGGCTATGACAGATCAGAGGAAGTCCAGTTAGCTCTGTGAGTAGACGGAAACACTGGAGGCACTATGGGCACAGCGTACACAGTTTGCTGGTGGGAGAGGCGCAAGCAGAACTTATCGGTTAGCGGTATGCCCAAAATTTGGTCAAGCGCCATCAAGCGCCCATAGCAAGATCTGACTTCCTAATGCAGCAAGTGCTGAACTAAGTATTACCGTGACCGCGACCTCGCCCTCGAGCTCCCTCTCATCATCCTCAGCGCGGTTCAACGGATAGACATGTCGAGTAGACGACCTGGCGACCATCTCTAAGAACGCGGACATCGACTTATTTTATTCCAGCTTCGACCGTGGTCCGCCTTCTCCTCGACTCGTCCATTCGGTCTGGCCGTGACCGCTGCTCATATCACACACAGCGGACAAATCACCTTCTGCGCAGTCCTAACATTGTGACTTACACGGTAAAAGCGTGTAGATTATCTAGATAACCGAAAATAATGTATGTTACTGTCCCGAACATTGAAAGCTAGCCAATCAGAAGCCACGCCTTTCAATGTTCCGCTGCCTAACATATGCTATTTCCGATAACCTAAATAATATACACGCTCTTACGGCGTAAGTTACAATGTAACGACTCCGAGCAAGCCGGTTTGTCCGCTGTGACAGCTGTGTCTTCATCACAGTGCTCCGAGCAGATTGAGTACCACACCACAAAGCATAGAGCCTATACTGGTAGGCTAGAGCTATAATTTAAACGTTACTGACATAGACGAGACCCTGCACTCAGGCTGAGACCGCATTGACACCCTGATTCGCGTCCACCAGCACACATCAGCATAGTCCACTAGTACTATCGCCAGGTATGAGAATTCCGAGGCGAGATCGACTTCAGGTCAAGCACTCAGTACCCTCCTTTATTGAAGAGTCAAGGAGCACCGACGCCCTCTCGCGCCAGACGGACCAAAGACATGATCAAGTCGCAAACTCCAGATCGCTCGCGCGGTGCGTTAGCGAAGGTACGTGTCGATGCTGTCCTAACAACGGGTTTTATATCTCTTCCAGTCGTGTCGTTCCGTAGTACCGTGAATGCGCTGTCAAAGAAAGCCCAGCTTGCGGCGCGTCTGTACCCTCTCCAAGCTGAATGTCTCCTCCGGAAAGGCATAGTGCAGTACCCGACTCAGGACGTCCTCACACTCCTTCCTCACAAACACCCTATAGCTACAGGCCACCAGATATGATCGTCTCACCACTATCTTGCCGCTAACAATCATTCACCAACAGCCATGCATTCCCACTTACGTCCTAGTCAAACGCAGGCTGACACGTTCAAATGCCTGTCAACGCAGCCTGAGATCCGGGCCACAGCCCTTTGTACTCGGCCTCATATTCGTACACATCTCCAACCCCACCTGATTGATTACATCGCCTCACCGAGCCCCGGGCTTACATCTCTACTCGCCGAGCGTTCTGGAGCGTCTCTCAGGTAATGCTATCCCCATTCGCTAGTCCTCGTCGGCTAACTCGAATACTTCCCCGTCAACGTTTCTGACGCTCTCAACGGTCAACGCTCCGCATGTTCTCTCGAACTCCGGTTCAAACCCTGACATTCAATGCGATACTCGCTAAACACTGCATCCCGCGTGCGCAGCAGGGCGTTAACTGACGTTCACACACCAGGGTCCTGAAATGAGTTGAGAATTCTATTGCATCGCCAGCGTGCCATAGCACGTCGGCACCACGTACACGACACATACACCTGGCTATGCATGAAGGTCCAGAACATACTTACTACGTGCAGGAAAGCGACATCGTCTCAATCCCATCGCATCATTGAGCGGATTCACCAACACGTACGTTTCCAAAATTTCCATTCTACAAATACAATATATACTAATCCCTGGAGGGTTACACTACAGTATTCATGCAGAAGAACGCGTGCATTCTACAGCTGGGTGATGGAGAGGACAGTTCAGCGCATTCACAGCTCCGACTTCTGCATCTTCTGCCCCGCCGTCTTCACCTTTTCACCGCCCGTCTCAACGCCCACACCGACATGCTCCCTCGCGCTCTCCGCGCCGCCCGTCAACTTCTCAATCACCTACAGAATGACGACGCACATGGTCAGCACGACGGCTTCGCACCGAAAGCCGTACCAAGGGCAACTTCGAACCACTCACCCTCCCAATCTGCTCCTCCGCCGCCTCCGTCGCATCATACAGCGCGCCCTTCACCTTCCCCAAGACCCTCTCAGCGCGGGTCTCCGCCTGCACGTACCGGATCCTCACCTCCTGGAGCAGGCCCGGCCGGTTCGTCGGCACCGCCTCCTCCGACAGTCCGTGCTCGCGCAGGTACGCGCGCAGCCGCGCGTCGGGCCACACGAGGTACGGCGCCGCCCGTGAGTTGTACTCCGTGTACTTGTCGTGCATCAGCTTCACCAGCTCGTCCCGCGTCTTCTGCGCGTCGCTCCGGATGTAGCCGCGCTCGATCAGCCACGCGCGCATGTCCGATTCGCTCCATGCACCCCAGAGCGTGTCTTGCGCGTGCGCGTAGTTGTCGCTGCAGCGGCCAGCAAGCTAATCAGCTCAAGTTCCCCGAAATGTGTGGCGAAGACTACTCACGCAAGCAACTTCTCGAGCTTTTCCCTCTTGACCTGTGCGTCGCCCTTGACTACGCCGTGCTCGACGAGCCACTCCTTCATCTGCGAGTCGTTCCAGCTCGACCACGCGGTTTCCTGCGAACCATAATAGTACTTCTGCATCAACGCCAAGTACTCTTCCCGCTTCTTCTGCGCGCCCGACTTGACGATGTTATGCTTGAGTAGCCATTGGTGCTGCGAGCTCCGTCAGCATACAGCCAACAATACTTGCTAGGAGAAGGCCACTCACGATATACGAGTCGCTCCACGCCTCCCAGATGGGGTTCGCAGCGGTTACGTACGTGTCGCGCATCCATTGCAACAGCTGGTTACGGGTAGCCTGCTGCTTTGTCTCGATCACGCCCTTACTCTCGAGGTACGCCCGCAGCGCATTGTCGTCCCAGGTTGAGTAGACATAATCTTTGGTGTCATCGAGCGCCTGCTCAACCTGTGCGGAGGCCGAGGTGACGGCGCTGCTCACGCTCTGGCTTGCCTGGTACTTCTTGCCGCCGTACACCGCCGAGCTGGCCCGCACACTCGCGCTGGACGCGCTCTGGCTAGCTAGGCTCGCGAGAGAAGACGCGCTGTTGCTATAGGCGGACGCGCTCGACGAAGCCTGCCCCCACTTTTGCTTGGCTAGAAGAGCGAGTTGTTCCCGGGTACCTGAGGGCTCGACGACGCCCTGCTCGAGGAGGAATTCGCGAAGGCGAGACTCGTCCCATGTGTCGAAGGTGTCCTGCTTCAAGTGACCGTAGTAGTCCCAGAAACTGGCTTGCGCCTGGCCAGCTTGGTCGGCTGCCCAGCCCGTCTGGGCGGCGCCCCATGCCGCGGCGGTGTGCGTGGCCCCCTCCCAGTTGGAGGACACAAGGGACCTGAGCTCGTTGACGGACGGTCCGGGAGTGGTGGTGGGGATGGGTACGTTGCGTGAGTCGAGCCATGCGATCAGCTCTGAGGGTGCCCAGTTGGTGTATGCTGTGATGCCGTGGTCAGCGGACGCGAGCCTTCGACTCATTTGGTCTTGTTCGCGTGGACACGTAGGTACCCAGACATTCTATGACGTGCCCTTGCATCCTTTGCCACATCTGTGACCTGGGCGGCCGCGATCGCCAGAATTGACTCTGACGCGTCCAACCCGCGAACAAGGCATCGACACTCACCTGGTGACTTCGCTGTTGATGACGACGACGATGAGCCCCATAGCGACGCCTGGGAGCCCAGGGTCATAGCGAGGAGAACAAGACTCGGAGAAAGCTTCATTATTGCGTTCGTAGTGGTGAGGATAAGAGGTCGTTAGTTCGCGTGGCAGGTCGTGAGACGGGAGAAAGAATGTGGGGACCGAGGGACAGCAGACATGGTTTATAAGGCCTCCCGCCATACCAGGTCGAACAAACGCAAGAAGCCTCGCTCTGACAGCTGAGGAGCCTCGCGACGTCATCCTCCCCGCCATGCCGCGTCATGGGCAGGGCGCGCCCCGCCCATGGCGCAGAGCACCCACCACAGGGTTAGGGTCCCGCCTTGGCTTACGTATGCACCACGATTGACTGGATACTAGTAGAAACTGATTTGGTGCAGGTCTTTGAATTTCAGAGCACGAACTCTTGAATCAGAAGGAGCATGCACACCAGTACTGTGTTTTCGCGCAGGAATGTGACCGTGGTCCGTGACAAGCCCGACCGCCACGGCCTGGGCTTCGACCCTCAAGGCCTCAAGAGTGCAGCTGCGACTCGGACTCTGAATTTGTCTGGGCACCTCACCATGTAAAGAACATAAGCAGATTCTGTGAAAATTCGTACAAAAGCTATTTCTTCTTTTCTCAAGTCAGCGACGACCTGGAGCAGGCGTTCAGTGAGCCGTCTGAGTCGGCTCAGAACTGCCCCGAATTGCAACCCAAAGCGGCTATCTTGTGTCCAAGATCATCAATTCAAGTGATGCACTGCAAGATCGTCTGTTGTTAGCGTGAACGCGTAAATTATAATGCTGAATAAGTGTGCCCTTCTGTCTCAATCTTCAACGATGGTACCCAAGCGGAGCCAAAGTCAGTGATCGAGAGCATAAGTATCGGCAAACGCTCGCGCGGGCGCTCAGGCTCTTGACGACGGACGTGTAAGTGCATCAGGCTCAGCGCACGACGAATGCGGGGCACGGTATGATGTGGTCTCCGAGTGAAATGAGTGTCGAACTAGGAACCGCCGCAAGGTACATACCAAAGGAGCGGGCCTCGGAGTCGACGACCGCGGAAGCGCCGATCATGACGATCTACGATATGATTGCCGGGGAAGCAGGGCAGCGACGGCGGGTGCATCATGGATGCACCGTCTCCTGCAACTGATGCTCATCCACCATGCTCATCCAATGTACCGACTGGTACGTGTTCGCCAGGTGTGTCGCTCGCCCAGCGCACGCAGATGGTGTATCTTGTTTTGCCTGGACTCATCTAGTCCCGGTGCCGCTCACCGAACTGACCCCATGGGAGGACTCAGCGCGACGCCATGCATTGCACGGTACGTTTGCTCGCCCACTCGTGGTGTTGTCGGACTCACCACTCGCGCGCTGTTCATCAGGCCTTATACCCTTCCGGCGCTGAACAGGCTGAACACTTCCCCCGGGACACAGCCTGGGAACACAGCGTGATGGGGGCCGTCGTATATGGGGACACACTCGTCCGATACAATCCCGCCGTCTGCCCTTATCTGACAATCCTCACCATGTCCGTCCCCCAACCCCCGACGGCGAAGGCGCCGCTTGACATCCTCATCGTCGGCTGCGGCCTCGGCGGGCTCTCAGCCGCATGCGCGCTGACCGACGCCGGCCACAAAGTCACCATGGTCGAGGCCGCAGCGACCATTGGCGATGTTGGCGCGGGCATCCAGGTCTCGCCGAATGTCACCCGCCTCCTCGTACGCTGGGGCATCGGTGATGCGCTCGCGAAGGTCGCGGTCAAGCCCGCACGGTTCGTCACGCGACGTTACAGCAATGGCAAGGTCATCGGCGTGACGCCACTCAATGGGGAGGGCATCACCACGCCGGAGCTGCCGTACTACAATGTCCACCGCGCGGACCTCCATCGTCTCCTCTATGAACGGGTCGCGCCCCGCGTAGCACTGAGGCTGAACTGCAGGGTGGTGAGTGTGGACCCGGAGGCGCCGAGCTTGACGCTGGAGTCCGGGGAGGTGTTGCACGGAGATCTGGTGATCGGCGCAGACGGTGTGCACAGTACGCTCCAGCAGGCAGTCGTGGGCCAAAAAATACCTGCCACACCGACGGGCGATGCCGCGTACCGAGCCCTGATACCCACCGAATTGCTGCTGAAAGATCCGGATCTGAAGTCGTTCGTGGAGAACCCGGAAGTGACTTCGTGGATGGGGCCGCACAGGCACATCGTCGCGTACAACGTGGTGAGTAGACGAACGCTTCTCTCGTCCGTCCCCCTCTGGCTGCCGAGCGGCTGAAGCGGCACATCCCAGCGCGCGTGCGAATTATACAACATCGTCCTGGCTCACCCTGACAAAGGTTCAGTGGAGTCATGGACCGCAGAGGGCAGCGCGGAGCTTATGAGAGCGGGCTATACGGACTTCGAGCCGAGGTGTGTCTTCGCCTTCGCCTCGATCCTCGAATACACCTACCCAGACCACGTGACGCAGAGTACAGAAGTTGCTCGGACTCATCGAGAGTACGCTCGAGTGGCGGCTGCTCGACCGCCAGCCGCTCAAGACATGGATGCATCCGGCCGGAAAGCTCACGCTTCTCGGTGATGCGTGCCATCCCATGCTTGTGCGTCTCCCGTGTCAAATCTCTTTCTCCTTCTCCGGGACTTATTCACGGTCGCTAGCCTTACCGCGCCCAAGGTGCCGCCATGGCTATGGAAGACGCTGCTATCATCGGAACCCTCCTGTCACACATCACCTCCGTCAGCCAACTCCCCAAGTTCCTCAAAGCATACGAGGACCTCCGCCTCCCCCGCGCAACCGCAATGCAGAACGAAAGCCGGCTGAACCAGCACTACGTACACATGCCGGACGGCCCGGAGCAGGAGCAGCGCGACACGGGCATATGGAACGTCTTTTCGGGCGAGAAGGAGAAGGGCCCGGAGAGCGCGGGCGAGGTGGTCGCGGGGAGCGCCGAGATCAGCGCGACGGACGCGGAATCGAAGAGCGCGGGCGGGAGGGCGTGAAGGAGAGGAAACTCGCCGAGAGCGAGAGGCAGAAGGTCGCGACGCACTTTGGGTACGACGCCATCGGGGATGCGGAACGATGGTGGCGAGACGTCGGCATCAAGGAAATTTAGCGGGCCAGCTGGGAGTGCGTGGCCATGGACGTGTATTTTGCCATGATAAAAAGGGTTATATCCCAGCATGGGGCAGCTAGGTAACGTTGTAGCGCATACTTGTTGTTGTTGCTTCACGGTTTGTACGGTTTAAATGCCAAGCAGGAAAGATAGTATGTACCTTTACCACTCAACTCTTGTTTTCACACCGGTCAGGCGGCTGAGCTGATCATGTCAAGTACACTTTCTGATCCAGAGGTGTGTACCAGCTTCGAGGGTGATCTACGCTGACGCACACAGGCCAAATACATGCATCACTTTCCTGGACATCATCCGTCGTTGTCCGAAAATCGGAAGTATATGTATGTCAACGGTCGCCGCCGTGCAAAGTCCACAACAAACGTCTCCAGTTCAGAAGATTCGTAAAGATCCGTATACTCCTCCTTGTACTCGTACATACCGTCCCAGTCTATGCCTCAGTCTCCTACCGTACCCGCGATGACACTACCATGCACGCCCCACGACACTCCCAGCCCAAAGATGACCCATCCGATCACGATGATCACCACACCTACCACCATGCTCGCCCACCTCACCCACATATACTCGGGCTCCGGCGCCTTCAGCTTCTTCTCCTTCTCCTTGTTCTCCGTCATGCCGTCGTCCAAGCGCTCCTTCGACACAGTGATGCCCGCGCGCTGCGCTAAGCGGTCGACCTCGTCGGGAACGGCCCGCGGGTTGATCTGCGAGAGGCGCGCAGCAGGGAGAAGCGAGGGTTTGAAGTAGGAAACGAGGAGGAGACCGCCGGAGATGGCGACGGAGATGAAGGCGTAGGCAAGCCAGAGGGACACGCCAGGCTCCAGGGAATTGTCGGATGTGTCGTCTTGCAGTTTCCCGGCAGCGGTCGTGATAATCACAATGGAGGCCTGAACGACGGATTCTGCCGAGAGTGCTTTAGCTCTTCTGTGCGAGTCAGCGAAGACGCGCAGGCTCACTTTTGATCGCAAATCTAGTTCAAATCGATCAGCTCCCGTAATGACGGCGTATATGGGCTACGTACCCTGTGGCGTAGTCTTGAGGATCTGGGATAATGGTTCGGACGATCTCGACTTGGGGTGCTGGTGTGACGGCCTTGAGCATACGCCATCAGTCGATCACGTCCCCACCAAAATTCCAAAATTGGTACTGACCTGTGATAATGCGTAGAAGACATACGCAGCGACTAAATACGCTAATCAGACCGGAATATACATCTCCCTGCGAGCAGCACTCACTGAAAGTAGGCACAGTTTGCGAGAACCTCAGCAGAAGCATCGACACCATGAATGTCAATCCCGAAACGAACACTGCCAGAGCCAGACCAGACACGTCAATCATGCGGTCCCACCGTCGACGACATCGACACTCACGGAAGCCGATCCGCTGCCCGAAGCAGTCAATGTAGATCCCCAGGAACGGCGTCAAACACGCGGGCAGGAGGAGATAGAAGCTCGACACCCATCCGCCAATGACCGCGCCCTTCTTCAGTCGTTGTTGCGCAAATTGCCTAAGAATCGGTGCGAAAGTGACAGCCAGCGTCAACGAGCACGATAGGCAAGCACGCGGTCACATGACATACGTCGAGATGGACACGAACGCCTGCACCCCCGCGTTCTCGAAGACAGCGAAGGCGACGACGATCCAGAAGGTGAGGGGGAGGTTGCGTATGGACCGAGGGTTGAAGCGTCGCCGGAGGTGGCCCTTGTGGGGCTTACCGTTGGTTTGGTCGGTGATGTCGTAGTGTGCCCGTAGGTAGCGGTCGAGCACAACGACGGCCGCGGCGCAGACGAAGGAAAAGCCCGCGATACCGGTGCTTATCCAGAGGGCGTAAGAATACGACCCGAAGTGAGCTGTGATGATGTTGGCTGTGGATTGACCCGTAAACTGGGCAAGGTTGGCGATACCCCTAGATGGGAACCACGTCAGGCGTTTGTGCGTAACGAATGCGGTAAATGCAAGCTACCAGATGGCACCTAGACACCATGACTCAGCAGAAGTACGGACACAACGCCGTCAAGCCTACCTATTGAAAACGCAAAGCCCCTGCCTGGAGCGAAATACGTCGAGAATATTCGGTGCTGGGCGTTGTCAATGGACCCGTCACCGATGGCAGCGATGACTTTCCCGAGAATCAGCAGCGGGTAGCTGTTCAGATTGTTGGTGGCCGCGCCTGCCATAACAAAGGAGCCTCCGAGGTGAAACCCGGCGAAGATTACCGAGAGCGGTGCTCCTCCCCACTTGTCGATACAGAATCCGAATCCAATGCATAGGAACGTATTGATCTACTTCGTTGCGTGAGCGAGAGGTACAAAGCCGTCAAAAGCCTACTGACAAGGTTAGTTATGGCGACCTGGTTCGCAGTCGTGAGCTCCAGAAGTAGCATGGTATCGTGTAGCACGTACTAGGGTGGCGAACTGGGAATTGTTAATGTGCGTCTCCTTGATGATGGTGGTCTTCAGAGCACTGCCGGGGACATGTCGGTTCGTCGACCAACACATTGGGATGGACGAATACTCACACAATCAAGCCCTGTGTTTTATACGCAATGAAGTAAACGCGACAAGATATGATGCGGGGCGCTCACATTGGACCAGTGGTTTCCAACTACAGAACACCGCTTCAAGCGTCACAACATGAGGCATGAGGAGAAGAACAAGCACGTACAAGTACACAAGCAGGTCAGGATACCGATGACAACCTGCCATGTTATGGGTAGTCGGCGCCTTGGTGGAACGCTCTTAGCAGATGAAAATGAAAGCGACTTGACGCTGTCCCGCGCCTCGGGTAGTTTCTCCTTGAGCGAGTCATGTGCATCGAGTGGGGGATATACCATGTCAATAACCAGGGAGGGGATGGTTGCTCAGCGGAGTAGAGGGAGTAACTAAGAAGGGAGGGGATGGGGGCACGGAAACGAAGTGGGCGCGCCCATCCATCTTATCAGATACCCACTCGGCCCCAGGTGCGATTGAATCTTCTTTGACAAATGGATAGACGTCCAGGGCGGCGGCTGTAATGGCGGAAGGGTGGATGAGGCCGAAGCAGGCTGGCCGCAAAGCGAACGAGCGTTTCAGCGTGGCATGACCGCACCCCAACCCGATCATGTCCTAAGAATAGCACGGACAGTGGGCCCGACACCAATCGGCACGCTGCTCCAGTGTCGTTCCCGAATAACCGCTAATCCTAAGCAAGATATAAGAAACACCACGACTGCAAACAGAAGGTGTCTCCTCACCTCTCATCGGAAATAAAGGCGGAAGCGCCAGCTGGAACCGGGACCCCCGGATATCCCTGTGGCACGCCAGACCAGATCGTAATGTCCGAACATAACACCCCCTCCGATCCGAATTATGGAGTTACTCACACCAGCTCGCGATCGACGAATGGCCCTGTACCAGCAAAGCCAGGCCATGAGGCGAGCGCAATTCCAGACATCATTGTCCGGACGAGGCTCCAAAACTTGGGGACCGAAAACATTTCGGCCAACTGAGAACGGCACAGGGAGGGACATTTGGAGGATATCCGACCAGCGAACAACATACGGGGAAAGGGTTCGATCGTCTATTTGCGGCATATCTGATAGAGGATTTGTTATCAGATAACGGCTTGCCATCTAATCAGGAGCTTCTGCTTACAGCACATCGGCCGTCGCGCGCCCGCGCTTCAAAATACGATCACTGTCATACGTCTCTCCTCGCCACCAAAGGGTCCGCTACTGAAGAAGAGCACTAGAACCCCAGCTTCACGGGCATCTGGAGTCAGCTGTGCAGAGCTTGCGGAAAAAGAGCGGAGGCCGTTGCATGCAGACGCACATCATACTGTATGTATACATACAAGCGCTTAAGCCGGTCTCGGTCGCGGAAAAGCATCCAGACCCGTGGGTACGATCTGCTGGTACGATGACATGATGCAGGGCCTGTCGGAGCCGCTGCCACGCAGGAAGCGCTACGCCAAGACGATCGTGTTCCTTCGTCGAAGCCACTGTCAGGTCAGTGTAAGCAGCGGACGAGCCACGAGGACAACGTTCCATTGAAAGCAGCGGTTTGCGGGCCCCGGGATGTTCCGCAACGTCACACAAGCATCCGTGAACTTGAAACTGCATAGATCAAGGTCAAGCAGAACAGAGCGATATTCTTGAGTAAGTCCAGGCATTGAATTACGCAGCACTGCAAAGGTCAACGTTGCGGCGAAGATACGGGCCTGTCACCTGATGTGTTCTCAGGATGTCTCGAAAAGGCAAATCCCGCCTCGCCCGACGCCCGAATCTGTTGGCCGATAATCATGATGCTCAAGATGACGCCGCCTGTGTATTATTACTCTGGATAATACATTTTGCTCTGTATCGTGGAACATACTGGCAATGCAAGTGTCGTCGCGTACCTCAGGACTACCTGACAGGACCACTGCCCTACATTCCGTTGACATCAATCCAGCCCTAGTCCTTCACTCACTCGCGCGCCACTCTAGTAAGTAGTTTCGTCAAATCGTCTGCGCGTGCCTTTTCGATACGCCCGAACCAACCTACTATCCCACAGCTGACTGGACGGAACCTTCTCCTGCACGCTGATCTACAGAACGGTATCTCCACCCCGGGTACATAGACGCGTTATATCCGCGTCCCCCCTTGGCGTCCTCCGAGTCTCATACCAAGACCCTCCACACGGCGCTCACACGTGAGGGGTTTGTGTCGAACCTATGTAGGCGTCCTCCACCTCATGGTTATGCTTCCGAAATCCGCATTGATGAGCGCACAGCTAGTTATTGCTCCAGACCGTATCCCGGGGTCATGCCTTCAGTGAACCTGGGCTGCGCTTCTAGGGCGGCCCCCACGTCGCAGGCACAATCGCGCTGCAGATGTCCACCCGCTCTTGCGGGTACCAACGGGTACCACTACCACTTGACAGACACGTATACTCTCAATCGAGTAATTCCCAATAAGTACCATGATCGCTCTTCACATGACTGTCTCGATGCCTTGTCGATTAATTGGAAGTTCGAAGTTATGACCGGATCATATACTTACAATAGATCGTCTATTAGCTAGCAGAGCGCCATTGACGTCTTCGAAGCACGCTGCACGTCGAGACCAGGTAGGGTTCCGTTACGGTGGACGAATGATATTCTGCGGGTTATTCACCATTTTCGCTTTGCGCCTTGACTTAGCCCCACAGAGCGCGCGCAGCACCAGCAGTCGGGTCGAAGTCGTACATCTTCTGTACACGTCGTCCCACTGGGATTTATTGACCAGACCTGCCTTGGAGGATGCCTACGCTCCGGTACGCTCAATACCTTGCTTCAAGCTATCCCCGTCTTCATCCCGCCATGTCGACCTTGACATCATGATTCTATTACAACTTCGATGATCCTGCCAGCATTAGTCGTGCAATGCAGGGCTGTAATCGAGGCACAGCGCGGTACGTACTGGGCTGTCACTCATACGCTTCTGAGGCACTGACTTGCCGTATGGCCTTGTGAAAGACATGCTGATACGCCTTCCTCAATCACTGCATCGATGTCAGTTGCCTCGTGCCAATGAACAAGCTATTATTATGTTTGAGCACTAGAGATCCGACATTCCCTACGGAGGAGCAAGATGAGTGAGTGTCTTGCTGGATTCAACAGCATGTCTAGATGTTGAGTGCAATACGGACGTACGTGGACAGAGCTGGCGAACTCAGTACTCATTCCTCGAGCTGTCAGCGTGGTAAGCTACCTATTCTGGTTTCGACGGCGACAAACTGGCACTACTTTCGGTATGTAATCTATCGCTTTAAGTTTGAATATAATAAGCGCACACCTACCTCAAACAGCATATACGACCAATCGATGTTTGCGAAGCAACCGCAGCTTCACACAGGACCGAAGTGTATTTTTGATTAGCACGACGGACGTAGATCAATGACAAAAGATAGCAGCACGCTCCTGAAGGGTTCAGCTGCTCGGCAGGCAGCTGAAAGGAAGCCCAAGCAGACGCGTATAAACTTCAAATTGAAGGTCCGCACCAACATCAGCCTTCGTCGTGGCATTGATCACGGAGACGCTATTGTAGCAGCCAGATGTAGCCACCACGTCGCTCTCCGCTGGCAGCGTCGTGCTCCCGCAGCTCCAGATATCCGTCGCTCCCGCATCGGCGAGGTTCCGCGAGAAAACCCACTTGTAGTCCGAAGGACTCGGGCAGTCATCGATGGGCGCATAGTTCACGTTCACGATGATACCGGGCGGAAGGACCGGGAAGAGGAAGGAGCCGAGGATCGTGTCCGTGTAGTGCACCGTGAGCGCCGCGTAGATCCAAGAGGACTCGGTCGAGGACGCCGTTGGGTCGCTCTCAAGGGTGGTGTACGAAACTTGCGAGCCCGTTCCCCCAGAGAAAGCGGTAGCAGGGATCCCTTCCTTTGCAGACTCGCAAGCAGCGCCGCTGTAGCAGGCCAATGAGCAGAGTACCCTGATTCGTGCAGTGAGAAAACGTACACGGTACCAGAGATGAGGACTACAGTCCCTAGATTATCTACCAAAGAATCATAAAGAGTGCTTTCAATAGTCGCATATTCATGAAGACGTACTGCCAATGTTCGGACCGCTTACGGTGAACTCAGGCTTGGCGCCCCAAAAGAACTTAGGTGCGAGCGTCTGGATGCCATAGCGGGCTGCATCCACTCTAATCGACGGAAATGTGAGCGGCCTAGTAAGGATGTCGGACAAAACGATACGGACGGGTAAGCATTGACGTAGTTGAAACGCGCTATGAGCGGAGTGAGGTTTTGACTTCGCCTCCGAGTCGATAATATCAATTGACTCACGATAACTTGCATTGAACCCCACTGCTGGAGATCCAACAGGGCAGGTATCATACTCGCAGGGCTCGGTGAGTACGGTGGGTGTGGCGGTCGTAGACCCGGTGCCTGACATGTTCTCTGCGTTACTTGACAAGACGACCTGATGAACACACAATCAAAAGGTTAGTGAAATGGCGCAAACAATTGATAAACTTTGTGACGCACGTCGTATCCTGCCTGAGCCAACTCCTGGTACTGTGCGCGGATCTGTGCGACAGCCCATCCATCGTCGTTCGTGAGCAGGATATTCCTGGCAAGAGACACCGATATGCACGAGAACGCGACAGCAGCGCGGAGAGCGGCGAAGCTATGCATATCGTTCTTGGCGCGGGGACCGAAGGTGAGTCGAGCGAGTAAATTGGACGAGGACCCAGGATCCCCTCGCACGACTTACTCTAATCTCAACGATGTAATTATACATACTCACATGGACGAACGTGCGTCGGCGAGCGGCAGCGCAGAGGCTTCATCAAACGACCGAAGAAAACACACGCGGCATCAGAGTTGGCTATGAATAAGTATATCAGTCCTTAGCGCGCTTGGCTTGCCCGGAATCGCGAACGTTCCTGTCGTACTTGCATATGGTGTATTCCCGGTCTGCGACAACCGTGTGCATCCGCGGACACTACACATATCTCTGGTCAAGATACCTGGAACACCGTACGTTTCTTGCCAATGAGAGACAGCTGCGACGACGTCCATTCAGGGCATGCTGCTCAGATAAAGGCACAGAAGACACGTACAGCAGGCCATTGCCTCGATTGAGAACCTCCTGAGCCGCCGCAGACGTAAACCATGGTCACAAGATGCTCATGCAAGGTCAGGACCTCATTCTCGTACAGCGGGTACAAATTGCCTGGGCTCCGCAGTGCCAGCATTCACTGGCAAGTTACCAATTGCTTATCCGTCGGAAGTCACGGTGATAGCGTACTCAGGGCCCGGCTGTGGACATTCGTACGTGGCGATTACCAGTACAAGCTAGGCTGTCGACCAAGCCAAACAAGGCATTGTGTCGACGTATCAACCACTGTGGGTTAACGTTAAACTTGGAAGTGAAAGTCCGATAGAAGTGCTCGTCGCGAAGGACTTGCCTGATTTGCGTCGAAGCAACATAAGAGTGGCTACCCACCACGCTACCCAAGAAAATCCGCTGGCTGTGCTCATTGCAAGCTGCTGTTGCGCCAGGTGAGCGCGTTCACGTATGTGGTAATCGTTCTGTCCCCTGCAATGCCACTACCGCGAACTTGCGCTCCATCTTCCTGGCACCCTTGCCCACCCTCCACCGTGTGTTAATTTCCTCAGCAGTGGCATTCCTCCCCCGCTCCAAGAGAGGCGTATAACCAGCAGCACGCTTGTACGTCCCTCCCCCTAGCGGCACAGCTAGCATGCTGTCTTTCCGGATGGGCTCCGAACCCTTGCCGCCGATCGGGAAGTAATGCGGAGGCGGACTGTGATGCTTAGCCGCAGCGCGTAGGAAATGCGCGTCAAGCGCAGTATGGATCTCCGAGCGGTCGAGCAGCGACTGGAGGTTGTTGCAAACGTTGTTCGCGAGGTATTTTTGTGAGTCGACCTCCGTCGCAGCCTCGTATTCGCCGCGCCAGGACAACGCACTCTCGTCGTAGCCCGTGTCCCAGAGCACGAGCGGCAGCGGATCCGCCATCTCGTAGTGCGGCTTTCCGGGGACGATGGGTGGCGGTGGCTCGCCTTCTCGTGAGGGAGGCTGGGGAGTGCTCGGATCGGTGTTCAGGAGCGCGTCAACGATGGACGGGTGCTCGAGCCTGGTGCCCACAAGGAAGAGTACCGCCATGATATGTCGGACTTGGTTGTAGAGGAATGCGCTGCCGACGAGATCGAGGACGTGAAGATCTGCGTTGCCCTCAACGGGGTTGACGTTCGCTGAGAGGATGCGCCGGGTGAATGAGACCAGCTGCTTCGGTGCGTCGATCTTGCAGAGATTGCGGAAGTCGTGCTCTCCGACCAACCGTGATGCCGCGTCTTGCATGGCCGAGATGTCGAGTTCGCGTGTAGAGAAAAAGTACTTGTAGTGTCGCCACCGACAGCTGAAGCGGGCGGAGAAGTCATCTGAAACAGGCGACCACGCGAGTATGCGGATGGTAGGCGGAAGGGCCCTGTTGATTCGAAAAACGTATGGGAGCTCTGACGTGGTTTCCGACGACTGTTCGAGTGCGGCGTTGGTCGGAGGCTCATCCCAGTTGCCCATCGCCCCCAGATCTCCCTCCAGCCCCGGACCGTCTTCGTTGGCAGAGCTGTCGACGGGCGACGACAGAGGAACCTCTGGTAGCATGGATGTCGCATCTTGTGAAGTCTTATCAGGCCGCCTCACCTCGCCGAGTGCGCTCCTCACCCAGAGACTGACGACCTGTGCGGCGGCACTGACTCCCTTGTCTGTCCTCCCACACCTATCCCACCCACAACCCTGGAATCCGCCAGCAGGATCAACGAGGTGACAACGCACCAAGGCATCGAACAGCACTCCCTCTACAGTGGGCAGGCGGGTCGGAAGCCCCTGGTGCTCTAGCCCCGAATAGTGCGCGCCATGATAGGTAAACTTGAGGGCGATCTTGCGTCGCGGGTAAGCGGATGGGTCGAACGTCTTGTCATTGCTCTTCTCGTTGTACAACGGTTCTCTCGGCTTGATAGTCTTGATTTGCTCTAGTTCAACGATGCGGGAGATGAGATCTTCTCGTGACCATCCCTCGAAGGCGGCGGCAGAGTGAGCCATCGTCGTGACGTTGAAGAACCTTTGCGACGCGATTAAGTCGAGCCACTGCCACTTTAACCAGCTCAATCGCATTCAGTGACACGAGCCTACTCACTCAAGCAGGGTCTTCGATTCCTGTTGAGTGAGACTCCGATGTAAATTTCGTTTGCAGTGATCTAATGGCACTACTTAGAGCAGTGAGTTTCGAGAGACCAGGTTGCAAACATTTCGCTACAGTACCGTCTGTAGTGCTGTCGGTGTCGACGATAGTGATCCTAATACATGCGCCAGAGTTGCTTCAAGTTGCCAGTCAGCCGTTGTCGTTGTCGTGTCAGTGCAGGTCAGTGCGCGCTAGAGCGTCAAATCAAAGTTACACGAGTCAGTAACACGACTTGAGCTTCCTAATTCGGTCAGGGTATGTACGCGGTACTTGACAATCACCGGGGGCAAGACGCGTAGGTCGTGGCGCGGACATGCTACGAACATGCTACGGGTTATGATACATTTTCCCACGATGTCATCACTCAGGACATGGCGGTGTCATAGGACATGGCGCCGCAATGTTCGGAGGGAAGAACATGACAACAACATCACCTTTGAACGTGACCCGGACACGACGAGTGAGCATGCCATGTTCGGAGCCAGAGCATGGCACTAACAGAGAACATGGTCTTCGCGTGATCTGTTCCAGAACATGCGAAGAACGGCCGTAATGTTCGTATCCGCGACATTCTAACGACATACTGTAAACACCAGGTATGTCGTGCGCATGTCAGGAGACCAGACATTTTACCTGTTCGGAACGCTGACAGCCTACGACCACAAACTGAACATGGTTCATGTTCTGAGGACGGACATGCGGGTGACAAGCGACGATCAGTCGACATGTTCGGGCGGCTAGCATTCTACATGTTCTGCGTATGTCTCGAGGTAGCACATGCCGAATGTTCGCATATCATATCGTACGATTCGACGTACGTATTGCCCTGATATAGGAACTGAATCAGAAGATTTGCGTACCAATACCGCCGATAATAATGAGTCGCGAGAAACAGGCGTCCTGCCATGTGCTTGGTCTCACTTACAACTCGCCATAGTCTTTGTCGCAGCCTCACTCAGCATCGGCCGTTGTTCTACCTTCCCTCCACGCCATGGACCATCCCTTGTGTGAGATCTGCAAAGGCCAACTGTTCCAGGCGCACAATGATGCCCCAAAGCCGACGTACAGCAAGGGTTGTGGTAAGTCCAAATACTTCACATTACTCCATCTCGTGTGATCCGGAGCCACGCTTGCAGGACACCTCTTCTGCAATGACTGTATAGCCGTGTACATAATTCAGAATCCACATTCCGGCTGCCCTGCCTGCGCTGCGCCATTGGAGGGACGTGCCGCGTACCTTCCAGCTTCAGTCCGAAGTGGTACCTCTCGGCCGATTTCCTTGATCAACCAGATATACGTGACCACCGAGGCCGACGACTCTGATGCTAGGATCGTGGGCGAGGTTGCGCAGTAAGCTTGGTGAACTGGGGCCAATAAACCACATACTGATTATGATCTAGGAATTCCTCGCTCCTGCAAAAGCAGCACGAGTTGGATAGCATGAATCATCGAGTACAGATGCTGAAAAGGGCGCATGATGCTTTGAAGAACGAACATGCATCAAACACCAGCATCATCGACAGTCTCATGCATCAACTCGAGGCCGCAGGCGATGTTCGCCGCGAGGCCGAGGGGTTTCGGTCGACACAACGTCGTGAATTAGGACAGCTGCGCTCCGAGAGACAGGACTTGGAGGATATACTGGACGCTATACGACTCGGAGGTGAGAAGTCGTTCTAAAGATTATGACAGCTCATCAATTCCTCCTGTTATCTGTGTAGATCGTCCTCGTCGCTGAGCGTTGCCTCGGATTCTGGTCTGAGTCCTCAGACTGCCATTCATTCAGTTCTCGCTTGCATCTAATCGGCGTTTCGGTACCGTCTCACAATTGGATGGGAAGCTCTCCTCGGCAGGTCCTCATGCAGTCTTTTAGTTTTAGTGCTTTGTATATCGCCAGAAAGTTGCTACTGTCGTAAACGAAATGATACAGCGCTCGTATGGTGACAAGCGAACCAAGGAGATGTTGGAGTTATTGTGAGCAGCTGGTCAGATTGAACACGTATGGTATGTATGGCTCGTGCATTATGTCCATGGCCATGTAAGGCAGAGTAACAGCGGCCATGGAGCCCATAGGCCATCCCACTCTGTTCAATCTATTGAGACTGCACACGAAACAGCTTTGAGGGTCAGGTTATCTCATGTACAATAGGACGGAGACATACTGACGACGACGTGTTCATCTGACACCCGCTAACGAGGTCAAACAGCAGCATTCATAGGAATCAGAGTACGCACAAAATAAACCGCCATAGCCACAGCCAGACGCAGACCACGACAGCCACAACATCGCATCGCAGCGGCGCCAGGAAAGCAGGGCAAGCGTGTATGGGCGATGGATCCGCGGGGCTTCCATGACGAACATCGTCAGTTGCACATTTGGCACGCAACACATTCGCGTCGTCCATGAACTACCGGGCGTGGTCTCTTCCGTGCTCGGAAAGAGTGTGTCGTCTTACAAGCTATCCGCACATTCTTCCTCGATGTCCATTGTTGCCCAGTCACAATGTTGTGCAGCCTACTGCACACGGATAATCTGCTCGCGGCGTAATCAATCGATTGACGAGAAATGGTGATGCACTCACCATGACATCGAGGCATCACATAAACATGCTCTCAGACAGATGTAGAATGGAGGCAGTCACCATGATCACAGCATACAAACGATACATATCGGAGTGTGATTGTAGCCAAATTGTAGCGAAGGACCGTAGAGAGACATGTACAGTGTCTCTGAGTCTCTGCAGTCGCTCCGAGTCGACGGCGCGAAGACGCGCGACGTGAGGGGAGTCATGTGACAGATTTCGCTCAGACCTTGCGAATTCACTTCGTTCTCCGTTCTGCGACTCGGCCCTCCTCTCTGGTTCGCATCTGCACTGTACAATCACTTGACGGACCAGTTATACCTACGACCAATGTACGTGAAAACTCATGCGCAGTCACATCTGAAGTTCCACTTCGCAGTTCTGCTATGTACACGCAACTCGCCCGCGCATCCCATGCCCAAATGCGGATTCATACGATAACCAGCACCGAGGGAAGGAGTCGAGAGCAGCGGGTGACACAAAGCGCGATGGAAGGGGCATTGCGGGCAAGCAAGGCGGGTGAAATAAGGGCTTGAAAGTCCAGAGTACGTCCTTGTTAAAGGTGCCTTCTACTCATCCCTTAACAGTGCCCACGCGAGGTTGGCGCGAGGATGCATATTGAACCAACAATATGCTTGTCGTACTCGCTCATCTGGCCATCTTTGATCTGCTCCCGTCCGTCCGCCCGTCTTCCCTTTCACTCATCTGCCCTCTCATTCGCCTAGTCTCGCCCGCTCGCCTTCCCATCCTGCTTGCTCACTTGCTTTGACTCTCACCCGTTCGCCAGCCGGCCTTCTCGCCGGCCCTTTTGCTCGCTTGCTGACCGTTCGCTCCCTAGCGCACTCACTTGCTGGTTCTATCGCTCACCGCCGACCCTCTCGCTCACCGCCGGCCCTCTCGCTCGCTCGCCTTCCCCGCTCTCTGCCTTGCCCGCCAGCCCTCTCATTTACTCGCCCCTTTGTCCACCATCAGTCCTCTCACCTACAGGTCTTTCCATCTACTCTACTGTCCGTCTACTTCTTTGCCCTATCCTCTCCTTGTTGTTCGCTCGCTATGCACGCTACGTGCTGCGACACCCATGCGCTGCTCCTCTCCTCCCGAACACCATTGTTGCCCTGTTGGCCGTGCAATTCCTCTCGTCATCGCACACAATGCCTTCGTGTCGCGTTCTTATATCTTGCACACACGTCCTCGCGCCATCGCCACGCATGCCCTCGAATGTCCGACAGCCGCCAGATTCTCGTGCCGCCTGTCTCGTCATCCATGCCGACCCTCTATGCCTGCAATGTTGTACTCTAAGAGTCTTCTCCCCAAATCTGATTACCAATCTCACGCGCTCGCGGCGTACGCCCTCACTTCGTTGCCGCCTGTGCCTTCGTATCATCGCCAAAAGCTTCCTGTGACTAGTCACGCCCTCGTGGTATGTGCTGAATGAAGATGCAGCCGTGTTGGACACGGAATGCTTGAGATCGCTCCTAGATGGACATCGTCGTGCATGACGGCTCCGTGGATTTCCATCGAGGTGGCGGGTTCGACCTGGACACTCGAGCGGTTCAAATCGCTCGCGTCCTCGCCTGAGTCATGAGATGCTGCATACGAACTCCCGCACAACTGATTTGCGCTTCACTTTGACGGGATTCGAGAATCACAGCAGCATACGGTGAAATTGAACTGTACGACGCGACACAGTACACGAGCATGAAACTCAGTCACCACTACTTAAGCTCGTGAGCAGGCAATTTTGTAATGTACTTAAGATGTTGATTACTGTGTGGATCGTTTCTATACGTTGTCATCGTCCTCGAGAATCGGAACGCTGAATGCGTCGGACTCCAAGGAATACTCTGTAAAACCGAAGACGACGATCATATTCAGGATGACACAAGACAAGACTAGTGATTAGTCTGCTCGTTATCAAGGTTTTCGGAGCAATACTGCGAATACAGAATGAGGTTTAGAACATACAATAAGCGCGTCGGAATCCTGGATCGTCACGGAAGTCCCTTCAGGTGCTACGGCCAGCAGCCATCTCGCTTTGCTGCGCACTTCCCCGCTGCCGTGAGCTTGCTGGTTGGGGTTCTCCTCTGGGGTCAAACCGCCCGGTCACAATGTGCCGATTAGACAGGTCATAACGTGCCGCATGGCTAAGGATAATCAGCTATTTTGGCGAGACGGCCGCTCGAAATACGACCTACGTTAGAACACGATCCGAATGAATGAGATTGACAGAGATGACCAGCGGCTTCAGCCATGCGGCCTCGAATTGGTCCATAGTTGCTGCAGCAGAGTAAAACCCAATGGGCAAGCCTGTGACCGCGGGCTTGCTGCTCTCGATATCACTCTCCAGACGGTAGTGAGGCCACCCACCCTGAGATGCTAAGTGTGCTCCCTTGTATCTCAGGAAGAGATGAAGAGCATCTAGGGTGCGCAACCAGGCAACTAGGGCGGGCGAGCGCCATGATTTCTTGCGGATGAAATAGGTCGGTTCTCCTCTACCGGCTGCGTGATCAGATTCGTCTGAGCTCATACCCTGAATACCCAAGGCTTCGACTACTTTCAGGGCGCCAGGATCAAGTGCGGAGGTAAGCTCGTGGACAGCGTTGTGGCGTCTGAGGTAGGTCTATAGTTCGTCCATGAGACGAGAGCGACAACGCACTAAGGATCTAAGTACATACCCCTCGCTTTCGTTCTTGTTGACGATGATTGCGTCGTGCATTTAGACGGACTGCCTCTGCCTGCGCCTGAGACTTGTGAAGGGCGTGAAGGTGTTCTGTGTGGCGTAGCCATATCGAGATAACTTGTTCTCTCGGGCAGTCGAGGCCAGGATATTTAGCCATGAAGTCGGTTGCGAAGACTTCTGCCACAGCTTTGTTCCATACCGATCGTGGCGTTTGGCGCGGGTCCCACTTGAAATCATCCGGACTACAGCAGGGACGTGTGGAGCGCGGGTTGAAGTTGGCGAAATCAGCATCTGAGGGTAGAATGGGAAAGCCGTCGTCATTTCTAGTGCGCCTCATCAACTGCATCCCGTGTCTCCGGATGGCTTTCTAGAAACAGAAGTAAGTATCGATATTAACCACGGCGGAGGCCTTATACGTACCTGTAAAGTGTTGACATCACGGTGTCGAGGTTGGGCTGCACGTCCATTGCGAGGGAATTGAATACGTAGATCATCGGTATCATCCTCATCGTCCGCAACGTCCCCATCCCCCGAGTTCTGCGCATTGCGACGTCGAGCGTCCGAAGATGCTCTGGCACTCGCCGCGTCGGAACGTGAGGATACGATAGTAGAGAACGTCGTTTGTAGTGTCGTGGAGAAGGTCTGCATTTTCGAATCAAGATATTGGCCGAGTTCGACGAGCCTATGGTCCATAGTGTTCTGCAGGTTCTTGATCTCTTGGTGTGAGGATGCTACACCTGCCGAACTTCCGCTAGGAACCGCTTGCGCTGCGTTAGACTGGATGGCTTGCAGCGAGGCTGAGAACGAGCTGAAAGAGCCTTCCAATGAGTGAGCCAGCGCAGAAAATCGCTCGTCCATAGCGTTGCGCAATTCGTCAACTTGGGCTACCTGAGCATTCGCTGGAGCCGAGCCAGTTCCGAAAGCTTGCAATGACTGTGCGATGCCCTCTATGCGATGTTCCAACGCACGTTGGACTTCATCCATCCTCGCGCGTGAAGACGCTGCGTTAGCCGACACTTCGGCGGCAGTCCTAGTAGTAGTTATGAGCGCTGTTTGGACCGACGCAGAGAATTCCTCCAAGGTCTGATCAACGTTCTGACTGAGCAATGCAAGTCGATCTTCCATCGATATGCGAAATCCGTCTAAATCACGGCTTGTTGCGGCAGGTAGCATATTGTAACGAATCTGGTATTTTGCGTGTAGCAACTTCAACAGATAGTTCTGTGGACTGACCCGAAAGACTCACACTTGGACTACGAATGTCAGAGTCGATAGGGGATTGTCCATTGCTGGTTCTCCTTGCACGCGGGGACTGGCTCATGTTGTCCTAAATACGTACGGCGAAGCGCACAAAAGGACGTCAGTGGCGCAAGAGCATGCGTAAACAAGATCGCACGGCACCTCTTCCTGAGCACGAGCCTTAGGTATGTTTACTCCGTCATCAGCAGAGGGGAATGGTGTTTCGAGCCAACCAGGAGGGTTTCCGTGGCCTGGGTACATCGCGTGCGCCGGCTGCCCCATACGACCCTATATACGAACAGCAGACAAAGCGAATGGAGCGACGTCAGCATCTTACAAGAACAATCACTATGCACATCACCTCTGCCGGGGAACGACGATGTTGCCTGCTGCTTCCTGCTGCTCCAAAGTCAGGGAATGGTGTGTCGAGACCAGGGGGCGACGGCTCATGGCCTGGACGCTTTGCGCGCCTTGGCCGTCCCACGTAGTCCTGTATACCCACAACAGCCAGAGTATCAGTGGCTTCCAAACACAGCGATGAGCAATAATTCAGGGTACCTCTATAGATATAGGACTGTCCTGTCTGTTGCTGTCGACCCCAGAGCCGGGGAACGGTGTATCTAGACCAGCAGGAGATTTCCTGATGTGGCTTGGGCTCATTGTGGGCACCGACTGGTCACAAGGTACACAAGGTACGAAAACGTCAGTGGCTCCCGAGAGCGGTCATGGACAAGACCTTACGAGTAATGCCTCCCCCGGGGAATGTCGCTCTTGTAAGTTGGCCTCAACGTTGGGAATCGGAGTATCAAGGTCGGGAGGGGGACCGTAATTCTGGCCAATTGCTTGTGCCACTGGCTGTCTTGCATTGACCTGTAAGTACAAAGGAGGGTTCGGGGATATATGAGTACAAAGCAGTGACGAATCACATGAGCGTTGTACCTCCGCTCTTGCAGGTGCGTGGGGAACGTGGCTACCGCGCTGAGTTACCGCTGCGCGTTGATGACCATCTTCATCTCGGCGGTGTAGCTGTGGACTCGGGACCAGTTCGACAAGCTGAGCCGGAGGGCCTAGGGGAGTGGCACTTGAGCCTCTCTGAACAAACCAATATACGATCAGTAGACAGCAGCGCCATGTAGAGGCGAAATGAAACATACCTCTTGAACAGGTGAGCTCTCCCCCGGCCGCGTAGCAAAGTCAGCGGAAGTGTCCATGGATCCGGCCGTCCCCTAGTAGCAGTCCCCTTCTCTTAACGCAACATCGCTGAGTGACGAGGTGCCCGTACCTCTGACTGAATCTCGGCATCATCTTCTTGCGCGCCCATGGCATGGTCCATTGCTTCTACTTCTTGGTGCTGCGAGTGCGGTCTGGTAATGAGCAGCAAGTTCATGTTGAGAGCAAAAACTCATTGGAGCGCACCGGGGTGTGGAAGCTCTGATCATCATCCTGGGCGTCCATTCTGCTCTCATCGGTATCGAGGCTATCAGAAACTGTGTCGTCCATTGATTCGTCCGCATCGGCCGATCTAGGAACGGGAGAAGTGGGTGACAAACTATCGCTGTACTACGTCGATACAAGATGAGCATCGTTACAATTGAATGCCAACCCCTATGAGCCTACCTGCATGGGAGTTGATTGACGTTGCACAGGAGTAACGTCTCCCTATCATTGAGTCGTTGTGAGTGCTATGACGCGCGATTACGCTGCTCAATTCCTTACCGCGGAAGTAGGACCAGACAGCAAGACGCGCAGTGCATCCGACTGTCCGTCAGCCTACAACATACTATGAGGCTTCCGTTGTTACTGGCGGCACGTAATCACAGTACCTGAGCCGATGGTGACGAAACGATCTAGGCATACAATGTCAGGGGGATGTCGTACACCTGATAAGAAATTCAAACGGGCGTACATCGTTCTCCAGGGCGCGTTGTTTGCCTTTGACCATCCGACGATGAGCGCGGCCCTCGTTATCCATCTCCACGTCCGCGTCGACATCATCTTGTGTAACGATTGGCTGGGTACGCTGCGCTTGTTCCTTGTTATGGTTTCTCGCGGGCAGACCGAACTCGGCGGAGCTACTCGGCAACCGCGAATTGCTCGGAAGGCCCATATCCTGAGGAAACCCTGGCAACGGGTCCAAGTCGACTTCATCGAGAGCCGTGGAACGTGTCGGCATTACTACGGCTATCTGGGATCCCGGAGAACGTGAGGTCGTAGCCTGCCAAATCATCTCAGTATATGACCTTAGGAGAGCGCAGGAGGAGCACTTGCACGTTCCACATCACTGCTTGCATGTTCTACATCACTGCGAGGCCCGTGTTCGAGGGGACTCATCTGCGCTGTGGGTCCAGTTGAGTATTCGTGGTTCTGGCACAATCGCACGTTTGAAACGGCGATGCTGACCTCCAAGTTGCATAGAAGCAGTCAAGGCTGGATTCGTTTGGCGAGAAGGCGCGCTTTGATCGCTTACGGTGGTCGCTGCTACAGCTGATGTTGGCGAAGTAGTGTTGAGCAACTGCGCCGACGAAAGAGATCGTCTGAGAACTGCGGAGCCTGCTGGGCGTGTAAAGGCTTACATCGGAACCAACCGCACTTCTGTGACCTGGCGTGGAGTGCAGTTCTGAACGTTCACCCACTATAGAGCCTTGGAGATCCTGAACGTTGTCGCCGACGTTCTGGGCGCCTGCAGACGTGGATCCCAGTACCACACCGCGAGCATTGCCCGCAGAAGTCGCCGCGTCGGTCTCGGCCAACGGGGCCTTGAGCCCCACCTATCATTGACTTATCAATTGACAATAAAGCAGAACAAAGCAGAATCATGACATGCCCGACGAGACAGCCGTCCTCCAGTTCCTTCTGTTGCTCCACGAATCTTCTTTACTGGGCGACCGACGTTCTGTTGATAATCAGGCAAAGGGAAGCACGGTATGAAGTTGGGCGTAGTACGCACCACCGACCCAAGCTTCGAAAATTTCTCTAATGCGTCATATCTCATCGGCTCCCACCTTCCTGCAGCATCGCCGGACGGGGATGTCGACGTCGACGGTTGATCTTGGAGGGAAGCGTCGCCTTCTTCCGCGTGCTGCGGAGCAGCGACTGCCGATGGCTTGAAATACGAACGAATATTGCTGTCCTTTATGAGGACTCGAGGCGCCATAATGACATTGCCTTTGGAATCGTGGATTTGTTGAGTCGGGAGCTCAACATGTACCCGCTTTTGTCCAAGGCCAGCGAATGGTGGACTTGGAGGAGCTTCAAGCTCGAGCTCTGGCCGAGGCGGCCTGATGGGCGAGCTAGCACCAGCGTCCCCTAAGTCAGACATCGAAGGCAGACGGCTCGCAATCCTCAGAGAGCTCAGTATTAGCACAGGCCATGCGTCGTGCTGGCACTTCTCCTGGTCTCCGTACCAGTAGGCAATGAGCTGCGGCCACCTGGAGTGGCATGTCTCACGTTGCGAACACGGGCGTAGTGCGAGACAACTCTTGCTCCCGGATGGTTAGCTTGAGCGGCGCATCATACACGCCTGCAGGCGAAGGTGGGAAGGCGCCCCGGCGGCCCCGCTGACCTGCGTATACCCAAAGCATTACTGAACGATACCTAAACCTATGGAATGAGAACCTACATGCATCCGTCAGGGTTCAATACTGGCCGTTGTAGTAGGCGTACCAGTAGTACGGCCGCATGACCTCGCGGGGCAGTCGATATCGATGAGGACAATCTATGGACATAAGTTCGCACAGCGACAGTACGGTGCCCGATGATCGAGGAGGTCCGACGGAGGTGAAGGAAACGATCTCCGAGCTTTCGTCACGGCAGCGGTGAATGACAGGCGTGGCTCCACCTCGTACTGAAGACCGTGCGGATCGCACGCGTCCTGGATAAAGCCTATCGGTAATTAAAACGGCGAGGACTTTAGCTGATTTCGCGTGTTGTCTTCTTCTGTGTGTGGCTTCCTTCGTGTGCATCTTCTTCGATCGGCGTGTCTTTCATCAGGCTTTCTTCTTTCTTCAGCGTGCCCTTTCCATTGGCCAAATTCACGCGCTCTATGCGCGGCTGCTGAAGTAGTACTGACACCGCGGAGATCAGCTTCTTCCTATACGTTGAATGGATCGATCCACGCGGTTCGTGTGCGACTTCTGTCCCAAAGGGGACCACCGCGGAGAGCAGCTTCTTCCCCGCTTCTTCCTATAGCATGCGTCCTTGACTGGAATGAATCGATCCACGCGTTTTGTGTGCGGCTTCTGTCCAGAAGGAGATCACCTTCCTAATATAGTTTGAGGGCTTGATTTGATTCACGCATTTTGTGTGCGGCTTCTGACCTAACGAAGAGTGCCTCCGGAGCTCCCTAGCCTTGGCGTATCTTTCAATATACATCGATTCACGTGTTTTGTGCACGGCTTCCGTCCTAGCGGAGAGCATCTTACGGCCCTACCCATGGAGCTGGCACGCACTTCGGCTGAATGACCAATCTCAACGCCGCCACAGTGTTGCTTGTGTCGTCATTTTGAGACATATGTTTCAGGTTGAATCGTAAGAGTAGGCAGTATGGCGGCAGTTTTCCATCAACATGTCGAGGGCATAATGCCATGATGTACATCAAACAATATCAATACCAATTGCTATCTACGCCTGACAGACAGACCGTCCCTGTCAGCTTAGACAAGGCCAGGTACTAGGGCTGGATATTAAGTCGGAGGGATTCTATCCAGTATGTCGGCAGGTATTCCGAGGGCTTCGAGGGCTTTCAAACGCGCATAGTGCAAAACAGCAGCGAGTAGCGCGTGAAATACCGCGGTTGTTGTGTACCACCCTTTCACTGCCACAGAGTACCCTTTCCTCCAGACACCGTCGACAAAAGACGTGCTGTGTGCGACCTAAATCCAAATGATTAACAGTGTTATGGAGTTTCAGAGAGGAGTACACACGTAGTTCATCAACAGCTCATACATGGCACCCCAGGGAATGTTCGTCCCGATGAGCCAAGTAGACCATGCCAATGTCACACTGCCGATTATGACGAGGGCAGCGACCAACAACCTCCATGCCTCCTCAGCGGTGGGAGCAAGCCCTCGTATTCGAACCTTTGGCATGCGAAGGGCAGCACGCCAAAATGTCAGCCGATTATCTTGCGAAGTGTCTGCGCCTAGTACGCACTACGTTATCCACGCAGCACCAGCAGAGACGTAAGCGACCTTACCGATCTTAGCCCTCCATATCTTGATGTAGACACCGGGACCCTGACTCGCCGCCCCTGTAGCGATGTAACTAAAGCCCTGCCGTTGGCATCCCTGATAGCACAATCAGGAGACGGCATGTACAACGTTCGAAGACGCACTGCAACCGCCATCACTATGTGCCCTAGCATATTCACGCCATTTAGAGTGTCAAGCCGTCAGAATCCCAAGAGAACCTCACCGCCGTGATCAAGCTGTTGGAAATAGTCTCCGGACGACGTCTCCCAGACGCAGACATTTCCCGTCGACGTGCCGCATACTATCGCGCGCCCATAACGCAGAAAGGCCACTTGTAGAGCAATCTTCGGATTCGGCGTAGCGTTGAAGCGATACGATTGCCGGGCCTTCGTACGATCGGACAGGGAATATTCAGTCAGGCCATCTTTGAAGTTATGTACCACGATGCTGCTGTAGTCCGGCGATACTGCAGAATGACCGCTGACGAGGTGGCTAAGTCATGCTTAGGGCAGTAGGCGAGTAAGGGTACACGCACATAGCTGGATGGGATTTGGGAGGCACAATGTGCCAGTTTCTGTTGCCTGTTCGAAGCTCGTAACACCTGTGCCAGTTAGACAGGCTCGATTGTGTCGTCTGAAGTACTCACATGACGCCGTGGGTCAGGTAAGTCACGATAATTTGCTGTCCGGATTCTGTGAACTTGACTGCCACGGCACGATCGCGCTTATCGTCTAAAGCGAGCCCGTCTTTCGGGTGCGGAAGCCGAGTATCGCCGTCGTACTTGTCTTGAAGAAGCTCCTGAGTATAGAGACAAGAACCCTGATGCTGACTCACTAGGGGCTGTCTCTCGCGTGATATGCACCTCAGGACCCATGCCCACGGCGAGACAACGGGTGCTCGGATGATAGTCCATACAATAGATGTGCGATCGGGCACCGAGACGAATATCGTAAACCTCGTTGTGTGTCTGTAGACATAGTACATAAACACTGCCAGGGCGCGATGGCAAGGATCAAGCATACCAAGGAAAAACCTCGAACCTGTAAAAGCGAGCCGCTTTGGCAACCAACAATCAAGGTCTCTTGTTCCACTGGGTGCCAGAGAAGGGAGTCGACGCGGCTATCGCACGTGAAACGGTATAGGTAGGTGCCGAGGGTCGCGTTCCAGATGATAACAGACTCGTCGTCAGATCCACTCGCAAGGTACAGGCCGTCCGGAGAGAACGCAAGGGCGTTGACCACGTCAGAATGGCCGCGGCTAAGATCATGCAAGAGAACGTAGGCAGTGGGGCCCATATTGTTCGAAAAACGAGCGATATCTGGGTGAAGGGATGCGGGGAGGAAAACTGCGAGTTGCTTGAAGCCAGGGCCGCAAAATGCACGCACTCTCAAAGGTCCGGAGGAATTGCGTGTTTCCTGCCGCACGGCGAGCGACGAGGCGCAGCCATGCCAACTTTGATCACCAGATGCATCTATGAACATCTCATGCCAACAGCGAGGCGCAAAGAACCCTATGGGTGGAATCCTTGTGTTAGAACTATCGCTTCCAGAGCCCGGAAGTCTAGATCCCCTTCAGGTGAGAAAGTCCCTCCAGCAAACGATTCCTGGAGGGAATCTATTTAGTGTTTGCAGCCATATCTCGAAGGCCGAATAGCTCCTACACCTCAACGCCGTGCGAGTCCCGATCTGCCGCCCCTCCTTCCATTCTCGCCGCTCGCGTTAGGAGACTCTCCCACCGTCTCATCAACCATGCGCGCCGTGTGTCCCATTTGCGTAGAGACGTTCACGGAGAGGCCTAACTCTATGCTCGTCTTGCCTGCATGCGGTAAGCTCTGTCCAACCATCACTTCAGGGCTAATGCATACCCGTGATTCCAGGCCACGCAGCTTGCTCCGCCTGTCTACGGACGGTTGCCATGAATTCCCACCTGTGCCCGCTTTGCCGAGTGCCCTTTCGGTGGTCCGACGTCATTTCTATTAAACTCAGGTTCGCAGAGGCGGAACCAAATCCCGAGCGTTATTGCAATGTGGTGCGAAGGTGTGTTCTAACGTCGGGGTCCTAGGCAGAGTCATGAGCTTGTCTGCTACAGAAAACTGGGGAAACTGCCCGCCGAGGAGCTTGACTTGCTGAAAGAGTACGATTCGGTTGTGCAAGCAATGCGCGGCCTATGCGCTCAGGTGAAAGCACAACGCTCGCGGATATCGGCGCACGAAGCAACCCTAGAGAAGATCAACCGCGACGCCAAGCTGGTACGACAGGATACGCTGAATTTGCGCGAAGAGAGCCAACGAGAGATTCTCAAATGCGCAGAGTGCATGCAGAAGATTCTGAACGAAGAGGTGAGGTGTATGGTGTTGCTGCCATGAGAACAAGGCTTAGCTTATCTGGACTCCAGGCTGATGTTGGCGGGGACATCAACACACGGCGCCCACTCCGTCGCGTCGGGGACCGCCACCAATCTACCTAGTTATGCGCCGAGAACTTGCTTCGTACGTTTTGTGGCACTTCGCTATGCTTCCTCTCTTGAAGCCCGAGGGACGCTGCGCAGCTCCGAGCCGTCTCGGCCCTCCGTGAATCGTGATTAGAGCGGGCGGCCAGTGCAAGCTCGCATGGGCGAGATATGGGAAGCGCGAAAGAGGATGAGGTGCAGAGCGCTGCGGTTGCGCCCGATGTTAGTCATCGAACGTTCATGTACTAGTACTGGTGTTCTGCCTTGAGGAGGACTTTCAGACGTTCTGCCAGAGCTCGTCTGCATGGGTGGAGATCCTCCATAGATCTATAATCGATCATTCAACGATCATCCGTTCTGCGCGTGTACACGTGACTTTTCAACGAAGAACAACGCTCTCGCTGTCACCTGTGAAGCTTTCAAGCTTCAAGCTGCACTCCTCCCCCCTCAGGCCTCAGTACTCAGCCCCGGGCCCGCAGCCTCCGAGCCTTCGGAACCCGGAGCCTCACGCTGGTCTCCTCATTCGTGAAAAGCACCCGGTGAGCCATCTTCGTGCCTCCAGCGCGCCCGTTGAGGTTGTAAGGCGTACGGTCGAGTGGAGTCCAACATCCCGCGCCTTGCATCGCTTCGGGAACGGCTGGACAGCGAGCCGCTATAGTTTGCTGACATGTAACGGTTGCAGGCTTCGTCCACAAGTCGTTGCATCGCCTCCGTCACCATGGTACGCCCCCTTAGTCCCACAACTTTCTCCTCCTGTTTGACCGAGTTGCCAAGGATCCCTTGGTCGCGCAAGGGCTGGCTTTCTTTAAGGATAGGCTTGAGCTCGTATGGGATGAAGAGGCCGTCGACGACGGGGTCATGGGGTCATCCGCCTCAGCAGACCAGGCCCCGGCCTTGGAGGAAAGAGGCCTTGCAGGCTCTGACTTTGTTGCCCACGAGGACAGGTATGTGACGGTTCATGGCGTTGCGCTGGCGACGCGATCGTGCTAACATCCTCGCACGGCGGTGGCCCAGCTCAGTACCTTCGATGTCAGGCCCTATGCGCCTCAATAAGAAGCAGGCCCGCAAATCTCGGCGCCAAGGCCCACGCAGCGCCGCTCGCGCCGCTGCGTGGATAGTGCGGAAGGAAGCACAGGCGTTGCTCACGGCAGCGGAACGTTGTGCGCTCGAAGACATGCCTCTCTCCGGCGGCTTCATCGGCCACCGAAAGGTGCGTCTTGCAGCGACAGAGCATGATGCGGACCCCCTACAAAGTGGGCTGGTGGTTCATCACAGCGAGGGGTGCGTCGATCTGTTACGCGACCTGCCGGGTTGGGCGCTGGGGTTGACGTGATAATAGCAGGGCCGCCGAAGTTGTCGACCGCGCGGGCCGCTTGGTTGTGTATCGTGCATGGCAAGGCGTGGCCACAGAGGAGGCCAACGACCTTCTGACGGCCGCCGCTGCATACCTGGGCCAAGTCGGCGTCAAACCGACGTACTCTGTCTCCAAGCGCGGCGCTTTCGCGCAATACTACTTCACGCTACACAAGGATAACCAGCCTGTACGTCTATTCAGACGGTGCTTCGGCTGTTGTAACATCTCACGCGCTGCGTAGAAGCCGAGGCTGTCAAAGTATTTTTGTGATCACGCTGAGGTGGCCCACGAGCTCGCTCGGCGATTGGCACCTGTCATCCTCCTGGTCTCAAGTAAGATTTCCTGTTCCTGTCTTTTGCCGGCTTCCTCATCTCATGTCTTTGGAGGAATCTTCCGCCGTGTTTTTCCCGAACTTCACAAATACTATGCCAGCGCACTCGACTTCGCCCTTCGCAACGACGCCTCGTTAGATGCACTTTTCTACCCTTTCGCGTCCTTCGCTTTGAATATGGGAGAGGTCATCTGCGCGCGGCACCTCGATTGTACGAACCTGGGCCCGGGTTTATGTTGCATCATCCCTTTCGGACAGTACGACCCGTCTTCTGACTGCCGAATTGGCCTTGCGGAGTTAGGTTGCGAGGTAGAGGTCGCACCGGGTGTACCCTTATGGATACCATCGGCTGCGTTCACGCACTACAACACCGCACTGGTGACGGGCGGGGCATGGCGAGGCTCGGCGGTGTTTTGGACCGGCGGCACCATGTTCCAGTATCATGAACTTGGCGGGCGCATGGTTTCAGAGCTCAGCGTGACTGAAAGGTCGGAATATCAGGCAGCCCGCGACTCACGCATTGCCGCTGGGATTGCACGCTTTCCGGAGCGTTCTCCTGTATGATGACTTTCGCTGGCTCAATTAGGACTAGTACTTACTGGTCTGCGTAGTACTAGTACTACCGCGGTGGTTTCAAGCGCCTGTCCCCTGCTGTGATGTGTGATAGACTCGGACGACGCCGCACGCAATAGCACGAAGTATGCATGAAAACCGACCGCCTGATCAATGTGGTGCGGGCAGATCTAGATCGGCATGAGCGTACGCCTGCCTTGTTGCCTAGCCGCGACAACTTACGAGATAGAAGGTGCGATACCGTGCTATGGGTTGCACGATGCTGGGTTTATATTTGTGTGAGCCCACCGATTAGTCGCAGATCTTCTAAATCAGGACAATCGACTGTATGCACATGTCTCGAATACTGGTCGGAGCGAACAAGTCAACGGCGAACGGTTGTATGAAACGGATTACACCGGAGGATGGCCCAGAGGTCCGACATCGCAAGTACTAGCCCTGGTGAGTCGTGGCTACTAAGCGCATCGGCAGGTTTTCATGAATCCTTCGTGACCGCAGGCGCGAAGATGCGGCCTCGAGGCACACAACGGGTACGTCGCAGAGGGAGCCGAGAACTTGAACCAGATATCAGCAGAGCTCAGGCTCCTAGGCCTAGCTGAACAAGCCCGTCTCTGTCGCCTTCTGGATGAAGATGAGCGACACAATCCCCACTGCGGCTGACCAGCCAGAACCATCCCCCAGAGACACAACTACGCAACCCGAAGGGCCTGCTGCCGGCGATGCCCCACAGCGCGTCGTGGACAGCTCGAGGGTGCTCGAAGCCGCCATGGACAACGTTCGTCGCTCGACTGCCTTGGCACGCGACTTCGCTCGAGTCTACAGGCACGAAGGGCTTGCCGCCGCCTCTGCGCCTCTGCGCGTCATAGACGGCCCGTTGCTCGACGCAGTGGACAACGCTCGTCCCGAGGCTTCCTGGGTACGACGCTTTTGTCGAATCACGATTGTGCCTGCTAACATACGACAACTAGGGCGATTGGTGCGATCTGCGCACTTTCGCGATCATCATCGCTGTGTACTGCATGCCGGTCCTCTTTGCGATCTGGTACATGCCTGCTTGCTTCCGAAACGACCCGGCCGGCGGGTTGTCTGTCTCGGTCTATTGTTGCGCGGATGCTGCAGCTATCTGCACGTTGCCCGGCATGGGCATCTTCTTTCAGCGCTGCCGTACTAGCTCACAGACCGACTTGCACTCCGCTGCTTGGGAAGACTACCTGGAGCTGCTGGGCCTCAGCAACGATCTCGTCAGCAGACTCACAGACCAGTTGTGGGATCAATCTGCATCCGCGAGTGCGATGGCACGCTTTGCAGAGAAAGCTATCCGCCAATCCGACAACCTCGCTCACACCGACGCGGAGAGACATCTTCGCGACGCTTCAGCTACGTTCGCGGCCAGTACAGCGAATTTCACGCTTGAGGCCTTCGAGCTATTGGACTCGGAATGGGCAGTGGCGAAGAGGTGAGTAATTTTGCGCTCATAATGTTAGAAAAGCTGCTGAGTCCTGTTGAATTCAGCACCTCTGCCATGCACTACCAGCTGCTCCAAGCACTTCATCGCGTCCACCATCCCCTGGTAGGCCAAATCCCGTACCTCATGCCCGAGCGGAGGCGAGTGGCAGCATATATGTTCGAGGCAGCCCGTGATGCGCTGCGCATCAGCATTCAACACCTCTCGCTCCGATACAAGAACGTCCTTACCGCCCTGAATACCGTTGCGATCGATCTCGGGAGGCTGCGAGACAATGCCGCTGAGCGCTGCTCTCCGGTCTCCAGCACGGCGGCACTTCTCATGCAACCTGTAGGAGAGCCCGCCGAGGACACGACTTCCTGCCGTTATGTGCTGCGTGAGCTTGACTCCGCTCACTTCGCGATTGCAACCTGCGCGGCTCCCTTGTTCGAAACGTGGTCGTCATTAGCCGACCTGGACTCGCGCGTACATCAAGCCGATGACAGAGTGCGCCAGCGCGACCGCGACGTCGGACCTCTGGGAAAGGCGGACATGGCGGCCATTGAGAGAGCTGTAGCTGAGATGGAGATGGTGGTTGGGCAGATGGAACGTATTCTGACTTATCAAGGCTTCAAAGGGTTCGCGAACCGCGTCGTCGGACACATGTGATGTCCAGACGGTCAGCGTGTTTCAGGCAGTACAAGTAGCTCGATGGCCCATATTTAAAAATTGGAGGAGCCTGCGGAGTCAGCCGGTTGGGGTTGACAGCCACATATCTTATTCGTTCCCTCCCTATGCTTACAGTGAGCTCACGAAATATAAACGCTGTCGATGGAACATCCGGAACTCCAAGGTGTATACATCAAAAATTACGAACACTTGTTTCGTCTCCGTCTCCCATAGATATAACCGCGCGAAACAAACAACATGAGCTTCATGTCGCGTTAGAGGCTAAACATCGTCGCTAAGCGCTCCTCGACGCCTTTACAGCTGTACGGCCGGGTTGCAACATCACCTGTTTCTTCCAGCGACCAACATAGGTACGCCAGGTGTCCTCGGTTACCCAACGCGGCTCCGCCGTTTCCAGAATGCGGAGCACGTATCCTTTGAGGTTCGGGTGAGGATGGCCTTCCTCTACTTGCTCCCAAGCAGGTGGCGCGACACGGATCCACACTTGAATCTCCGTCCCTACCCGATGGATATAGAGGTCGCTCAACTGAGCGACAGACGGGGGTACAGGGACAGCTTCAAGAGGCGCGCCGTGCGAGAAATACCAGCGAACCTTTTCGACTCTCGATCGAATAGCGTGCTCAAAAGACAATGGGGAGCTATTTGCCACTCGTCAGCACAAGAAAGGACATAATCAGGCCTGTTTGAGACTCACACTTTTGCGCTAGCACTTGAGCTCACTTTGGCATCTGGCAGTAACTCGCCGTGGATACCTGCCTGAGCCTGAGTGTCCAAACCTGCCTTGGCTTCCGAGCTTGGCTTGGCATCCAATGAAGCATGCCTCGCCGTTCCAGATAATACCGGCAGAGCATCCTTCTGTTCGTCCGATTGTCTTCCTGTGTGCCCGTTGTATGGGCGTCCAGGTACGCGAATGGTCAAGCGAGGCGACATCGACGGCCTGGTAGCGTCTGACGTCGCGCCGATGTCCATAGGGACGGTCTAGGCGGTGATAAAGCAAGCATAGTTAGGGGCTAGTGTCAGACGTGACAGAGTATGGCATACTTCATCGCTATTCTCGACTATGCCGTCGTCGTACAGACGGCTCAATCGGGCGGATACCCTCGTACGACCGGGAATAACAGCAGTTGCGGTGGGAAGCACGGCCCGAACAACATCGGACGTCGCATCATCTTCGCTTCCAGACATCCTCGTAGAAAGAGACAGGCGCTGCTGGCGATCAGCGATTCAGCATGCGTCGGAAGCAAACGGAGAAGACGGACACTCATAGCGTCCGCGGCATTGGTAGGGTCGGAGGATTGATGTGTGACGTTGCTAGAGGACGCCATAAGTCTTGGGGGTTTCATAGTGGCAACTGAGCGTACCTGGATAGTACTGCAGGGTGCCTCAGGTGTCTGTATCGCAAAATATAGCATCCTGGTTCTAGGACATCCTCCTGAGCGCGGCAGCGTACTGATGAGAACGGAAAAAGCGACGAGGAAGTCAACCGAAACTCACATCGCGTTCCAAGGGATAAGCCGGATGCCGACTGCCTTTGGCGACGAAAACGACGGGCTTCGCCGGTTCAATCATACTGGGCTCACAGATACTAGTAGTGTGACGATGTGGGGATGGCGGAAAGTCCAAGTGCTGCTGAGCAGCACACTCCGTGAACAGACCTCGTTTATATAGGCGTGCGCAGCCGACTCACCTTTCTTTGGCTTTGAAAAAGGAGTTATGAGCGGCGGCGGCATCGAGGCTCGAGCTCAAACGCTCATACTTTGTGCCACATCGATTGTGCGCCACGGGTCCGCAACCGCATGCGCAAGTTGCGGTTGCTGCAGCACGAGATCATTGGGACGAAATTCCGCGTGGTCTCCCGCGTCCCGCCGGACAGCGCAAGCCTTGGAATATATGCTGTACCGGTGCTATTCGCCAGTTGGACTCTCGGAGGCGAGGTATGTGCATTGGCCGTCGATACATTGGGCATCTAGGAATTCTGTACGTAGAGGATAGCATTCATGACGGCGTATATGTAGCAAGCGACAGTACACGATATATAGCAGATATAGCAGAAAGCAGTCACCGAAAGAGCAGAGACATAGCCTGGATAGCAATGGGATAGCAAGGCGACGAAGTTGGGTGAATCAAGAGTAAATGTGAACGTAACAACGCCATGCAAGGCGGTGACATCCGGGCCTTCATGATGCTCATCAGAACTACCCTTGATGGTCATCGCCACTGTCGGCGCTCCAGTTACGAACGTGGTACAAGAGTTCAAAGAGGACTCGGAACGCAAGATCTATGTCCCGTGCCTGTGAGACGATTGTTTTGTGCAAGGAGGTCACAAGTGCCTCGACCTCAGCACGGCTGAGTTCTTTTAACAGTGTCAGCGCCAGGAATAGTCAAGCCTTTCAAGGAAACGTACTGCTCAGGCTTTCTGTGTTGATCACGGCCGTCCCATCACTAGCAACCATTCCGGCCGAGACACCACCTTCCTCCTCCGGTCTAACTTGCACACTGCCCATTTTTGCTCTCAGCTCTGCCTTCATCTCCTCCATAAGCCTCTCGCCTTGCTCAAGATTGTTCTGCTTGTTCTCGTCGAGTCGTAGGACTGGGGTCCCATCACTCTGATACTGCACGATCCTGATTTAGAGGCGTATCGGCGGTCAGTGACGATGAGCGTGCAACAACAGAATATCACACTCACATAGTGATCAATATGCCGTACAGTGTGCCTTCGTTAGTGAGGGTGGGAGGAGACGTTGGGACCCGCAAGCTTCGACCGCGCCACGGCCGCAAGTATGTAGCGTGTTTAGGCCGGTTTAGGCAACTTTGGTGTCTCGTCTCACATGAGCCTCTCCTCATCAGGTGTGCTTACGCGCCCGAAGACAAGTCTGGCAGTAAATATAACAGCAAGATAATCGCAGCCCTTGTGCTATAGAACGCTTAGGCTTGTTGTGCTAGAGGTACAGTCATGGGTCAAAGGTGAAAAGGTACGTTGCAGTCGAAGCTGGCGGGACAAATATGAACACTATATGGTACAGTGATCCTACGAGTCTACGACAGCAATTTGATTGCGGCCTTTGTGGTGCTATAGAACGCTGTGCTAGAGGCACAGTCATGGATCAAAGAAGAAACAGTCGGCGCGGAACAGACAAATACTAGATGGTACGATCCTACGAGTCTACGACCAGAATGGCCTGACGTTCACCCCTTGAGGTATGACGACGGTGAGTGCATTAAGGACGGTGCGACGATGCTTCTCAGCAGCGATGGCGAATCTGTGTAGGGATCATCACCGGGTAAGTCTGTCTGTGCCTTACAACGGCCAGTAATTGCCACTCACGCCTTAACAGCCCTGCGCGCGAGATTCCGCTCCGTCTTTCCATCCAGGTGGATGAACTTTTCACGCCTCCCCGACTTCATCACCAGTAAATCGCCTCTGAATAGTACGTCTTGAGCAATGGTCGAAAGTGGCCTGTTACGCGGTAAGGCGATGGTGGATATTCCGCGGACGGTCCTATCGGCTGCAGGCTGCTGCCACCAGATGATGAACCGATGCAGCGTCCCAGCGCGGTCATATACTTGGATTTCCATGTCGGCGACCGGGTGGTCTCGCAAATGTTCACTGACTAGCGCGCGGGTGCCGTTGTAGCCTGGCCTGGTTCCCGCTCGGACGATGGCAACGTCCACGACAATGTCTTTGTGATGATTGGCTGGGAATAGAAGCGCTCGAGCAAGTCTCGCAGCACGCTGTGGGTTCCGAATGTCAATGTGAGCTGTGTTCTGACCGAGAAACAAAGCTGCATAGTACTGACACGATACCGTGGCCGCGCAGCCGTCGATTTGCTTCTCGCCATGGCTCGCTGCGAAGTATCACTGATGCCTGGAGCGCGGGACCAAGGCGCGGGGCCAAGGGAAGTGGCCGTGTTAGTACCTTACGCCTTTTGCTTATACGAAGTCTAGCAGATCCACCAGATGAAAGGGAGATCACGCTGTGCGTCATGCAGCGGCGTCCTCTCTTCCAAGAAGCCGGGAGATATTGGCGTTCAGCAGCTCACATTGCAGGAGCCCTAGGCCTGACCAAGCGGGCACGCCGCCAGGCGGATCGCTTGATCTAGAGACTGATGGCCCAAGTATCCGCCAGATTGTTCTCCGTGTTACCTCGTGTACTCGGCGTGCGGCCTGGATGCATTTAATATACGCCCCGCGCGGTACGTGCATGCAGACGGAGCGTTGACCTCCATCCGACTTGCTGCATCCTCTAGTCCGAATTTGGATCAGAAGGATGTTCCGGCTACAGCCTGCACTTCGTGCGTAGGTCCACTTCTGCTTCTTCGAATCCGTGTTTCAGTCTCAACTTCGCCCGCGAAGGCATCGTGCTCGTCGAATGATTGTTTCGGGGAGCTCGGGCATGGCCTACTTGAACCGTCGTTGCTAATCTCTCCCGAGTCTTACCTGACTTACGTCTGCGCCAGCTGACAATGTTCCTGCGCCTATTCACCATTGTCTCTCAGGCACTTGTTCTTTCGCAAGCCTTCCTCTGGTTTGGAACGTTCCTCTGGGCGCACATGCGGAGCTTCTGCTCATATCCCGTGGTGGCTTCGACGTTCCGCTCCTGCGACACTATCAACTCGAATTTGACCGTCTGGGCTGCGCTCCCACTACTCCTGGGCGCGCAGACTACTGGTCTGGAACAGGTCATTAATCACACCGATGCCCACATCGACATCATCATGGATCTTACAGAGACACGCATTGCATCTCTCGACCTGTCCATCCTCGTACAGTTCAGCACTCTGGAATACCGCGATCAAATTGCCATGCACATCAACAAGGTTGCCGACGATGCGCTCGATTTGAACCGCGCATTGCAGATCCTCTCTGCCAAGGTTGGCGCCGGATTTGATCGGTACGAGTTTTACCCCGTTCGTCGTAGAGGTCACTTCTGACAGCAGGCGCAGGATTGTGTCTACGAATGACCATCTCTACCGCGTCTTGCGCGCTTCCTCAGCGACGGCCCAGCCTGCGTCAGACTCTGTCCGGTGCCAGGTCGGCCCGCTGTTTCAAGGTCTCGATATCCGCGGCTGCCTACCACACACTTCCTACCCCGACATCTCTCACGCCTACGACCGCGCCCTCCAGACCTATGAGACTGTGCTTCGCGAGCTCATCCAGACCAGCATTTCCTCCCTGACGAAGGCAACCGCCTTCGACGCCGACCTCGTCGCAGTGATGAGCATCATAGGCGGAGAAAAGCTGGAGATTGACATTACCAAGAAACAGCTGGGGAGGCTGTGGACCTTGTTGGGCGGAAACAACTATCAATTGACCCGCTTGGCTCGTAACGAGCAAGTCCTCGATCGCGTCGGAGAATACAGCGCTCGATCTCTTCGCTACGTTCGCTCAATTCAGGATACCCTGGAAAACATGCAAAGACAGCTGGAGGAGCTGCGGCTTGTGGCTTCCGGGGCTCTCATTTCCGATGTAGCGCCTCCCGAAGTCGTTTTGGAGATGCTGGCCAGAGGGTTGGAGAGGTTGGGAAATGCAAGAGCGGCTGTCGGTGGGGGGCGCATCCAGCGGGGGTCGCTCGAGGGGCTCTAAACGAGGTTAGCTGTTTCCTTTATTGTCGTAACTTGGCTTTATCTTGACGTGTCTGTCGCTATCGTTGACAGAGGATACGTGTGGCATAGCTGTGCAACTTGAGAGTCACGACATGCGGGCATACCAGTCTGGACGGTTGCACCTGGCGGACTCGATGTATTCGGCTCTGCTCAATCTGCGCTGCTTTGGCCATCGGTACCAGGTGTAGTTCCACCGTATTTATGCTTCCAATCATGCACTGGGTGCGTCTGTGATTCAAATGTTCAGAGGCACCAGCTCGAGGCACAGGGTGGCATGAGCCGACGCGTCGGAGCTGCCAGTGATTCAACCGCACTCAGAGACTTTACAGTAAACCTGACAGGCCGTGAATGCATGGGCCTTTCCGCGACTGTCTGAGTAGTCCTGATCTCTGCAGCATAAAATGTTCAGTCGACGTCATACAGAAAGCCGACGTCCGCACGCGCCATATGTTCGTTCGCCAAATGACCGCACGCAGCCTACTCTAGTAATTCCTCTGTGCCCAGTAAGCGTGGGCCGCTGGATTACTGTAAGTCAAGTAAAAAAAATGAACATGTCACGCGCTAATATCAGTGCTACCGCACTCCTTCTTGCGCCAGATTTTCCGTATATGAAGACACCAATGTAATCGCCTGCGTTGATTGCTAAATTCGACGCAGACAGCACCAATCCCGCGGTTATGGAAAGAATTGCTCGCAGGCGCTGCCAGATATAGGTGACCCGCGTGGACCAGTGGCTCGTATGAAGCAGTCTGCGTCTTCCGGCGGATTTCTTCACATGTGAAGGCGCAAATCCCGAGTGGCGCACTAACTTTGAATCGCACAGGGACAATGCAGCGATTGCAGAGCACGGATTCGCTCACTGGTCAGCCAGAAGATCTGCGTGTGCCACTGGCCAGCGTACAGTACGTAGGTCGTGCGGCGACAGCGTGGTTTCACAAAGGATTCGACTCTGTTCCTCGAATCGGCGCTGCGCAACCGATCGGTACCACGTTGAGTGCCACTCGGGATTTGAAGTCAAGCACGACTGATATTTCGTCGCGGTATAGATGTCTATGTATATAAGGACGGAGGCTGGCTATCCTGCCTTCGCAACCTGCAAACCGCATCTCTCTCAACCTCTGTACATCGCGCTTGAAGCTTGATCAATGGACCACGCTCAGAACTTCGACACGACCAACACGTCCATTCCTGCGTAAGTATTCCTTGCAGTCGCTGGCCCACGGTTCTCTAACGTCTTTTCCAGTGAGGATGTTCTGTTCATCGGGGCAGGCACATTCACCGTGGGCAAGTCGGGCGGGAACCAATGTACCGACTGGGCATCCGGTGTCATAACTCTAATCCAGGTTGAAGGCCCCTCTAAAGGTACGTTTCGCGCCGTCGTCGATCTATGGTTCGCTGTATGCGTGCTAACTTTCGTTCACCCCAGTCGCCCTCTTCCTTGTTGACGCCAGCAACCGAAAGCATTCGTTTATATCGGAGGTATCTTGCGACTGGGCTCTTGCGCTTATCGACGAGGTATGGACATGTCTCCTTTGTTCTGCCAGGCTGACATGGTTTGAATTTGAAGCGGAACCGCCTGTTCGGATGGACCATCGGCGAGATGCTGTTCCGCGTCCATCTTCAAGATAACGACCGCCGACGGTTCCTCTCGCTTGTGCGCAGCTTCACGCTGGCGCTGGATAGCGTCTGCACCTCCACGCAGAACACCCAAGACCGTCTCCAGTCCTACCTGGAAATCCTCCCCTCCGACCTCACCCAGCTGCAGCCCGACGCGATTGTGAATTGTTTAGGCCGCCTGGAGAGGCTTAAGCCGGAGCCGATGAACCCAAACCACTTCGGAGGCTGTGCCAACGAAGAGACACATTTGCACGGTTATCCGCAATCCCCAGACTTCGCTCACCCTCTTGCTGCGAGCACGCACGAACCGGAGGCGATAAACTCCACCCACTTCGGAAGCCGCGACAATGAACAGCCGCATTTTTATGCTTATTCGCAGTCCCCAAAGTGCGTATACCTTCTTGCTACGCGCCCGCAAACCATCATGAGCTCACAAACTCTACAGGTCTGAGGACAAGCGCAGTGATCACCGGGATTGGCTGCTTTGAATTTCACGGACGACTAGCCTCTAGTATGAGCGTTCGTATTGGATTGAAAGTGTTGTACTTATTCGGCACGCCTACAGTCCCCTTGCTCTCGTTCTTTCTTCGCACCTGTGATTGATTCTATCCATCTTCCTCCATGGCAGTGCCCTCGCGTCTATCGTGTTTCGTATTTATGGACAACCATGTCAAAATATCACATTGATTGGCTCTCGTCATCGCCTTTATTCTCTCCAGCCTCATCGTGATGATTTAAGAATTACGTCAGGAACAAGCTGCGGCTTATATATACCAGGTATATATACAACATACTGTCCCAATACTCGTGTACGGACTACAATCTATTCCACAGCGTAGTATCAATAGCCCCTACTGATTGCGCAGAGTGGATGTGCGTCGCGCGCGACGAAGACGAGTGTCCGCCTCTTCAAGTCTCAAATTTCAAGGAGGAGGGCGCACAACGAGCAAGGCGTTGCGCGCCTAAACCTCCCAAGCCGTAAGGCAGGAGGTAGGCGTCTCTTTCATTCTCTCCTCCTCCTCCTCCTCCTCCTCCTCCTCCTCCTCACCTGTACACACGCGCTGGCCTATCATAGCCTCAACAAGGCGCGAAAGGTCAAACGGCCGGCCAAAGGCACTCGAAGATCTCAATCTTCCAGGTGCCTGACGTGCAAATCTCAGACACCGGCCACCGCGTCGTGCAGGACCGTCAGTCGAGGTACCACCATCCAGAGCGGGCAATGCCGCGGGGACGAAGCCACCGACATCGCCGCCCAGAGGGCGACTGCGGCCAAGGAGCGTATTTCGAAGCACAGGCTCAAGGTGAGGAGATTCAGCAGAATGTCGTTGACGACGATGGGCCGACCCTGAGGTTAAGGAAAGCCGTCTCCAGAATATGTTGTCGGCCACGAAGGTTAGCGCACGATCTGCTGACAATACTGAGTGCCTTCTCACACGCATATTTGCAGATTAACGTCAGAGTCGGCCGCTTTCTCAGGAGCACAAGAACAAGGCGATGAGAACAAGGACCGCGCCCGGAAGTTTTCAGCGATGAACACTTCCCGCCAGAGCGCCGCGATCAGCTCATCTACCGGGTCTGCTTCAAGAAGGTTGTGATCGAGTGCCGGAACCACCAGGACTACCAGGAGGCGATGCGCTGGCTGCTCGACACCGGCGCGGAGTACGTTGGCTACGGCGGCGTCGTGGCCAACCATGGCTGCGCACGCTATAATATTGGAGCGCTTTGCCAACGGTGCGAGCCTCGACATGGTCGCCACGGCGGTGCGCACGTTGTACGAAGACTCGCGCAGCGACGAGGGCCTCCGTCAATGGTTCAGCGAGGCCATTGAGTTCGGTCGCCGGGCACGTACGTTGCCCTCACAACATATCTACTATCAGCCATTGACGACTTCTCTTGCAGTGCCTCATGGAGCCGTACTACATCCTCGATGACCCAGCTAGCGTCCGCGCAAACGAGTTCCGCAACAACTGGGCGCTTTCGGGCAACAAGATGTGCCCGAAAATCGACAGCTTTGAGGCGCATAACTACATGAAGTTCTCGCCATATGACGTGATCAAGTGAGTTTCCTGGTGCAGTTCGGATCATGTCAAGTTCTGACCGCCTTCAGCAGCGACGAGGGCCACCACGATTTCACTCTTACCTTCCGCCACATCCAGGCTGACTTGCGCGACGTTGCCTGTTATTACCCCCGCAAGACCGGCTTCCCAAGATGACCGACACGGTCTCGCCGAGGGTGAAGTATACACGATGTGCTGACCCGATAGTCGTAGGTAGATAACATGTTTGATTCTAAGTATGTAGTTCGAATCGCAGTAAACTAACATTGTCCGCCGCTGCGCCTCGCACCGCATCTCAGAGTGCATCGAGATTGGACGGCCGACTCGTTGCACGGCACTTACTATCTACCATATGCATGTTTGTCGTCCTCCTCGCCTTTCTCCGGCCTCGGGATCATATCCTCGACAACGTATGCTAGATTTGGCCCACAATGAGAATTGCTACCATTGAACGCCGCATTTGGAGGAAACATTGAGCGGACTGATCTATATAAATAATACCCATGGATCTGGTATGCGTTCATCCCTCCCCTCGGACGCTCATGCAACTCACACCGCTCAGCCCTGGCGAGGCAACGCAACAGAGCACTCTCGATGTCACGCAGGCCCCATGGACTAGGTGGCTGACAGTCGAACCATGCGGATGGTCTCCAGAGCAAAGGTACGTTATCATGGCCTGTAGAGTCTGATCACCGGGATGTCAACTTTTTGTTGTTGTTGACAGGCGATTCTTGGTGACGTTATACATACGGAGCACGACATTTGATGTCGCTTTGGTAACTCGTGGGTCTGGCGACAACGAACCATGCGACATTGCGAGGACAGCGAGCGTTGTGTTCGCCCGTCTTCCTAGCAATTACTGTGAGTGGCCCTGCACGTTCGCGCCATTCCCCTGTAGTAACGATTCCCGTCAGTCGTCTTGATGGTGAAGTCCAAAGACACGGGTCCAGAGGCGGAGGACGAGTATCATACGTTGATACTCACAGCAGGCGTGTCATTCGAGTTTTCGGAGGTACGTTTTGCCACTGTACTGACCAATACACCCCTAACCATGGCATCAGATGGCCTTGTCCATACGGTGGAGGGAGGACCACAGGTTGTTCGCCGTCAGCTTCAAACGATTCCAAGAATTTTGGGCAACGGTGGCGTGCATTCGTATGGCGAGGATCCAATCAGGCTGCCACCCCGAGCTGAGGACTGCTTTTGACGAGGCCGAGATTCTTCGAGTTCGACTGCAGCAACTCGAAGAAAGGGCATTCACTACTGCCTTGGAGGCCTCAACGTCAGTCGCCTAGTCTTTGCCCGCACAAGTGGTACGTCCGCGAAGTCCGTGAACAGGAGGGCAACTGTACTTATTAACCGCAACCTTCGCACTTAGCGCATCAATCTAACCGCCTTTGTATAATCTCACACAAGGTGCGCGCGCATTTATGAGAATGCGCTTGAGCTTCGTACCCTCTTCTGTATATCATCTCGAACCATGCCCAGCCCCCTGTCGTCCCTGCCTCAGCGATCTGTTGTATCTACACATTAGTCGTCCCGAATCGAAGTCGTGTGTACCGGATCCATGATGAGCTACAGTAGCAAGTTCTCTGCTAGCCACAGAGAGGTCAGTACCCTCAACATCAGCGTGCAGGCGGACATCGGTGAACCCACACGCACCTCGACAACATACGACCACACGAACTGCTCCTCCCGGGGAGTCTTCCAGCTGTCGGGCGTGGTAGGCCTTACGGCCCCAGTGGCCGCGCCCACTGAGAAGCAGATGGCGGATCTCGTCCTCGTTCATGACGTGCACCATCGCGAAGCGGTCCACGTACCTCCCGTACAGCGCCGTCACCTGCGGCACGCCGTGGTCCTCCATCTCGCGGAGCCTGCGGCGTGGCGATGGACCGCTCGGCGGCGAGTCGTGCGAGAGCGGGGGATTTCCTCTGCTTCAGGCTCGGCATGCAAAGCTACTCGGGGCAGAGGCGGGAGCGAGGAATGGTAATGACATGCCAGTAGTGAGCCGATTGTCGTGGTAGTTGTGTCCAGCCTTGTCCAGCCTGTGGATAGAGACTGAGCATCATCATGAGCCGTCGAGAAGTTCTCAGCGCTGGGGTCGGGAAACTCCGTTGCAGGCAACTGGCACGACCGTGACGCAGGCTCCGGTTGCTTTCGACCACTGGCACCACCCTGCACTACGCACTACCCTCACTGGCGACGGGAACGGTCGAAGACGTACTCGACGAGTCCTTCAGCTGTAATGGCCAGCTGGAAATGTGGACTCTGGACTTCTTGGACAAAACACAGAATGACCGTGGTCAGGAGGGCCAGGCGGGACCGAAGGCGGTCGGTCAGCAGCACGGTACGTGTATCGGAACCTTTGCCATGACTTGCTATTGACGCATCAAAGGCGTATAGATTCAACCATTTAGCATGGGGCTACACGGACGCAAGTCGACCGCGGGGCGTGCTCGTTGCGGGCGTGGAGAACGGCGAACTGGACATTTGGGGCTCTGCAAAGATCATCGCAAATGCTAAGTGAGTAACAGCAACCACTGCGACGCGTTCATTCAGTTGTGATACATCCGGCAGTCCGGCAGAGTTGCTAATCCTACACAACTCGATATATACGAGCCCTGTCAAGGAACTTGACTATCATTCAGACGAGTCGCTCCTCTCATCAGGCGCGGTGAACGGAGAGGTGCGTGCACCTGTCTATTGTGCAGATGTATGGATGTATAACGTCGTTAGATACATGGGGTCTCAGAGACCCAAGTAACCTGTACTTGCCTGGTATCCGCAACACGACAACAGCCCTAGCATGGAATCACCACGTCCAGATGCTCTCGCCGCATCCAGCAGTGCCGGTTACACCGTCGTCTGGGCGAGGCAAGCGAGAAGTTGCAGCCATCACATATGGCGGTGGCGCTCGTACAAGGGAAGGCGGTATGCAAGGATTTGGCGGCGGGATGGCTGTAGGCGGTAGGCGTGGTATGAGTGACGTTCGCATGGCATCCGGACAACGTACGTCTATGCATGTTTGTTGTCCTGCATTTACTGACAGTATTGCAAGCTGCATGTCTGACACCGACATGTGGACGCCCGAGGAGCAGCGTTCGCGGTCGCATTCATCGTCTTCTCGTCTATCGGCGGCTCCATGCTCGGTCCGATCTTTGGCGGCATCATCGAGACGCAACTCGACTGGCATTGAAACTTTTGGATCTAGTTCATCGTCGGCGTCACCGTGCAAGCAGTGCACTTTTTCTTTGTGCCTGAGATGTGCTCGAAGGTCCTGATCGATCGCGAGGCGAAGTGCTGGCGGCAGTTGGGCGAGGACAGCGTCTGGGGTCTGTTGGAGGTGGAAGAGCATAGGTTTGCGCCGAGGAAGATCATCACGATCTGGTTGTGGCTGGTAAGCAATGGTCTCCGCATCCCAGGAACAACTGCTAATTCGCCTGCTCGCAGTTCCCCATGTTCATCTTCGAGCTCGACAGGTTGCCTATTATCATGGATTGGGATCTGCACGACGCTCGTGCCCTGGACAAGGCATCCATATTCCGTACTCATGGTCGAGGCAAACAGGCATACAAATGAACGGGTGAGCAAACAACTGAACGGGCAAGCAAACAAACGAACAGGCGAGCAGATGAACGAACGGACGAGCAAACAAGCCAACGGACGGGCAAACGAGCGAACGGGCGAGGAAATGAACGAACGGGCGAGCAAACGAAGGAACGGGCGAGCAAACGAAGGAACGGGCGAGCAACAGAACGGGTGACCAACAGAACGGGCGAGCAAACAATTCGGTGAGGACGACGATGATCCCGACTACAAGGATACGCCTCGCATCCTCGTCGAGCTCCGTATGTGTGCGCTGAGCGCGGCTATCCGTGAAAAGGTCGACTGGCATGTCAAGTATCGCGACGAGAAGATACGGAACAGTTGGGCGCAAGAGATCCGCGACCAACAGCAAGACGTGCATCAAAGTCTGCAGCTCACGGATAACATGGTATGCAGAACGTTATGGAATGTCTGCCCCGTCATGCTGATGGCCTCGAAGATAAAGTATGTTCTGGCTGAGCTTGACGCATACGCTACTCTCCGTGACCCAAGCACAGGCATCGAGGTTCGTGCCCGTACATGGATGTTCCACTTGATGCCCATTGTACGCTTCAGCCCGGCCCGTACGAGCGGACATGGAAGTCTGACCAGCTCATACCTGCCGAATTGAAGTCGGAACTGCTGTCTGCGGTCGCCCCCCTAGAGTCGATCCCCGACGCCGAGAAGGACTGGCACCCGGGATCAGACGGCAAAGTCTTGGATCTCGTCCACCCGTCGTTGTATCCTCTCATATACGGACGTACAGCCTCGTTCCGGTGAACTGTTCGAGCCTCGTATAGACGACGACATCGACCCTGTCTTCGCGTCCGAGCGTTTCCAATGGCTGCCGTCGGACTTCTACGTCGCTGACGACGGTGCCGTCAAGCTGATGTCGTCTTATATCAACAACGTCCAACCAGAGAATCATGTAGCCCTCGAGAGGGTTATACCCAGAGTACTCGAGCGTGCGGTACCCATGTTCGAGTGGGTGTTGTCCGACCTTGCACGCGAGACACAGCTGCCGACGCGAATGGATCTAAAGGAGCGCAGAAGGAGCGCAGGTTTCCGACTTGTATATGGGATGTTGTAAGAACCTTTTAGTTGGCGGGGACCGGCTTATGCTCATCTTGATGGTTGGTAGGAAGAGCTGGGCCTTCAAGAAGAGGAACAGGAGGCTATGGACACCGAAGTTCGCCGCCTCGAGCTAGCGAGAAATCCTGATGATCCGTGGGTTGACTACTACCGGCAACTCAAGTCCGTCCACTTATACAAGCAACCCAAGACATGGCCGGATAGCAAGCTGGCGTACGATGGCGGCTTGGACCAAATGAACAAAAGCATAAATCTGCAGGGTCAAACATTGCAGATTATCGTCAAGCTGGCAAATATTGTCCTGACCCCGGACAAGCCTGAGTACGATGGCGGAAAGTGGTACGTAGAAGGTTGCCTGAGATCTCTTTCCGCTGATTGGCAACCTGTTGAGCGAACCTGTCGGGCATGAACAACGAAGCTATCGTCGCAACATTGATATACGTGAGCACCCGACTTGTCTCTGGCATCTGTGAACCTGTTCTCATCGCGTCCTAGTATTATGACTGTGAAAACATGTCGGAATCGACTCTTTCCTTCCGCAACGCCGTCAACGAGCCTCGGTATCACGGTCAGGACGACAGCTATTGCAGACAGGGAGGTGCACGGACCGGCGGGCGAGAATGCGGACCAGCGAGTGGGCGAGAGTCGCCGGGTATGTAGGCGGGTCAACTGTGAGTAGACAGAATGATGGCGCGACGTACAATGTTAGAGACGTCCTGTACACAATTCGGTGATGACGGACCCAATAACCAAGCACATGGGCTAGCGCTCAAGCTCAAGGACAGCGCATGAATCACACGTTTCGCGGAATAGGCATGCGTCGTGCTCATGATCACTCATTCTTGACTTCCGAACTCGTCTACTACGACATCTTCTGTCTTGTCTTCGCGTCAGGTACAGGCTGTTGTCTCCAGAGAGTCTTGTAAGTTTGCGAGAATAGTGATCTTCGCATACTGTTGCGAGCTTATATTGACAGTCATTTTAGGACATGGATGGTCAACCGAGGATTTCTGCCGTTGTCGACGGCCGCGTCCGATTTCTCTGCCAGTGTCGTGCTCGCAGGTGTCGGGAACTACGGGACTTCGACCCTCGCACTAACACTACAATCAATGGACATTGGGTTGGGAAGACGACGTGGCATTTACACTGGAAGGGGGACGAACGGATCACATCGCTACGTACACGCATCTCCCTTGCCTCGGGAATGGAAAGCAGCCTCTTCGCATTCACTCGAAGTGACAACGGGCCCCTCAATGAGGACGCCAACGAGCTTAAGGCTTCGAGCCATGGCGCCAGTGCCCCTAACATTCCCCGTCCTGTCCACGATGTTCCTTCCGCGGCAGACCACGGCAGCGCATGGCCAGCTTCTGGGTTCAGGATTTCGCCATCCGAGGGTACCGCCCAATCCGAGCTGCGCCTTGCTCATGAGCACAGATTGCCCTCTCCCCTGATTCATCCCCCCGTCCTCGCTACTTCGCCGGAAACTTCTCGAGATACACAGCTCGACGAGGACAGCGTCCACTCCTCAGGCGTAGATCGCTGCTTGGCAGAGCTCGAGTCAATCCTCAGCATCGTCAACCAGAAGATCCTCAGCTTCTCGCCCCAGTCACCGCTTGTGTTCTCGGTTCCGCCTACAGCAGACTCTCCCCCATACGAATTCCCAGATAACATTGAGGACCAGCCGAACACGGGCCTTCTTCAGCTGCAGCCAGCATCGTCACCCAATCAACCGATTTTAGCCCACGAACGATCTATGTATACGTTCCTTCGCATGGTCGACAGCTGCGCCTTCACCGATCTTCCGGCCGTCACGGACATCCGCTCACGGATACGGATTGTCATTGCCAATGAGGTGTCACGAGTATCTGACGTTAAGGGGCGAGAGTGGGATGCCCAACGACTAGATGGATCTCAACGGAATGAAGATGGGTCAATCCTCTACGCAGGGGTTACAAGGACGCTGATCAATTGTGGTAAGTACTCACATATAATGTTCTACTCATCTAACTCTTGAAGTTGTTGCGATCCTCTAGATCGATTCTTTCGGAGACCATTCCTTCATCTTGAGCCCGCACTGGCTGGCGCATATCACCTTGTATTGACCCTCGCCCTTCTTGGTCGATTGTCTCGCAAGAAGTGTGACTACGTTCTAGCATGCCTCCGATTTATTGTCGGAAAATTGTTGGTCAAGCAGCCAGATCCGTTTGTCCGCTTGGCCAGCATCCCGCGCGACGTACGCACCCTACTGCGACGCTTCGATCTTGACCCGGCAGTCACACCTTTTCTATGCTGCTCTACGTGTTATTGCCTATACAAAGAGGAGGATGTCAAAACAGGACACTGCACGTTCAAGGCCTTCCCCGATTCAGCGCCATGCGACACACCTCTGTTTGAGACACGGTCGATAGCGGGGAACGATCATGTCTTCGCTGTTCGAAAGTATCTTCACCAGGACTTCAAGGCGTGGCATGCCCGTCTTTTGTCCCGCCCCGATATCGAGTCGGCGCTCGACAGGTCAGCGAAATCAGCGAAGAACGTATCCCGCGAGCCTGATAGGGTCGTCCACGACATACTGGAAAGCGACAACATCCAACAGTTCCTGGGGCCTGATCAAACACGATTTGTCGATGCTCCGGAGGAGGAACTACGTTTCTTCTGGGGCTTCGGCTTTGACGGTTTCGACCCGCATCATGCGAAGCCAGGCAGGGCTGGAATCACTACCAATGGACTCTACGTTATCCTGCTCAGCCTGCCGCCCGACTTGCGTCTACAGCAAGACAATATGTTTCTGGCGGGTGCTATCGCCGGAAAGCCAGCTCTAGAGCAGATCAATCATTTCGCAAAGCTGGTTGTCAATGACATGCTCGAGTTCTGGTCGCCAGGCGTGTACTTCTCGCGGACAGCACTTCATCCGAGAGGGAGATTCTCCCTCGGGGCACTGTTGCCTATGATTTGCGATCTCCTCGCTGCAAGACAGATTTCAGGCTTCCCTTCGGCAAACTCGACGCACCTTTGTTCTGTATGCGAGATCACACAGGACGACATCGAGAATCTACAGAAAGAGACCTGGACGTACAGGACTCTAGAGAGCCATCGCGCGAAGGCGGAAACATGGCGCGGTCTTCCGGACGAGGACGCGAGGAAGCGCTTCATCAAGAATGGTGGCGTTCGCTGGACTGAATTCCTACGACTTCCGTACTGGAAGCCTAATCAGTTCACGGTACTCGAATCGATGCATGCACATAACTTACGGAACTTGAGGCATCATATCTGGGTCACCTGGGGCATGAGCACAAAGTCGTCATCAGGAGACGGACGTGTTTGGTCTCGGAAATCGCCTCCAGTCTGCGCCGTGAAAAGCAAGCCCGACGATTGGCGAGCAAAGTTCGAAATGCTACGCACCGGTACTGAGGACCAGATCAGGGCTGAGACGTATCCTGTCCTCTGGCACATGTGCGAAAGCCTTGACTTGCGACGGTCTGGTAGCAAGCGGATATTGGCGGGAAACCTGGTGCATTGGGTAAGTGATCCGTACCGCATTCAAGTTGTCGTCGGCGCCCCTCGATGCTAAATTACCGTTGAAATTTCGACAGCGTGAGCGTCTTCCGAAAGATGATCAAGGCGCTCCTATATTCTCGGCGGACGTGGCGGCGACGGCCCATATTCGTCGCAGCGCACAGACCGAAGGAGCTCATGATACGACTCAGGGCGCGCATGCTGTAGAGGAAGAGGTACAAGACGATGACCAAGACGTCGTACCGATGGACGTCGATCCTCCTGAAGTTGACCCCGGACTCATCGGAGAGATGTCATTCTTCAACTTTGATGCCATGGACTTCGGGAACCATCAGGGTGGTCAACCTGGCAACCAGCCAAACCAGGCAGACCTCGACTCTGTGGCAGAAGACAAGCTAGACTCAGGAGAGAACAGGCTGCGGAGAGGGCAGAAGGTTTCAAATATCACACGTCCTGTGTTGCAAAAAATGTGTCACATGCGCGGGCTTCCGGTCTTCACGGACGGCGGGAAGGCAATGACGCGAAAGGTTCTATGGCGATCACTTGAACAATGGGTACGTCGACGTCGATACTAGCTGATTTCTCCTTGATGCTCAAAGACCGTTCACAGCGTGATACCCATGGAGGTGCTGAGGAACCTTTGGACTCCGACGTACGCGATTCTGTTGTCTTGGGCCGAGAGATTTTGGAGGAAATCTGGGACGATCAATCTCGTACAGTACTCCCTTTGACCATATCACCCGCGCCAGCGAAGATAGGCTCGAAGACCGGGACACTGAAAGCAGACCAATGGCGAGCTTTGGGCACAATTCACCTTGTCATCACCCTCGTTCGTCTCTGGGGAGTTTCCCAAGATAGTCGCCGCACGTTGATGCTACAGAATTTCATGCATCTTGTTTCTGCTGTTCAGCTAGCAAACCAACGCTCAACTTCGCCGGCCATTATCAAAGCATACGAGGAACATTATATGGAATACTTACGCGGTTTTCTCATACTATACCCAGAAGTTCCACTCATGCCAACTAATCATTTGGCTGCGCATTATGGCGAGTTCATGCGCGGATTTGGGCCGTCCTTCGCGTGGAGAGGATGGGCATTAGAGAGATTCAACCACATGCTGCAGGAGATACCCACGAATGCGAAATCAGGTAATTGATGAACCGTCTGCTGCGCGCAAGCCCGAGTCTGATTCTGCGAGTTTAGGAGAGCTGGAGTTGACGATGATGCACCATGCAAGTCGCGCAGCAAACGTTCGCCCGCTTCTCAACAGTGGACAGATGCCGGAGGATGTCGCAGAATTAGAGCCTGCCTTCGACAAGGCGTTCCGCGACGATATTCGAGGCACAAGAATTAGTGACATCCTTGGTGTAGGTGAATCCGCAAGACTTCAGGTCAAGGAGACCACCTCGAAGCCCAAACTCAGCAGTGCTATACGGGAGTTGATTCTGAAACGCACCGGAGATACTGGTAAGCAAGGCTATGTCCATCAACGATCAAGAATGCTAATAGATCTTCGGAGCAGAGTTCACAGAATGCGCGTTGATGAGGATGCAAGGCTTCGTGTACCGTCCTAAAGAGCATAGTGTCAAGGACGCTAACATCATTATTCGGTGTTCAACGACCGACGAGTGGTGTACCTGTCCTCGACAACACGATGGTTCAAGCCTCTGTGCCGCGCAAATACTGTACATACTCATGCATCGGCGCCCAAGTCCCGGGACCAACGACCACACATGCCCTGTATCTCTGATCATCAAACGCCTGAAGTGTCTTCGGCCCGAGGACATCAATACCGATCCTTACCGTAAATTCGACTTCGCTATCTCCGGTTGTCTTTTCGTCAAGCAATACCTCAGGCCCGAGATAGTGTCACCGCAGGATGTTGTTGGCCCGTTTGCGCAGACGCCGTATAAAGAACCGCAGACATCCCAGTACGGCGACAAGGTGCATGTTCTACCTCTGAGTAAGGCACGTATGTCGCATCTCTTATCAATATAATAGCTAAAGACCTCGAACCAGGAACTGCACTTGTCGATGATGCCATCCAGCGACCAGGATGTTGACATGGAAGACCTGACTTCGCTGTGAACGCTGTTCCGGAGTTGTACACACTTGCTTTAATGGGATTATAACGCTCTACAGTAGTGGCCATACACGCCTGCGCAAGACATCTAGAGTACAATCAGACATGGGCCGCTGCCGGTGGGAAACCATGCAGACTCGGATGCATGGCAGGACGCCTGTTTCTCGCGACTCATTATTATCGGCGGTATTGGTACGCAAATCTTCTGATTCAGTTCCTATATCAGGGCAATACGTACGTCGAATCGTACGATATGATATGCGAACATTCGGCATGTGCTACCTCGAGACATACGCAGAACATGTAGAATGCTAGCCGCCCGAACATGTCGACTGATCGTCGCTTGTCACCCGCATGTCCGTCCTCAGAACATGAACCATGTTCAGTTTGTGGTCGTAGGCTGTCAGCGTTCCGAACAGGTAAAATGTCTGGTCTCCTGACATGCGCACGACATACCTGGTGTTTACAGTATGTCGTTAGAATGTCGCGGATACGAACATTACGGCCGTTCTTCGCATGTTCTGGAACAGATCACGCGAAGACCATGTTCTCTGTTAGTGCCATGCTCTGGCTCCGAACATGGCATGCTCACTCGTCGTGTCCGGGTCACGTTCAAAGGTGATGTTGTTGTCATGTTCTTCCCTCCGAACATTGCGGCGCCATGTCCTATGACACCGCCATGTCCTGAGTGATGACATCGTGGGAAAATGTATCATAACCCGTAGCATGTTCGTAGCATGTCCGCGCCACGACCTACGCGTCTTGCCCCCGGTGAATGATAGCCAGTTGATAGCTATACATTTGATCGAGCTGAAGCTAAACCAGTTTTGAAGCAGTCTAAACTACGCTAAATACAAGAGACTCAAACGATTCCATTCGCTTATGCAAGAAGCGACCTTTTTTCATATCCGGGCATCCGTCCGCTCATGCAGACTTGCACACGACAGACCAGTCCTCCCACTCGAACTTGCCCTCCTGGATAGTCACGATCCGCTCATACAGCGCCCTCGCGACAGGCCCGCGGCCGCTTGCGTGCTCGGGGAGGACGATGTCCTTGCCCTCATAGCCTATCCGCCCGACGCCCGTGACGACGACGGCGGTGCCGACCGTGAACGCCTCCAACAGCCTGCCCTCCTCGTACCACTGCTTGAGATCAGACATGGCGAGCGTGCGCTCGTGCGCGTGCAGACGCAGGGTCTCGGGGAGGTGAGGGAGGATAGTGCGTGAGGGGTGTGCAGCAGAGAGAGCGATGCACGAGTCGCGCGTGACGCCAGGGAGGATCGTCCCGTCCAGGGGAGGTGTGATGATGTCCCAGTCTACATTAAAGGTCAACTCTGGTCGGAAGGAATATGAGCAACGGGATACTCACTGTTCTCGTCCTGCTGGATCACGGCAAAGAAGTTCATCGCGCCCGCCTCGGTAATCTTGCCGTCAAGAAGCCAGAGCACCTGGTTGTAGCCCTGCAGCTCCGCAAGCTGCTGGGGCTTGAGCGTGGGCGCGTAGTTCAGCGCAAGCTTGTAGCCACCCGTTCCGCCTGGCCACGAGCGGACGACATCGCCGTTCGCGAGCAGAGAGATTTGGCGCGCAGAGCCGGCCCGGAAGTAGGGGCCTGCGGGAGAGCAGATAACGTAGAGAAGAGCGTGGTCGGACGCGGTGACACCAAGATCTGCAATCAAAGGTGAGATGGCGAACAAGAAGCTTTATTCCAGAGACTGACTGGGTCGAGTACCAATGATGGTGGGTCGGAGGTACAGACTGTAGCCTTGAATGTTCGGTATCCAGCGCGATTCCAACTCCACCAAACGCTGTATCAGGGTGAGCAGGGCGTCCGTATCAAAGGCTGCGACGTGCGTTAGTTGCGACGTGATTTGAAATGCGAGCTGCGCGACGTACGGGAAGGGCGACGCGATCTGCGGATCGACGCATGCGAGCCATGTTGAGATCTGGCCTGAACAACCTCACTTCGCCGTCCGGTCCGACGTATGCCTGGATGACACCTTCAGTGCATGGAATATACATACAGCACGCGAGACTCCTACCTTCATCCCCTCGAAAACGTTCGTGCTGTATTGGAACAAGAACTCGCGGGGTCGAGGCAGAGAGGTCCGTATGGCTTGATCTCAGGGTTAGACCACCATGCTCAGGGTCGTAACTTGCGACCAGCATGTGGTCGGTCATCATCTGCACGAATACAAGTCATGGTCAATATGTACGCGTATGGATAAGCTGTAGCATTCTCTCGTGCACTGCGTCGCATGGTTTAAGTCCAGTGCGCGGGCCCGGTTTCCACTAGATTGATCGCGTACATAATTGAGATCACGCGACGCCTTCGACGGCCAGCTGAGCAGCAGCGTGAACTTGCTATGGTCCAGTGAGCGGCCGGTCCGATCACTGAATACAGCGTCGCGACTCGCTCCTATACGTCCACTGAGTCATCCAGCCAACGCTTACCTGGCCAAATTTCAGAGTTTCCGGTGGGGTATCGGCTTCGGCGACTGCGTCATTGTAATGTTAAGTTTAGATGGCTATCGAAAGACCTTCCTCGTCAGAGTCGCGCTCGACCAGTCAATCGAAGTGAACTCACGTCGAGGTCCGGGACTCCTGGACGCGGTTCGGCATGCCCATTCACGCGAGGGGCGTCAATCGGGTTTGGGGACTCGATAGCCATGTTACCGAGGCCGGTAGGCAAAAACAAGCTGACGGTGGTCAGAGAGTGAATGGGTGTACAATGAAATCGAGTCATTGTTGGGTCGACACTTGTGTGGGCCACAGACCGGAACTTGCGGAAGAAAATGTTGTCGAAAATCAGACTCGATCAGGGACAGGTGCCATCTAATCTTATCCAGCAAATCTCAGATAGCCGCTGAAGTGCCCAGGCTGCCGCAACGGTGACCGGACTTGTGTACGACCAACACACCTTCAGGCTACCATCATCTCTTCCTGTGTCTAAGCCGAGGAATACTGGTCATGTCAGAGCATGACACAAAAGAATCCACGTCGTGTCTCCGGAAGCGCGTGCGTGTAGATATTGCTTGTCCGACGGCACGCTCTGATTTGGCAATTAGCAAAGATGAAGACCACAGGTCTGCCAGCGGTCGAAGACAATGGACCTCCGCAATACGCGACAACTTCAGACAGCGAGCTAAACACGGCAAGTAACGGTTAGTATGATTGCGAGCTTAGAGGTCTCCCACATTCAACAGTAATACTCAGCATGACTAACGTTCCTCTCGCATCGTTTCGCACCGCAGACTTCGAGCCATTGACACCCATCCAAAGCTTTGAGATGACTCAGGTAAGTTAGTTCCATGCAAGATACGGACTTACCGAAACTGAGTGCTATAGAGTCTGTTGGAAGAGGCCGTTCCTGACCGACCATTGATTGCGCCACTCGCCCCAATGGCTGTCCTACGAGCCGAATATGAAGGCGGATCGCAAGTTTTCGTCAAGCAGATTGACTGGCTCACGGAGCATGGCTTCGTTGGAATTCGACGCACTCGCGGAGATGGTATGCCTGATTATGCCGTGCGCCACATCTGAGCTGACCGTCCTGTATCATTGCTAGGCGACTGTTTTTATAGGTGTAAGTTAGGGGACCACTGTACAGCTCCCGTCAGCTCACGCCGAAGCGTAGCTCTTGCCTTTGCATACATTGAACGCCTCTTGCTTTCCAACGACCCCTTGCTGGCAGTGACGAGCGCCATATCCGTGCTAGAGTCCTCCCAGCCGCTTCTCGAAGCGGCAGGGTTCCAGCGCATGGTGTTCGAAGACTTCTATGATTGCCTGGTGTCCGTAATAAACAAGATACTCACTCCCGAAGGTGATGGCCGCCTGCTCACACCTGCGTCACTGCTCAATGCCTTCAACTCCCCCGAGGGTAGGCGATGGCGTGTCTCTACTACGAGGACCAAGCAGACTGATCGATTCCGCATTACAGTGTCCAATTCGATCGTCGTCTATCTCCGCCTGCTGACGTCCGCGCAAGTTCGCGCGGATCCTGACACGTATTCTGCGTTCCTCTTCCACCCGGAGATCGGGGAGCCTATGGAGGTTCGGGACTTCTGTGAGACATTCGTGGAAGCGGTCGGCAAGGAAGCGGGTGCGTCTTCGTGCAATCTGGCATACTAGTGATTGACGGCGATTGGGGGATAGACCATGTGCAGATGACAGCTCTGTCCCGCGCGCTGAAAGTAAATGTCAGCGTGGCGTACCTTGATGGGCACGTCCACGGTGAGGAAGGCAAGGTTGACTTCGTCGAGTTCAAGAACGTAGAAGATCCTGTGATAGAACCTGTCACTCTGCTGTACCGGTGCGGTGTCTCGTTTTTGGTGACATGAAGACATCATTGATGTAATGCCCATACTCCTCAGACCCGGGCATTACGATATCCTTGATCAGCGAAGCGAAGAACCACTGGACTTTGAGGATCAGTAATGCGGCAAACGTAAGATTCTTGGGGCGCCCGCAGGGCCGATGGAAGCAGTATGTTCCCACTGTTAATCTGCGGAAATGTTGTATAATTGAATCTTTGTTGTTGCATGTACATCACCTTGGCCTGTACCTTACGCTCCCGCGAGCAATCCAGATGCGATCGTGCGAATTCGATGTTCATTTGCGGGATGAAGTGAAGGGTCCGTCATTGTATGGGCCAAGTAACGACACTGCCGTTCTGCGCTGTCATACGGTCCAGCTAAGTACCCTCGCCGTGCTCACCAAAGCGCAATTTCTAAAGGCCCTGCGGAGTTTCACACTTGCCGTGGTCGAGAGCCGAGGTGAGCTCTGGCCTTCTGGTGCAATGATCACGCAAACCGCACCCGCTGGACGATGGGGGTGTCTCGTGCGAATGCGATGGCAGTTCGTCACAATCTTAGGCCGATGCGGCTGCATCCAGCAGGCCGGTATTATATTTGGGACTGCCACCGCCGGGAAGTGTCTGTGCTGGCGACATCCATTGGAGACCGAGACCCTCAAAATGGTGCATCGAACATCTTTGGTGTCTCATCAAACAATTGAGAGGCATGCGGCCTCCCAGGCTATCATGCCGAGTGAAATCTGTCAGTGACTCTCAGGTGCGTGCCGTTGGCCCTATGTTCACGGGGTTTGACCTATTTGTATCGCTCCGCTCAGGTAGCAGTGAACAACTCTGTCTCACGTCATGGCTTCCACGCTTGGCGTTACTGCGGTAGCGAAGAGGTGAGTAGTCAGTTGGCCGCGAAACGTTCTCTGCCGATCGACCCGCCAAGTAGGCGGGTCACAAGGAGTCGTTCTCACTTCTGGATGTCATCATCGATGTGGGAGACGTGAAAAGGACGCCTTCTCCGGAGGGCCTCTATTAGCGAGGAAGAAGAAAGGTGCAAGCCAGACATCCACGGAGAGGCTGTGGACGAATTCGCTGGCACTCGTGAATGGTACCGGCGGCAAGCAATTCTTTCAACGTACTCAGGTGAGAACGAGAGTTTACATTGACCGCAGAGTCCGCGCTTAGACCATGGAGCTGACCTAACGGTAGCACATGAAGGATAACAGTTCCCACTTCAAGCTCTCTTCAGGATTAGCTTCCTCCGATCGTTTTTAAGCTCACGGACAGATCGCGGGGAGCCAGAGCAGTCCGCCGCCAGACAGTCGTTTCTGTATGCACAAGGTTCACTCATGACGATACGCTGTCAGCGGCATGCGTGGTTTTGGGGGAAGCCAGGCGCGTCAATGGGCCTTCGACACGGTATTCAGTTGAACCTTGTCGCCTTCTCGAAGGAGCCCGTGTCACCATGGCGCACTCTGTTGTCACAGCTCCCCTTGGTGTGGCTCCGGAACGCTCGTTGGACAACCCTACCATCTGGGTCAGTGGAACGACCGTTCTCAGTTGAACCCACGTAGGTGCTATTTGAAGCGCTGGACATCGTCTTCTACTTCGGGAAGCCTGCATTGACTTGTATCATCTGACGGATGCCGAGCTGGTCGACGAGCCGCTTTGGCACAGCGGCCGAAAGAGGTCTGTCCACTGGATTTCTGCAATGCATAAAGAGGGCCGAGGGTATGATAGTCTACCCGACATTCTGTCTTTGTCGACATGAACTCTCTGGCGACTGATAGGATTTGCATCATCGGCGCTGGCGCTGCTGGGCTCATCACAGCTCATACCCTCATACAGGATGGCTACCAGCACGTCGAAGTCCTCACCCGGGACCCAACGCCCGGCGGCATCTGGTCTGCTGGTCGAGTGTACGAAGGACTGATCATCAACAAGTATGTATACGATCCTTCGGGCTACAGGTATGGGGATGGGCTGACAGCGGTATTCTGCAGTATCCAGGGGGAATATAGGTTCTCCAACCTCGACACGCCTCCGCCTTCCTCGGCTTCTAGTGACCGTCGTCTATCCGGTCAGGATTTGCAGGCGTATATGGCGAAATTTGTCGAGTTATTTCTTCCCGATAGAATCAGGTATAACACGGAAGTGCTCAACGTCCGGGCCACAGCTAGAGGCGGAGAAGGTCTACCCCACGGTGATGATCACGTCTGGGCTGTCGTGATTGAGGACACAAGGACCAAGATCGTAGAGGTCCTCGAATATGACAAGTTGGTATTGTGTAGCGGAGTAAGTGTAGCCTGGCAGCTCGTACTCGTCGCCGACTCACAGTGATCCAGGGCTGTAGCGAGCCGCATTATCCGCTGAGACTGAGTCCCAAGGAGGCGCGTCTGAACGGGTTCCAAGGTCCCGTCATCCACTCCAGCGACTATGGCGCGCGCATGCAAGAGCTACTAGACGCCGTGAAACCCGCATCTGAAGGCGGAGGGACCATAGTAGTCATCGGTGGCGGCAAATCAGCATCAGAGTGCGTTATCACCAGCTCTCACACATGACATCGACTGCTAACTACTTCAACGTCTTAGTATGCAGCCCACATGGCAGACAAAGGACGGCGAGTCACCATGGTCTTCACGACTATTGATGCGGCAGTCGCTGTGCCTATTACCATGCCCAATTGGTTCGCGAGAGGCAGGTCCGTGGTGGGGAAGTTAGCCATGGCAGAAGGTGCACTGACCGAATCAGATTCTTCTCTGCGTTGTCACCTCACTGAGCTCCGCACATCGATGGAGTGAGTTAAGCACGTCGCTGACATTGCCCTTACTGATTATCCCCAGACGATTTCTGCATACGACATGGCTTGGTGGCAAGATTGTCCACGGCTTCTGGGATGCCTACAATGGCTTGCGGTGAGGACATTGATAGTGACTAGTTACTCGGTGGATTGTCTGACAAGGGCTTCCGTTCCAGTTCAAGACGCTCAATGTTCCTCAAGACTCACCCTTGAGACGTGCTCCCAAATTGTTCTGGGCACGCATGCGAACAACCAGGGGTCTGGCGCCTTAGGGCTCTTCTACCGATTGGTCAACGAAGGCGCCATTGACATCATTGCTCCCGCGCGGGTAATGTCATTTTCGGAGGAAGCCCAGGCCGTGATTCTCAATGATGGGCGAATGGTGCGTGCCGATGCGGTCGTACTCGGTACCGGTTATACGTCTTCGTGGAACAAGCTGTTCGACGGTGAGCTTGTCGCTCAACCCGCTGATATCTCGGAATTGACGGATTGGCTTTCCAACTTGCTGTTGTCGATGTAGATACGGCCTTGCAGGAGCTTGGACTTGGTTGCCACGCGCCCCAGCCAGGCAGCCAGTACTACCGATGGGACTACACGACCCTTGTAGACTCTCCCGCCCCTCATCATGCCAACAAGCTGGCAACCTCGTCGATCTATCGGGGATTGGTACCGGCCAAGAACATATTTCGTAGAAACTTCGCCATCAACGGTGCTATTGTGAGTACTACAATCATCCCAGCTCAAATGCATGGTGCTCAGTGGGACACACTGTGGTATTGCAGTTCACGACGAACGCTGGATACGCGTTTGAGACTTCGGCCCATTGGATCACGTCGTACTTCCGCGGAGATAAATTCCTGCGGCTCCCCTCGTCTGTTGAGGAAGCCATGGCTAGCGCGGCGTACAACGCAGAGTGGCTCCGGAGGCGGTACCCCGATATACACATGTCAGCAAACAACAGCGTCAGAAGCGACTGTGCGCTATGGTGGTCAGTTATTAATTGCCATTCCGAACTTGTTTTCTAGACTCATGTCGTTTCCCAGCTGGCCACAAATTCTTGATACGTTATTGGACGATATGCAACTGCAGACGATGAGAAGCGGTGGGAATGCTCTGACATGGCCATTTCAGGTGATCGACGTGAAGGAAATCGCACACCTCAAGGAGGAGCGAGAGGCTTTGAGAGGTTCGATGTCATGAATGGATGTCCGAATGTACTATATGTGATTTTGAACGGCCTATGTATTCGTACGCGTCTTGCTTGCCAGTCTCATATGCTCATGACCCTACAATGTGTGCGAGTTGTCGTGACTAGCGAGCTGCTGTTGTACTCGTAGTACATGACTGTTGTGATCCTCACGATCAGGACAAAGGCAGGTGGAGACCTCAGGCTGCTACGGACCCATCTTTTGGGTTGAAATAAGTACTCATCGGAAAGCTGATGCCAAAGTGAAGCCTCTGCCAGTGGTACTTGAGCGCGAAGATCACGACCATGTGACCGTGATATCTGCAGGCGCTCGGCATCAAGCGCTCAAACTCATCCTCAACCAACTCAAGCTTCGCTGCCACTTGATGCTCAACGTTGCGACATCCATGATGCCAGGTCCTGCGATGACACCCCTGGCAGCCTCATGCGGTCATTCACCTCGCAAATTACAGAGGCATACAGCTCACTCTGGTGTTAAATCTCTGCTTTGCTCAGTCCATACCGCCTCTTTCTCCGTGCGCATGGCCATACCCGGACTCAACCAGAGCATGGTTGTCTACTGTTCGCGGAAACTCTCCCAAATCCCCGTCACCCCAAGTAATGATACATGTCTACGAAGGAAAGCAAGACGATTCATCCGAGAATCGAAGACGACCCTTAAGCCGTCTAGATCAACCAGTCGATCCAAGTGCTTGAGTTGCGTACGATCGCAGCAGCAATCTCCCTGGCGATGACTCTATCTGTCTGCTCTGAAGGGTGCAACTCGTCGTACCTATTCAGACCATCAGATGAAACGCGGATATTTGTAGCCTAATTGCGTTGACATACCACATGAAGCTATCGCGCGCCGTGCCCTCCGTGACATCACATGTAACAGGGCCAGCGGTGCTCTCATTCAGCTGGTACGCGCACGAGTTGATACATCCAGTGACGTTATAGGATGCCGAGCCGTTCAGGTAGTTCTGCGGGTGAGCATATACGTCCGAGATTAACCCATACGAGTCGAAAATGCCTATCATTGACACGCGTTCAGATGGTGCAAGCATAGCTGGACCCGGAAAATATCCGATCACCCACCGAGGTGTGCACCCGCCAGTGTCGGCGTCAAGGCCGAGAGCATCGCAGCAGACAAAGCGTTGCCAGTGTTGGTGATTTCTGTCATGAAGACATTCCATTCGGTCGTGTTACGTTGTTCTGTCCAGTATCGGTTGGGATATGAGTACGCGGAGTACAGAATTGTCAATTGCAGTGGGAGCATCTACGGAACGAAGAGGTGAGCTATCTTTACAAGCGACCGCATATTCACACTGACGTTCTGCACGACGAAGTTCCGCGCTCCAGCGCCATACAGCACCTTCACCCAGTCCACCGCGCAACCAATAGTGTCTACCAGGGTGACCCCTGGTATTTGTCCCCCAGTGATGAGCTGCCGACACCGACATCGTTTGTTCCAATCCAGAGTGTGTACATCGTATCCGTCGGATCCAGCACGAGGGAACCATTCTCACGCTCGGTGAAGTAGAGCGGCAGTTCATCTTCAAACACGGAAGGGAACAGACGTGGGGTAAGATAGTTTGAGCATGTTGCGCCAGATTTCGCGTACGGATACAAGGTGAAGTCGCCATACATGGCTGCATAGACGGGCCAGGCAGTGGCGTTGTCTCCTGGATCGCCCTGTCCAGAAGTCTTTGTAAGTGTTATTCAAAGCATAGCGTTAAGGTGTTGCTCACAACGTCACTGTAGGAATCCCCGAAGGTCACCAAGTTCTTGATCTGACCTGGATAAGGCCCCTGGGCCGCGCTCCACTGCGCGCAACCCAGGACTAGGAAAACCGATGCAAGGACACGCTGGAAGGACATCTTGGTTGGTTTTCTCGTCCAGTCCTGGGATCACCTTTATACATTTTCGTGACGAATCGCTCGTAAACCTCAAGGATGTCCATGTGACGACTATGCGGTCCACAGGCGGGCCACTGGGTTGATTGACCCGACGGTGAGATGATATATGCAGTCAATTCGTCTTGACCATGGGAAACGCCCACACGGCATCTATTGTAGGCGTTATGAATCAGTGAAAAGGGGTCGCTGATTGAAAGACGGTATTCCGTATGCCGTTCGTCGGGATTGCAGAGCGCTGTGGTATCCGCCTTCGCAGAAGCGGCTGATTGGCCCTCGTTAACCTCGCTTTTGATGATCACTTTCCAGCAAGGCTGAATTCGTTCGCAGCGTCTTCTCAGGCTGTTCCAAACATGCACGCCAGGAAGCTGGTGCTTCGATACAGGTGCCGAGAACGCTCATGCGCTTGTCTTGTTATATTACCCTAGTCCTTGGATCTAAGGTACTGTCCACATTGTTCTTTCTCACTCATGATGTGCTCAAATAAGCCACGTTATCCAGTCCGTCGAGTTCCGCACAATAGCTGACGCAATCTCTCTGGCGATGACCCTGTCGGTCTGCTCGGACGGGTGCAATTCATCATACCTGAAACCGACTCGTGAGCAAGTCTCCGAATGGACTTCGACGATGATGCTACAACGTACCACAGGAAGCTGTCCCGTGCTGTTCCTTCAGCGACGTCGCAAGTCACCGGACCCGCAGTGTTCTCGTTCAACTGGTATACGCACGAATTGATGCATCCGGTGACGTTCAACGGAGCGGTGCCGTTCAGGTAGTTCTGGGGATTGGCACGAATGTCGGCCACAAGCCCGAACGAGTTGAAGTAACCTGAACGCTGATCAATCATTCCGCAGATGTCATGTGATGCCGGGCCTACCGAGATGTGCTCCTCTAGAGTCGGTGCCAGTGCAGTCAGCCAGGCGAGGACAGGGCGTTTCCGGTGTTCGTGATCTCGGTCATCATCACGTTCCACTCTGTTGAATTCCGCTCTGCAGTCCAGTACCGATTGGGATAGGAGTCAGCCGAGTACAGGATAGTATCTTGAAGAGGAAGCATCTATTTGATACAGTCAGTGAAGAGCGTCTTCACCCTGACGAGGACCGGAATACGCACGTTCTGGAAGACGAAGTTCCTGGCGCCGCTGGTGTACAACACCTTCACCCACTCCACGCACAACTGATGGTATCAACGAGCGTGACTCCTGGAGTCTGTCTCCCCGTCAGGAGCGCGTTGACACCGACGTCGTTTGTCCCGATCCAGAGCGTGTAGATGGTGCTTGTCGGGTCAAGCTCGAGGGAACCGTTGTACTTCTCCGTGAAGTACAGCGGGAGCTGATACTCGAAGACGGGTGGGAACGGCTTGTAGGTCAGGTAGTTTGAGCACGTTGCTCCAGACTTGGCGAAAGGGTACAGCGTGAAGTTGCCATACATCGCTGCGTAGGTGGGCCATGAGGTGCCGTTGTCTCCCGGGACATACTGCTCTGAAGGTAAGCTCTCGTTTCGACAGTCTCTCTCTGGGCGCGTCTGTGCTCACCACATCAGAATAGGAGTCACCGAACGTTACCAAGTTTTTGATCTGGCCCGGATATGGTCCCTGGCCATTGCTGGTCCACGCAAGACTGAGGCAAGCGACAAGCGCGGAGAGCGAGCGAAGGAAGGCCATCTCGAGCTGACCCCGTCCTCCTACCACGCCCTCCCTTTATTGTCCTCACACGCATGCACACCGGACATCACGAGTGAGTACGCTATCCGGGACTTAGTTTCACCCCTTTCGCGCAATGGGACTTGCTCTCGCACTATTTATATCATGCGACTATTCGCGGACTGTCATAGCGGACTCGCGTTTGTGGATTGTCGGTGGTCATGATCACAAGGCCCAGAAATCAGTGCAGTATCTGTCAGCGTACTCTCCCCAAACAGAAGGTCAAGGGAAATCGCAGTTCGCAATGCCGATATTTCCCCTGCGCTAAAGACGATCATGTACGATTTGAGTACTGGGCCTCGTGGTCAGCTGCAAGCGCTGTGACCTGACGCGACTTGTCACAGGTCATGCCTTTTGTCACTCCGCGACGTCACACGCCAGCGAGTCTCGGATTTCGATTGTCAAGTCTCTGCTACTTGAAACCCATTACTTTATAATCCCTGATCGAGTTTCCCGTCGCATGCTCGCAATGAATGGACGTGTGGTTAGCTTCTAACACTCCGAGTCGGCCAGTGGCTTCCCCCGACGCCACGTCGCCACCGAGGCATCCTTTCCAAGACCTCAGGCCTGAAGGCTCATCAACACATAGAACTCAAAAGTCGGATATTGATTTTCCAGACTGGGTGCGTTCACGCTAAGTACCATTGCGCCGCTCTATTCCCGTATACACAGTCATCGAAGTGTGGGCCTCATCAGACATGGGACACAGAAAACATGAAACACCTCCAACAGTGGCCTACTGCATGTCGAAGCCGTTCCAGAAACCGCGCGTTATGGAGAGCCCGGATGGGAAGGTGTACCGGGCATGTTGCGTATTGGCTTGGTGCTAACAATAGAGTGGACAATATGGTGCATTAACGAGTATGTGGCCGCGTCCCATGTGCAACAGTATCTCATCTAGGCAAGAGAAGTGCTTCCTTGACGTGCACTGCTTGAAGTATTCGTCGCACGTGTGTCGGGTTGCAAGCATAAAAAGCCAGAACAGCAGGACAACCCTCTAGACAAGCAGACACATCGCAACGAGGCACAGTCAGTATGTCCGCGCTCTCCAAGCTTCTCGTCTTTGTCGCGCTCTCGTTCTCCACTGTCGCACTCGCCACAAACATCGTGCTCACGAACGACGACGGATGGGCTGTTGCACAAATACGTGCCCAGTACGCTGACCTGGTATCTGCAGGTTACGATGTATGTATACAATCTCAACGAGCTGTTGCATTCTGACCAGACACGGATTATTGCAGGTCATATTGTCGTGTCCTGCGGAGAACGAGTCCGGCACAGGATCCGACTCAGAGACTCCTGAGATGCTCACTGAGCCATGCGAGTACGACACCTGCCCCACGGGTTCTCCCGCAGAAGGGTATAACTCGACTGACAGTAAGTCAATTCGATTGGGCAAGCTATCTAGGATCTCATCATCTGTCCTCAGACCATCTGAACTACGTCAATGCCTACCCGTACGCATTAAAACAGTGGGGTGTACGCTGACTGACTTTGATAATCGGCAGCGTGGATGCTGTGCGCTACGGCATTCAGACTCTTGCTCCGGAGCTGTTCGACGGGGCTGAACCTGACTTTATTGTCAGCGGACCCAACATTGGCTGTACGTACTGGTCTCGTCCATACGTCTTATAGGACACTTATTGACATCCTCCTTTTAGGGAACACGGGCAAAACTGTCCTCAAATCCGGAACTGTGTACGTCTGACATTCTTGAGTTACCGTATCCTTGATACTTACAAGTGGCTGCAGCGGCGCAGCCTGCGAGGCAGCGAAGGAAGGTTACCCGGCTACCGCCTTTTCCGGACGTACCGGGTCGCAGAAATCCTACACCAATTTGACCAGCGACCCCAGCTCGTCAACCACTAAATCCGCTTTTATCTATGCGGCACTCACCGTCCAATACACCAATGCGCTCCTGGCATCGGGGTCAAGCCCACTCCTACCTTCCGGCGTCATCGTCAATGTCAACTATCCCTCCACCAAAGAATGTTCAGACGCCGACGACTATCAGTGGGTCTTCGCGCGCAACCTCGCAAATTCGAGCGCGACGGACTTCGAGACGTGTGGGAGCACGACGCTGCCTACCGAAAAGAGCGTAGTGAAGGCATCGGGGTGCTATGCCAGTGTCTCGGTCCTGAACGCGACCACCAAGACAGATGTGGATGCGTACATGCAGGGGCAGGTGTATAACAGCCTGACGGGCCTTCCCTTCAGTTGCCTGTCGAGCTCGTGAATCATGCGAACTTGTGGTGATTGGGAATCGGGATCCTGGTAGATTCTCATCACACAATGATACAAGCACTCGGCGAGATGTAACTTGATGTAGTGGAGTCTACTCGTAGCGTTGGTCCTGTCTTTGTCGCGCGTAGTATCATATCCAAGGCGGTTCAAAAGAATTTGGATACTTGCTGAATCCAGCGCCGAAGGACACCGAGAATAACCCACCAGTGCCACCGGGGACGAGCGGCCCGGGTTCCCACGTGTCTCGCACTGCGTCCAGCGCTTCCATAACCCTCGCCACTCTCGAATGAGCCACCTCTCACCATCATGCTAGGTCTGTTCACGTATTTGGCTTTCTTCTTCCTTGAGACCGGGTAAGGAGACGAACGTGTGGTACTCTACTGGGGTGGTATGCTTCTGGACAGGCCCAACTATAAGTAGGCTGCGCAGGAAGTGTCGTGGGACTCAGGGAACTCAGATCCACAGTGACTCGGATCCGGAGGTGAGCATGTGCCAGTTTCCTGAAGCTGCCCTCATACGGCAGCTACCTCCAAGGAAAATTGGAAGCATACTGCGTCATGAGCAGCATCATCTCACTCCAGTGATGCAGGGCTGTCACTGAGTTGACAGTGGCACCGCGTGCCACGCAGCTGTCCAGGTTGTTGCACCTATCAACCAGTGCTACACAGGCAAATCTGCGAAGGATTTTCAGTAGCTCGATAAGTATGTAGCTGTTATGATGAAACAAGTTATCAAAAAAGATGCGATCCTGGCTTTCGCAGGTGCTCAAAGAGGCTAAAACAGAACGTTCACTGCCTAAATATGTCGCGGACGTTGAGAGCCCTTACGTAGCTCTCCATGTGCTCCTGCTTCCCATCGCTTTCCAAGCTCTCTCCCTTCGACCCACGTGCGTCCTGTCAACAGCACTTATATTTCAGCATGCCGGGGAGGAAAGACCTGGCAGCCCTCTATCCATCTCTCGAAGACGAGGAGGTACATTCGAAGACCCTTCAGAATGCTTGGATCCGGTCGCATCGTCGCCGCACTGTCCTGCATTTCCGCAGCTTTGTGCGCTGGCAACATCGTCTCGACGAACGATGATGGGTGGGCTGTGGCGCAGATCCGTGCATTGTACACGGATTTGACGGCCGCTGGCTTCGACGTGAGTAGACTGTATGCACGGCGAATACCACCGACTCAAATCGTTTTATTGCATCGCTAGGTCGTTCTATCAGCTCCCGCTGAGAACGAGTCTGGTACGGGCTCCAGTACAGAGACACCAGAAACTTTGAGCGAGCCGTGCGAGTACGACTCCTGCCCTACCGGCTCGCCCGCCGAGGGGTACAACGCCAGTGATCGTGGGTGTTCCTACAATTCAACGGAGAGCATGGCGACTTAATAAGGCTACAAGCTCATCTGAACTACGTCAACGCATATCCGTGAGTGTGGACTATTCGACTTGACGCGAGCTTTATTCAGCGTTTCTCGTTGTAGGGTAGACGCAGTACAGTATGGCATCCAAACTCTTGCACCAGAGTTTTTTTCCGGCTCAGGTCCCGACTTCGTGACCAGCGGCCCAAATATTGGAAGTGAGTCAACTATCATAGCTGTCCATGAGCACACTCAGCTCTGAAATTCTGTCAGACAATCTCGGTCTCGCTGTCCTCTTGTCTGGTACCATGTACGTACATAACCACCTCCTGTTGCGCAGCTATGTTTACATTACGCACCATATAGCGGCGCGGCATGCGAGGCCGCAAAGGAAGGCGTACCGGCAACCGCATTCTCCGGGGATTCCGGCTCCGAGGTCTCCTACACCACCCTCGACAGCGATCCAACCGCTTCCTCGACTGAGGCCGCCTGGATCTACTCCGCACTAGTCGTTCACTACACCCAAGCCCTCTTCGCCGTCGACAGCAGCCCGCTCCTCCCTCCGGGCATCATCGTCTCTGTTAACTTCCCGTCCGTCGACAACTGCTCAGACGCAAGCGACTACCAGTGGGTGCTGTCGAGGAACCTGTGGGATCCCTTCGCGTCGGACTTTGCGGCGTGCTCGTCCGATGGCTCCGTCTTGCCGACGGAAAGCGATGTCGTGGGCACTGCGGGGTGCTATAATAGCGTGACTGTCCTCAATGCAACTACGAAGACGGACGTAGATGCGGATTATCAGGGAGAGGTATATAGCATACTGCGTGAGCTGCCGTTTACCTGTCTGCCGAGTGCTTGAACAGAGAAGCATCGAGATGAAATAGCTGGCAGATACTGTACGGGGCCAATCGCACACGTTGTTGAGGCTGTACATACACTACCGCTGCAGGTCATACTACATCGCTGCGCTACAGGACGGAACCTCGCCCAGGTGCTGATTTGAATAAGTCGCACTACGCCAAGGCTCGAAGCGCGAGGTCGAACGTCGGTATGTCCGCTAGCTTCCACACTATCGCGTGTATCCAGAGATCAGCGCGTGCATTGCATTGTTTGCAATCGTCCAGCAGATGTCGGTGCTCATCCAGTGTCGCTGACGGACTGGACTGTTGGAGACGAGCCAGCGAACCTCCGATGTCTTGCACGACACGCCATTGAAAGGGGAGCCAAAGGGGGCACTCCGGTAGACCTCCCTTGTGCAGCATCGGGGAGCGAGGTGGACAGTGGATGTCGTACAGGATTTCTAGCCAATGTTCGCGGTAGAGGACCTATTATCATGTACTGTGAGCCGTCGCGGCGGTAACATGGTTGCCAAAGTCACTAACCCAACTAGCAAAGCACCCTCCATCCAGGTGCTTGAAAGCATCGGCAGCCTGTGCCTGTACAGTGTGCGGAGCCGCTTCCTCGCAAAGGCTCTCATATCCATGCCTCGCTGCGTATCCCATCACCAACAGTGGCATCTTTTGGATCGCAGACCTAGCCAGGCAGCACCTATCAGCTGCAAGACGAGCACGGTTTTGGAAGCACTCACTGCATGCACAACTTGCACACTTCCATCGCCGCATAGACGGAGTACTTCTCCGCCGCCTCCGCCAGCATCGCAAGCTCATCCGCGTCGATTTTGTTCAAGTCGGGCTGTCGCTGCCGATACATGTACTGAAAGAGTAGCTCCAGTGTCGACGCCTTCTCCGACAGGGGTACGACTTCGTTGTTCACAGGGACGTCAGTCCCAGGGAAGATGTCCGAGTAGATTTCGAGATTCTTCCGGTGCACCTTGAAGAGTACGTTGTCGGACGATGAGATGGTCAGATCCGCATCCGCAGCCTTGACTGCCCGAAAGTGAGTCTCAGCCATAACAACTACGTTCTCAGGAGATCACTGACATCGCTCGCTGTATGTAGGGATCGAAGTTTCAGTCATGGTCAGATTGTGACGGGAGCTGCAGCGATTATCGTCTGAGAGCGAAGCCAGACAACCTATCAGTACAAGGACGTGAGCATCCGATGAGACTGCCAGTGGAGCAGGAATATGAACTGGCTAACGCTGCCTCGTGCCGTCCTACAAGCTGTATTTCACTGTGAATCACAGCAGGAACTCTGTTGACCGCTTCTATCCGGATCATTCTACATACTGAGCACAAGCACCGTCTGGTGACTGGTAAGTTTGAGATAAGTACTCCCGGTTCTCGACGCCACAGACTACAAAGACTTATCGGATAACCATGCGCAGCTACACCCACCCACGCTCAGTTGTGCCATTGAGCGCGGTGCTCTATATGTGGTCGGACCCAAGAAAGAATCAGTGTCGTCTCTATGATGGAACCGAATGGAGGACACACCCTTCCTTCAGCCGGACTCAACACTTGAATGAAGTAAACATTGGGTGAGTGTATTGTTGCAGGCGAATGAGATGATTTCTTCACCCCCTCACATGCATTTGGCACGGTCACCCAATATGTACTTCTGCCTGTTGAACACCCCATCTTCATCATTGGCACTCACGAGCGACCTCCCGAGTTGTTCATGGAGCACTTCTCCCCGTGATGGTCTTCATGTCCTGAGTGTGGCAGACTGAGGATGAAGGGAAGGTTGTAGGATGCTGAAGAACGGGGCTACATGGACCCGGTTTCACTAGTAGCTTATGGCCCTCGCTCTTTTCCGACGCTAGCCAGAAGACGACCATCAAGTGAGCATGGACCTCCGCCGTAGCTCAGGTTTTGCAAGCCCGGCATGAACGGAAGAGGGTGAGGAGGAGGACTGTGTGCATTGACCATGCGATCGCACTTCGATCTACTCTGATCGCCCATAGCCGCGTACCGCCGCACCGCGGCCGACACTGCCTCCGGTTTCAAAATTCCTTTAGACCATATGCAACCTATCCTGATTTTCTTCTGTCCATATGCTCGCGATCATGTCTAGCGGTTCTATATATGAACTCGACGCACAGCCAACATGCCCTGCTCCTGTATTCTCTCTTTGCCGTCGTTGACTTGCACATTCCCCGGTCCTTGAAACTCACTGTCCTTCAAGTATAATTCGGGAGCCAGCTAGACGTGCTTGGCCTCTCTCTGTCGCTCTTTACAGTCTTTCGTTACGTTCTAGGATCTGGACATGTCCCTCCGGAACTTGGCCTTCCTTGGGCTAACGCTCTCCGCGTTGGCTGGCGCACAGAACGTGGTCATCTCAGACGACGACGGGTGGGCGACAGCGCAGATTCGGGCGCAGTATGCGTCCTTCACAGAGGCGGGCTACAATGTGCGTCGGCTTGCTGAAATGTTTGTGCCTACTTTGACGTAGCTCCTGCTTAGGTGGTCCTCTCTTGCCCGGCGCTGAATCAGTCGGGGAAAGGCTCATCGTCCAAGACGCCTACGCCGATGACAGAGCCGTGCGAGTTCGATTCCTGCCCTGCAGGATCGCCGGCGCAAGGGTACAACGCGAGTGATCGTGAGTCGTACAGAACATGACGGAAAGCGAAGCGATGTTCATAGTTGATGCTCAGCACAATTGAATTACGTTAACGGGTACCCGTACGTCGCAGATACATATACGAGACGCTAAGTGTGGCCTGCTGAGCATTTTCACAGCGTTGATGCGGCTCAGTACGGGGTTGAGGAGCTTGCTCCGAAGTACTTTGGAGGATCCCCGCCGGACTTCTTGGTGAGCGGACCAAATATCGGAAGTGTGTCCTGCATCTGGCCTTCACGCTCTTCGATCTGACCTCATTTTGTCCGTCTTCAGCCAACCTGAACATCATCACCCAGTTTTCTGGAACGATGTATGCGACCCCCTTCATCTTGCGTGAACTTGACTCATTTTTCGTTTGTTAGCGGCGCAGCGTCCACAGCAGCGAAGCTCAGTGTTCCTGCCGCAGCGTTCTCTGGTACCTCCGGCTCTCAAGTTTCCTACACGACTCTCAGCTCCGATCCGAACGCGACAGCAATCCTAGCCGCACGTCTCTACGCGTCCCTCACGACGCACTTCCTGCAGACCCTGCTTTCTGCGGCCGCAGACCTACAGCCGACGTCAATCCTCCCGAACGACACGATCGTGAACGTAAACTACCCCGCGATCGACGACTGCCCTGACGTGTCTGACTACAAATGGGTGTTCGCGCGGAACCTATGGAACCCGCTCGCCACGGACGTCGAGACGTGCGGGAGTAAGCACTTGCCGGATGAGGTCAGCGTGGTGGACAAGGATGGGTGCTACGCCAGCGTGTCGGTGCTGAGTGCGAGCACGAAGACGGATGTCGGGAGCGACGTGCAGGCGGAGGTGCTCGCGAAGCTCCAGGGGCTGCCGTTCAGCTGCTTGCCTTGATCCCTTCGTGACTGAGGCTCATACGCATGATTTTAGTGTAGGATCACTGTAGTGCGAATGAAATTGTACACCCATGTCTCAGCAAGCTTAAAATATATGGACTTTGAAATTTGAATCGCGAGCTGGCCGGTGACCAGGCTACAGGTCGCCATGCTAAGTACTGGATCATGAGACCAGAGACGGGTTAAATTGCGTCGTGAAGTGTTCTAAGTATCGAATCGCCTGCTAACAGACGTGATCTTGCTATTGGCTCTTACGCCGGAGAGTCAACGTTTCAACATTGGCCCGGGCAGTCGTCTTCGGCTTAGTCTCCGAGCTCCCCTAGGCAGACCCTGAAGACCTCTTTGTCGGAGGGGAGGACGTATCTTCGGCTCTGCCTTCACTCGGTTGATGAGGGCGACGCTCGCGACCACTCCACAACCGGGCTTCTCGGGCAGCAAGAACGATGGGGGCGACCCATGCATGACAAACATGACAGTCTCCAGCACGCAAGTGCAACGCGCAACTCCCGACATGTCATGCAGTGCATGGATCTGGTCGTCGCGAATTGTGAATCGACTTCTATGACTCCAAAGGCGGGAAAGAAGCAAATGAGAGAGCGAGATGCCCGACGTACCGACCATCCGAACCTGCTTCTGCGGATCTAACCTTGCCCCATATCACGCATGCACACCATAAAATCATCACACCAAAAAAGTGTCCATCAAGCGTGCCTATGAATTGAGTGCCCTGCTGAGTGTCAAGGATGCTAGCCGACTGCCCGTCTGAGCGGCGCATGCGTCAACTAATGAAAAAGCGTACAAAGCCAGTGGAAAAAATGCGGAGGAGAGGACGGAGGAAGAAACCAGCCCAGACCCAGACAGCGCTACTTGTACAGACGAGAGGGAGATGCGATACAGATGGGGAACGAAGACGAAGGGGGTAACACGCGAGCGGGATCACGACGGGCAGCTGTCACGGCACGACGGTGGTCGTTCATTCCCAGAGCCACCGCTTGCCCTTCGCACCAGCGGCGCCAGCCTTTGCACCAGCAGCGCCTGCTGCCGCACCTGCCTTCGCGCCTGCAGCACCACCCTTCGCGCCAGCACCGGCGGCTGCAGCACCCTTCGCGCCGGCAGCAGCACCACCCTTCGCGCCAGCAGCACCGGCACCAGCGTTGCCCTTGCCACCGTTGTTCGACGCCGCTGCTGCAGACGAAGAGGCAGCGGCCGCAGAGGCAGAGGCAGCCGCATTACCATTGCCGCCGGCATTGTTGTTGTTGCCGCCGGCGTTGTTGTTGTTCCGCCGGCGTTGTTGTTGTTACCGCCGGCGTTGTTGTTGCCACCACCGTTGTTTGACACGGTAAACTGGACGCATTCGTCAGAGTCAACGAGGAAACCGATTTAGTGGAGAGGACTCACGTAGACAGCATCATCAAGGGAACCGTGCTGCGCGACGGCGACGAGGACAGGCTGGTGGTTGGCGGCGGAGTTGATGGAGGACATCTTGTACACGCCCTCGGGAAGACCACCAGCGATGGTTGCGGAGAGGATACCGTTCTGCGCTGCGTCGTTGAACCCCTGGAAGAAGGCGAACTTCGTCGGGTCCGTGGTGGCCGTGCTCGTGAGCGAGTCGATCGCTTCGACGACGACGTGCGAGTGGCCCTGGATGACACCGCTCGAGGAGGTCTGCTGGGGCGCGGAGAAGTAGTTCGTGTTCGGGTTGACGAAGTTACCGGTGTCGAGGTTGCTGATCGCCATCTGGATGGTGATGTTCTGGTTCGCCGGGACCGTGTCGAGGTTCTTCGGGTTGACGAACTTCGACGAGGGCATCGCGGTCGTCGCGGCGATCATACCCATTGGTGCGGCATTACACGAACCAGTCTTGATCTGCGTGCCGTTCGTGAGGGGGAGGTTGGTCGTGCCGCAGTAGTTGATGAAGTTGTTGTTCGACGTGGCCGATGCTACCTGCCCTGGGTCCGCGTCACTGAAACGCCATCAGTTCCTTACAACGTCGAGGGAAGTCGTATTACTCACGCGCCCTGACCATCCTGCTCGAAGCCGGTCTGGACTAGCTGAGGGTCGAGCGCTGTCACACGAACGTCAACTTTGATCCCATGAGCAATTACGAAAGTCACTTACTCAGCGAGCTCTGATCACCGCCGTTGTTGTTGTTGTTGCCCGTTGTTGTTGTTATTGCCGTTGTTGTTGCCGTTGTTACCGGCAGCAGCGGCCTATTAGGAACATATCAGCCCGAAGTTCAGAAAAACTGGATACATATTGCAGGATGCTTACAGCAGTAGCATTGCCGTTGTTGTTGTTGTTGTTCCCGGCATTGCCACCTTTGGCGGCTGCAGCGGCCCCGGCGTTACCGCCCTTGGCGGCCGCTGCACCTCCAGCGTTACCGCCCTTAGCGGCTGCAGCAGCTCCAGCGTTACCGCCCTTGCCAGCTGCAGCAGCGCCAGCAGCAGCCTTCCCGGCTCCTCCTGCGTTCTTGCCGTTGCCAGTGTTCGCGAAGACCGCGGACGCAGCAGACCTCGCCGTGACACTTTGCGTAAGGGTCTGAGAAGCGATCACGTGTCAGCAACCATACCGTATCTCGCAACCGAGAAGGAGACGCACACAATCAGCTGCCGGAGCCGCGCTTGCAGAAAGCGAAATAGAGAGGAAAGCAAGGACGAAGGCTTTCTTGGAAAACATCTCGACTAGGAGGTATCTGAGAGCGGGCTGGGTTTGAAGGAATGAACGGGGTGCTTTGTGAGCTTGACCACGAAGAAACTAGGTGCGAAAGAAGGAAAAGAACGACCCCGGGTCGAGTGGACGCAACGCTAGGCGACGGCCTGCGACAAAGAGCAAGAGCAAGGCAAGATGGAAAAGGGGGGAAGGTGTGCTTGGCTATCGGATACGGCCCATCCTTTATATTGTCGTCTCGGGCCTGAGCTCTCCGCACAAGCGAGCGACCGCGTTCCAATCATTTCGCCCTGCGCATATGACTGGCTGATAATCGTCCACCGAATCAAGTGCGATCTGGATTGCCGTGCCAACCACCTTCTGGCCAGAACTTCTGTGCGACCTCCGTCGTCACGACAATCTCGGCGGCCCGCTTTGTTCGCAATGCGCCCGAGCCTACCGTAATTGAGCCCTACGTGTACAATAACACTCCTGTGGGTGTCCACCGTCCAACGGTGGCCACTCGAGACAATGATTCACTGTCGAGGCAAGGCGCATCGGATCCACCCCGCGATAGGAAAAAGGAGACAGCACATGTCGCCTTTTTCGGCATAGCATCTGATCTCGAGGAGGCTGCCCTGATTGGGCCTCCCCCTCTCATGCCACCGCTCAATCTCCCCCGCGACGGGAGACTCGTCTTCGCTGCACAACGGCGACGAACAGAGCCAATCATATCCCCCGGACGTCTCAGTGCCGCCGAGGCACGCGTATGTAGAGCTCGCGCCGGCCGCCAGCAAGCGTGGGGCGCGTCGTGCGCGTGTGTGGGCGCATGGGAGCACACAGAGTGCAAAGTTCACCCTCCGTCTGCCCCGCAGCCTTCGTCCTAAATTTGTATGCGATCTGCAGGCTCTCTGCCAGCATATCGCCGGCCCCGAGCACTGCCTGTGCGGGGTGGGACAGCATCCTGAACACTTTCTGTCTGCGCGAGCCCGCCGAGCTGTCAGCGACCACGGATCACCATCTCACGCGACAGTCCAGGCATCTCCGAATCCATTCCAAGGAACATCTCATCTCAGCAGTTCGTAACCAGGACCAAAATATATTCTGTCAAGTCAAGAACTGCGATAGTTGCGGCGGAGGGCGATGGTTTGGTTCGCGTCGATGTACTTTTCTGGCGATGGACAGGCGGGAGAATGTCGCCGCTGAGTTGCGCTATATTTAGCGTCCGAGGCGTCGGTTGAGCAACGAACCGAGACCGCGATGCCCGGGCGAAATGTGATCTAGCCAAGGCAACCAAGTGCTCAGGCACCTTCAATCCTCCGAGTCGGACCTCGCCTTGATGCATTGATGGCCGACGCAACGTCCGAGCCTCGTCATCCGCGTTGTGCTGCTTCAGCATCCCCCGTTGGGCAGCAGCCAGACATGTCGGAAGGCGGTGGTTGCAGATGCGGCTGCTGAGGGTACTATTCGAACACTGTAAACGATTGCGAAGATCAAGAACCATACAGTTGATATGGTCGAGAACTTCGAACGGCTCCAAAGCGGCTCCACCGTCGCTAGCTCGCACTTCCTGACATGCACACCCAGACGAGGAACGACGCCTCGTTTCTACCATCGTACAGCCCAGCTCGCGAGCCAAAAGTGGTACTACAGGTGAGCAAGCGCGGATCAGACCCGCCCAAACGCGCTCAGATCAGACGCACTGCACTCTCGGTCAGAGCTGGCGCTCGCCCGAGACTGCAGTCTGCGTGTACTCGGTTCGCTGGCCGTGTACTACTTAGTCAATGGATATGTACTTACCTTAAAGCTGCAGGACACGCATCTTCCGTGCGGCTGTCCGACCGTCGTTGCCGAGGGCAACGTGACGCAGGCATGTCGTTCAATACCGAGCGTACACGCCTCGGAATGGCACACTTGTCTGCTCTTCACAACACGGGGTTCATGGAACAGAATGCCCGCTCAGAACGAACCTTCAGCATGCCATTTGCATTATCCAGTCGTTGTCATCACTACAATGCGATCTGAGCAGCTGGCGGTGATGAGTCTGACACGAATCGGAGCATGCATTTGGACGTACGTGCGAAGGATGAAGGAAGCTGGATGGAGGTAACGTTGTGCGTGTTATCAGATAACGGAGAAGCGTCCTACTCACCAGATAAGTTACAACTGAAGGACGCCGCCGGTAACGCAGCGGTAGCGCATAGAGTGCTCTCATGCATCCTGGCCTGGCCGTCGTGATACTTAGTCTCTCCGCACGGTCTCTCCCATAGACGAGCCACCGGTCCCCACGCGTCGCCTCCTCATCGCTCCGGCCAGAGAATACCCCTCCGCGTTTGCAGACGGTCTTGTCCGACGGCGCACGAACGAGCGACCAGACGACTGCACTCACGGACGTCAACTGTAACCTAGGCGAGATACATAGTCCCTACCTATTGCGCACTGTCAAGTCAGTGGACGCTCGAACCACCGTACTACCGTCAATAGCCACCAATTGATCATACACACCGGACGTGTTGGGACGCGTTGCGGCAAGTTCTCTGCTCACTGCTCGATGGTAGCCAACATCACTGTACCACACTCCTGGTCGGGCGACGGGCGTGGAGTCCTGAGCTGACCGACCCGTCAACGTGTCACGTGCTTTCAGCACGTACTGACCCATTAGTATAGGCCTGCGAACATCCAGCGGACGATCATCCGCACTGTCGGCCTTCATCCGCATCTGCCAACGGTTTCAACGAGCGCATCTGAATGATGAACAAACAAACAGCCCTCACCGTCACCTAGACACTGACCACGAACTGGCAACCATTCCGAGGATCGTACAGCTGGTTCACTTGTCTGTCCTCGAGACTCGACTGAGAGCACAGCTTTGTCTCGAGCCTGCGAGTTGCACGCACCTCGCTGCGGAGTGTGTATCGGGTGTGGGAAGGGCCCCTGAGAGTTGACTGCGGAGGGTGATCAGATCGGACGCAGCATTCTACGGCGCTCACAACTTGCATACATAGTCGTACTCATGTCGTAAGTTACTCGCGGGGGGTTGCCAACCCCAGGTGGATGCTTCGCTGAGAAACTGTGTCCATCCCATCTTCCCGTTTGTTATTGCATTCAAGCACTTGCGCAATGCAATCGCACCTGCAGCGCAGAACGGAAGCAACCACGCCAGCGCTCCGAGGGTTAACAAACGAACTTGATGAAGTCGCTCTGGCCACGGTGACAAGTGGTCGCTAGCTCAAGGGTTTTCACGGTCTTCTATCGCTCGGATTTATCAGATGGACTGATCGTTCTGCAGGTATGGTCGAAATTTGTGCGCGGAGAAGGTGCCCGAAGAGAACGTACCGCAGAGGACGAGTGATACCATCCAGGTGCTCGTGACATCCCTCCGTGTCCTCGAGAAAGAGAGAACAGAAGGCGTCACGACGAGACGCGGACGTTCGCACTACAATTGGTAGTATCACAATAATGCCTACTGTCCAGCGAACTTACCACCTTCCGACGACACCAAGCGCACGGGACCGCCTTCGAGACTCGGACTGGAAAAAAATTACCTTTTGAGATGGCATCTCGCAGCACACGATTTCCTCGCTGCGGAAGTAGATCTGGGTGGGGAAAGCTTGGAGAAAGCCAAACGGCTCGAACGACTGCGGCTGACTGCGCAATGTGATCGGATCGGGGTCAGGGTTCAGCCACCCTGGTGGTGGCTTGTGTACGGTCGTTCCAATGCCGCTCTGCTATTTCCACTGACTGCAAATTGCTGAGTTATCTGCGGTTGAGGTGCATAACTGCTCAGGGGTTGGTCAGGATGTGCAAGCACCGGAAGTGAGGGAAGCGTCCGTAGGTTGTACTCACCAGAGCGGGCCCACGCGGTCAACGGCACGAATTGACGAAAGTTAGCAATGATTAGCACAGCACGTCTGGTAGAACACGGTGGAGGTCGGGAAAGTGCACCTCGCGAAATCACACGAACGCTGCATGCACAAGATTTGAACGGACCAACAAGTCAGTTACAACAGAGATTATGACTGCCCTTACTGTGGTATATATACAACGACCGAACGAACAGCATAATTAACGCCCGAGCCCCAGTGTAAGGCGCCGCGTGTAATAGCGTAAGCAGCAGCCTCCCTGTATAATATCAGACGTCTATGCGGAAGCTCGTCACCTGTGGCAGGTATGCGGCGCCGGCGAGGTCGAGCAGGTGCACGTCGTCGAATACCTCGTTCCCGTTGAAGCCCCCGAAGATGAACAGCCGGCTGTCCGCGAGGAAGGAGACGTGGTACCCGCGCGGCGAGGGCGGCTTTCCCGCCGTCGTACGCGGCTCGAAGCTCAATGCAACTGCAACATATGCAATACGTCAGCGGCGGCTATTGGCATGGGGACTACGCGAAACGCACCGAGGTTGAATAGGAGCAGTTCGGACGTGTACTGGCTACCGTCGTGACCACCCATGATGAACAGATACGAGCCGACCTGCGTCGACGTGTGCGACAAGCGGCGGTACGAGGTCTCGAGCTTCGGCTGACTCCACCAGAGTGTATCTAGCGCCAGAGGTCAGGGCGCGCACCGACGCCTGAGAGAGTGAGCACGCACCGAGGTTGAGGCACCAGATGTCCGAGAAACACTCGCGCCCGTCACTCCCACCGATGACGACCATCACGTTCCCGACAAGGTTCGAAGTGTGGTACCCACGAGGCATCGGCTTCCGTCCCCGCGTCTCGACATGCTCCCACCGCATCCGTTCCGTGGATCCGCTGCAGTCGAGTGTCCACAGATCGTTCAGAGCCTCCATCCCATTTCCCCCGCCGAACACCCACACCTTCCCCTTGTGAAGCACCGCCGTGTGCGCACGCCGAGGCGGCGGCAGCGGTGTGTCATCTGGGAAGACCTTGTGCGTCCACCGCCGACTGACTGTGTCGAGCACGTATACATCATTGTAGTATGCGGGGCCTTCGCCTCCGCCGAACACCACGATTCGCCGGTCCACCAGTGTTGCGGTGTGCGCGCGGCATGGAGGCGGGATGTCGCCGACCATCTGTGGATGGGACCACTGCATCGTCTCTGCACTTGCGGCCCTCGCTCAATCACTGTGCGCGTAACATAGAAGCAGACGCACCGGTGTTGAACAGATAGATGTCCCGCCAACAGCCCTTCTCGTCGCACCCGCCGAACAGCCATGCGACGTTGTCGACGAGTGTCACGCTGTGCGCGCGTACACCATGTTGCGGAAGAAAGCCATATACTGGCGCGCGACTCCAGTACATGAGCGTCGCCGGCGCAAACTCGACATCTTTTGCGTGTGGGAGGTGAGGCGTATTCCGGATCCGGGGTACTGGGGGACCCGCGTTCGCAACGCTCTTCGTATTTCTCCCTGTTCGGTCCCTCCCTTTCTCTCTGTCCCTCTCTCTGTCTCTCGGCTTTTCCCTCTGACCCTCTCTCTCCTTCTCTCCATCCCTCTCCTTGCCCTTCGAGGGCACGGGAGACTCTGGCCTCGGCGTCCCAGGGCCACGCACCGCAGGGGTACTTCGGCCGTTCGCTGCATTCGAACTCGTGTCGCTAGCAGATCGTGATGTTGCTGGGCGTACCGTAACGGAGGGACTCCTTGGTCCAGCTGGAGTGCGCGACGAGGTGCTCGTCATGGCCGTACCGAGGCTGGTCGTGCTGAGTGTAGCCGCCGCCGGTGCTTTGAAAGTGGATGTTGAACCTGATAACGCGGCATGATAATATGGCGACCTCGGCCCCGGGCTTCCTCGTCCTGGCACTGACACGACACTAATACTATCTTCAGAAACTTCGCTCAAAGTCCCGACGCGCGGCGAGTCGATGGCCGCCCAGCTTTCAGGCGCAGGCATTGGTCCTGTATGCTCTACTGTTCGTTCTCAAATGTAAACGGAGGCTTCCAATTTCGAGAATAGTTAGCGAGATTATCGCACCTGAGTCGAAGGAAGGTCGACGACGAGGAAGACGAGGAGGATGAGGAGCTGGAGGAGGGAAGTATGCGAGGTCTAAGTCGGCTTGGCGCTATGTTGCCGGTTTCGGCAATCTCCGCTAACTGCTACTACTCTATTTAGGCGCCCATACTACTTACTACGTGTACGTACAGGCCATACGTACGGTCGTCCCCGTTTAGTGTCTGCACGGCGTACGTACCATTCACAACTTACTGTGATAATCGCCGTAGCCGCAAATGCAAATATTTTCATACCACGGTGATAACTCTAGTCTGCGTCGACTCGGGCCTCAGAAATACTGGCTCAGCCCCCAAAACATCGATCGCAAGAACCTCCTACTAAAAACACAAACGCCAGAGCAATTTCATTCCGATGCTTCAAGTTCCCTGTTCAAGAACTCGGCAGACAGGTAAACGGCAGCTCGCGCAGTATGCTATATACCTCTCCCTGATAATCCGCATCCACGTCCGTCTTCGAAGTTGCATTGAGGACAGTCACGCTATCACAGCACCCCGCAGCGCCCACGACGTCGCTCTCCGTCGGCAAGACGGAGCCATCGGACGAGCACGCCGCAAAGTCCGACGCGAAGGGATCCCACAGGTTTCTCGACAGTACCCACTGGTAGTCGCTTGCGTCTGAGCAGTTGTCGATGGACGGGAAGTTCACGGATACAATGATGCCCGGAATAGGAGCAGATCGCTATCGACAGCGTAGAGGGCTTGGGTGTAGTGGACGACCAGTGCGGAGTAGATCCAGGCGGCCTCAGTCGAGGATGCGGTTGGATCGTTGTCGAGGGTGGTATAGGAGACCTCGGAGCCGGAGAGTGAGCGACAGACGGATGTCACAAGATGGCATCGAGAGTAGGGCGTGCTCCTGCTCAGCGCTTCGTCGCCGACCGAAGAATATAAGTGGAGCGTTCCACACGGCTGCTGAGTCGGGTAGCCCGGAAGGATGGAGAGGAGCGAGATCTGCGTTTCCAAGAACCAGCAAGGGCCACGTAGATCGACTCGGGCCCGGGCATCACCACGCATAGCGCGCGACAAGAGCAATAGCTCTGTTCACGAGGGAGGCGCGCCGAAGTGATCGCGTAGAGGCTCGTTACACCGATAGGTATGCGCGAGGCGTTCGACAACAGGAGGTACTACGACATCGACACGCGCCGCCGATCCAAGATCCATTCGCGTGCCCCTGAATCCCCGTCGACCGTCTGCGTGAATGGCACCCGTAGAATGGCCCCGGGAATGGTAGCCTCGAGTGACTATGTATGGTCTATTCAGTACGATGGACAGGACGCGTGAGGCAGTCGTATTCACCTCGAACGGTCCACTGGCCAAGCCTGTTCAAATCCCGCATAGGCCGTTAGACGCGAATGGGGTTTTAGTGAGCGGATCTTGCACGCAGTATCGTTGCCCGTAAGGACCTTCCAGAGATAAGCAGAGTCGAAGTTCTGTCAAAAAAGTGTGGCGATCGCGAGCGCTACACTTTTTTGACGGACTTCGACTCTATCTCCGGATCACTAGCTTCTCTCTCGGCCGCTGACGATGCAGGTGTCGAGGAGGGACCGTCGGTATGTAGAAACGAATACGTGAATACGAAGGGGCGTACTCGTGGTGTCTCATACAGTATCGTCCGGTAGATGTGCGGCGTGCTGGCCTCATGACAGTGTTCGTGTGCACTGGGCTCAGTTATGGATGCATGAGTGGTGGCCAGATGTCGGTCGATGCGCACCGCGATGCAGCTTGCAATGAGGCATAGCCATACCATGTCGATGCAGAGGCTATATAGCCCCACGGGGAAGTAGGTTGAAGGTGCTGCGAGAGGGGGCTGCTGGCGCCGAGACGTGCCCATCTGCGTATACGATATACGATGTCGGAGGGATTGCGTGCGTGGCAACGACAAACACGACACACGCGCTCGTCCTGATGCAGGGAGGTCGAGGAGTCGAAGTTGGATGTAGGGCTCGGCGAAGGACGACGGTGGTAGTCTACAACGAGTAGTTAGGCCGCCGAAGCTAATGGAGAACTTACTTATGCTCGAATTGCGTCTCAATACGCTCTACTAGACTTGCTACTCGACTGTCTTGCACACGTGAACCATCTTGTCGCGCAGAAGTGCCGAGTGAAGAACGCCAGAGGAGAGAACAGGGGAGAGGGAATTCGATAGGGATACGGGCGAGGCGGCCCTGTATTTATACACGCGAGAACAGCTCCAGTCATGGAAGCGCAAGAGGGATAAAAAAGTAGAAGAGCGAGAGAGGGACGTCGGGGAGTGGGAGATTCGAAAGAAACGTGACGCGTGGAAGGCGAGAGGACAGGTGACAGATCGGGAAGGAATGATACCGAAAAAGGAAACTATTGGACATCAGCCGCATGAGCACCCTTCAAGTTCAGGCCTCAGGGCGACGGATTCCCCTTCCTGAACGTGAACAACGAACCCTTGTCTCTGTATATACGAGCCTGGCAGCTCGCACGCGGTGCTACTTATCTTCGATACAGTAAAGGAGTGGTTTCGCTCTTGGACGCAGGCGCTTCCGCTTTCGGAAACGTTACGACTCGATTGGGCGAGTGCTGCTGGTCCGATGATGAGTTGCACTGCGAAAGGCGTGGGACTTGCCGTCAGACAGCCAGATGATTGCTAGATGACACGAGTTATGAAGCTGAAGCCCAACAGCCGTCGAACTCGAGAAGCAACGCATCAATTCTACCATTCAATATTTAGCGATAAACAACCCGATGGGGTCTCACAGCCATAGCCAAAAGAAATGCCCTCCACACTCACAGACTCAATCCATACAGCTCAGAGGCAACCCTTCCAAGCTTTCGACAATCGCCGCCTGCGTCGCCCTCCCTACGTCCGTCTTCGTCGTCGCGCTGATCACCGTCACACTCGCATAACACCCGTCCTCATTTGCCACCACGTCCGCCTCGGTGGGCAGCCTCGCGCTCCCGCATACCTCTACGTCCGTCGCAAACGGGTTCCACAGGTTGCGCGCGAGCACCCAGCGGTATTCCGCGGGGTCGGGGCAGCGCGTGGCGGAGGGGTAGTTCACGTTCAGGATGACGCCGGGCGGGAGGAGGGGCGAGGCGGTCGTGTTGAAGAGGACGCGGAGGAAGTCGATGGTGAGGTTGGCGTAGATGTTCGCAGCGAGCGCAGAGGTAGAGGTGGGCGAGGAGACGAGCGTTGTGTAGGAGACGTGGGACCCGGACGCGCCGGAGAAGGCGACGGCGGGGATGCCGAGCTTGGAGGCTTCGGCGGCGGCGCCGCTGGTAGGGCAAGGTCAGTACGGGGTATGGAAGTAGCTTCGAGATGGACGTACACTGTTCCGGAGAACTGCGTGGAGATGCCGACGTTGACTATGTGCGTAAGATTAGATGGAACTCTGAGCGATGTCGGGCTGCGACGATACTCACGGCCAATGTTCGGTCCACTGACGACGAAATCCGGGCTGGACCCGTCGAAGAATTGCCTCGAGAGCGTTTGGACTCCGTACCGTGCCGCGTCGACCCTTGTGACACTATCTTCAGGAGTACCATCAAAATATCATGCAATCATCACTCACGGGTACGCATTCACGTAGTTAAGTCGCGCTTGTGCACAGTGTCAGCCTCGGACGAACATCATACCCCCTACGTGAACGACTTACGATCGCTCGCATTGAATCCTTCGGCAGGCGAGCCTACGGGGCACGTATCGAACTCACATGGCTCGTCGAGAACCGAAGGCGTCTTCGAGCGCGACCCCTTGCCAGATTGGTTCAGCGCGGGCGCGGACAGGATCACCTGCGCACGCAGAATGTCAATCAACTTGTCAGTGACAAGAATTGACAGGCGCACCTCATAGCCTGCAGCCACCAACGCATCGAATTGCGCGCGAATCTGCGCGGTCGCCCATCCGTCGTCGTTGCTGAGAACGAGGTTCCGAGGTACGGTCGCCGCTGCAAGGAAAGACACCGCGAGCGCGGCCTGGGCTACCAGCGGGTGGTACATGGTCAAGTCCACTGAAGTATCGTCTTGGGCAACTCGGGTAGTGAAGCGGTTACGAGGGACAAGCTCCGAGTCCTGGGCGACGCAGTTTGGTTTACAACACCAGGATGGACAGCGAGGGGGCTGAGGAGCTTGCTGTCAAACAGACTATGCATGAGCGCGAGAACGCAGCGGGGACCGTGGGGCAGAGATGCGTCAACGAGCGAGCGGTACTAAGACGGCCAGCATCCACGGACAGCACGACAAATCTGGACAGAAAAGGCACCGCGCTGAACATTCGTCCACCAGTTGCTCGCGATGAATAACCAGAACGAATTCAAAGAAAAGCACGATTGGTCAAGCTCAGGTATACGGAGGACGACATCGAACATATGCACGTCGGGCTTCATGTACATGTCTATATCATGGTCGTGGTCGGTCTCCAAGTCAACGTACGAATGTCGAACGCGGGTACCACGGGATACCGGGCCGGGGATGATACAGTGCTTCAAAGCTTCATCGACATCTCCTACATACGTACTACATTCAACTACCTACCAATATTACACAAGTAAGTACTGCCATGCGGACAAGAGCGCATGCAAGAACACCGACGTACTCGACTGAGCTGAGCATGTCAGTATTTCAATGATCCATCCCCCGGCATGCAGAGTAAGGAATGCACGACTCCGACGTCACCGGACGCTGCGTGCGCCCATACTCAGCCGCACGCAGCTCCCCACTTTCAAGTTGTAACCCGAGTTTGACGAACGAGGCGATGCACACCGCAGCTCACGCTGCGGGAGGAGCAAGGCGACGCATATAAGCAAGTGCTCGGAGCTGCCTGTGTCTTTCTTCCTCCCCCGGCGCATTTCGGAACTGGCTGAGATTTTCTTCTCTCCCCCTCCGTGTCACATTTCTGCGAACCCACCCAAGGTAGGCTGGCTGGTACGGAATTCCCGCTCGAGCGCAAGGCACACTGCCCTGATTCAACGTTCAACGTTCAACCCTCGAACGAAACCCTCGCTGCGTTCAAGTCACTGGCACGCACTCGGGGCTCGGAAGTAGCTTGACCATAGCGAGAATATGTGCCTGTGGCCCGTACATCACCGCGCCCAAGATTTCAGTCTTCAGACAAGATGTGACGGGTATTCAAACGCCGGGCCCCCAGATCGAACCCCGCTAGTGTTAGACTTTGTATTTCGTGACGGGGTGCCAGTCATACAAGGTGCACGACGTCACTCGTCCCCATTGACACGCACAGAACGTAGGGATCCTTCTGGCGCCCGAATTCGGATCGCGTGGGGTCCAGGAGAGACGACGACTTCGCAGGCTCAGCTTTCCCTCGCAGCAACGGATTCCAGTCTGTACGGCAGAGCGCGACGCGCCGCCCACCATCTTCGCCTCCAGCGCCGTCGCAGCCAGAACCCAGCGCCGGTCCTACATAGAACGGAAACGCCCATCCGCGCACGTCGCAAACCAAACCAATCTGGACATGTCTCAGCTCGGTACTTGCTCTCGCCGCATACAGCCGCAAGGGACGCACGGCCACGCGCTTCCCTCGCCCTGGCCCGCCTTATGAAGCGACAACAGTGGAGATGACCAGGAGAAGACGGGAAGGCGAGAAGGACAGGCTTATCGGCGAGCCAAGCGGTGATATGATTCGGGGGCGATCGTCGCTGAGAATCCGAGATTGTGCAGGAGTGCAGGAGGGACGTGATCAGAATGGGCGAGGCGCATCCGCGTATGCAGTTGGGTCTGTGGTTAAGGTAGGTCTTGCAGCGGGTCACTTGAGGAGTACTGAAAGCGCATACAAGCAGCTCGAGAAGAGACAGGGAAGAAACGCGCGTGATCGGCACGCGCATGGTGCAGGAATGGAGGAAGGTGAAGTTGGGCTTATCAGCCATTCTTGATTCTGGAATCTGGAGGGGCAGAGCGTGGCTGATTGGCTTGGATACACTCGGAAGGGCAGGACGGAAGAATTCGATGCCCACGTACGCATGTGGTAACAAACAGCGCAAAGCGTGTCGCAGGTTCAACGTATTCACGCAGTTCTCGTAGCAGTTTGCGCAGCAAGCAGGAGAATCATTTGCGACGAGGGGATCACAGCCGGGTCGAAGGAGTCGGTGTTTCACTATCCCCGCGGCGTCTCCGAGCAATATACGACGAAATCGATAACCGCAGAGCAAGCCGTCGCGGTCTGTTGATGGTGGGGAAGAAAAGGGGGCCGCGTACGTATGATTGTGCATGTGAATCTTCGTTCGTTCGACGCATTCACCGGCTCCCAGGTAAACTTCCAAGCTTCAGGAAAGAGGACCAGCCAGAGTTGGCACTTGCCACCCGAGTACCCAGCATCCTCGCAAGGTCTACGAGGTCGGCCTCTGCACGTTCCGCGTTGAAACACCGCGTCCCTCAGGTCGCACATTATCTACAACTTGACAATCGTCGTTCACAAGCTCAGCGGCATTGACCGTGGTAAATCCCCGAGATGCAGCCGACTGGCTGGTCTGTGGGAGCGTCAGGCAGAGCATACAAGAATAACGCACCAGTGCGAGCGATCCAGGGTCTTTCCTTCGGGGCCGACGCGCGGCAGAAGGCCTTGGAGGGAAATATGAGCGAGGAGGCTCGCTCGGCTCCGGGCAAGAATAGGCTCTGCGTCCGTGCGCTTAGA